ATAGTCTCAAGAATGTCACGAATGTACTCGTAGACAGTAAAGGTGACGGCCTGACCAGGAGCAACACGCATGATACGAGGGGTAATACCCTTGTAAAGAGCATGAATACCTTCCTGAGCAATAAGTTGCTTGGTAATGCGGAGGAAACGAGAAGCACCAGTCTCCTTGGAGGCACCGCCTTCACGTTGCATGCGAGTCTTGATGGTATCGAGAGGAGCATTAGAAAGAGGACCAAGGGCACCGGAAACGAGACCAATAAGGGAGGTCTGCCACGAGGGGAGCAGACCATTGTATTGGGGTTGCCATTCATTAAGTTTCTCCTTAAGTTCAGAGTAAACAGTGAAATTAACACCTTGGTTAGAAGCTTGACGAGCAGCTGTCAGAGCGACACCACGGTAAAGGGCAGAGAAACCTTCTTCACGAACAACGACGAGAAGAGCATGGGCAGCATTTCTATACTTGGGGACATCGAGAGGGTCGACCATGGAATGGTTTTGTGCCTGAAGACGAATCTTAATGACTTCTGTGGGGTTGACAACAATGACAGCTTCGGTAAGACCGGCACCGACACCAGCAGCAAAGTTACCACCGACAGAGATTTTACCGTCAGGTCCGACAAGTTGTTTCTTATAAAACTCATAGGACGAGAATCTGATAGACATTTTAGGAATGATACCTGTGACGACTGCACCGAGACCTTTATAAAGACCTAGGGGGGTTTCACGTTTAGCGATTTGGATACCGGTTCCAATGAAACCCAATTTCTTGACTGGTTTACCATCGGGTCCCACGAGGTTTTGTTTGTTGGAAAGTTGCATGCGGACCTTAATTGTGTCTAAAGGATGGCAACAGAGGGCTTCGAAAAGACCTGCTGTACCACCGGCGATAAGGTCGATGGCTGCGTTTTTGCTCTTCTTTTTCTCGCCCATTGTTATATATATTTAAGTTTTATAGAATAGTGATATGTTTTTTTTATATATAAAAAATATATAAAAGATGTTTAAGTGTAAAATAATAATAAAAAAATTAAAAAAAAAAAAATTTTTAATATATAAAAAAAAAAAAAAAGAAAGAAAGAAAAAGTCTGGGGGAAAAAAAGGTGAGAATTGGCCACCTTTTTATAGTTTTTTTTTTTGTTTTTTTTTTTTGTTTTTAAAATAAAATAAAAAAATTTTTCATGGCAGATTTTTTTTTTTTATTGTTTGTTTTGAAAAATAAAAAAAAAAAAGGTCAAGTTTTGGTTGTCCATCCATCCATCCCTTGTGTGTACGGACAAAAAAAAAAAAAAAAAAAAAATAAATAAAAAAAATAAAAAAGGCCACTCAACGGATGGCTGGTGGGTTTTTTTTTTTTTTTTTTTTTTTTTTTTGATGGTGGCTTTTATTTTTTATTTATTATTTTTAATTTTTAATTAATACAGGTGGCTCCTTTTATTTTATTTTATTTACTATGAAAATTTATATTTATTTAATTTATTTTTAATTTATTTAAATATATATATCTATATCTATTACAATAATTTCTAATTCTAATTCTAATTCTTTTTTTTTTTATTTATATTTATATTTAAATTTTTTATTTAAATTTATATATATATATATATATATCTCGGCTAGTTTGTGTCCCGGGGAGGGTTGTTTGTGTGGTGGTCGGGCAGGCGGGAGGATTTAAAAGAAGTTTTTTTTTTTTATTATTAAATTAATTTAAATTTAAATTTAAATTTAAAATAAATTTAAAATCTGGGGTAAAATAATAAATAAATAAATAAATAAATAAATAAATAAAAAATTTTCAATTTTTTCAAACAACTACAACAAATAAACACAAATGTTTTTTTTTTTTTTTAAATCTGGAGAAATAAAAAATTAACTTTATTTTTTTATTAGTAGTTTTATATTTATATATATATTTTTAAATAAATTGTTTATTAATTAATTGGTTTAAAAAAAAAAAAACTATTTTCATTTTTTTTTATTTATTTTTTAAAATAATTTGAAAATATATTTATCAACAAATATTAATTAAATCATAATAATAATGATGATCATGATCATGATCATTAAAGAAAAAAAAAAAAAAAGTTATTAAAATATGTTATTTATTTATTTATTTAAATTTTTAAAAGTAAAAATAAAAAATAAAATCCGGGGTAATAATTAAATAAATAAATTTATTTTGAATTTCCTTTTCCTTCTCCTCCTTCTCATTTTTTTTTTCTTTTTTTTTTTCACATTTAATCAATCTCGGAAAAACCTCTTTTTTCTCTCTTTATATATATTTATTTATTTAACTTCCGTACTTTTTTTTTTTTTTTTTTTTTTTTTAATTTATATATATTTTCATAATAATAATAATAATAATAATAATAATAATAATAATAATAATAATAATAATAATAATAATAATAATAATAATAATAATAATATTTTTTTTTTCAATAATCCATCTATCCTATATATATATATATATATATATATATAATTTTTTCAATTTTTTTCAATTTTTTTCAATTTAATTTTTTTTTTTTTTTAATTTTTCAATCCCCGCGTTTCCCCGGAAAAACTCTTCGGGTGGACGGCTGTTGAAAAATTTAAAAAAATTTAAAAAAATTTAAAATAAATTTAAAATAAAAAGGACGGCCTACTCTCCTCCACACAACCAATCAACTTCCATTTTTTTTTTATTTCTTCTTCTTCTTCTTCTTCTTTTTCTTCTTCTTCTTCTTCTTCTTCTTCTAAACTTTTAAATCCGATCCCCTTTCTTTTCTTTTCTTTTCTTTCAATATATTTATAAAAAATTCCCTTTTTATTAAAAAATAAAATAAAATAAAATTGAAAAACCTTCCAGCCGAAGCCGCTGCGCTGCCGCTGCGTTGCCGCTGCGTTGCCGCTGTACAAAATTCTCTCTCTTTTTATTTACTACTATTACTATTACTACTACTACTACTAATATACGTGGTTATTATTTATTTATTTATATATAAAAATAAAAGTCCCCACCCATTTCTTTTGCCCGCTCAAAGCTCCGGCTCGTAATTATTAAATAAATAAATTGAAGAAAAAAAAAAAAAAAAAAAAAAAGGGGGTCCATACAGCCATTATTGTCAATCATCACCATCATCAAAATTGAAAACGACCACAAACGACCACAAACGACCATACTTGTGACAATACTAGTAATAGTAGTAGTAGTAGTAGTAGTAGTAGTAGTAGTAATAGTAGTAGTAGTAGTAGTAGTAGTAGTAGTAGTAGTAGTAGTAGTAGTAGTAGTAGTAGTAGTAGTAGTAGTTACTATCAAGTAGCAAACCAAAAACTTCTCTCCGCAAAAAAAAAAATTTACACCTTACAAACTTAAACCGAGGCTTATCATAATTATATAATTAAATATATATATATATATATATAAGTCTACACATAGTCAACCACCTACTGAGCCTCTCGGCGAAGACGCCCCGGTGCCTTGGGCCGACTAAACCGCGGAGCTTTTGCTACCTCGGGTCTCTTCTCACTACCCGAAGATGATTCTTGTTGCAACCTCAGTCTTTTCTCATCCTCCTCATATTCTCCTAAAACATCTACCCCAGAACTACCCTCATAAGTTTTCTCAACTTCCTTCACATGTAAAGCTGATGCAACATGCATTCTTACACTCTTAAAATTTGTAGCATAAACCATCCGTTCCTTCACCTTAGTTGCAGGTGGACACGTGTAAAACACAACTACATCTGTATTGGAATTTGCTCCTTTGGGCTTATACACAGTAAACTGGGCACTGTCTTTAGCAAAATCATGTTCACTCAATTGCGCATTACTAGCAGACCCAACATGTACTGTTTCTGTCCCAACATCAATTACCAAAACAATAGTTGCCCCATCACTAGATTCACCAAGTTCTTCAAGAGCAGCCGTAGCATCCGACCCAAACTTCATCCCAACAATGCTCCCACCACTTGCTGTTGCACTTCCTGTAAGTACTCCTCCTCCAATCCCTGTAGAACTACTCCCATCAAGTCCTTTAACATGACTTTTCCGCAAAGCTGTTCCACTTTGGTCAGCTTCCCTTTCCCTTACACTTCTTAAAGATTGTTCTTCTTGAGTTAATGGAGCTTCCAATGCTTCATGTGCAATATGGGCTTCCCATCCTTCACGTGAAACTTCTCCAAGTTCTGTCCAGAAAATTGTTTGTACTGTACCAATACCATTCCCAGCAGCTCCTCCTAGCAATTGTCGTTTCAAAGCAGTTGCAGATGAAGCATAAAGCATTTTGGCTCGGACTTTAGCAATATCTGGTACAAATAGAATAAACACATATGAAGGTCCAGTTGAAGATGCTGATGCAGCGTTATAAATGATATATCTTGGTTGGTCTGGTTCCAAGTGTTGAGCGACTTCTGCAAAGTCTTCTTCAAAGTCGGCAGTTCCTGCAATGGTTTGTTGATGGTCAACAGTTTCTTAAAAAAAAAAAAAAAAAAAAAAAAAGGGGAGGGAGGTATTATTGTTAGATAAAAATGAGAATGAATTTATATATATATATATATATATATATATATATATATATATATAAACTTACCACCATCAATTACAGCAATGAGGGCACGCTGGTTAGTGGCCAACAAGTCTGCAAAAGCGTCTTCTAAAGTTTTTGAAACTATAAATGATTGTTAGTTTTTTTTTTTTTTTTTTTTTTTTTAAAAAAAAAAAAAAAAAAAAAAAAAAAAAAAAAAAAAAAAAAGAGTTTTAGTACTCACGAGAAAGATTTAAAGCACTGGCCATTGTTGTTGATGATGTTAATGATGTTAATGATGTTAATGATGTTAATGATGTTAATGATGTTAATGATGTTAATGATGATAATGTTTTGTATAGTTAAGAACTAATTATTAGGTGGCAATGGGTGGGAAGACTTAAATAGTTACAAAATAATTAATTAAAAATAAAAAAAAATAAAAAAATTAATAATAAAAGACCGCTTAATATATAGTTTTTAATTATCTCTCATAAATAAATAAATATATTTTTTTATTTTTTTATTTTTTTATTTTTTCATCCCTTGCATTCCTTGCGACGCGTCTATTTCGCTTATTGTTTACACGCGGCTGAACTTTTTTTTTTTTTTTTTAACTTCTCTATTTTTTTTTAAAAAAAAAAAAAAATTGACAGGTGGAGGGTCGAAGAAATTTTTTTTTTTTTTTTTTTTTTTTTCTCTTCTTCTTTTTTTTTTTTTTTTTTACCACCCAAAAAAAAAATAAAAATAAATAAATAATCAAAACAAACAAACAAACAAACAAATCATCATCATCATCATCACCACCACCACCAAATAACAATCTTAACTTTTCATCTCAATAAATATCACATATATTAAATATCAAATGTCTCTGTCTGTAGCGCCTTCTAAGGACGCCACTGTCAGAAGACTCCCTTTACAATCATCTTCAAATCCATCACAAAAACATCCTCCAAATAGACCCCCACCAATAGTCCTTACTTCTCCAAATCACTATCAACCTTCATCTTCTTTCTTAGCAACTCCTCCAAGTTCTGCTACAAGTCCAGCACCTAGATCTCTTAATCTAAATTCAACTCCTAAAAATACATCATCCACAATTACCCAATCTTTCCCTCAAATCCATATAGGTCTTCCAACCCCAGAATCAGATACAAGTGATTCAGATTTAACTCCAACAATAACACCAATCCTTACATGTCCATTCCCAACACCTAAATACCCACCCTCTCTCTTTAATACCCTCACTCTAGCCCATGCAGACCGTTCCAAAATTAGATTTAACTATCATCGTCAAACTAATACTAATACTGCTACTACTACTACTACTACTACTACTACTACTAATACTACTTCTAACTCCTCTTCATCATCTCCATTAATCCTTCAAGCTGCAACCCCACAAATGCTAGTCGTTTATCTCACTTCACATAATGTCCTTGATTATGATCTTCTCTCTGACTTTTTCCTCACTTATAGACTCTTCCTTAACCCCTTTGATCTTTTGGAACTCGTCTTTGCACGTCTAGCTTGGGCAATTTCTACCCATGCACAAGCACCCCTTCTAGAACTCGGCCGCGACGTTGCTGTACGAACTTTTGTGGTAATTAGACATTGGGTCCTCAACTTTTTCCCTGATGATTTTGTCCCATCATACACTCTACGTCTTCGTTTCGCTCAATGTGCAAATGCCCTTTACTCATGGCAACCAGTCCAATCTACTCCTGCATTTCTCCTCATCCTTGTCCAACTTAAAAAATCCTGGCTTCGATCTTGTGCTCTTTACTGGGACATGGACCCACCATTATCTCAAAAACCTTCTTCCCCTCCAAACTTCTCTTACCCTCGTCCTCAGGCACACCCGGTATCTCCAGGGGGGAAATTTGGCTCAATTGATACCAGAAAATCTTCTGTTGTTTCCCCCAAATCATCTCCAACTAAATCTGCATCTTCTCGTAGAGCTACTATGCTCTCTCTTTACCAAATCCCCATTAAACCTATTCTCACAAACCCTGATCCTTTACTTAAAAACCACGGGTTTGGGCTCATGGATGGATCTCTCATTAAAGGTGGTATTTCTCTTTCCACAGACGCAAGAGTCTCCTCGTTTTGCCCACCAACTCCAGTCCCTTCATTATTAATTCAACCATTACCCCCTAAAGTCTCTCCACAGCCTCAACCATTACCCCCTAAAATTTCTTCCTCACAAAAACAACAACAACAACAACAACAAGAGCAAAAACAACCACCTCAAATTCTCACCCACAAATCCCACAAATCAATCCGCACAATCATGGAAAACTGGAAAAGAGAACTTGGCCATCATAAAAATAAAGCCATTTCAAAATTCTTCTCAAAAGTCGTCCACATCTCTAAAGAAGAACAAGAAGGAAATCAAACTCTAAAGGTTCATCAAACTCCTCAACTACTCATCCAAGAAATACCCCCTAATCCACAACCACTCTCACAAATACCTCCTCAACCTTCTCCCCTCCTAACAAATGATACCCCACGAATCGACGTACTCTCAGCTCGTGTTATCCAGGAACTTGACGCCATCGTCAAGGCCCGTGAAGCCATGGACGGTGATGATGATGACTATGATGATGACGCAACAAGCATCGATTCCTATAAATCTGGTGAGCAGCTCGGTGATACTGATTCCCGCATTTCTCTCATTGACAGTCTCAACATGCGCGCATACCTCTCCCCCAAACGTAACCGTAGCGTCGTGACTCCACCACCACAACCACCTTCATCATCAATCTACCGTCAAAACTCAGTTGCATCTAGCATTGCTGGCGGCCGTGCATCCACTGTTTCTTCAGGAGTTTTCGTTTCTGCAAAAACATCACCTCAAAAACTTAAATCATCTCCATCTTTTGCTTCGGCGTTTTCTCCAGTCCCTGAATGTAAAACTCCCTCTCCTACCCTCTCTCTTTGTGTAGTTGCTCCACCAACCCTCGACACTCATCGCATCCCCCATCTTCCACCCCCAAACAAACCTTCCAGCCCTAACGTCTCTCCAAAAGCAACTGCCCCCCCTGGATCTCCGACTCGCTTATCAATCCGTTCCTATGATTCATACGATTCCCGTACTTCCTCACCGCTTGCTTCTACTACCCATCTGGCTCAAAATGGCGGCCTACGTCGTGTAGGCCACCTTAATCTTTCGCCTGTTCCATTTTACCTGACTCCAGGCGAAAGCAGTTCCCTGTTGGCTGAAACAATAGCACGCGATCTTGGCGCTGACCTTAATACTCCAGCTGACCCTACACTGCTCCCTCACCATAACCCTATTCTTCCTGGTGGACTTTCCCCAGATATTGTGGCTGAGTTAGCACAGATTCCAGACGATGAAGACGACGACGACACTGCTAATCCTAACGCAGTTGCTCATGCTCTTTCCAGATTAGAAGGTACTTGTGTGCCACATAAAGTCACCACTTTGGAGCAACGCATCTCCATGCAACTCGAGCATCTACCAACCGTAGCCCCCTTGCATATCCGCTCGCAAACACCAGTGTCGAGTCCTCCTAGACCTTTATCTGCCACAACGCCAGTCCGCACCATGGCCCCTGAGGGAGGGTCCCCGCAACGCAGGCGTCACAGCAGTCCTCAAAGTGTCAAGAATTTCCTCCAAGGTGGGGCCGCGCTTGCACCAAACAGTAATAATAATAATAATAATAATAATAATAATAATAATAACAACAACAACAACAGCAACAATAATAACAACAGCAACAATAATAACAACAGCAACAATAATAACAATAACAACAATGCCGGAAGCGCTGATACCACGTTTCTTAAGACCCCACAGTTCTGTGATACTTACACGCCACCACAGGAAGTGTCGTCGTCATCGCCAACACAGTTGCGCATCCCGGGCCGCGCCCTCAGCTACGACACCTCCGGGGCCTCGTCATCGTCCCCAATCACGGACGACTTTTTGCTGTTCAACTTTTCTTCCGGGTCCAGTCTGTACCAAGACGCATTTGAAACACCCAAGCCCGTAGACCCCAGGGCGTTCCGCAATGGAGGGTCTGTACTTGATGAGGATTATAACTTTGGTAGTACCGGAACTGGACTTGGGTTGAAGGAAGAAACAACTGCCCCAATGACGCGCCGGCGTGCGCCCACTAGGTTCTTGAGATCTTCTAAATCAGTCTCACAGTTACTTTCCCTACGCAGTAGTGGCGAAAGCAGTAGCAGCAGCAATGGAGGTTTTGGTGGCGAGGAAAATTTACTGTTTGGACCTACAAGCCGTAACCACTCGCTGGCTTTAGCAATGGGGTTCCCTACAATGCTAGAGGAGGATGAGGAGTCTACGGGAAGCATAGCCAGCGTGACTACTGCTAAACCTATTCGCAAGCTGTTTGCACCACAAACAAGCGTTTTGCGACCAGGAATCACACGCAGTGCTACAGGCAACCTACTACGGCGCGGCGCATCGCTTCGCAGAGACCCTGCACTTGAGTCCAAGGCACACTCACTGTTTGATTTGAATGTACGCGAGGAGTCTAGACACAAAGACAAGAGTCGTGGGAATGACAATGTTGAGACTCTGCGCAGGGACAATGTATTTGCGAATCGGGGGTCCGAGCAATCTTTAGGTCTTCCTGAACAAGCATCCACACCGCCGTTAGTCTCAATGTCGGGTGAATCGTTTGGATCAACAACTCCACCGGCCCACCATTCATCTGCCATTAGCTTACTTCCATCGCCAGTCATGGTTGCAGCAGCTGCTGCTGCAGAAGCAGAAGCAGAAGCAGAAGCGACCGCCACACAAACTACAGAAGAAGTACCAGTTAACTTCCCCACCGAAGAAGACCCACTATCTATTTCCGCCACAGTTCCTAACGGTAACCATGCGCCATTCATTCTACACTACGGGTCGCGCGTACTAACAGAACAGTTGACACTTGTGGAGCGTGATGCGCTTGCAGAGGTTGACTGGAAAGAACTTGTGGAAATGCAATGGCCACGGACTGTGACACCAGTGCAGAGCTGGCTAGGTTACTTGGTAGAACCTCGGCCTGATACTGAGGAGGGTCCACATGGCGCCGCGGTAGTCATTGCACGGTTCAATCTGATGGTAAATTGGGTCAAATCGGAGATTTTGTTAACCCGGTCTCTCAAGGAACGAAGCTTTACGGTGGCACGGTTTATCCATGTTGCACACCATGCGCGACAATTACAAAACTATGCGACAGTTGTCCAGATTGTTCTTGCATTGACATCGGCTACCATCCATAGATTGGCACGTACTTGGGCAGCTGTCCCAGCTGCGGACCGGGCAATGCTAGCAGCTCTTGAGGAGCTTGTTTCACCACTTCGCAATTTTAAAAACTTGAGAACGGAGCTTAGCAAATTGGATGCGGCGCGCGGGTGTATCCCGTTTTTGGGAATTTACTTGTCTGATCTGACGGCAAATGCAGAACGACCAATGTATCTAGAGGGGACCGAGTCGGGTTCTGAATCAGATCTAGGCTCAGGCTCAGGCTCAAGTCCAGGCTTAAGCTCAGGTCCAGGCTCATGTTCAGAGTCAGATTCAGAACACTTGGTCAATTTTGCAAGGTTCCGAACTAGCGCTAACGTGGTTAAGTCATTGATGCAGTGCATTGAATGGGCTGGGAACTACGAGCTTGTACCGGATCACGATTTGCTAGCCAAGTGCTTGTACATTCAATCATTGACCGAAGACGAGATGAATGGATGTTTAAAGTACTTGGATGAGTCAGTGTAAAAAAAAAAAAAAAAAAAACAGGAAAAAGGAAAACGGAAAGAAAAGGAAAAAAAAAAGAGAACAATCAAAAACATTGGTTTTTTTTTTTTTTTGGTCTTTTTGTTATTTCAAAGCTTTTATATATTTTGCATTTATTGGGAAAAAACTATCATCATCATTTTTTTTTTATTATTATTATTATTATTCATTCATTCAATTTATCATTAATTTTATTTTATTTTTTGCATAAAGGGTATATATATTTCATATAATTAATTAATTTTATAATTAAAAAAAAAAATAAAAAGTTGTTATTATTAAAATAAATAAATGAATGAATATATATACCCTTTATGCAAAAAATAAAATAAAAAAGAAAAAAATATTGGGCTCAACCGGGAATTGAACCCGGGACCTCTCGCAAATTGCTTAGTATTTAACCCTAAGCGAGAATTATACCACTAAACCATCGAGCCTTAAAAAAGTAACTTGTAGAAGCTATATATACTGAACGATTAAAAAAACTTTTTTTTATCTATTTTTGCTTGCTTGTTGGTTTTTAATTAATTGTCAGATTTACTTTTTTATTATTGACTAATAAAAACTAATTTTTTTATTTTTATTTTATTTTACAGGTTTCTTGCCAAAAAAAAAAAAAAAAAATTATTACACTCGGAAACCCCGCATGGCCGGGCCGTCAGTATAAGCTAAGCAGCCGGCTACTTAGATCCGATATTAAGTCACGTGTAAGGGAATCTTAAATATATTGAAATAAATAGTTATAAAAAAAAAAAAAAATGCAATTAATAATGAATTAGTAAATTCAATCAATGCTTATTAAAAAATATTCAATCCATTCATTCTTTGATGAAGTAAAAAAAAAAAAAAAAAAAAAATAATCTCCATTAACAAACAAACAAACAAACAAGTTTTTTTTTTTTATATTTTACAAATTTGTAAATTATAATTTTTTTTTCTTGTACCCTCTTTATAAATCAATTCAAATATTAAAATAGGCCTTTCTAACAAGAAAACAAATCAAAAAAAATAAAAAAACCCCCTTTCAGATTATTATTATTATTACTACTACCCTTAATAAGCGGCCTAACTAAACTGATCTAGACTCCATCATCAAATGCTATAAAAGATCATTTTCTCCCTCCTGATCCTCCCATCATCCTCAATACTTCCTTTTACTACCCATTCCGTACACAATGCTTGATACCCTTCGCACATACAATTACAATGAAAAAGATGATGGAAAACGATCTTTAGAAGAAGATCCTGCTACATTCAACTCACCTACAGATCAACCTTTACGAAATAAAAATGACCAAGATTCACCCTCCCTCTCGGCTCCTGTGTCGCGTGCATCGTCCCATATCGAAGGTATGTTGGACCCGTCACCACCATGGGACCTTATCAGTTTACCTCACGAGATTCTATTTGTGGTTTTGTTATGTATTGCACAACTTTTCACACAAGCTTCAGTGGCACAGACTATAGTCACATACCAGGCCATTCCACAAACTTTTAATGTGTCGACACCAGGAGAGATTTCATGGTTTTCATCTGCATTTTCATTAACAGTGGGAACATTTATTCTTATAGCAGGAAGACTCGGTGACATGTATGGACTTAAACGTATGTACATTGCAGGAATGGCTTGGTATGGACTCTGGTCACTTATCTGTGGTATTGCATCATACTCAAAATCTTCAATCTTTTTCTCTGTTTGTAGAGCTCTCCAGGGAATTGGGCCTGCATTTGTTCTGCCAACAGCTGTAGGCATCATTGGAGCATATTATCCCATGGGTCCACGCAGAGTCTTTGTCATGTGTTGTTTTGGTGGAGTCGCACCCTCGGGGTTTATAGTGGGGTCTGTATTTTCTGGAATTTTTACCCAACTTGCTGGCTCATGGCCTTGGCTATTTTATTCACAAGCAATTGCGTGTACCATTGTTGCTATACTTGCATATTTCATAATCCCTCAACATATTGGGGTCGCCTTTAATAAACAACAAACATTTGATTATTGGGGGGCTCTCACAGGTATCACCGGTCTTATTCTTTTTAATTTTGCCTGGAATCAAGGCCCCGTTGTTGGATGGCATATCCCTTATGTTTACATTTTATTAATTGTTGGAGTTTTATTTCTTGTGGCTTTTATTTTCATTGAACGCCGGGTTGAAAACCCCCTCGTCCCTCCAGCCATGCTTAAGGGTGAAACAGGTGCAATTCTAGGGTGCATTGCCTGTGGTTGGTCTTCCTTTGGAATCTGGGTCTTTTATATGCACCAATTTGCATTCCATGTTGAGCACCGTACCATGCTCAACATGACGGCACGGCTGGTCCCATTAACCCCAAGTGGTATTGCAGCATCCATGATTACTGCAGTTCTTATCCCACGTATACCATCCTCCTTTATTATGCTTATTTCAACCATCGCCTTTTGTGTTGGTAACTTATTACTTGCTTTACGTCCGGCAAACCAAATCTATTGGGCCCAAATGTTTGTTTCTCTTTTATGTATGCCATTTGGTATGGATATGAGTTTCCCAGCTTCTACTGTTGTTTTAAGCTCACATTTACCTCGTGAAAAACAAGGAGTTGCAGCATCTATTGTAAATACAGTAGTTAATTATTCTATTTCTATTGGACTTGGTATTGCAGGAACTGTGGAGTATTATAGTACTAAGAATTTACACCAACCACAGAAACAAACAATCCGCAATGCCCAATGGACTGGCACTGGGTTGGGAGGTTTTAGTATATTGATTGCATTATGGTTTGTGTTTGTACAAGTGATTATACCTCGGTTGAAAAAGAAATGAATCCAAAAAAAAGAAAAAGAAAAAGTTAGAGAATTTTCAATAGAATATAATTTGTGTTTTTAGTAATGTTAATGTTAATGTTAAATGCTTTTTTTTTTTTTTTTTTTTTTAACAAATTTGTTATTTACGTGAAGTAAAAGAACTTGAATACTCCATCACAGCCTCAAAAACACATGAGTTTTCCCATTTTAGTCAATTGAGTTCGGTGGTGCAGGGACCGTTGAGTACTTACTACAGTACGGAGATACAGTTACGCGAGTTTTTGTATATATATTTAAGTACGTTTTTCTTTCGATAGGTAAATTGTTATTATTGTTATTATTATTTCAATTGTTGAAAGAAGAAAAAAAATATATTTTATTTTATTTAATTTAATTTAATTATTTATTATTTATTATTAATATTATTATTATTATTATCATCATCATCATCATCATCATTATGTAGATTTCTTGACTGTTACTGTTCTGGTTTGAGTAGATGTAGAAACCTCAACATCAACATCAATTTCATACTCCTCGAGAACTTCTTCTTCTCCGTCGTCGTTGGAAATAGAAGTAGAGGCAGAAGTAGAAGTAGAGGTTGAAGTGGAGGTTGAGAAAGTGGCATTTGATGAAGACGAAGAGGATGAAGATGAAGAGGAAGAGGAAGACGAATTCACCAACTCTTCAGGCTCCTCATCTTTGGCCTCATAATAGATAATATCATCATCAACATCCTTTTGCTCACTTTTCTTCTTTTCACCAGCATTAAGGTACTGGATAAACAAGTAATCGGACTTGCCCTTGAGATCGGAGAGGTACTGGGCGGCCTCCTTTGCGAGGATATTTGCCGTTTCTTGGCCCTGTCGCAGGACCTTGTTGATATCCTCCATGGGGACATTGAACTCGGAGATTTCGCGGCGGGATGTGAGGATACGGTCCTTGAGCTTGCGGTATTCTTTCCAGCGAGTCCATTCGAGGTTTTCATCTTCTGGAGAGGCGCCCGCTTGGGCATAGTCTTCATTTAGCGGCACATTCTTCTTTACATTTTTCTTCTTCTTCTTCTCATCAGATGATGAAGACACTAACTTACGGCCCACCTCCTGCAGCGTCACGTCGGCGAATTCGTCAAGAGTATCGATGGTTGCTGCTCGGATTTTCTCAGTATTGTCGATGGCTAATTGCGCAAAGTCTTCGGCGTACTTGTGTACGGCTTTGGTGGCGTCACGGATATAAGCGGCATGTTCCTTAAAAACGGCTTGGATGGATTCAGGGGTATATGGGAAGCCCTCCTTGTTGTGTGTTTTATCTTCAAGAACATCATTGACTTTAGATTCGAGGTTGTTGATGAGTTTTTTGAGTTCAACGTAACCATTGTGTTGGCGTTTTTGGAGGGCTTGGAGAAGGCGGGTAAATTCCGGGCGGGCTTCTTCAATTAAGCGGGCCCTTTCGGCATTGGTATCTTGGAGAAACTCAGCAATGGCTTGAGAAGTTGTAAATCCAACGACGCGTTTCCAATTGTTAAGTTCTTCTTCAAAAGTGAATTCAAGGGGCTTTTTAGAGAAGGGTGGTTCTGATGAAGATTCTGAGGCAGGATCAGCAGAGGATGCTAGTGGTTCAGAGGGGTTAGATTCGACAGATTTAACAGATTCAACGGATTCTACAGATTCAACGGATTCGACCGATTCAACAGAATCAACCTGGGAAGAAACCTCCTTATCTTGAATAAAATCTGAAGCCACGGTTGAAGCCAAAGTTTCCTGTAGTAATGTCTCAGACTTTTCATCTTCAGCACCATTTTGAAAGATACGATCGATAACCTTAACGACTTGAGGCTCGACATTTTGATGATAGACTTGAGAAACTCTAGGCGACACGTGGCCAACCACGACTATTGTCCATGCACGCTTAATTTGGTCGAGAGAATAATTTGCAGCAGTTTTCAAATGTTTTATGGCAGCAGGGATTAAAGTAGACTGGGCATGGGCAAGGCCAGTATTGGCATGTTTAATTCCTGGTTGTAAGACCAAAGCGTGAAGTTTATCGTAGGCAATTGCGGAATTTTTATGGAATGATTTACAAAGAGGATCAAGTTTTTCCTTGGCAGAGTTGATTTTAGGCTCAACATTGGTTGTATACCAATTGGAGGCGACTTGAATGTGTGGAGTGACATGATGGGTATAGAGATCGGAAACTTTTGAAGTATAGGGCTCAATGAGTGGAACAATGCGAGTCTGGTACTGAGACTCGAGGGCAATTTTTGCAGTGGTTGCGTGGGGCTGGATGGTGGCGACTAGGGCATCGACGTGAGGTTTAGCATGAGCTGAGTAGTATTGCTGTGCAGGTTGAATGTATGGTTCAAGGACCGGAGTCAATGCAGTATAAGCAGATCTGATTGGGACGCAAAGAGCTGGGTCTGATGAGCTTGTAGGTTTTTTACAACGCCAAATGGCCAAAAAGGCTGTATAATAGATGAAGATTCTTTAGGAAGATAATGAGTTAGTTAGTTAGATAGATAGATAGATAGATAGATAGATAGATAGATAGATAGATAGATAGATAGATAGATAGATAGATAGATAGATAGATAGATAGTTAGGTAAGTAGTTAAAAAAAACATACTTGAAGATTAAGGATGTGATTCTACATGAGAATGTACGATTAGCGCAGCATAATGATGATGATGATGACTTTTTAACTGATGTTCCGGAGGCCTGTTTTGCCTGTTGTTGTTGTTGTAGTTGTTGTTTCTGCTGAGGTTTCTGACGGGTCTTTGGTGGTCGGGACATTTTTTTTTTTTATTTTTTTTTTGGTGGTGGATGTGATGTGATAATAGTAAATGATTTGATTTTTAAAAAGGTTAGTAGTGGTGGTGAAAAAAAAAAAAAAAAAAAATTCTTCTGTGTGTGTGTGTGTGTGTGTGTGAGTTTGTGTGTATTGTTTAGGTGGGTGGCAAGGCGAAGGCGGCAGTGGAATTTTTTTAATTATTTTTTTTTTTAGTTTTAGTTTGACGCCTTGTAAAGTTACCCTGTCTTTCATTAATTTTATTAATTTATTAATTTAATTTATTATTATTAATTTATAATAATTATTATTTTATTAAGATAATTTAGTTTTATTGTTTGCTTTTTGCTTAAAAGTTGGGTAAGTTAGGTGGCTGTTTGTTTGTTTGTTTGTCTAGCTGGCTGGCTGGCTGGCTGGCTGGCTGATAACAAAAAAAAGTTGCAAAAAGAATTTCAACACCCAAACAAACAACTTTTTTTTTTTTTTTTTTCTTCTTCTTCTTCTTCTTCTTCTTCTTCTTCTTTTATATATATATTTATAAAAATATTAAAACATTTAAAATAAAAATAACAACAACCTCCTTCTTTTACAAAAAAATAAAAATAAAAAAAACTCTGTCTTCTTAAAAATGAGCTCTCACGATATTGTCATGGCAGATGCTTCTTCTTCTTCTTCTACAGGTCTTTCTAATTCTGACATTGATATGGCTGAAGATGATCCAAAACAACAACAACAACAACAAACTACTACTACTACTACTACTACTACTACTTCTAATACTACATCTACTACAACCCCTGTGTCGGCTTACTTATCAAACCCAGCACGATATTACCTCAGTGATGCACTGGTGGATTCTCGTGCAATTGCAGACGTTGACGCGTGGATTGCTCAACTGCACCGATGCGAACCATTACCAGAAGCAACCATCCGAACCATGTGTGATCTTGCGCGTGAAGTGGTGGCCGAAGAATCAAATGTACGACCTGTAGCATGTCCCGTGACAGTGTGCGGCGACATCCATGGGCAATTCCATGACTTAGAAGAACTATTTCGCATTGGTGGCGCATGTCCAGATACAAATTACTTATTTATGGGAGATTATGTGGACCGTGGATACTACTCTGTAGAAACAGTATCACTACTAGTAGCCCTCAAAATTAGATACCCGGCCCGTATCACCATTCTAAGAGGGAACCATGAATCCCGACAAATTACACAGGTATATGGATTCTACGATGAGTGTTTGCGCAAATATGGAACTGCAAATGTATGGAAAATGTTTACAGACTTGTTTGATTACTTACCACTCACAGCCCTCATTGAGGGACAAGTCTTTTGTTTACATGGTGGATTATCTCCTGCCATTGATAAACTAGACGATATCCGGGCATTGGACCGGGTACAAGAAGTCCCCCATGAAGGTCCCATGTGTGATTTACTATGGTCTGACCCAGATGACCGATGTGGGTGGGGGATATCTCCGCGTGGAGCAGGATATACATTTGGTCAAGATATTAGTGCTAACTTTAATCATGTGAATGGACTTTCATTAGTGGCCAGAGCACACCAGTTGGTGATGGAGGGGTTCCAGTGGTCTCAAGAAAACCAAGTGATTACAATCTTTAGTGCTCCTAATTATTGTTATCGATGTGGTAACCAGGCAGCTATCATGGAGATTGATGATCGAATGGAGCTACGTCATTTGATTCAATTTGACCCGAGCCCGCGTGCAGGCGAACCATCCGTCACTAGGAGAACCCCAGATTATTTTCTTTAAAATTTTTTATTTTTTTATTTTTTTATTTTTTTATTTTTTTATTTTTTTATTTTTATTTTTATTTTTATTCTTTCTTTCTTTTTTTATTCTTTCTTTAATTCTACTTTCTATCTTTCCTATATTTTAATCAATCAAATGCAACGTACTTGAGAAGATGAGGAGGAAGCTCATTGTAGAGGTTCTTGGACTTAAGCCAGGATTCAGAAAACAACCGCTCAGCATAACGATCGGCACCATCACAAAGCAGTGTCACAATGGTAGATTCGGGTCCCAATTTCTTGGCCAAGTCATAGGCAGCCACCACGTTAAGACAAGAAGAAGCACCTAGGAATAAGCCTTCCTCATCAAGTAAACGATAAACCATACGAATGGTATCAGCATCAGGAATATGCAATGCACCATCAATGATTTCCAAGTCAGGCTTAAGGTTATCTGTGACTCTACCTTGACCAATGCCTTCTGTAATGGACCCATCACCAGTACGCTCAAGTTTCCCAGAGTTGATGTATGAATAAAGTACAGAACCTGGGGGGTCTGCTAGCCATGCCTGGACTTTACCATTGGAAATGTCCTTAAGGTATCGCGAGGTGCCTGCAAATGAACCACCAGTACCTGTTGCGCAAGTAAAAGCAGTCACGGTGCCATCAGTTTGAGCCCAAATCTCAGGGCCTGTTGTTTCAATATGAGCCTGACGATTTGCAATATTATCGAACTGGTTAGTCCAGACGGCATTATCAAGAGACTCAGCATGACGACGTGCTTGATGGTTATAGTTATTAGGGTCTGCGAGAGGAACTGCAGGGACTGGGTGGACTTCAGCACCGAGAAGTTTAAGATGGGAGATTTTAGCAGGTGATTGGGTATTGGGCATATAGATGACGCAATTGTAACCTCTGGCACGACACACATGGGCTAGACCAATACCTGTATTTCCTGCAGTTCCTTCAACAATAGTTCCTCCAGGTTTGATAAGACCTCTTTTCTCTGCATCTTGGATGATATAGAGAGCAGCACGATCTTTGACGGAACCTCCTGGGTTAAGGAATTCAGCTTTACCATAAATATTTGCACCTGTTTCCTTTGAGAGTGAGTTGAGACGTAGTAGTGGGGTATTTCCAACGGCACCGACAAAGCCGGTTTCTGAGACAAGTGGGACAAAGGGGATAGAAGAGCCTGCACGAGAGGACAGTGCTCGGGTAGTCCTTAGCAAGCCTTTTGATCTTTGGAATGATCTTGCAAGCATGTTGGTTGGTTGGTTGGGTGGGTTGGTGGAAAAAAAAAAAAGAGATGGAAAGGTGAGGGTTTTTTTTTATTTTTTTTTTAAATGGGGGAGGGCAAAAAAAAATAAAAAAAAAAAAAAAAAAAAAAAAGGTTTTGTCACGTAAAAAAAAAAAAAAAAGGGACAACAACAGTAGGAGGAGCGGCTTTCGGGTATATGTGATTGTGACTCTTTTTTTTTTTTTTTTTTTTTTTTTTTTTTTTTTGGATGGAGGAGGAGAGAAGAGTGTTACTGTCATAATAATTTGGGTTCCGGCGGTACTTGAACCGAGAAAGAAAGAAAGAAAGAAAGAAGGAAAGACCGGACGGGTTCCGTGGCCTCAACTTTATGTGAGTGAGTGTTTGTGTTTGTGTGGGTATGGACATATAAATATAAATAAAAAAAATAAAAAGACAGCCTCAAGTTGACCTTTTTGAGGAAACCTTAAAACTTTTTATTAATTTTTTAAAAAAAAAAAAAAAAAAAAAAAAAAAAAAAACGTCTTTTTATAATTATTGACACTACCACCAACCAACCAACCAACCAACCAACCAACCAACCAGCACATTCAAATGTTATTTGTTTCTACAGATTCTCTCGATGGCTTTTCTTTAAGTCTTTCCAGTAGCAATAGCAGCAGTCCATCTTCTTCTTCTTCTTCTAAACCAGGTACTTTAACTTTATACCTATCTCCAACAACATCTACTTCTTCTACTTTAGGTTCTCTCATCTATGCGTTACCAAATTCCCTTTCTACACCACTTTTTTCTGATGAATCTTCCATTGATCTAGCTACTAGAATTGCATCTACTTTGGCAACTAAATTTAAACGTCCTGTTATTGTAGGATCTAGTATACCTTCAAGAGCAGATCCTACAGGGTCACTAATATCGCGGGTTATTTTTTATGTCCAACAACAACAACAACAACAACAACAACAACAGCAACAATAGTAGTAGTGGTAGTATATAGTAGTAGAAGTATCAAAAGTAGGAGTTACTTTTAATACTTATTATTAAAAGTATTAGAAGTAAGTACAACAGCCGTAATTGCGTCTCCCCCTTTTATTAAAGAAAGAAAGAAAGAAAGAAAGAAAGAAAGAAAGAAAGAAAGAAAGAAAGAAAGAAAGAAAGAAAGAAAGAAAGAAAGAAAGAAAGAAAGAAAGAAAGAAAGAAAGAAAGAAAAAAAGCTGCATTTGCTGCGTGTCATCACCACCAACACCAACACCGACACCGACACCAACACCAACACCAACACCAACACCAACATCATCACCACCACTGGTCAGCTTCTTTTTTTTTTTTTTTTTTTTAAGAGAAAGTACCAAGTTACTGTTGCTGTTGTTATTGTTGTTATTGTTGCTGTTGCTTTAAACGCTATTTTAGTGTTTAAAGTAAAAAAGAAATAAGAAATAAGAAATAAAAAAAAGAAGAAGTTTGTTTGTTTGTTTTGTTATTAAAAAAAAATAATTTTAATACAAAGGAAAATAATTATTTCAATCTATATATATTGTATAAATGTAAATGTAAAAATATTATTATAATTATAATTAAAATATATTATTTAATTGTATTTAATTAAAAATAATTAAAAATAATTTAATTTATTTTTATTTATTTTGAAAAAAAAAAAAAAAAACACGAAAATAATTTTTTTTTTTTTTTTTTTTTTCAATTCTTCTTTTTTTTTTTTTTTTTTTTTTTTTTTTTTTTTTTTTTTTTTTTTTTTTTTTTTTTTTTTTTTTTTTTAACAAATTATTCATTAATTTAATCATTTAATCGTTTAATCATTCATTCATTTATTCATTCATTTATTTAATTATATCAAATGCTGCTCTTGTTTCTCTTTTAAATTCTCACCAAAAGTTTAAAATTTCTTTGCTTCATCACTACGCACCAATAATAATAACAAATAAACAAAATAAACAAAATAAAATAAAAAACAAACTTTCAATACTCACATGGAACGTCCATCTGCCCCGCTGCTAAACCCGCAACTCCTTTCAACACATAATATTAACATTAACAGTAACAGTATCAATAAAATTAACATTAACAGTAATAGTAACAATTCAATTCAATCAATTCAATCAATTCAATCAATTCAATCAATTCAATCACTTCCAGATCATCTCTTACAAACTCTTGCTACGTTTCTTCATCCAAATGATACAAAAGCTCTTGCCCAGTCTTGTTCGACTCTTCGCAAAGCTCTTCGTTACTCCCATTGGCATCGCGTTCTTATAGTCCCAAACTCTCATAAATCTCATAAAAAATCTAACAGATCTAACAGATCTAACAAATCTCATAACAACTTAAATAATAACAACTCTTATACAGACTCTCCACTACCAAAAGCCCCACTAAAAGCACTCTTAAAACCTTACAAATACTCTTGGTTCCCAGCTCATAAAGTCTCAATAATCTCCATAGCCCCAGCAATCGTCGACACTGAACATCGTAGAGCTCAACTGGCCACTTGGAGATTCGACCGTAGATACTATGGACGTCTTAGAGCCATTCTACTCGACCTTACTCCAGGACTTCACAACTATGATGGTCTACGCGAGTCTCGTTTCTACTCATCTCTCCAGCCGTACCTTCAAATCTCAATCAGACACTATACCTATTTATCATCATCATCATCGTCATCATCTTCTTCTTCTTATTCTTCTTCACCTTCGTCACTATCATCCCTATCATCCCTATCTAACCCGGTATTTCATATGCTCAGGAAAAATAGACCAAGACAAGAATTCTTTTATGACCTTAGAGAATCTGTCACAGCTTTAGACCTCTACTGTTTCCTCCCCAAATCTCGAGATCATGTTCAAACCCCTCCAGGCCTTGCTCTTCTTGCAAAACACCACGCTGACCTTCCGAGCCTCCGTACCCTCGTAATTCTAGTCGACTTTGCCCTTCCTGACCTTCCTGCATTTAATTCCTCTTCCTCCTCTTCATCATCCTCCCAACATCCTTCATCATCATCCTCATCTACAATCCTTTGCATAAATTCAGCTTTCCGCTCACTTGCTGATATCCCAGCAACTACCCTCCGTACTTGTGTCGTTAGATTCCGTTATGTCCCTCACGCATTTGTTTTACCACCAACATCCCCAGCTATCGAATGCCTCTCCGCTGCATCACACTTTATACCTAATTCATCCTCTTCATCCTCATCACCATCCCCCATGGCTGACAAATTTGCCATTCCTGTTGTCACAGACCTTGAATGCCACGCAGGCCCAGCCCCTGCTGCCCGTGGTCATTGTGTAGATCTCCCCACTCTTCTCGCAGTCTTTTCTTTCCCTCGAGCCCGTATTCTGACACATAACGAACTGGGCCTAGCCCCCTGTGTTTTCCATCGTGCCTTTGGTGGCCGTGCTGCTCTACCACGCCTTGTTCTTCTCGAACTTCGTATCGACTCTCTTGTCACCGCCGCAGTTGCAGCCACTGGTGATGACGATATGGCTGAGTTTTTCCGCAGATTTCGCCGTAGCTTGGCTCTTCACAGACCTAAACGGATCCTCGTGTGTCTTCACTTACAACAACACTTTCTCTACCGCCAGAAAATTGCTCCTTTTCTACGAATTGTTCGTAAAGATTACCTCGACCACCCAAAACCACTCCCAACAGATTCCCAGGGGAACTTGAATAGCCCATCACAAAATTATGACCAGCAACCTAAACTTTCTGCTAGAGTCATGGAGGCCCTTGTTGATTCCGTAGGCCAATCTCTTCAGACTTCTTCGCCTTCTGCTATTAACCCTGTTGTTGAGCTTTTGGGTTTATTAGCAGAACCTCAGCCTGTACGCATTTTTGATTTCCAGCACCACTTGAGTCTCTGTGTCAACGAAGCATACTTACTTCTTGCTCATGTTTTTTTCGAGGCTGTTCTTTACCATGCTTGTTTCCTTGATTCTTTAGAGTATCTCCAGATTTCTTCTGCCGGAAAATTTTTCCCAGTCTCCCATTGTCTCCAACGCTTAGTATCTAGTGTTTCTGGTCTTCGTCAGATTTTCATTGCAACAAAACTACCGCCCACATGGGCCCCCCATGCACACAAACGCAAAGCTCTTAAACGTGTACTTCGCGCTTTGCCAATTGCGTCTTATACTCACCATGTGATTTTTGATCCCCCCCGAATCGATCTTGATGCACAACCCCCGCCGCTACCTCAGCAGCAGCAACGACAGCAGCAACCTCTCAATTCACAATATACAAATGGTTCTTCTGTAAATAACCCAGAAACAAACAACAACAACAATACTTTAACATCATCGGGATACCCTGTCCGAACTCATGCAAGACTCCACTCTATTGTAGACCTTGTTCACAGAAAACCTTTCCACAACCAGCTTGATGCCATGTATCTTGCTGACAATGATAATGATAATGACGACAATTACAATGATGACAATCACAATGATGACAATGACAATGACAACGACAATTACAATTACAATGATAATGATAACAACAACCCGAACTACAACCAACCGGCATTACTACATGACCCTGCCTTTTGCGAGGATGCAATTCGGCAGATTGATTTTGCTGGCTGGCTTTGATTGATATTTTTTTCTCTCTCTCTTTTTTTTTTTTTCAATTTTATTTTTTTTTATTTTTATTTTATTTTTTGTAGATTGACCTTTTTAGATTTTTTTTTGCATTTCTTCCATTTTTTTTTTTTTTTTCAAAAAGTCCCACTTGCCCCACGTTTAGCCTTATAGACATAAATATATAGACATTAATTAATAATATTATTACTAATGATGATAATAATAAAAATTGGTTTTGTTTATCCAATAGAAATTTGCACTTAAATTTTTTTTTAACTTCAATTAAATCTGCAAAAATCTTTGAATCTGCCACTTTTAAAAAAATAATTAAATTAAGTTAAGTAAAATTAAATTAAATTAAATTAAATTAAATTAAATTAAATTAAATTAAATTAAATTAAACCCTAACCCACACTCATCTCATCTCATCTCATCTCATCTCATCTCATCTCATCTCATCTCATCTCATATCAACTTATAAAGGGCCGAGTGGGCCGACGCCGCCGGGGCTTACGTACCCACGTCTCGGTCCATTCCCTGGTATCGGGTCCTCTGTCAACACCAATACCAATTTCATCTTCTTTTTGTTCTTGTTCATCTTCTTGTTCATCTTCTTGTTCATCTTCTTGTTCATCTTCTTGTTCATCTTCTTGTTCATCTTCTTGTTCATCTTCTTGTTCATCTTCTTGTTCATCTTCTTGTTCATCTTCTTGTTCATCTTCTTGTTCATCTTCTTGTTCATCTTCTTGTTCATCTTCTTGTTCATCTTCTTGTTCATCTTCTTGTTCATCTTCTTGTTCATCTTCTTGTTCATCTTCTTGTTCATCTTCTTGTTCATCTTTTTGTTCATCTTTTTGTTCATCTTTTTGTTCATCTTTTTGTTCATCTTTTTGTTCATCTTTTTGTTCATCTTTTTGTTCATCTTCTTGTTCTTGTTCTTGTTCTTGCTCTTCTCCTACAACAACAACATCCTCCATCACGGTATCTGACTCGGCACCTTCATCACCACCCTGCTCCTCTCCCAAATCACCCGATCTGCCATTGCCACCTTCATCCCTGCCTTCTTCATCCTCAGCTTCGTGACCGTGACCGTGACCGTGACCGTGACCGTGACCGTCATCGGTACCAGCACCAGCACCAGCACCGACTCTGACCCCTCCCTTACCAACATCCTCACCCTCTTCTTTTTCTTCGTTTTCTTCTTCTTCTTCTTCTCCCTCAGTCCCAACTTCCTCCGGGTCTTCCTCCGGGTCTTCCTCATAATCTCCATCACTCTCATTATTCCCCTCTTCATACTCATCCTCAACATCCTCTCCAAACGTTACCCCACCATTATAAGGCACCCACACAAGCCGCCCAGGATCTACCCGTAATGGGCCTGCGTCTCGACACGCCCGGACCCCAGACATTTGTCCGCGCCCATGGACCTGCTCCCACTCTGTAATTGTAGCCTCTACAATATCCCTCACAACTCTCAAGGCAAACTGCCGTCGACTCTGCAGTTCCTGCTGCCGGACTCCATGCCGAAACTGCTTCCGCTGATTCTGCTGATGTAGATGCTGATGCTGATGTCTTCGCAATCCTAAACCTGACCGAGTCGCCCGACTACCATAACCACCTCTCCCTCTTCGAAACTTCCTTCGCCCATCAATTCCTTCCTCAGACTCTGAAACACCCACAAAACACTCTCCAGTGTCCCGGTCTCGGTCTCGGTCACGATCACGGTCTTCGTCTTCATATCCCCTCCTGTTGTCCTCCATAGAACCCAACCCTTCTCCACTCACTACACCTTCCTCAACCTTCTCGTCCTCGAAGCTCCAATTGCTAACCTCATTGTCCTGATCATCGTCCTCCTCCTCTTCCTTCTCATCATCTTCTTCTCCTTCCTCTCCCTCCTCAGTATCCGCCCACACTAAAAACCCAAGCCGCTCAAGCGCATATACAACATCCCCAGCTGCCATCCCTGTGCTCAGAGACAACCGTGTAATAGATACCCCAGTATCACCAGCCGTCATGGCCTCCTGCAGCGAATAACACACAGCCGCCGACCAATACCGCCGGTACGCCGCGCGCCCGCTTGCAGACAACGGCTTCTCCGGCGTTCCTGGAACACCCTCTACCCGCGACAGCAGGTACGAAAACTCAATCAAAAATGATCCCAACCCACACTGCTGAGCCAATGGGAATGTCAGAATGCAAGACAAGTTATAATGCGGTCCCCTCCGTCTTTGTTTTTCCTTGGAAAAATACGCACCAAACTTGGGAGCAGAATTGTCTTCATCATCTCTCACAACAAGCACGTAGAACAAAAACTGGCCAACCACGCATCGCGACTTGGACCCAAGGAAAAGTTTTGCAAGCAAACACAAATCCATACAATATACCGGCTCCTGCGCACCGTCCACCTCGTACACTGAAACCTGTCCACGTCGGTATACCTCGCATCCAGGCGGAGGTTTCGCGCACTTGAGTGCATGGCGGCGCGCCTGCGCACCCTCTGGCATGTACTTGAAGCAATACGGACACACATGGATGTCGTGGGCTGCTGCTGCTGCTGCTGCACCTGTACCTGCTGCACCTGTACCTGCTGCACCTGCATCAGCTGCTTCTGCGGCGGCGGCTGTAGACCACATCTCTGGGCCACGAGGGTACGTCATTGGGTGCCACGGCGCCAGCGCGTAGTCCCCGAATCTTACCATTCCTCCCGTAGTCAGCGTTGACAGTGGTAATGGTCTATTTGTGCGTTCTTGGTCAATTGTTACAGCAGCCCGTGCCCGCGCAGCCTCAAAGTCTCGTAAATCGCTTGGCATTGGCGCTGTCCGTGATGTGTCTGCAGCCCGAAGAGATAGTAGCCCTCGAAACGGGACCCGGTTGTAGCCGTAATGTGTAGGGAAAGGTGGTGGTGACGGCGGAAGTTGTAATGCTGAAGTGATTCGTGAGTCTTTATGAACAGGCTCTGGCGATGGCGGTTCCCTTTTTAAATCAGGTCCAGACAGTGTAGTTTGGGTGAGTAATTTATCTGGCTCTTGTTGTTGCAAAGTGGTAGCAGAAACAGACTCTTGCTCTTCAGGCTCTTCATGCTCCACAGGATCCACAGGATCCACAGGATCCACAGACTTCACAGAATCCACAGAATCCACAGAATCCACAGACTTCACAGAATCCACAGGATCCGCAGGCTCCTCAAGATCTGCAGGATCCGCAGTGTGCTCTGAAGTATCGTCTTCATACAGAAACGGTGTTGATGCAGATGAAAACCTGGTGCGGTCCACAGGTTGTGAAATTAAAGGCTTTTCTGGTGTCTGCATCCAATGTTCCCACGGAAGTTCGCCAATGGCCATCAACTCGCGGGCTGTTTGTGACACAACATGTAAGTTCTCCAAATAATCATTTTGTAATGGGTCATGTACATGACTCATCTGTTCCTGTTTGAGATGTAGATTTGGCTCCTGGATCAGTTCTTGTTTATGCTCAACTTCAGATTCCTGCTTGACCTCTAGTCCTTGATCTGACTCTTGATATTTCGTAGATTCGGACACAGAAGCTGGAGTAACAGATATAGCACAAACCCTAACAGTCATTTGGGGTTCCAACTGTGTTTGAGCTATTGGTTCCACATGTATGCCAGTATGCAACGGCTCTTCCGAGTCCTCTTTCTTGATCTTGACTTCAGAGTGTTTCTCCATTTTAAAAGTCCAACTGGATTCAACATCTTCTTTCTTAATCACAGTGGTATTCTTATTCCCCTCACTATTCTTCTTAGTCTTCTTCTTTATCTTCTCCCTATTCACAGGCACATTTTCTTCAGTCTTGATGCGCACCGTAGGCACGGCTTGTGTTGTGGGAGGCACCAACATAGACAATGGCTGTTGAACAACTGCAAGAGCATTCTGATCTACAGAATCCTCTTCTTCCTCTTCCTCTTGCTTGATTGGTATAGAATCAGATTCTTCCATTGCTTGGCTGGCTGCCTTATCAACCGCCCCAAACAATACAGACTCGAAATCGTTACTCTCTTCACCTTTATCACTAACACAACTCTCAAATTCCTTCTCATTATCAATTTCTTTAGTCACAGATTTACTCTTCATTAAAATATTCTTGGCTTTGGTATTTATATGTGCTGTTTTGTTGTTGATTGGCCGAATGCTTGGCTCTTCATCAAGGTTAATAACATGCACGTCCGGCGTGCTTCGTCTCACCCCAAACCCTGGATTACTTCCTATCACAATAAGTTGATCTGGTATTGGTACTGGGATCGATGTTTTCAAACTCACTGATGTTGCAACTTGGGCTGGCGACTGAACTGGGATCAAAGAAGGAGGGGTTGTCGTATAAACTTGCTGAGTAGATTTGCCCTGACTGGTTGATTTAAAAGTCCGTTTTTCTGATCCTCCACTTTTCTCTTCACTATCCCGCACTCTTTTTCTACCATGCCAAGTCATTGCACCTACTTCTTCAGGTCTTTTCAACCGACCAAACCCAGCTGTCTCAGGTGTAGTTCCTCGGTGACTGGTATTTCTGTTTATCCCACCACGAGACCCATCCGTTAAATCTTCCCCCTGGAACCCATCAAACCCTTGCCGCCTCGATAGATTACTAAAACGACGACTGCGATGAGAACCAGAAGGTGTCTGTAAAGATGACGAAGCTGCAAATAAAGATGACTGAGATTGTAGAGACTGGGGCTGGGACTGTAGAGACTGTAAGGACTGGGGTTGAGGGTCTTTACTAAGATTTAATCGTCGTACCAGAAATTCTCCACTCTTCTGGTTGACTACTGGGCCTCTCGGTGGCACTGTACCGGTGGTTGCAAATTCTCCAAAGTTAGAAGAAGTGTTGTTATGTTTGCTGGAAGAAGCCGCTATTGTTTCACCCACAAAATGACATTCTCGAGACTTATTGTTGCTGTTGTTGTTGTTGTTGTTGTCCGCAGAACTGCTACTGTTGCTGCTATAGCCCAACTGGCCATGGTTATCATAAAGATTGGCATTCCTCTGCGATCCCCGAAACCTATTTGAAAGAGGAAGTTGTTTTTTTTTGTGCTTGGACATTTGTTAGTTTCTTTGATTTTTGGTTTTTGGTTTTTGGTTTTTGGCTATATTTTTATGTGTGATGTCAGGTTGAAACTTTTTTTTTATTTATTTTTTTTTTTTAGAAAGAGGGAGGTGTAAAAAAAAAAAAAAAAAAAAAAAAACCGCCATTTCTATTAACCTTTAATTTTCAAACATCCAACTTTACAATAATAATAAACTCTACTAATACTAATACTATTACTATTTTACCATGGGAGTAAGTCTGAATTTTTTTTTTTTTTTTTTTTTTTTTACAAATGATTCAAGTATTGGTCTAACTATAATCCATATTAGAACGATGGTGGCTCGATTCCAACACGACGTGAACTTGTCAAGCCAGGCGACAAGGGGCCTTCCACAGCAGATCTATTTCAGTCCAAAACACTAAACCATGAGTACTTATGGACAGTATGTGCTTTAAGTGATGCACCACTTGGGCCAGATGGAGTAATGTGTGATTCTAAAGGTCGATTATACAGTAAGAAGGCTGTTTTAGAGTATCTTCTTGATCAAAAGAATCATAGTGACGACCAACTTAATAATGTTGACAATAAAAATAAAAATAACAACAACAACAGCCGCTCTACAATCACGTCTCTTAAAGACGTAGTCGAACTACACATGGGGAAAAGTACAAATCCCAACGACTGGATATGCCCAGCTACCCAGAAACGCGTTGTGGCCGAGGCCAGTGGAACCCGGTTCGTGGCAATTATTCCATGCGGGCACGTGTTTGCAGAAAGTGCAGTACAAGAATTAGGGCTTGAAAAGTGTCTTGTATGCGATGGGCCAGTGGATAAGCAAGTTGGGCTAGTTGTTCTCAACGATGGTTCCGAAGAAAATGCAGCGCGGGTTGCACTGCTCGAAGCTCGTGGGCTTGCACATAATCTTAAGCCATTGAAGAAGGAAAAGAAGAAAAAAAAGACGATGAAAAAAATAAAAAAGAACAACGAGCAGATGGAAGCTGTCAAGGATAGTGGAAGAGTTCACAAGAGTAAGAAATAATACCCAAGGGTAGTAGTAGGTAGAATAGAGGAGGGGGAGTTATATTATGTACAAAATGATGATATTTATAAAACAGACCAAATGAAAATGAATATGAATATGAATATGAATATGAATATGAATATGAATATGAATATGAAAATGAAAAAAAAAATTGAAATAAGAAATGAAAGAAAGGGGAGAGGAAGAAGAAGAGGGAAAAAAATAGAATAAACCAGTTTAATTCTTATTCTGTTCCTGCTCAGCAAGACTAGCCAAAGCCTCACGAGCAATGTCAGCCTCGACCTGAGACGGCAGAGCATTTGCGTGAAGACCAGGTGGAGGCTGTGTGGCGACTGCAAGAGCAGCAGCATCTGCAATCTGGCCATTTTCGATTTGTTCTTGTTCCTCAGCAAGTTCAGCCAGACGTTTCTGGAGAGCGCTATCACGGTTGGCCCAAAGGGTTCGGCCAAGACCAATAGTTAACCAGCCTAAATTTAGAGAAAGAGAGTGGGTTAGTTATTAAGTTGATTGATGGATAAGAATGGAAAGTATATATATATATATATACCTGAGAAACCAATGATGCCGATAACTGTGAGACGGTGAATAACGTCAGTTGCTTGGACGTACCAGGGTCTTCCGTAAGCCATTGTAAATGAGGGTATTTAAAAAAAAAGTTATGTAGTGGTTGTAGTGGTTGTAGTGGTTGTAGTGGTTGTAGTGGTTAGTTGTGGTGATGGTGATGATGATGGTTGGTTGTGTGTGGGATTATTAATTTTTGGTGGTGGTGGTGGTGGTGAAGGAAAAAAAAAAAAAAAAAAAAAAAATAAAGAAGTGGAAAGTTTTTTTTTATTATTTGTGGTGGCCAAACAAAAAAAATTTTTTTTTAAGCGGCGGTCGGGAATTTGCCAAAAAAAAACGGCCTTTGAGAAAGTCAATTTCAAAATATTAATTTTGAAATGTATATTTCAAATAATATGGATTAAAAACATATGTTTCAAATTATAAGTATTGAAATGTAAACATTACAACATATACATATACGGCTAAACCATAATCTTATGTAATAATCTTGTATCTATAATATATATATTAACTAATTGTTGTAAAGATAATCTCTGACCAAATAAGTTGGACTCATTTCAAACAAAATAACCTACATTTTAAAGATCTTCATCAATAAACTACTCGATTCATAAAAAAATATATATTAACTATTATTTACTATCATTAATATATTAGTATAAACTACTACCTCTAAATCATCTCAACACTTAACCCTTCACTTGTCGTACCATGAACACTCAAACTCTCCACATCTACATTCGAGTCCCCACGCGTTGTTGTATTGGAAAACCTCACAACAAGATACCGCACATGAACACCGCCTCGAGCAAATCTTAACCGCAAGTGTCGATGAAGACCACAGGGACCATCTGAATTCCCAGGAATTGCAGCTAAAGCAAGTGGTCTCAGTTCGCCTGACGACGCCAGCGTGTCAGGGAGTGATGTTGGGATCACGTATGAGTAGGGAGAGCAATTAAGAGAATTTGAATGACCACATAAGTTTGAATCATCATCTTCTTCAGTATAAGATAATTTTTTAGGAGCAACATCAAGTTCTTGGGCAAAAGTTGTTGGGTTGCATTTGTATTTAGGAGTACACAAGTGATAATGTACAGGGATTATGTGGTTGTGTAAAGATTCCGGGGTTTGTTGTTGTTGTTGTTGTTGTTGTTGTTGTTGTTGTTGTTGTTGTTGTTGTTGTTGTTGTTGTAGTAATTCACTTGCGAAAAGCTCACGAGTAGCTACAGCGTCGTATTCGCATTCACCGGCAAATAATGGGGCCACGGGGGAATTTGCGATATATTCATCTGCACGTTTAATGAGATCTGGTGAATAGAAAACAGCACCAAAAATGGCCACAGATTGGACTGGAGAGGTATAATTATTTTGAGGAGGGGCCACGAGGTTAATTTCAGTAACCATGGGCATGGGTGAAAAGAATGGAAATGGAGAAGATCCAGGGAAAGGTGCTACAGTGGAGGTACCTGCTAGGGAAAGTACGACACTGCAGTGATTTCGTCGAGCACAATAGACGTTATCATAACGAGAAAGTAGGTTATGTACTGCGTAAGCCTCACCATGGTCACCTCCATTATAAGCAACGACTTTTAAAGGTAGCAGAGATTCGATGGATGCTGGAGTTGATAAAGAAGAAGATAAAGATGTAGAAGATGTAGAAAAGGTAGAAGAAGAAGAAGAAAAGGATGACTGGTTGATAAAGGAAGAGGATCTTGAGACGGATGAAAAAAAAGATGAAGTGTGAGAAATGTGTGCTGTTTTAGAAGAAGGTATATAAATGGTCATTTTGCCTACAAGTGAATCATTTAGTTAGATAAGAAAAGGGAAGAAAAAATGAGGGAAAAAATGAAAGATATTTATTTTTATTTAAATATATATATATATATATTTCCATTTATAGTCCTCTTTTTTTATTTCTTTTTTTTTTTTTTGTTTTTATCATATGATAGCGCGGTATTTTTCATTATTGGTATTTTGATTGATTTAAAAAGAACAATAATAATTAGGTCTTGTCCTCCTCGATTTAACACAATTGATAAGCGCTTTTGCGTAATTTCGGAAAAATTAGGAGAAATAGAGAGAGAGAGAGAGAGAGAGAGAGGCTTTATATATATATTATTTATTTATCCGAAAAGTTAACTTACCAGATAATTAACTATGAAGTAACTATAATTATAGTTACCTGTTGTTATATAAATGTAATTAAGTAATATTAACAACTTTAAAGTAACTAAATTAATTAACTTAATAACTATATGAACTTTTTTTTTCTTCTTTTTCTTTTTCATTTTCATTTTTTTTCAAATATCTCCAAAAATCACTTCTTTTATATCTTTTTTAAAAAAAAAAAAATGGCCTAACCGGTAAGGTTGAATGAAATCTTTAAAATGATACCAAAAAACCAAAAAAAAAAAAAAAAAAAAAAAAAACTTTAAGGTCATATATAAATAAATAATTGAATCATCTCATCTCGTCTCGTATTTTAAAAAAAAATAAAATAAAATAATTTAATTTAATGCTTTATTGTTTTTTATATTTAACCCTGTTTAAAACCCGCGTCCCGTAAGCCCCGAGTACCGTCATCCGGGTAACTTATTAATAAATTAAAAATAAAATTGATTTTTTTTCTTTCTTTCTTTGTTTACATTTCTTACATAATCTTTTTCTAATCACGTGATCATTAATATATATATTTTTATTTATTTATTTTTTTTTTATTTATTTATTTATTTATTTATTTTTTTTTTTTTTTTTTGCCACACACACACACACACACACACACACACACTGCCACCACTAAAAAATTTCTTCTTTTTTTAATTTTTAATTTTTTTTTTTTTCCCTTCCCAACAACTTTTTTTTTTATTTTTTTTTATAATTTTTATAATTTTTTTTTCTTTCCTTATTGCCTCCTTCATTCATTCTTTCATTCTTTTTTTTTTTTTTTTTCTTTTAAAATTTATTAATATAAAAAAAATATAATTTAACAAAAAAAGAAGAACTTTTTTTTTACACATCCATAACAATGGCTGAACCAATCAAAAATAAACGCTTGAACGACCTCACGGGCGCTCCAACCCCTCAAAACACACCAGCTACTGCTGCTTCTTCTTTCATCTCAAGAGCAGCAGATGCTAAACCTTCTGTTTCTACCATTGCTGAAGAAGATGGTGCAAGTGGTGCTGCTGCTGCTGTGGCTGCTGCTGCCGCTGCTAACCCTGCTGCTAACCTCTCTCTTCTTAATATGATTCAAGGTCGTCTCTCTGGACTTATTAACGCCCCCTCTGGTTACCTCGAGACTCTTCCATCTGCTGTTAAGGCCCGTGTAAATGGTCTGCGTGCAGTTCAATCAGAACATGATAAGCTTGAGGCCAAATTCCAGGAAGAACTTTTGGAACTTGAAAAGAAATACTTTGCTCTTTACTCTCCTCTCTATGCTAAGCGTGCTCAAATCATCTCTGGTACTCTTGAACCTACCACAGAAGAAATTGCCCAAGGTAAAAAGATTGCTGAAGAGCTTCAAGAAGAGTGGGATGAACAAGAAGGTACTTCTAAGCCTCGTCTTGAAGAAATTTCTGAAGAAGATGATGAAAAGAAGGATGATGAAGAAGATGATGAAGAAGATGAAGACGAAGATGAAGAAGATAAAGATGAAAAGGCTGTTGGTATTCCAAATTTCTGGCTTACTGCCCTTCGTACTCTCCCAGAAATTACTGAACTTATTACTGACCGTGATGCTGAGGCCCTTGGTTTCCTTAAGGATATTCGCATGAAGTACCTTGACCAGCCTGGGTTTGCTCTTGAGTTTGACTTTGAAGAAAACCCCTTCTTTTCAAACAAGACTCTTTCTAAAACATACTTTTACCAAGACGAGCCTGGTTATGGTGGAGACTACATTTACGATCATGCCACTGGTGACGATATTGCATGGAAGTCTTCTGAACAAAACCTGACAGTTAAGATTGAGAAGCGCAAGCAACGTAACAAGCACACCAAGGCCACCCGTACCATTGAGAAGAGTATTCCTGTTGAGTCTTTCTTCCACTTCTTTAGCCCCCCCACCCCACCTTCTATTGATGACGAAGATGAAGTCGACCGTGATGAGGATGAAGATGAGGAAATCGAGGCCAAGCTTGAGCTCGATTACCATATTGGTGAGGTCATTAAGGAGAAACTGATACCCCGCGCCATTGACTGGTTTACGGGTGAGGCTCTTCGGTACGAGGAGTATGATGATGAGGATGAGTATGGTGGTGAGTTTGATGATGATGAAGATGAAGATGAAGATGATGACGAGGATGATGATGATGATGATGTTCCCCGTGGTGGAGCAAAGAAGGATGAGGAATGCAAGCAATCTTAAGGAAGGAATGAAGGAAAGAAAGAAAGAAAGAAAGAAAGAAAGAAAGAAAGAAAGAAAGAAAGAAAGAAAGAAAGAATTGAATAATATTAATTGATTGAAAAAAAATGAAAAAAAATGAAATGAAATGAAATGAAAGGATTATAATGGACCTATTATTGGATAGGTTTTGTTTGCTTAACCTTTTTTTTGTTTTCAATTTTTAAAAGAAAAAAAAAATTTTTTTTTTAATATTTATATATATAAATAATCAATAATCATAATAATATATTTTTTTTTATTTTTTAAAATAATATTTATATTAATTTATTATTTAATTTATATATATATACAAAGTCTTTTATTTCTTTATTTATTTATTTATTTATTTATTTATTTATTTATTTATTTATTTATTTATCTAATTTTTTTTTTTGGGGGGGGTCTTAAATAATGTCGTTATTTAAAATCTTTGATTGAAAAAGGTTGGATCTCACCACGTGGAGTAAAAGGAAAAAGAGAAAAATTTTTAAAAAAAAAAAAAAAAAAGTGAAAATGAAAATGAAAAAGAAAAAGAAAAATGAAAATGAAAATGACAATTTGACATTTTGACAAAATATTTTTTTATATAACTAATTTATTATAAATTATAAATTATAAAAAAAAAAAAACAAATAATATTAATAATTAAATATAAAAATTAAAAAAAACTCCGACACGGGGAATCGAACCCCGATTTCCACGGTGAGAGCGTGAGGTGATAACCATTACACTATATCGGACTTTAAGACAATACTTAAAATTAAAAATATTTTAGTGTATATAAACAAGTCGTGCTTTAATTTATTATTTTATGAAAAAGCTGGCGAATTTTTCTTTTTTTTTTTTTTTATAAAAAAATAAAATAAAAATCAAACAATAAAACTACATCTCTTTATTTATTTTTATTTATTTTTATTTATTTTTATTTATTTTTATTTATTTTTATTTATTTTTATTTATTTTTATTTATTTTTATTTATTTTTATTTATTTTTATTTATTTTTATTTATTTTTATTTATTTTTATTTATTTTTATTTATTTTTATTTATTTTTATTTATTTTTATTTATTTTTATTTATTTTTATTTATTTTTATTTATTTTTATTTATTTATTTATTTATTTTTTGTTCCAATGGCTATCTCGGCGCTTCATTTTTTTTTCTCCTCATCACCACAGAAAGTCCCACCACCCGTGCCATGACTCGCTGTCCACATATAGATTCTTCATCGAATGGACCATACTAGATTGCAACAGAGTCGAGTCCATACGGAAAAGAGCCATGACAAGACCCCAACATACGGCTGCAAACAAAGACCATGCAGCATTACTAATGGCACGAGCACGAGGTGAAAGTCTGCGTACTTGAGTTGCGAAATCAATCAATCCTACAGCACCTTTGACATGTTTATGACTTGAGTGAGACGATGTAGATGTAGATGAAGTTGAAGTTGAAGATGATGATGATGAAACAGAAGAATGTCTAGACTTGGAAGGTTCTGGAGAAATCACTGAAAGTTGTTGTAAAATCTTATCAAGTAATAACTTGCAAAGACCAAGGAAAATGCGAGAGAAAACATAAAGAACCATTTGTTGGTTAATTGTAGCAAGTCCTGTATTTTTACCTGGGTACCCAAAAACTGCATAACCTGCAATTAAACCTGCCACAAAGGCTTCACCTGGATGTTTATGGGTGTTAATATCGTCCAGTGTAGATTGAAGTTTTGTAGAAAGAGAAGCAGATGGAGAGAAACGTGATGGTGTGGTAAGATATGGGCGAGCTAATTTTAAAAGATAAAGAGCAGATTTATAAACGAAAACAAATGAACCAAGAGCTCTAGCATGTTGCTTTGTATTTTTGACAATACCGTGCCAGCGATCTTTGATTCTGAAGGTAAAAAAAAAAAAAAAAAAAAAAAAAAAAAAAAAGGGTAAGTAATGGAATATAAAAGGTAATATAAAAATATAATATAAAATAAAATAAAATAAAAATAAAATAAAATAAAATAAAAGCAACTTACGGGCCTGATCTGAAGAGAAAGCTCATGACAAGGGCATGGCAGAACCGTAATTTTGCACCATAAACGATACCTTTTTTAATTTTTTTAAAAAAAAAGGAAAAAAAGAGAGAATATTAGGTCAATATAAAGGAATCACAAATAAAATAAAAGGTGGGTATTAATTGTTTAATTGTTTAATTGTTTAATTTATTTATTTATTTACCATTTCTTGTGCCTTTTAGAATGGCGAGTAGATCGTGGTAGTTTTCGTTTGTAAGAAACTCATTGAGTTTATTTAGGATTGCATTTGAAGAAGAAGAATAAGAAGTTGGATCTGCAGACATTTGGTGATAAATAGATGGTTTAGATTTTAATTATTTGGTGACTGGCCTATCAGAGATAAAAAAAAAAAAAAAAAAAAAAGGGTTTTTTCTTTGGTTGTAGTGGTGGTGGGGTTTAAAAGATGAAGATTATAGAAACTTTTAATAAACAATAACAATAATAATGAAAATGAAAATAAAACAATTTAGATAAATGAAAGAATCTGGCGGGGGGAAAAAAAGGTTTAAGAGAGAAAGGAGGGGGAAAAGGTATATAAAAGAAGAATTAAAAGTCTTTTATAGATATAAAATAAAAAATAAAAAAAAAAAAAAAAAAGGAATTTATGTCTGTATGTATTTTTTTTTTTTTTTTTAAAAAAGAGTAATAAGCAACAACAACAACAAAATTGACTTTAATCTTCTTTTGAATGGATATACTTGTATATATATATATATATATATATAAACTATTCAAGTGGGGGAAAATAAAAAATAAAAAAGAAGAAGAATAAGAAGAATAAAAATAAGAAATTTTTCAAAATAAAAAAAAAAAAAAAGAGCGGGGAGTTTTTTTTTATTTATTTATTTTAATTTTTTTTTTTCAATTCGGACTTAAATGCGGGAAATTTTTTTTTTTTTTTTATTTTACCAAACTGAATTCTTTTTTATATTTATTCTTTTTTATATTTATTTTATTTTATTTTATTAAAAAATCATATCTTTTTTTTTATTTTATTTATTTCTTCTTCTTTTTCTTCTTTTTTTTTATTTAATTCATTTCTTATATATATAAATCAATTAATTAATTCTATAAAAAATTTCTTCATTATTACCGAAACCGAGAGCCGGCCGGAGCACCCCGCCATACCAAAAAAAAAAAAAACTTATATATTTATTTATATGTGGACATAATAAATATATATAAATAATAAATTATTTTAAAAATAAAAAAATAAAAAAATAAAAAAATAAAAAAATAAAAAAATAAAAAAATAAAAAAATAAAAAAATAAAAAAATAAAAAAATAAAAAAATAAAAAAATAAAAAAATAAAAAAATAAAAACCTCGGCTCTTTTTTTCTTTTTATTCTTTTTTAAATTCTAAAATATAAACACTTATCTTTTATATATAAATATATATTTACAATATTCAAAATATAAATTAAAAAAAAAAAAATCTAAAAAAAAAAAAAAAAAAAAAAAAAAAAAAAAAAAAAAAAAAAAAAAAAAGAAAGAAAGAAAGAAAGAAAGAAAGAAAGAAAGAAAGAAAGAACCCTTTACCATCATCTCCACCCCCACTCCTCTCAAAAAACTCTCTCACTGAATCATAAACGATTCCAACGACCGATCAGGCATCAACTGGTCCAAATCTAAATCATCCAAATGTAAACTACTCATTTGTTCTAACGATGACACAATGTTTGCAGATATATTAGGTGTTCCTGTTGTAGGTTGTTGTTGTTGTTGACTTGTAGTAACACCACTAGCATTTATCACTGGTGAAGATGCTGCCACCACTACAGATGCTATTCCTGACGTAGTGCCCATCGAATTACCACCGGGGAAACTATTCAATATACTACTATTAAGCTCCATATCCGAAGAAGAAGTAGAAGAAGGTAACCGTTGGTCCTGTTGGTTTATTTGTGGCTGCTGTTGCTGATGCTGCTGATGCTGCTGATGCTGCTGATGCTGCTGTTGCTGCTGCTGCTGCTGAGGATGACCTGATTGATAAAGCTGATGATGATAATGATGTTGAGGATGGTGATGAAGAGTATGACCATGTAAAACATGCCCATGATTATGATTATGGTGATTATGATTATGATGATGTTGCTGTTGCTGTTGCTGTTGCTGTTGCTGTTGCTGTTGCTGTTGCTGTTGCTGTTGCTGTTGCTGTTGCTGTTGCTGTTGCTGTTGCTGTTGCTGTTGCTGTTGCTGTTGCTGATGATGATGAGAGTGAGGCCGTTGATCAACCAATAACGGAGTAGACCCAATTCCCAACACATCATTCATCCCCATCCCCATCTCCATACCCATCCCCATAAGCCCTCCTCCTGCTCCTGCTCCTGCTCCTGCTGCTCCTGCTCCAACCCCTCCCCCATTGGTTCCATTCACTCCATCATCTTTAACAGCCTCCAAATCCCGCTGTTGCTGCTGTAACTTTTGCAACTCCAGCTGATGGTGCAACTGCTGCTGTCGTAGCTTTTGTAGCTGCAATTGTAATACCTCCTTATACCTAATATTCCCGGTATTACTACTTCCACCCCCACCACCACCACCACTACTACAGCTGCTGCTACCACTACTCCCCCCACCACCATTCAATATAGGGCTATTCCCATTCATCTGGTTAACTTGTATCTGTTGCTGTGGTGGTGTTGGCATCGTCCCTCCTCCAGACCCAAACTGCGGGTGCATCAATGGAGTCGTCACATTAGATCGTGGCGTATTACTATTGCTAGACACATACGGCGAACTTGATGACGCTCCTGCATTCCCAAAATAGTCATTGATATTAAACTCCCTCTTATCAATCCCTCCCTTATCCGTAATAGAAGATCCACCACTTCCTGATGTTACTTGAGATGATAATATCGTAGCCCCTGATTGTTGCTGCTGTTGCTGCTGTATCAGAGACCCCGTAGAACTTGTCTGAGAAGGTCCACTCGTTGCCATCTCCAGTGGGCCGCCTGCAGACCCTCCTGTCATGCTATCCATGTTAAGGTCAAGTGGGCTCAGCCCATACTTGTCCATGGCCTCTTGTTTTTGTGATATAGAACTTTGTGCTGAAGCCAATACAGGCCCTGTAGTCGCAACAGATTGACCCCCTACCGTTGATGTGACCGGTGGAGAATTAGATGCAGCCACAATCGGAGACAAAAACTTGTCAATAATATTAATCACATTATCAAGTTGATCATTATTTAACTCATAATCTGTTCCATTTGTTGATGACTGATTCGAGGTGTTGAAACTTTGCTCTTCAAAAAATGTTTGCTGCTGTTGAACATTCTTTTGGGTATTAGTATTAGTATTAGTATTGTGATTATGGTGATTATTACTATGATTATTATTATTATTATTATTGTTGTTGTTGTTGTTGTTGTTATTATTATTATTATTATTAAAAAACAAGGTCCCCGAGTTTATTAAATTAGCTTCGTTACCCCCGCCATTAAACAAATTCAGATTCCCTGTCCGTGGCGATGGTGTTGTTGCTGATGTTGTATCATGATTAGAAGGACTATTGTTATTAATATTTGCACCATTACTCCAATGCTGCTTTTGCCGCGCAATTACAGCCGCTTGCGCTTGGAAAAAGGATTGTTTAGCATCCCGCTGGGAAACCATTTGAGGTGAAGCATGCTGAATGGGAGATGGATGTTGCTGAGCTGGTGAATCTGAATGAAGCGACGATGGAGAATTCGCCAACGATGATGACTGGTGATTCTGAGGAGACGACCCATGTAAAAAATTACCTGGAGAATGTGCAGAAACCTGAAGCGTGTGCTGGTTAAGATGGTGCTGATTTTGAAGCTGTGCACGAACCTGTGCTTGAGGTAACGAAATCTGTCGAGATACTGTTGGCCTCCTTATATTAGGCATTTGTGGTTGTACACGCATCGGCCGAACGTCGTCCAGAGTTAATAGATCTGGGTCTTTAAACAAATCCATAGAGAAATTTGTCGTGGGAACAGCGCCTCCTAATGGTGAAAATGCATGAAGTTCTGTTGATGGTGGCAGTGAAAGAGACTGGAGGTTTAAGTGCATATTAAGCTCTGGAAATGATGGCGAGGTGGGACTAACATGAGTTTCTTCTTGGCGTGGAATCTGGCCATTGTTGTTAACATTGTTAACATTGTTGACATGGTTAACATTGTTGACATGGTTAACATTACCAGCTGGAGGCTCTGCTGTTCTCACAGCTCCCATAACTGCTGTTGCTGTGGCCATTGCTTCTGCAACTGCTGCTAGAGCTGCAGTGGCTTCTTCTGTTGTTGGACTTGATTTGTCACCTCCCCAGCTGTTGCTACGTGAGGTGGGTGCATTGAGAGGCGGTAAAACTTGCTGAGCGAGTGGTGGGGTTGGTGACGCGCTGACCGGCGACGATTCCGAGTTTTTTATCGATTGAACAATCGAGTCCGACTGTCTACGCATAGGCACAGTTCCACGGTTATTAACCGGGTCCTCTTCCGAGTACCCATCAAGCTTAAGTGACATTGCGTGGAAATCAACATTGTGCTTCGACTGTTTTTCTGGGAAATGGCGTGCCTCCCAATACATGCGTGGAGTAATACCTGTGAATCGTCGAAAGATACGATGGAAATGCCACTGGGTTAAACCCACTGACTTGGCCAGATCCTTTAACGCTGGTAGCTCTTTAGGGCTGTTGTCCAGAATCCGGCATGATTGCCGAATCATGGCATGATGTGTTTCGTGTAGAGGTAACCGCGGCTTACACCGCTTGCATGGCCGGAACCCGGCCTCCTCAGCCTCGTCCACAGTGTCGTAGAAAATCACATTTTTGCGTCGAGCAAGTCGAGCAGTGCATATGGGCCGACAATAGATGCGTGTGGATTTGACGCAGTAAAGAAACGCGGTGGCGGCCCGTGGATCTTTATTCATCAGAGCTTGCCATCGCGACTCAAACGTCGGGAAAATGGTTTTTGCCGACGCCTCGTTGATGGGAATTTCCGGGGTGAGCGCGGGCATTAAAACAATAAATAGAGTGAATGAAAAAATATATTATCGCTTTAGATTACTATTACGATGTTTTTATTATGGTTATATTAGTAGTTGTAAAAGGTAAAGAGTTAAAAACTGAGAGGTTTGAGGGGGGGAGGAGTGGGAGAGGCAAGAAGGATTTGTTGGTGATGCTATGAATGGCAGAGGAGAAAGAAAAGACAGACAATCTTCAAGGGCCGGGTAACTTTTACCAACTTGGGCATAAAGGAAAGGGTAGAAGGAGCAGAATGTCCTCTAAATAATAAGGAGAAAGGTAGGTTAAGGGTATGGGTTAGGGTGGGGTGGGAAGTTGAGATAAATGACTTTTAAAGCGCGTGACTAAAAATCCCGAGTAAGCTAAGCTAAGATACCCGGTAAGTCTTGGCAAAGTTATTAGGGAAAAAAAAAACTTTTAACTGAAATAAAAAAAAAAAAATAAATAAAAATAAAAATAAAAAGTTGCTTTTTAAACCGCCATTTTAATATTATTTTTTTTTAAAAAATATTAATATCAACAAATTTTTTATCATTAACATTAATGCAAAAAAGCTATTTTTTTAATTTTTTAAACTTGAAGCAATATATTTCTACAATTTTTCCTTTAAAAAAAAACTACAATGCTCTTCAATTAGAAGATAAAATGTCTGGTACCACCGGTCCTCACATGCTCACACATTAGCCAGAACCTAAAAGCGATTCTGACAAACGACTGCTGAGACATATGAATAGACGCTGAGAAAGCACCACGAATACTTATTCTCACCTCTGCAAGACGCCTGAAGCCCTCAGTAGAATAATAATATAATACAAGCTAGGGACAAGCAACACGGGATGATGCTGAGGTTGCCGCACAAGGAGAAAAAAAAGGAGAAAAGAGAAGATTTGGGGGAAAACTTGGAGATATTTATACTAGACATAATGAATTTAAAAAAAAAATAAAAAAAATAAAAATAAAAATAAAAAAAAAAAAAATTTATTCGGGTTAGGGTCTTTAAAGTAGGGTAACACTTAGGGCTTCACGTGATTTTGTTTTACTCTTTATTTTATTTTTACTTTTTTTTTTATTTTTTTTTTTCAAACGCGTCTTTTACGCGTAGCATAATTTTTTTTTTTTCCTTCTTTACCTCATCAAAACACAATCCCCCAAAAATACGCGTTAATAATGTCTCGACCATGGATGACATCCAAGTCCGGATTCTCAGAAACTCCGTCAGATGTCAAGCCATCATTAAAAACAGCTTGGGATGATGATCCTGAAGATTACAAAAACCTATTCAATATTTCTTCAGTACAGTCTTCATTATCATCAACACCACAAATCAAACCTGCATCTCAAACAAAGCGCAAGTCTCCATGGAGTCCTGGCTCTTCATCACGCCCTAAAAAGCTCAAGCGCCAACAATCTCTTAAAGAAACTCTTCCTGTTGCTTTGAAAAATACAACTCCATTCATTGGTCTTAGCAAAGAACAGCGTAAAGTTCTAGAACTGGCAAAAACTGGGAAATCAATCTTCTTCACAGGTGCTGCAGGTACAGGCAAATCGTTTCTCCTAAGTCATATCATTGAGGCTCTTAAAAAAAGATTCAAACCTCAAGGAAATTTCCCTGCTGTTCAGGTCACATCTTCCACAGGTTTGGCTGCCATTAGTATTGGTGGAACAACTCTTCATCGCTTTGCTGGTATTGGTTTGGGAGATAGCAGTCCTCGCCACTTGGCTGAAAGAATCAACCGCACCAAAACAACAAAAGAACGCTGGAAATCTACTCGGGTTCTCATCATTGATGAAATTTCTATGGTAGATGGTGTACTGTTTACTAAAATTGAAGAAATTGCCCGCCTGGTTCGAGGTAGCGATGACCCCTTTGGTGGAATCCAGCTCATTGTCACTGGTGACTTTTTCCAACTACCTCCCATCAATAAAAAATCTAAAGCCTCTTTTGCATTTGAAACCGAGGCTTGGACACGATGCATTTCCCACTCACTGGTCCTTGAAGAAGTTTTCCGTCAAAAGGGTGACTCGCGCTTTATCGATATTCTCAATGCCATGCGCAGAGGTCTTCTTACAAAGGAAATGAAAGACACTCTCCAAAAACTTTCCAGACCTATCACATACCCAGATGGATTGGAGCCCACTGAACTTTATGCTATCCGTGAAGATGTTGCAAAGTCCAACGCAAGGCGTCTCAAACAACTTAAAGGTATAAGGTACATTTACTCACAATCAGACAAAAATGTTGCAAATATGGACCCTATTCGTATAGACAAATTATTTAACGACGCAGCAACTATTAGTCCTTCTCTTGAACTTTGTGTCGACTGCCAGGTCATGGTCACGCGCAACTTGCCCGAATTAAAGCTAGCTAATGGAACTTTGGGCCGTATTATTGGGTTTGTCAGTGGAGATCGTTATAAAGAAATTTCTATTAATGCCATGAATAGAAACATTAATGAAAATAGCCCTGAGTTTGAGCGTATGGTTATTGCTGGTCAAGCCCAAATGGAAACCAAAATGAGGGTCCAAACAATGAACTCATTTGTCAAAATGCAAGCCAATAACACCATTGTAAGTATCAGTTGTGCTGGCGCTGCTTTCAGAGCTGATTCCAATCTTGAAAATATGAATTCTCTTGCCGATATTTTTTCCACAATGCTACCGCTCCCCATTGTGCGCTTCTCTCTTGACCCATATGGAATCGAAACTTATACCACAGCTGTGCCTCCATTCAGATATGATCTTATTCTTCCTCCAAGTGTTGCTGAAAGACGTAGTAATCCGGAAGTTATTTCTCGAACCCAAATCCCCCTAGTCCATTCATGGGCAATGTCCATCCATAAAGCCCAGGGTCAAACACTCCCCAGAGTCAAGGTCGATCTCGGCAGAATCTTTGAAAATGGTCATGCCTACGTTGCAATCTCCCGTGCAACCTCCATGGACTCACTCCAGATTTCTAACTTCTGCCCTGAAAAAGTCACCGTCAATACTACAGTCGCCAACTTTTACCGAAAAATGAAAGAGCAAGCTGAAAAACAAAATGAAGTCAAAAAACCTCAGCAACCAACCATTACATATAGTGTATCTGTAGATGCCGATGACGGCTTTGATTAACTTTATTTTCCTATAACAATAACTAAAATAACCCACATCATGCATAAAACGACACACTCTTGGACTTGCGGGCCTGCACTTCAGTAATGGCCTCGACAAAGTCCTCATGTGTAATTTTAGACTTGCCCGAACGCAGAGCAATCATACCAGCCTCAACACACACAGCCTTGAGTTGTGCTCCATTAAATTCGTCTGTACTGCGCGCCAGTTCCTGCCAATTAATTGAATCGTCCACTGTCATTTGACGCGAGTGGATCTGTAGAATACCAGCACGAGCCTCTTCTGTAGGCAGGGGGAACTCAATCTTACGGTCCAGACGACCACTGCGCAGCAGCGCAGGGTCTAACACATCAACACGGTTAGTAGCTGCTAACACCTTGACCCGGTCATCACTGCCGAAACCGTCCAGCTGGTTCAGCAGCTCAAGCATGGTGCGCTGCACCTCACGATCTCCTGACTTGTCAGAGTCGAAACGTTTTGTACCAATGGCATCCAACTCATCGATAAAAATAATAGATGGTGCCTTTTCCTTAGCCAGAGCAAACGCGTCGCGAACTAGCTTGGCACCGTCACCAATAAACATCTGTACAAGCTGTGGAGCAGCCAGTTTAAGGAACGTCGCATTGGTCTGAGCAGCACACGCACGCGCCAACAGTGTCTTACCTGTACCTGGTGGGCCATACATGAGGGCACCCTTAGGAGCCTTAATACCAAGTCTCTTGAACTTATCAGCTTGTTTCATGGGCGACACAACGGCCTCATCCAGTTCTTCAATCTGCTTGTCGAGACCGCCAATGTCTGAGTAAGTTTCTGTGGGTTTTTCATCCACCTCCATGGCCTTAACTCGGCTATCGTACTCGGCCGGCAGAGTGTCAAGAATAAGATAAGAGTCTTTATTAACACCAATGAGGTCGCCGGGTTTAAGCTTCTCGGGCTCCACAAGGCCAATGAGAGGTAGAAAAACAGTTTGGCGCGTCGAGGTCTTGATAACGGCAGACTTGCCAATGTGGGTGGCGTCGAGGTCAACATTTGAGCCTTCTTCAGTCGATTCGCCCTCCATATCAAGAAGTTCGACAACGTTACCAACAAGATATGGAAGTTGTCTAAAAAAGTTAGAAATTTCAAATTAAAAAAAAAAGAAAAAAAATCTCTGAATATATACTCACTTGTTGTTTTCAATCTTTTCTTGATTGTCCTTAATGCGTTCATTGAGACCATTGCGCTCATTGAGCAGTCGCTGGTGCTCCAGCTTCATGACCTTGATGTCGTTTTCTAAAAGGTACCGCCGAGACACAATGTCAGCTGTAGAAGCCTGAAGAATTTCCTCATCAATGCCGTCGTCCGAGGCATCATTCATTTGCACATCTGGGTCCATTTTTTCTAAATCTTGTTTCTTAAATAGTGTGTTTTTTTGGGTGGATTGGTGATTGTAATGGTTTTGGTGGTAGTGGTGGCTTTAAAAAAAAAAAAAAGGAGTATGAAATTTTGGCGGTGGCGAACTTTGGGGAATCGTTTTTGGTCATGTGATTATTTCTTTGTTACATTTAAAGCCGTTTAATACAATGTAACCAAATTTGCAAGCCGTGCGATCAGTTAGAAACAACTTTCGGTCCTCCCCGGTTTTTAGAGATTAAAAAAAAAAAAATTATAAACTAAATAGCGTCTGACCATTCTTACAACCAGCAAAACCCATTCATTATTACCAATGTACTCGACAATCGGGACCCGGTCAGGCTCGATGACCGGGAATCTTTCGGCTCAGTACTCAAATGGCTTACAGGTCAACTCTCCAACTCGCACACCATCTTCATCTCCAGTTTTGCTTCCAGACCAAAGACCGTTCCCACTTCTGCGTCAGAAGAGTTTCCAAATCAGCGATACCACTGCTGCAGCTCTCCGTCGCGAGTCCTTTCTTCAAACAACTCGTCCGTAAGTTGCTTCTTAATTGTCGAGTCTTGTCTAAATTTTTTTTTCCTAGCATTATACGGCGACCTAATGAAACCACTCCGTTGGTTGCACCTCCAACTCTTCCCAAAAATCGACTCAAGGAGTTTTACGCGTTTGTGACCTCGCCAATTGCCAAAAACACTCTCAAGTGCGCAATCGCGTACTTTCTTGCATCTCTTTTAGTTTACTCACCCATTCGAAATATTTATGGCAAAAGTCAAAATAAACACATGGCCGCAACAGTCGCGGTTTACTTCCACCCAGGGCGTACCGCAGGTAGCATGTATGAAAGTGTGTTTTTCGTCGCGTTATCTCTGCTCTACAGTTTTATCATGGTCACAGCCAGTATGGTTGTTTCCAAAGAGTTTGTGGAAGATAGCAAAAGAAATATAGGCTACGCAATTGACATTGTAGTCTTTATCGGGTTCGGACTTGGGGTTGTGGCCTTTGTCAAACAGAGAATAGGCAAGCCTACGTTTAACACCGCATGCTCAGTCGCATCTATTTTCATGGTCACTTCTTTGACAAAAGAAGGGAATGTTCAAGCAGGAATCATTTCTTTTGAAAAGGTTATGCAGTCTTTTGCACTGGTGTGCTCAGGTGTAGCCATTTCTCTTGTAGTGTCACTGACATTGTGGCCTAAAAGCGCTCTGGAAGCAACCAAAAAGGAACTGAATGAATCGATGAATCTTAGTGCAAAGATGCTCAAGTATCTAACTCTAAAGTTCATGGACTACCAAAACATGCAGTCCTCGGAGTTTAACAACCTTAAGGCATCGTTCAACGCATCATATCAACGTCTGGGTAAAAGCCTGGACGAAGCAGCCTATGAGCTACTTTTGTTTGGCAAAGAAGCAGAATACCAAGCTTTGGAAAAACTAACTAAATCTAGTAAGAAATTATCTTTGTTATTCAACGGTCTTGGATCAAGTGTCTTAACCCAATCCTCACTACTAGAAGAAGATGGAACACCTATCTTGGAGACCCCAGAGCAAGAATTTTCATCTTATTCTAGTCTTGTCGATGATACCGCAGTATCTCAGTTTTTCGGTGATACATCCCGAAACCCAGCAGCTAGCATTTTCAATCAGTTTATTAAAAGCATTCGCCCTACAATGATGGAGTATTCAACTCTGCTTCAGGAACTGATGCAGGCACTACCGTTTTCAACCACTGCGCCGTACAATGTGGCGCTAGAAACCCTTCACACAGAGGTTCTTTCAACCGTTTTGAAAAAATACTCTTCGTCTCGAGAACAGGCTCTTTACAATCTTTACAAGGAAAAAAGCTTTTTAAACGATACAGACTTTGACTCCATTGCCACTAAAGAGGCTGAGGCAGCCAGCTGTGGTAACTTTTCTTACATCCTTGAGGAAATCGGTAACGGACTTACAGAGTTTATTAAAGATCTTGCAGAGTATCAGTCAGCAACCAAAGCTCCAAGAAGCTTCAACTGGCTGCGTGGTTCGAAAACTCGGCGCCGGCGAGTCGGTGGGTCTTCGTCCATATTTGTGGATGTGACGCGTACCCAGCTCAACACTGAGGTGGAAAACAAGTACGATGCACACGCTCAAGAAAACCCAGGACTTTCGCTCAAAGTCTGGCGTAGTTTACGCGCTTTCCGTCGACCCGATATCCAGTTTGGTATTAAAGTCGGCATGGGAGCCGCGTTATTTGCGCTTCCAGCATTCCACCAGAAGCTAAGGCCCACATACCAGAGTTGGCGCGGAGAGTGGGGGCTCATTACGTTTGTTATTATCATGAACAAGTCTGTGGGAGGAACCGCAAACACGGTTCCTGTGCGCATTTTAGGAACGTTTCTAGGAGCCTTCATAGCGTTTTCGTGGTGGACTTTTTTCCCAGAAAATGCAGTTATGCTATGCGGACTTGGAGCCTTACTATCACTGGTTTGCTTTTACATTATTCTTACATGGACAAACAAGGGCATGTTTGGTCGGTTTATCCTGCTGACTTATAATCTTACTGTGCTGTATTCGTATTCGGTATCAATCAACGATGATGAGGAGCATGGTGGACAACTAATTGTACGAGATATCGCGTTCCATCGGTTTGTATCTGTTTGTGCTGGTGTTGTATGGGCCTTAATTATCTCGACATTTGTTCTGCCAAACTCTGCACGTAAAAAACTAAAGCGCGGGCTTTCCATCCTGTGGCTTCAAATAGGACTTGTATGGAAAGCAGATGCTTTAAAAACAACTCCGCGCAAGGGTACAACCGAATCTCGGTTTACGGGTATCCAAGGAGAAAATGCAATGCAGCTAACCATGATTGAGTTGAATGCTCAGCTTCAGCACGCTCCAAACGAGCTGCGTCTAAAGGGCCCGTTCCCTGCTACAGAATACTCACAACTGCTACGACACACACAGCGGATTCTCGATGTGTTCCAAGACATTTCTGTTTTGATTGCTAAGGACCCTAAGCCGAGCAGTCGCGAGTTGGAAATTATTGAATATACGACGCTGGAGCGCACGGAGCTGTGCAATCGCATCTTTTTAAACTTTTACCTAATTTCTTCAGCAATGCGGTTGGGATTCCCGCTGCCCAACAAGATGCCGTCAACAGAACATGCCATCGACCGCATGTTAGCCAAGCTCAACGAATACCGCGCTGGAGCTATTGGCTCAGGGACTGTGGCAGCTGGGTTTGTCGACCCAGGGTATGTAGAAGATTTTATTCTGTTTTACTCCTACGTGCTGGCCACGATTGCCATCACTGAGCAGCTGGCTGAGCTAGCAGTGTACATTCAAGAACTATTTGGTGTGATTGAAGAGGAGATGTTTGAAGTGTAGTATTATGTACAGAAAGGGAGAAATGATATTTAGTTAATGACAGAAGACTCGTCTACGCTATTGCTTTCTTGATCGCGAAGCGCATATAGATCATCACGGAAGGGGTTAAGCACAGGCACAGTACGGACGGACCACACGTCCTCGGAAGAACCTGTTTGTTTCTTCTTCTCGGCCAGTTTTTCCATGTAGTATTTGGATACCCGTTTAGCACGCTCCTCATCATCCCATATACCCTTGAGACGCAAGCAAAACCGCAGTTTGGCCCAGCGGCCGTCGCAGTAAGAGATGTTGCCGTAGCGGTAGATATGACGCATCTGGCCGCCGATCGAGTAGCAAGCCACAAGCTGATCAAAGGCTTCAGAACATGACATTTCTGTAGGGAACGACGAGAGTGTGTAGTGAGCCTTGGAATCTTCAGAAGAAGATGAAGATCCAGAAGAAGACGTCGATGACGTCGATGAAGAAGTCGGAGTTCCGTCAATCTCAGCGTTGAGCTCCTTTAACAGCTCGTTAAGCGAATTATCCAAGTCGGACTCTTTAGACATGGTTGTGATTATTGGTGGTGGTGAAAAAAAAAAAAAATTAAAACATTAAGGACCTAAATAAATAAAAAAAATAAAAAAAATTACATATATACACAAACACAAACACAAAAAAAGAAAAAGAAAAAGAAAAAGAAAAAGTTAACACAATCCATTTAAACCCAAGCACGAGGAGTCTTTAAGACTGCTAGAGTCTCTGCTTCATGAGATCCTTTCTCGGGCTCGTGCATGTATTCCCAGGAAACGTGCAAAGGCAGAGATACAAGAATAGACTCGATGCGGGCGTTAGGGGTTAGCAGACCAAAGTGGGTGCCACGGTCATAAATGAGATTGAACTCGACGTAGCGGCCACGGCGCAGCAGTTGCCATCGCTTCTGGTTATCGTTAAATTCGGTTTGGTATCTGCGCTTAAGAATTACTGGGTAGGCATTCAAAAACGCGTTGAAACAGGCCTCGACAAACTTGAGCAGTTGTTCAGGGGTCTTGCCAGATTCCTCGCCAATATCGTCAAAGAAGATACCGCCAATACCACGACCTTCCTTGCGGTGCTTGATGAAGAAATACTCATCGCACCACTTCTTGAACCGTGGATAAAACTCTGGATCAATGCCATCACAGGCCTTCTTGAGCTCCGAGTGGAAAAGTTCTGCATCCTCTGGGTACAGGTAGTGTGGGGTCATATCAGCACCACCACCAAACCACCAGGTCTTGACAGCGTTAGTTTCAGGGTCTCGGATCTCAAAGTATCTATAATTAAGGTGGACAGTAGGTGCAAAGGGATTCTTTGGGTGCATGATAAGAGAGAGACCGCAGACGTTAAAGGGGAGAGGAACCATTTCGCCACCAGTCTGTTCGGCCAAAATGTCCAAAGCTTTGTGGTCAGCGCGCATTCGCTGAACAGCAGCAGGTGGAAGCTTTGAACTCACCACAGACACAAGAGCACCACCCTTTTCAATTACAGAACCGCCTTGAATGACGGCACTCAAGCCTCCACCCTCAGAGGCCTCATCGCGCTGCCACTTGTCCATGAGGAACTTTGTGGATGACTCGGTGACTTCAATAGCCTCGAGAGCGTCCACAATCTCCTGCTGCTTGCGGTAGATCAGTTGCTCCATTTGGTCGCGTATGCTAGTCATTTTTTATTTGGTATGGATGAGTATATAAAAGAGGTATTTAAAGATGGATAGATGTAGATTTAGGAGAAAGAAAAAGGGGAATTATTTTTTTTTTAAATAAAAAAAAATAAAAAAGAAAGAATTTCAAATTTTTTTATACGACAGAAAAAAAAATTCCTGGAATTTCAAATACCCACAAGCATCTCTCGTCAGCCAACCAAAGATGCGGGTTTTCAAAATCAGACCATCACAGACTTTTTCACTTCAAAACATCCAAAACATCCAAATCAGACCATCATGTAGGATAAACCATTGAGTACACGTGCGCACCAAATGTCTCTTCTGTCACCGGATCTACAATCTTGTCGGTGTCTCCAGTCACCCGCTTCGAGTACTCTAACAACTTGGCCAACCCATAGATGCGATTGTTGGGCAGTACAACGGGGTCCGGTTCCAGCCGTGAAGTGACATGCATCGCATAAGGCAATGATGCAGCTAGCCGTCTCAGTTCCACAGAACATACTGGACACATATGGGCCCGCGACAAGTCTCTTGGGATTTTGGCAGTCTTTTTTGGAGGAGCTTCCTCTTCTCCTTCCACATAGACCCTGCAAGAGTGAGTCTTGAGAGCAGATATACCTGTTGCCACATACCGTACAAGAGCTGATCGTGTGGGCAGTCCATGCAGATCTTGGAATGTTTCAACAAACATACGTGCGAGGGAGTCCCAGCGCTCGTCTGCATAAAAGTGTGCATAGTGTTCCACATCCTGGTCTGGCGGGAAGGCTAGTAGAGCAGATACTTGCTGGAGAACAGCCAGGTGTGTTTCGGAGTAATTTTTGACCAGTTGTTGGCGGTAATACTGGATGGCCTCAGTCTTGCGGTTGGCGCGTGCCAGCTCGATAAACTGTTGTAGCTTGATTTCAAATTCGAGCCCAGAGCGGACCTTTTTCAAAAACTGCTTGTTTTCCTGACACCATGCCTGGCACGCTGTTATTTGATGGTCTTTACGCAAACTCTCTTCAATACGATGGCACTCAGTCAGCTCGTCAATGTCCACCAGCTTCTCAATATCCAAGTTCTTGCAATGTGCCAGTCCGGTCTTGAGGCATCCATCCCGTAAGCAGTAGTCTGCTACCAGCATTTCTACGCGTGTTCGTGACCACTGCTTGTATGCATCGCTATCCATGTCGGTCATTTGTGGGTCTGAAAGTTTATCTAGGAAATCTATGCGGGCTTTTGTAGTGGCCAAGTGGGTTTGCTGCTCCTCTTGAATCTGTTCCATCTTACGCTTGAGTCCTTGCATCCGTAAAATCATACCATCAACTTGTGCAACAGCCTGCTGCGCATTCTCTTTAACTGCTTCTCTTGTCATGTCAATGTCCTCTGATTTTTTTGACTTGTTGAGTGATTTGCATGTTGCTGATGTTAGTTCAATGTTCTTTTCGAGAACCCGCTGCGCTGTTTTGAACGTCTTGCGCATGGATTCACATGGCACTCTTAAAAGAGGCTCTTCCTAAGGATCTGTTAGAAAAAAAAAAAAAAAATAGAATGACTATATTCAATATATAAAACTCACAAGCTGGAGTAAATTGTCGCCAAATGCCATTGCCAGTGTAGTAGTTGTTGTTGCTGTTGTTATAAAAGAGATTAAAAGATTAGATAAGTGGCGACTTTGGCCTTAAAGGTTGGCAGAAGACGTGCGACTAGTACAGTAACTTGTCACGTGGATATCTTTGTAAGTTTGAAGGTTACTATTAGTATCTTGAGATTGTTTTTATGAAAGAGGAAAGTTTTAGAGATTTTGTTTTGGGTGTCATAAAGAAAAAAAAAAAGAAAAGAAAAATAGCCGTAAATGCCGAAATAGTTTGGGGGGATTTTTCTTTTTGGATATACCAAAATTGAAATAGAAGGTTGGATAAACTGTTAAGATGTAGGAAGTGTAAATAGCCACCTCAACTTGAAACAATAAAGGTCAAAACCAAAATGAAGAAAAATTTTTTCGAACAAAAATAAATTTAAAATATATTAATAAAAAGTTAATAGTATTTTTAAATTTGTTTTTTTTATCTTTTAAAAAAGTGTCTGATTCATAAAGTATTTTAAGATGTTAAACCAAACTAAATTGGTTCCTTTTATTGTATAGTGCCAGTAGTGAATAATCAAATTAACAGTTTAATGTGATTAAATTAACTTCAAAAATTATTTTTTTAATTAAATTATTATAAAAATTTATTAAAAATCAGTAATTATAATGTTCACAAAAATTCAACATTTTTTTAAAAAGTGTAGTGAACCAAAATATACACTTAAATTAATATCTTTTTAAGTTTGATGCCTTGCTAGCTCAATCGGTAGAGCGTGAGACTCTTAACAAGAGTTTATCTCAAGGTTGGGGGTTCGAGCCCCCCGTAGGGCTTACTTTTTTGATATACTTACTGTTTTTTATGAAATATAAATCATAATTTTTTTTGATTTTTTTTTAGTTCAATCATGATTCTGATTATAATGAGATGAGAAAAGTTTTAAAAGTTTCAAAAGTGAAGCAGGAAGTGTTGGTGGTTTATTTTGAGTTTTTTTTTTCATTCTTCACATAATTTTTTATGCCAATAAAATATATTCTTTTTTAAAAATATATATATATATATATCTAATCATGAGTTCATTTTATCAAAAATTTTTAGTTTGATTCTAGATTGAGTTTTTTAAACACTTTTTTTGTTTGTTTGTTTATTTATTTATTAAAATTCGAGTTGAAATCCATTTGTACAAATGTCAAAGTCAGGTTTGTTGAAAAAAAAAAAAAAAGAAACTTTTTGAAAAAATCAAAAGTCATGTGATAAATGATTTATTACATAATCACTACAAACGGCTGTGATTTTTAAAAATTTTTTTTTTTTTAGTAAAAAAATTTCCAGTGAAAAAAAAAAAAAAAAGGATTTTTTTTTTCTTTTCAAGTCCAAAATATTCACATCACACATTTAACAAAAAAAATGGCTAAGAAAGCATCGACACAAAAAAAGACATCGACTGTCAAGAGTTCAGGTAGCATAGCAAAGAAATCAGCATCTAAAGCTGCTGCTACCTCCAAGAATAAAGCCGTTGAAAAAGCTGTCAAGACGGTTGAAAAGAAGAAACCCGAAGAAGAAGACAATATCAATGTAGGATCCAGCTCAGAAGAAGAAGAAGAAGAAGAAGAAGAGAATGCTGCTAATTTTGAATATGAAAGCAGTGATGAGGAGGATGATGAGGAAACAGCTGCAAAGAAACTGAAGGTTGATCTGAAGGCACAGAAACAAAAGTTCGAGGCTGGTAAGGCCAAGGCTAAGGAAGTTGCGGCAGCTGCGACCCAAAACGAATCTAAGAGTTTTGGCAAGAACTTTTCTTACGAAAGCAGTGATGAGGAGGAGGAAGAAGCAGAAGATAAGGATACAGAGATTATTGTTCCTGAGAAGAAGGAAGATACTGGTGATAAAAAGACCAAGGAACCCCGGGGTGTTCTTTACATTGGCCGTATTCCACACGGTTTCTATGAAAACGAAATGCGCGGCTACTTTGAGCAATTTGGCACCTTGACCCGGGTGCGTGTGTCTCGTTCTAAGAAGACTGGTCGTTCGCGCCACTACGGCTACGTTGAGTTTGAGCGTGCTGACGTTGCTGCCATTGTTGCTGATACCATGGACAATTATCTTCTGTTTGGTCACCTTCTCCAAGTTAAGCCTATTTCTGCTGACAAGGTGACTCCTGAGCTTTTCTGGGGTGGAGCGACGGTTGTTGCAGGGAAAGATGGTAAGCCGTCGACTCTGCGGACAGCCAATGGTAAGATTTTCCGTCCAGTCATATCATCGGAAGCCAACTGGCACAGTAGTGATGTGGGCCGTGCTGCTAAGGCTGCACACAATGTTCCTCGTTCTCAAGCATTCTGGAATGGGCTTGATGCTCGTGCTGCTGACCGTGCTCAAAAGACTGAGCTGAAACTGGCGGCATTAGGTATTAAGTTTAGTGCACCAACATCTGAATCTCTGGGAAAGAAGGAGGAGGCTGTTGCTGTTGTTAAGAAGACTGTGGCCACTAAGGCTAAGACTACTAAAGCCAAGGTCACAAAGGCTGCTGCGAGCCCAGTATCTGTTCGTCAAACACGTAGCAAAACCAAGAAGACTGCGGCGTAAGTAAAAAAAAAAATATAAAAAAATAAAAAGATATAATAGAATAATGAAAAAAAAAAGGTTTTTGTCTTAAATATTAATATAAAAATATATAATAAAAGGCCCTCAAGTTGAGGTAGAAAAGGAGAATAAAAAAAAATTGATTCAGGGCATATTATCATAATCAACTTCAATTATTTCTTTTTCTTTTAAACAAATCCGTTAATTAGAATGAAATCCATAATTATTGGTAGTTTAAGTTTTAATTTTAGTCTAAGCTTTTTTTTTTTTTTAAGTCCTAAAGGTACTTTAAATTACTAAGTAACTCCTGCATTAAAATAAATATCTTTTTTTTTTTTTTTTTCTTAGTTACATTTTATCAATTTATTTTAAAACCATCCTTTGGTAAAATCACGTAGACCAAATTAGGTAAAAAAATAAATTAAAAAAAAACGCGTTTACGACGCGTAAAAAATGATCAATCAAAGTGATGATACCTTAAGATCATTTATATAAAAAATAGAAAAGAATGGTTTTGGAACAAACTTCATTCTTATAAAAATGAAAAAAAAAACAAAAAAAAACAAACTAGTTTTTTTTGAAAAAAAATAGGTAAACTTTTGATTAATACATTTAATGGTATTACTATAAAATTTCGTAGTAAATCTTTAAAATCCTACATTCCTGTCTTTCTAAACCCTCGCTTAAAAGCCTAATAAAAGCCTAATAAAATAAAATAAAATAAAAAAAAGACGTTTCAGTGTCTCCTGCCGTTTGTTGTTTGCGTGTGGCATTTTCGTTTTGGCTGATAAACAACAACAACAACAAAATTTTTTAAAACCTCCCAAAAAAAAATAAAAAAAATAAAAAAAATCATCACCAAAAAGCTTTCTTATTCACCACCACCATAAACCACCTCCTTCCAACAAACTAAAGACTAATTTTTTTTTTCATAATGCCCGGAGCTACCACGGAAGATCCGCCAATAGCTCTGGCAGATCATATCATTACGATTGATGCTTCTGTAGAATATAAAGGATCCTTTTCTAAAAAAATTGGAAATGGTAAGTCATTCTCGCTCAAATCAACACCTCCTTTTTTTTTTTTTTTTTTTTTTTTAACAAGCCTCCTTTAGATGCCGTTTACCTCACATCAGAAGACCCAATCTTTGGGAAGTTTCTTGCAATTGTTTACAAGGCTCGACCAAACTCAGACTTACTTTCAGCCATTGTAATTGGCCGTAACGGTGTTAACGAATCTGTAGATATGACGCTCAACCCCAAATCTCGTTATTACTCGGCATGTCTAAACCTTCCACAAGAAATGGCCTCTTCAATGGTCCGTAAGGCCCTCGCTGTCGCATGTCTACGAACTTATGCAAATATGGAAATGACCATTAAAAAATACCTTACAGAAGCTTCAGATGAAGCTCTACAGTTTGATTGGGACGAAACAACTGCAGGCCATCTAGCTGCTTCCTTAACCCCAGCCACTGGACGCTTCCCAGGTGAAATCGGAAACACTGTTATAGATTGTGGTCTTCTTCAACCAAAATTCATTCGTTCTATCGTCATTGATATTGTCTACCAAGATCTCGATTCTACAAATGATTCAAATAATGAGCTTGTTTACCTCTTTGGTAATCAACTTGAGCATCTCTTTGACCCCCTTTCAGAATACTCTCCGGAACCAACAGAACTCTTATACTCACCGCCACCACATCCTTCAGTTATGCGTCCAGGCGATGATCGCATAGTCCAGTCTGTTTGTCAAGAACTTTTCTCTCTTCAATCTCATTTTACAACAGATTTACTTTGCTTCCTTCAAGATTACCTCATTCCTCTTCGTGTCAAGGCCTTAGGAGGTGAAATCCCAGACTTGACCATTCGACGATTAAACACCATTTTTCCTCCAACAATCGACGAGGTTGTGCGCGTTAACAATATATTTTATGAGGCTCTCGACGCGTCCATTGGATACGGATCTTACGAGGTCATGAAAGCATGTGGTGTTTCTATCCCTTACTTTTATAAGGCTTGCATGCGTCACGAAGCAGCTACCAGAAACTTTACTCAAGTAATTAACGAAAACTATGATCTTCTCAAAGTTCATGCTCCCATGATGGTATGTGTTGTTGATTTTATTTTATTTATATAACATTTCTTGTAAACCTCTTCTAACTTTTTTTTTTTTTTTAGGGCCGGTACACAATCCATCGGATGGAATCAATCATCCACTTTAGTCTCCATCTCACTAAAATCAAACTTGTTTTAGAACGACTCATCAAAATTGTGGATTGGCAGCCAGATGAAACCCCTAAAGTTGAAGAATTCTATCTTTCTGCAGTCGGAACCATTGACTCCTTTGGCCGCGAGCGTCAAGTCAGTCCATACGACAACCGTATTTTCACACCCACAGGCAAGCTCCTTGTGGAAATCTCCAAAGGCTGGCCCCAGGAGCTTGAATACGGCTGGATTAATCGTAGAGTGGTTTCAATCTTTGATGTCCAGGATCTGACTGCTGACGACCGCGCAATCATAAACATTATCTTCATCTTTACCGACTCTGTTGTCATTACAAAGCCCACTCAGCCTATTAGCATGACTTCCGATTCTGGTATTCACAAACCATCTATTGCGGATATGCTCATGCATTCCATGATCAACTCCATGCCTCTTGTCAATGTACCGGACTTGGTCGTTGTTGGATGGGCTCCCATTGAAGACGTTCATTTTGCTACCTATGGTAGCCCAATGAACCTTGCAATGTACATCACTGGTAATGGTCTTAAGCTCAATACACAAGAAGACTCTCCAGGACCTAGCCCAACAGCATCGACTTATACACCAATCCAGAGGTTCATGAAGAAACCGCAACCCCTCTCTTCAGCAAATACTTCTTCTTCTACAAGCACAACGAGAGCATTTACTCACCTAAAGCTTTTCCGACTTATTCGACCTGGCATAGATGCTGACACTGTCGCCAATTACATTTCCAAAGCAAAAATTATGAACAAGACTCAGCCATTCCATCTTTTCCAAAGCAGCCAGCCAAATCTTACCACTTATGCAACCGTTCACGAGTACCAAGGGTACCGGTTAGAATCGCGCAAGTGCCCCATTGCCATTTTTGCCAATCTCAAAATCTCTCCAGCACTCCTTGACAATTATAACCTCATTGCTTGTATTGGTGTGCAAATTTACAACTCTAACTTGGTCCTCATTCGTGTTGTTTCTAAGCTTGGGTATGATGCAAAAAGTGTGGTCAGTAAAGAGAACTTTGCAGCCAGCATTTCGTCGCACATTGCGCGTATTTACTCGCTCTACTTTTCTTCAGGGAATGAACTCAACACTTCCATGATTGCCCAAAACAATGCCGAAATTGCAGAGTACCTTGTACGGTTTGCAACCTCCGAGGTAAAGCATGTTGCTGCACCTAGGCGGCATGTGTCGCGCGGGCGCGTCAATCGGTTTACAATTGCAGAAATGCCCGAGCAGGAACAAAAAGCTCATCAAAAACAACCTACCCCTGTTGTTGTCACTCAGCGACCCCAGTCCCAGCCTTTACCTAAAGTTCAGTCCCTGATTGAACCTCCTTCACGAACTGTTTCGCAACCAATGAGAAACGCAACTCCAAAGCCGGCACCTACACCTGTACGTGCAGTATCTCAACCAGAAGCAACTTCAAAAGCCAGACCGGCTTCTATTGCTGTTACTTCTGCTAATACTTCCACTTCTAACGTAAATACTACTGCACCTTCTTCCAAGCGATGGTCTCTTAAAAAGCGTGTTTCTGCGTCCTCACTTCTTTCAAGATTCTCTCACAAATCGAGAGATTCTTTACGAGAATCTTCACGACCAAGCTCAACGGTTGACCCTTCAACCCCTCAACAGTCTACGTTCCCCTCAACATCCACATTGACAAGTCCTGCGACTCTCAAGTCTACATCGTTGGCAACAACACCCGTTTTCTCTAATGCTTCTTCAAGTACTCCAAGTACTCAGTCAGCTCGTCGCAAGTCTTCATTTAGCTTTTTACGCCGCGGCTCATCATCATCATCCAAAGCACCTTCCCCCAGATCCTCAGACGTTTACTCTATCCCTGATGCAAATTCAAGTGCTCAATCCGTTGCTACTGTCACATCAGTGACATCCATTCAAACAGCTACTCCGGAACAGCCAGATTCTAGCACCAGACATAGCTATCCCACGGGTGGCAACCAGCAACCAATTTTTTCAGCGCCTGTGCAAAACCCTGCAAACCAAATTGTGCGCCGCAAAAAATCCTTTATGGTCCCATTTTCGCCTGCAATTCCTGAAGAACCTTTTGACTTTAGTGAGGATGCTGGTGGTGTGGGTAATACTACTACTATCCAGTTGCCCAAGCCATACCGCAACAGCACTCCCAATACTGCACAACACGTTGCAGCTATTGTTTCTCGACGACCTTCTTCTCTTCTTCGACACACTGAGCCAGCAGACTCTTCCGACACATCGACAGAGACTCCCAATACTTCGACGGAAACGGCCAAGGAAAATGAAACAACTCCAACCACTCCTGCAGCTGCCAAACATAAGCGACTGGACTCGCTTCGAGAAAGCCCATTTTCTCCTGGCGCTGCGGGTATAAAGATTATTGGTGACGAGTCTATGGAGTACGACTCGGATGACGATGACAAGGAGAATTCAGCAGCTGGCCCAATCCGTGCTGGGCTCCCCGTTTTGACGCGTCCCCAAGAGAAGGAAGAGGAAAAGCACAATGAAAAGCAAAAGGAAGAAGAAGAAGAAGATCATGTAACTGATGACCAAGTAGGTGAATTACCTGATACTTCTGCTGCTACCACTGCCGCCGCCGCTGCCGCTGCTGCTGCTGCTCTTTTAAAGCCTAAGCGAAAGTACCAGCGACACCATGCACCAGGCACTACTCAGTCTTATTCATCGTCTTCAAATGGATCGTCTAGCTTTGCAAGCCATTCATATTCTGTGTCAGTGTCTACTGATTCCACGTTTGACAATTCATCTGTTCAAAACTGGTACAATGATTTGCACCGCCAATCTCTTGAGAATGCTTCATTGGATTCACTCGATATGAACTTTGTTCCTGGAATTGATTCCAACGAAATGACCTTTGACGAGGAAGAAGAGGATACCGAGGACCCTGTTGAAAACATAACGCGATTTATTGATGAACGTGCTGGCTCCCGGTTGAGACAGTATCCTAGTTCATCTATTGGATCAATTGGATCTTCCGAGTTTTCAGTATCGCGAAGTACTTCAAATGAATCTGCAGTGCCTCATGGACAGTTTCAACAAACTGTTGAACTAAGACCTTTGTCGGAGTTTGGAGGTGCGTCTTTACAAAAGGTGTCTTCTATTGGAGCAGTGTCCAGCCAACTACAAGAAGAGCTCCCCCTATCCAAGTCACAGCCTCTTTCACGTTCAGAGTCTGGGTACTCTATGATCCTCTCTGATGACTTTTCGTACCTGGGCAATTTGGTATCTGTTAACGAAAGCGATACTTCAGGGTTCCTTGAGGCTGGCGGTGGCATTGGTTTGACTGCAGCCACAAGACGAAACATGAATTCAGTGACAAGTCTTTATCCAGATTTGAGAGACTCCTCACTCATCTTTTTGGGCAAGTTTATTGATGCTGACGAGTCTAATGGATACGGCTGGCTTGCGGAGCTTGCTAATAGCTCCAAGAGCGCAACTAATAGTAGTCGGCAGAGTGTTCTTAGTATGAGCAGCTTGGCGACATCTAGTAGTTTGCGCAATCTGCGTGCGTCATTGATGCAACAGAGCAGACTATCTGTGATTAGCCGACAAAACTCTTTGAGAAGAATGTCTACCAATATGAGCGTTGGAAGCATGAATATGAATGCCAACTTTAATACCACCTTGAGTGCTAGCAATAGCGCGAACTTGGCAATGCTCAAACGAGACTCGTCAATTTCCTCTGGCTTGGCAACAACCATGGAGGAGACCTCGGATATGGTAGCGGCTCATGCTGATACAAGCAATGATACTGTGGATGGAACAACTCCAACCATTATCCAGGTGCCTGACTATGATGAAGAGTCCTCAGTGACTAATACACCTAAAACTGAGCATGCAGCACTTTTCACAACCCCAGTAACTGTAACTCCAGGTCAAACTCCACTTTTGTATTCTACTGCATCATCCGTGTCGACTCCTAATTACGGAACGTATGAGAATTTTACAGTTTTCAATACTAGTCACTGCAGTACTGAGTACGAGAGCCCGAGCCATGAAGCTTCATTGCATTATTCGGCTTCGTATAATAATGCATCCAGCCCTATTTTATCTGGTAACATTTTGGTCACGCCAAGCAGTAGCATGGCTGCGGAGAGTGATATGGAGGAATCACCAGGGGTACGGTACTCTGATTTTAGCCGCAGCGAGAGTTACTCTACAGAGAAAAACAGCCAGGAGGATGATTATTCGACTACCCCGGTGTTTACGTCATTTGGGGCCCGTCGGATTTCCTCTGCTAGAACGCCTCCTGCTGATTTGGTACTGCAGCCAATTGCCGACACTGAAATGCCATCGCCGTCTTCTGAGTCTTCAGGAAGCACATCCAAGGCTTCTCCTGTAGAGCAGCACAAGACTACAGTGTCACGGAAACAATCACAGACGTACATGATGAGCACGTTTGGGTCGTTGAGCGACATGACCAACAATGAACTGGAGCTGCGTGCATTGTTGCTGTCAATTGAGAGTATTATTAACGAAGAGTTTGCGTCATTGATGGCTTCCCCAGATACTAGCAACGGGTCTATGGTGCATTCTTCGGTTTCCCGCATGTCTCTGGTTTCTTCTTCTAAGTTTGGAGAGGGCGGACGGAAGAAGGTTTTGAGCCAATTAGAGCGGATCAATGATACAGTATTTAAGCTATATGAGCGTACACGGATGTTACCGCCGCTTCAAGGCTCATTGACATCCACGGACCTGAAGCGGGTTGCTGCAGTTGAGCAGGCGAACCGTGGGGTTTTAATGGAGTGTGCATGGACGCTAGTGGGTATTATGGAAGCGTACAAAGATGCAGAGGAATCCCAGGGTATTGCGAGTAATCGTGGGACTATGGGCGGAAAGTATGCGACGATTGTACAGCAATTTCTTGCGTTGGAGTGGGCTCGCCGGGCAACACTTCAGGAGAAGCTTGGAGGGGCCCAAGGAGTTGAAGAGATTTGGGCAGTATAAAATGGACATGTTAATTAATTTTAATGTTTAATAGAGAGGTTTTATAAAAACTTTTTTTTTTTGTTTTTTTTATTTAAATTTAATTTGTAAAGTGTTTTTTTTTTTAAAAATAATGGAATTTAATATACAGGATAAGTATTTAACAGTTTAACATAATTATTAAGGTCTATCCTTTTGAAAAAAAGATCAAATTTGATATTTTAAAGGAATATTTTTATTGATATCATATATATTACCATTTCTATAAGAAGTTATAATATAAATAACAAATTTTTTGTTTGTTTGTTTGTTTTTATTCAAGGGTTATAGAATTATATAACATCAGCATCTGCGCTATCCTTCTTGTCCATACTATATATTTTTTCATTTTAATAATAAACTTTTAATTTTGGCTTCAACATTGCATCTCCAACAGCCCGAAAATAAGTCCTGATGCCAGCTTACGAGGAACAGGGGGTTAAAAATAACCAAACCTTCCCAACCTATCTCCACTTGTCTTCATCAACGCTGTAATTGTATTTCTTAATCCCTCCAAGCAGAGATAAAGCTTACAATCTTTTGTAAGCCAGTTAAACTGTTTAAGAGAGTCGACATGCCCATCTCTGGAGATATCCGTTTCAGTCCTTTTCTTTCCTCTTCAAGCAAAGGACACTCAACTAAAATGTGATGAACTGTTTCCAGCTCTCCACATTTACAGTTGTAACTATCCTTTTCAATTCCAAACTTTTTAAACCATGCGCCAAAGTTGCCATGGCCTGTGCGAAACTGAGTAATATTACTCAAGATCCTTCGACTATCTTTCTTCATGATCACTCCCGTAACCATTTTAGAAAGATTATCAGTACATTTCGACTCCACTGTGATATTATGATACCACAGATCCTTACTGCTGTTCCAATACATTTCTTGCCATTCTTCCATTGCTTGTTTCTTCAAAATTCCAATCGTCTGATTCTGTTGTTGTTTCAGTGTAAGAGGTTCAACCCTCTTGCATTTTCGTTTTTCATCCTTTTTAATCATGTAGTCTCTATCATCTTTCGCCAATATGTAAAGCGTGGTTAGCTTTGCAATTGGAGATTTCTCAATCAATGTTAACAAATGACCATTAATAGGATTAGTTTTGCTAATATTTAGGTGTAAACGAATAGCTTTTCGTGCCACCATAAATTTTAGCCTAATACTATATGGCATTATACCAGCTTCCTTTTGTAATACCGCAATAGGAGTTGTGCGATAAGCACCAACAATTCTTCTTAAAGCCATGTTCTGCATTACTTCCAACTTGTGGATTTCTTCTTTCAAGATTTTATGATGCCAAATTTCTAAGCCATATTCCCTTTCCCACGTTTGTTTGTTTGTTTGTTTTTATTCAAGGGTTATAGAATTATATAACATCAGCATCTGCGCTATCCTTCTTGTCCATACTATATATTTTTTCATTTTGATAATAAACTTTTAATTTTGGCTTCAACATTGCATCTCCAACAGCCCGAAAATAAGTCCTGATGCCAGCTTACGAGGAACAGGGGGTTAAAAATAACCAAACCTTCCCATTCCTTTCCCACGAAAAATATTTTTAAACAACTGAAAAAAATCTGAGCAGTATATATAAGTTCAAAAGATCAAAGTTTTAAGAATTGATTTAAGGTCCGATATAGTGTAATGGTTATCACCTCACGCTCTCACCGTGGAAATCGGGGTTCGATTCCCCGTGTCGGAGACCACAACCTATTTATATTCCAAAACTTAGAATGGTTTTGAGTATTAGGAAATTATAATAATTTTTTTTTGAAATTGAAATGGATAGTCAGTTTGATTCATTCATAAACAAATTACATTAAATGAATAGAAAACCAGAAAAAAAAATAGAAATGGTATATTTTTAAGAATGAATGAAGAAAGGTCAGAAGAATTGTTGTATTCAGAGTTTGGGAATAGTCTGATGATATCTTAGAAATAGCTTGTAGTTATTGGACATGTTCATGATATTCAAGCAGGTTCTGATCTACTGATGCGCACTACAGATTATTATATATAGTACTTTAGTGAAGTTTTGTGTAAGACTCTGTATATGGTTTGGTTTCAGTTACTGGAACACAATGTCTATGAGCTCTGGAGTCAAGTCCAAGAAACCATTTAAATAGTTTAAATTCATATTTTTAACTTTTTTTTATATAAGTATTTACTGGTAAAAACAGAAGGATTTTTTTTTATAATTTACACATTTCGATAATAAGGCAAATATATAATGAATATTGTTATACGATTCTATAAGTAATAATATTGTTAAATAAACCCTTAGCGGTATCAAGGTTTAGCCATTCATGCTGTATCAAAAAAAAAAAAAACAACCTTTTAAGCATATTTTAAGCCACTAGAAAATTTCTTCAAGGCTTCTTTTAAACCAAAAAAAAAAAAAAAACATCTTTTATAGAATCAACAATATTATATATATGATATTCAATCCATAATTACGGATGATGATGATGATGATGATGATGATGAATAGTGAAAAAGCAAATCCCTTGATTCCACCCAGTCAGGCAAATTTTCCCCAGCCAGCATAGCTAGACAGGGTAACCTTTACACGCTGATAAGCATATTCCGATAACCGGTCCACCCATCACTTTGAGACCATCCCCAAATGGTTTAAATGGATTGGTTTCGATTATTCTGGTCTGCCCATCTTTTCCTTGTAATTTCAATTGCTCATTTTGCTTCAAGAATTCCTTCCAAAATGACTCACAAACCTGCTCTTTTTTCTCCCATCAAGGTCGGCGCCATGGCCCTTAAACACCGTGTTGTCATGGCTCCACTCACACGTGGCCGAGCAACTAACCCGGAACTCGCGCCGACCCCAGATATCGTGGAATTTTACGCACAACGCGCAGCCACTCCAGGCACATTATTAATTGCAGAAGCCACCTATGTATCCGAGCGCGGGGCCGGTGTGGCCAATCTGCCGGGGATCTGGTCACAAGTTCAAATTGAGGCATGGCGCCTGGTGACGAAGGCTGTGCATGCACGGGGGTCAGCGATAGTAGTACAATTGTGGGCGTTGGGTCGGTGTGGGAGCCGCAAATGGTTGGCTGAGCGGGGGTTTGATTTGGTAGGTGCGTCCAGTGTACCTGAGTTGACGGGTGAGGCATTAGAGTACTCTGGGTTGACTGTGGATCCGGACGAGATTGGGGTAGTTCCTAGAGAACTGTCAACTGAGGAGGTGCGTCAGTATGTACGGGATTTCGCACAAGCTGCTATCAATGCTCGAGAGGCCGGGTTTGATGGAGTAGAAATTCACGCAGCCAACGGGTACCTTTTAGACCAGTTTCTGAGTGAGGAAACAAACAAGAGGACAGACGAGTACGGTGGTAGCGTTGCAAACCGGGCACGGCTCACGCTAGAAGTGATTGATGCAGTGTCAGCAGCCATTGGTGCAGACCGGACTGGGCTGCGGATTAGTCCGTTTGGAGTTCTTTCTCGGGACGATCCAGGGGCCGTGGAGCAACATGCTCATATTCTTGCGATTCTCGAGCGGCGGGCACGAGACGGAGACCCATTAGCATATGTGCACACAATTGAGCACTGTGAGCATGGACGGTCAGCTGCGACTGGTGCGCATATTATTATTAGAAGGGCAACAGATTTTGTGGGCACAATTTGGCGCGGGGCATGGATCCGGACTCAAGGGTTTGACCGGGAATCAGCGTTAGAGATAGCCGATACAGATCCACGAGTACTGGTAGGGTTTGGCCGAGGGTTCATAGCTAACCCGGACCTGGTGAAACGACTGCGACGGAACCTGCCATGGAACGAGTTGGATGAGTCGACGTATTACACTGGCGGGGCTCATGGGCTGACCGACTATCCTGAGTATGAGGGTTAGGGTTGGCTGTGTGTATGTGTGTGTATGTGTGTGTGTCTATATGCCCAATCAGTGTGTTGTTTGTTTGTTTGTAGGTGTAACAATTTTTTTCAGCCAAAGAGATTTTCAAAAAATTTTTTTTTTATTCTTCCCTGTTAAATTTTCAATCACCACCACCACTAGTCACACTATTTGACTATTTTAAAAATCACTTTTAAATAACAACAACAATGCTCCGATCCATCATCAGACCGGTGCTTCGGCCGGCTGCTCGGAACGTCCGCACTTTTGTGACATCGTCCGTGGCTCTCAACGAAACCTCAGCTCCAACCCAGCAAAATACTACCCGGCAGTACTCTGAGACTCCTGAGGAGCTTGTTCAAAAAGTGGTGTGTGATACTCCTGCCAGCGATCTGGCGGCCTCGGAGCCTGTTGCTGCGGATCTTCAGGCTCAACTTGCTAGCGAGTTTGATTCACTGCTTGGAGACTTTGTGCGCAATGCGAACCTTGCACCTGCATTCCCTGAGTTGAACCCACCTAAACCCCCCTCGGCCAAAAAGTCAGGCTCTGACGCCATCACAACATCGGCAACTCAATCGTCGGCAACTGCAGATCGTGTGCGTCACCCAAATCTTAAAACTTCGCACCCTGAGGCTCCTTATTCATCTCAGGAAACCTACCTGCGTAGACAACACCAGGCCCGTGTGCTCGGCGGCCTTGGTTCACGTATCAGCAACGTTTACCGCCCACATGAGGACGTTCTTACTCCACCAAGCTCTGCACAAACTTCGATTGAAACTCTATTGGCAGCTGGTGCTCATCTGGGCCATTCAGTTGCTATGATGCGTGCTTCTACACAGCCCTACATTTACGGTGTTCGGGACGGGATCCACATTATCAATCTTGAAACCACACTTGTTCACCTTCGCCGAGCTGCACGGGTGGCCCAGGAGGTTGCTGCTGCTGGTGGTGTTATTTTATATGTGGGGACTCGACCTGGTCACCAGCGTTCGCTGGAGGAGGCTGCCGCGCGGTCTGGTGGGTTTTACGTGCAACGCCGATGGGTTCCTGGAACATTGACCAACTGCCGAGAAGTATCGCAGCACTGGGATCGGGTAGAGGTTGACATGGGTGATGTGCCTACTGGGCGGTTACTTTCTCCAAGAGTGAAGCGGTCACTGGTTAAGCCTGATTTGGTTGTTTTTTTGAATCCTGTTGAGAATCGCAACGCAATACTAGAATGTATTCAGGTTAATGTACCTACCATTGGTGTGGTGGATACTAATTGTGAGCCATCATTGTTGACATACCCTATTCCTGGTAATGATGATTCGACGCGTGCAACAGACTTGTTTGTGGGAGTTTTATCTAAGGCTGCTCAAAAGGGACGGGCCAAACGGTTGGCTAGTTTTTCTTCTTACCGGGCCCAAGCTCAGAAACAGAATCAGGCTCAAGCTCAAGCTCAAGCGTGAGAAAGGAATTAATTAATTGATTAATTATATGTATATATAAAATATATATATATATATAATATTTTACTCTTTTGTACATAAAAAAATATATATATATTATTAAAAAAAAAATGCTTTTAATGGAAAGAAATAAAATAAAATACAAAATATATAAAATTAAAAAATTAAAAAAATTAAAAAAATTAAAATAATTATTAAAATAATAATAAAAAAAAAATAAATCTACATGGTTTTTTTTTTTTTTTTTTTTTTCTGTGGTTATTACTATTATTATTATTTTTTTTTATTCCGACTTGAGTTGCTTAGAAATGGCGGCAGCTTCAATGATTTTCTGACGTTTTTCTTGAGCCTCGGCTTCTTCTATCTCATCTTGTTCATCTTGTTCATCTTCATCATCTTCTTCCTCATCATCAGAACGTTCATCCTTTTGAACACCACCAACAACATAGCGATACAAGATTCTAAAGATCAAAAATAACCAATAGATATTGACGAGTTGAAGGGCAAAGATTAAAAAGAAGGTAATAATTTGAGAGATCCAACATTTGTATTGTTGATCTGCAAATGAGAGTTGGTAAGGACCTACAGTTCTAAACTCTGTAAGAACAGACCAAAGAATGACAATGTTAAGATAATGACGAAGATAAACCCAGACAGCAATGAAGAAAACAAACATTGCAGGAGTATATTTTGAATCAAGATAGTTGAGAGTTTTAGAAAGAGAAAGGAAAATGTCAGAAGTGTCCATGGTGATAAAGACAGCAATACCCATCATGGCGAAGTGGAAACGGTAAGAGCAAAAAATGAGAGCAATAGTAACGATATGATGGAAAACAAGTTCACGGAAATCCTTGCGAGGTTTTTCAACTTGAAGCATTAGAATGATACTTTGTTGGGCCCAAAAGGCAGCTTGAAGCAAATAAAAGGCTTTGAATAATCCATCATGAGCCTTATGAGGGTAATGTTCGTAAAATGCTTTTGTATTATAATACCAGAGACCATCTTTATTATGGTACATGATGTAGAAGCCAAAGGAAGCAGAGATTGAAAAGTATACAATTGCATAAGTTTGTTCCAAAAAGCGAGAGATTTTAGATCTTCTTTGAAGACCACAGACTTTAGTTGCAAGAGGTTTTAGAATGATTTGCATACAAAATTCTCTAAAAAACATGAAAAACACAATTCCTGTTGAAACAAAGGCAAAATCTCTATAACCTTTACCATAAAGATCAATCAAAGTTCCATTTTCATCAACACGTTGGTAGGAAAGACGCAAAAACATGTGAAGAGGATTGGATTGGGTTGGGTTTATAAGAAATGCAGCATACATGATAATTAAAATGACTAGTGGGGTAAGCCATGTGTTGTGGTAGGCCAGTTCTTGAATTTGGTACCAAATCTGGATTGCTGGAGAAGCTGGAGCAATGGTTGTAAGTCTTGGATGGTTGTGAGATTTCTTATTAGTGTTGGTGGTAGTAGTAGTAGAAACAGTTTGATTTTTTTTCCTTGGAACAACAACACTACCAGATCCATTAGATGAGATTGCTGAAGATTTAGAAACTTCAGTATCTGCAGTTCCTGAGTTGTTAATTTCATCATAATCATCATCATTATCATTATCAGATTGAGGTTCTGAAGAAGAAGAAGCTTCTACAACAACAGGCATATTTGCACTTGAAGCTGAAAGTACACGTAGACGGTGTCTACTTTCACGTTCTAGGCGTGGGTCCAGGGGCATTGTTGAAAGAGCTGGAACTGCAGTATCTCCTAAGTTAATATTTCCTACAGATGATTTCCGTCTAGAAGGAGAAGAAGGAGAAGAAGAAGAAGACGAAGACGAAGATGGTTGTTGATTATGATGTTGGATTTGAGGGAAATCAATGACATCTTCAGAGTCGTTATTGATGGATGATGATGATGATGGAGGGGTCATTTTTGTTTTTTTTTTTTTTTTTTTTTTTTTTTATAAAAAGAGGAGGATGTGAATATGAAAAAAAAAAAGAAGATCTTTTATATATATTTATAAAAAATCAAGAATAAATAAAATATTTAAAATAAATAAAAAGATCTTCTTTTTTAAAGTAAAAAAAAAAAAAAAGATGTTTAAGACTGATTGATTTAGAAAAGGAAGAAATTGTGGCAGACTTGAAGGTATTTATATTTTATATATATAATAACAACAATATTTATTTTATATATATATTAACATATATATTTAATTATTATTAATAATAATAATTAATATTTTCTTCTTCTTCTTCTTCTTCTTATTCTTATTCTTCTTCTTAATAATAATAATAATTTTTTTTTTGTCTTCTTCTTTAAATGTCTTTTTCTTTTTTGGCTGTATTTTATTTTATTTTATTTTATTTTTTTTTTATATGAAAATGCTGGCTGCGTTGTCTTCTTAAAAAAAAAAAAAAAAATTTCTGAAATGCTTTTTTTTTTTTTTTTTTTTTTTTTTTTTTTTTTTTAATGGACGGTAGCCGTTTTTTATTTATTTATTTTTTTTTTAAAAATACACGTGACATTCTTTTTATTTGTATAAGGGGGGAAATAAAATAAAAAAAATAAAAAAAATAAAAAAAATAAAAATTTAAAGTCCCGGCGGGTAGGAAGAAAAAAAAAACACAAAAACATCCGGACAATTAAAACCCGAACAACTAAATAAAGAATCATTAAATATAAATATAAAATAAATATAAAAATATAAAAATATAAGCATATTAAACAAATATACTTTAAAAAGAGACTTTAATTTTTAATTTTTTTTTTTTTTCAAAGTTAAAATTTAGAATTCCTTTTATATATTGTTATTAAAATAAAAAAAAAAAGCAAAAACATCATTATATTTTTCATAACTTCATAAAATAAAATAAAAAAAAAATAAGACAGGGTCATTATATATATATATTTAATAATAATAATAATAATAATAATAATAATAATAATAATAATAATAATAATAATAATAATAATAATAATAATAATAATAATAATAATAATAATAATAATAATAATAATAATAATAATAGTAATAATTATAAAAGAATAGCAAGTAAGCAAGAAAAAAAAAAAGGAAAAAGGAAAAAAAAAAAAAAAAACATTTTGTATTCTTCATCATGCTGGAATCCGAGCTACTATATTATTAAATGGAACCCCACACAAACTACCTTTTGCCGAAGATTTTGTTGTTGTTAAAGAAGATTTTAAAGATGATGATGATAATGATGACGACGACGACGACGACGATGACACTAAAGATTTTGAATCAAAAGAACCTCGGGGGACTCCTTCACTATTTTCGTCATGGTTACCATCCAGTGATGGAAATGATATATAAAACGTCTCAACTAAGCCTTGTGAGGAGGACCTTCGCCTAGATACTGAATGACATTCTTCACATTCTTGGTATTCTGGATCCCCACTTCTAAATACAAACGTTTGGTATGCATTACACTCAGAACAAAATGTATTTTTATTTGAATCTTCTTCTTCTTCTTCTTCTTCTTCTTCTTCTTCTTCTTCATTCTCCTCCTCACCTAAATTACCAGATTCTTCTTGTTTTCGTTGCTTTTTAACTCCAAATGATCCAGAAAATCTACCAAGAGAAACTACCAAAGGCCTATGAAATTTCCTCCTTTCTTCTTCTTCTTCTTCTCCTTCTCCTTCTTCCCTTTTTACTGTAGTAGTAATAGACCCAAATGTAGAAGAAAATGAAGCTGCTGCAGACATTGATAATGACCGTTTAGACCATAATGATCGTTTTTGTGGTAAAAAATATGAAGCATCTTCCCGTAGGCTTTTTGTTAAAGTCAAAGATGATGATGATGATGATGATAATGATGATGATAATGAAGATGATGATGTCATTGCTAATGAACATGTATTACTATTAGATGAAGAACTTTTTGATAAAGAAGATGAATAATAAGATGACTTGAATGGTAATAATGATTTTTCAGAATTAGAAGAATAACAGCCTTGTCCTGCTGCAATCTGTGAAAGATAAAATCGACATGAAGTATCTGGAGAAGCCCATTCTGGTGTGGCTAGATGTGCAGTCGATGTTGGAGAACAAGGTGACGATGCTGGAGTTGTGCTGACTGGAGGAGAAGAAGTAGAAGTTGATTGTGTGGAAGAAGAAAAAGAAGAAGATGCAACTGTGGATGTAATGGGTTTAGTGGCGATTGCTGTTGGATTTATGGGAATAAGTGTTGCAGTAGTAGTAGTAGTAGTAGTGGGTCTTCTTGTATTTAATAATGATGGAGAGATATCACAAGAGCAAGATGTTGAAGAGTTTTTAGACATTGGGTGATGCTGGGATATATATATATATCTATCTATATATATATATATATATATATATATGTGGGTCTATATCTATAGATCGATGGATGGAAAGATGTTTAATATACAAGAGGAATTTGAAGATATATATATAAGGGAAAAAAAGAAAAAAAACTTAGAGAATATATAACAATTGATGATAAAATACAATAAAAAAAAACGAGAAAATAAGAGGTAGGAGGATTTTTTAGTGCTTTTATAAAAAAAAAAAAAAAAAAAAAAAAAAAAAACTTAAAAGTATATATTATAGTGAGTTATTATTATTATTATTATTATTATTATTCAAATCTACATATATATATTAATGAATTGAAACGCATGACAGAGAGTGAGAGAGCCCAGGGTTTTATTTTATTTTATTTTATTTTATTTTATTTTATTTTGATATTTGAGTAAAAAAAAAAAAATGTCAAATATCTAATAATTCTGTACTATTAGATTTTTAACATTTATCGCAAACGTTGGAATTACCCGCGGATTAATTTGTAATTTTTTTTAAGATTTTGTTTGTTTGTTTGTTTGTGCGTATATATGTATGTGTGGCTAACAAGGGTATTTAATTACTATATTACTTGTATATTGTTATTATGGCATACTGTGGCGTTAAAAATCAAAAAAAAAAAAAATATATATATATATATATATGCATGTAACACATTTATGTAATGTAACAAATGTAGAACAGGCCCCACCCCTTCAATGTTTAGGTAATCACAAAAGATAAAGAAAGAAAGAAAGGACTTTTGGATTTAAAAAAAAAAAAAAAAAATTAATGAATTTTAAAAGTTAAAAAGAAATTTAAAAGTTTAAAAAAAAAATAAAAAAAAATTCAGTATTAAGTAGTTTAAAATAAAATAAAATAAAATCAAATTGCTATTACGATTAAATTGTTGTTGAATCATAAATTTTTTTTTATTTTAAACTGCTTAATATTGATTGATGTTGTTCAAATGATAGCTAATTACGTTAATTTTTTTTTTTTTTAAATATATACACTACCCTTTGTAGTTAATATATTTACAAAGGATAATGAAAAAAAAAAAAATACTACCTTACCAAATTATCAACGCTATCAACTAATTTTTATTTTATAATTATTATAATAACTAAAATAAAATAAAATAAAATGAAATGAAATGAAAAAAAAAAAAACGCTTGTAAAAGACTCTTGAAAAGAACTTCATAATGACTCTGAAATAATTTTTTTTTTTTTTTTTTCAAATAACTTTTAAATAGTTTTTTTTGAAATAATTCTTAAATGACTTTTAAAAAAAAAAATAATTATTTATCATTTTTTTAAAATAAAATAAATAAAATAAAATAAAATAAATTTTAATGAAAAAAAAAAAATCCCCACTTCTAATACTCTTTAGGTTATCTCCAAATTATCATTATGATGATCACATTGCTTTACCATCATAATCATAATCATCTTCATCATCATCACAAGTCTTTTAACAGCAACATGGCTTTAAAATCCAAAAGTATATAGTAGCATCAGCACCACCAGCACAACCAGCAAGCCGCTTTTTTTTTTTTTTTTTTTTTTTTTTTTAAATATATATAAAAAAAGAAAGAAAAGAAAAAAAAGAAAAACTTTAAAAAGCTTTTTTTTTTTTTTTTTTCTTCATCATCTTCTTTTTATTCTTCTTGTTCTTGTTTTTATTCTTTTTTAACTTTTAAAGTTTCTTCAGAGCAATATCATAATCCACTAAACACTTACAGCAATCTTAGAAAAAGAAAAAGAAAAAGAAAAAGAAAAAGAAAAAGAAAAAGAAAAATGAAAACTTTATTATTCTATATTAGAAACAGTTAAACTAACTCAATGTAACTACACACCTAATTTAAAATAACTTTTCTTAATTAATAATTACCCTAACCCTATTAAAACCTTCTCTTTCTAAATCATCACCACCAATTTTTTTTTTTTTTCAGGTCCTCCCTCCCCTCCCTTTTAATTTTTTTTTTTTTTAAAGAAGAAAAAAAAAAAAAAAAATTTTAACTCACAACCACCCAAATTTTTATATATATGACTATATACATCTTCACATATACATAAATATTCTCTCATTAGAATCAAATACACACTTTCTTTATCTTTTTTTTTCTTTTTTTTTTCTTTTTTTCTTTATTCTATCTCTTTCTCTATCTTTCTTTCTATTTAATAAACTTCCCTCTATATCATGGCCGAAAAACGCTCGGCTCTATCATCCTCTTCAAGGATCTCTGCTGAAGACGAACCTGCCCATAAAAAACAAGCCATCCAACATTCTTCTGAAAAACCCTCTCCTAAACCTCTCCCATTAACAACAAAAACAAAAGCAACAAAAACAACAAAAACAACAAAAACAACAAAAACAACAAACTCTACAAACAATATCCACCCTCCTAAACTTCCAAAAGATATCCTTGAAGGGAAATTAACCCCTCGTGCTATCAAACTCTTTAAAAAGGAAGCTCTCTGTCGCGCTCTTAACTCTTACCGTCGTTCAGCCCAACTCTTTGAATCCCAAGCAAACCATGCAAACTCTCAACTTAACATCCTTCAACGCGTCTTTTCTCTTCAGGAATCTTGGTGGTCAAACTTTACAGACCAAATTGCTGTTGCGATTGCAAATAAATCTTCATTTCCAGCTCCAAGTACTGCCACTGCTGATCTCTTTTTAATATCTTCAAAAATATCACACGACAAAGAAGGAAAGGAAGAAAATGAAGATGAAGATGAAGATGAAGAAGAAGAAGAAAATGAAGAAGATAAGAAAACTCAACTTGAAAAAGATTATGAAGCAAAATCTCAAGCCCTTTTGTTAAAAATTAAAGATCTTCTTAATTGGGATGGTATTGTTTCACCAGAAAATGATGCCAAACAAGAACTAGCAAAAGGGATTAACAAACTACACACTTTTGAAGCTGAATATAACGTTTTAAAAGCTCAAACCATTCAAATGCAACAACAACTTACAGACATGACATCGAAATATCTTGAAGCTAAACGTTCAATCGCCCGTTTAGAATCCCCTATAACAATGGCTCTGTTTGGTCAATCAAATACTCAAAATGAAGAGAAATTACAAAGCCCTCCAATACAAGATCCACAACAACAACAAAATCAAAATCAAAACCAACAACAGCATCAACAGCATCAACAGCATCAACAGCATCAACAGCAACAGCAACAACAACAACATCCACAACATCCACAGCAGCAGCAGCAGCAGCAGCAGCAGCAGCAGCAACAACAACAACAACAACAACAACAACAACAACAACAACAGTCATCACCTTCTCAACAATCAGATTCAGGCTTACAAGCTGTCATTGATAAACAAATAGAACAACTTAAAGAACAAGATCGCATCATTGCATCACTCAACGAATCAATCAGAAATACTACAAACAGACTAGCTCACCTTTCAGATCAAGACCTCCAACATTCCTACCTATACCGCAACCTGCGGCGTAAAAATGACGACCTTTTATACCAACTAGACAAACTGGAAGCCCTCACTGCTCAGTATCACCGTGAAAAGTCTGCCTTGGTTGCCGAACGTGTAGCTTTCCAAGATCGTGTCCGTAGAGATGCAGATGCTCGCATAGAAGACCTTCAAGCAAGACTTAACATGGCTGAAGCTGATGTAACTCGCATTCGTGCAGTCCGAGATGATATTCTTGGTAATCTTAATATTAAAAAGGCTCAAGAATCTGAAAGATTAAAGTCTTTGGACCATTTTAAGGAGCTTTTGGAAATTCGTGATAAACGAATAAAATCTTTAGAACAAGAAGTCACTAGAATTAAAAGTGAAGATATCCCACAAACTAGTTCCAACCAGTCTTTAGAGGATCTTGAAAAACTTGTGGCTAAACTTCAACAACAAAATACTAGTTTAGTTGAAGAACTCCCTGAATTAGAAGCTGCATTTAATCAAGCTCATCAAAAGGCAACTGCAAAGATTATGGATTTTGCCGAACGTGAAGCCAAAATGCATAAACTTGTTGCCGAAAAGGCCAAGGCTGATGAAAAATACTTTTCAGCCATGCGTTCTAAAGATCAATTGAATGCAGAATACCAGAAAACAAAGTCACAACTTAAACGAAATGCTGAGTGGGTTCAACAACTTAAAGAATCTGATGAGAAAAATATGCACCAAGTTGGCGTTTTGGAGCATCGGGTGGAAGAGCTTCAAAATAAAGTACAACAATTGGATGCTGATAAGGCCTTTTTAGCTTCCAAAGTTGGTGATTATGAGCGTCGTGTTGAATCTCTTCATAGTCTTGTAGAGAAACTTAAGGGAGATCTTAAAGCTTGTGATAAAACTATTGCAAGTCAAGCAGAGTCACGGCGGAATACAGAGACTGAACTTGTTAGGATCAAAAAGCAACTTGAGATTGCAAGTATGGTTAATGGTAATAATACCAATTCATTATCCACAGATCTTGCTTCATTACAAGTTCAAGAACTTCGTACAATGGCTATTTGTTCTGTATGTTCTAAGAACTGGAAAGATACTGCCATTAAAGTGTGTGGACATGTTTTCTGTCATGATTGTGCAACAGAGCGGTTACATGCTCGGTTGCGTAAATGTCCTTTGTGTAACAAGCAGTTTTCGCACAGCGATTTGCTACCGGTTCATTTGTGAGTTTTAGAAAAAAAAAAAAAAAAAAAAAAAAGAAAAATTTTTTTTATTTATTTATGTAATTTTTTTTTTAATGTATATATACTATTATTATTATTATTATTATTATTATTATTATACTTGTAACGTTTTGTTATTATTTTAAATCGTGTCTTTTTTTTTTTATTTATTTATTTTTCTTTTACTATTATTATTATTATATATACAAGGAAAAACCGCAATTAAATAAGGTTCCGGAACCCGGGACATGTGCCGGTTGCTATTACAATTTCCGCATTCTTGGGGAGGGGGAGGAAGTTTTATATATATATATATATATATATATATCTTACCTGGTAATTTTATATTTTTGTATGTCTATAAAATACAGTTACCTATTAAAGTTACTTTTTTTTATATTTCATTTTAGAAACGTCTTTGTGTGTTACAGACTTTAAGATATTTATTATATATTACTGTAAGTATATTTTTTATATATATATAATATCTCTTTTTTTTTAACAAGTTTTCTCCTTAAAATAATAAAATAAAATATAAACAGCCACCGCATTGTATTAAATAAGAAATTTTTTTTTTTTTTTTTTTTTTTTAGATTATTATTATTTATTATTATACCAGGGGGGGGGGGAAAAAAAAAAAAAAAAAAAAAAAAAAAAAAAAAAAAAAAATTATTACCAAATTTCTCCACCACCACCACCACCACCACCACCATAAAACATTTTTTTTTTTTTTTTATATTTCATTAAACCACCATTATAATCATCATAATCATCATCAAAACTACCACCCAATCTTTTTTTAATTCATCAACACTACCACCAAAACTTTTTTTTTTTTTTTTCATTAAATAACTAATTAAATCAACCAACCTAACTAAACTTATATTTTCACTCCCCTCAATTCAGATAATCTAATTCATATATATATATATATATATTTATTTAATACTATCTGAATCGTTTTGTAAGTCTAAATTATCCAATCATTCCTAAAATTTTCTTTTTCTTCCATTCTTCTCTTTCTCTCTCTCTCTCTCTCTCTCTCTTTTTTTTTTTTTTTTTTTTTTTTTTTTTTTTTAAAAAAACCATCTAACAATCCTTTCAGATAATGTACCCTTCGCGGTTCCCGACATCTCCGCCCGTGTCGCGCTCCGCTTCTCCTCTTCAACCGGTGGCCTCTGCGCCTGACCCGGCAGCTGGATCTAACCAGGGCAATTCTACAGCATCCAATGCTTCTACATTACTTCATCATCATCAACAACTACAACAACAGCATCTCCCAGACTTAGTTAGTCTTCGTAAAGACGGATGGCTTAATAAACTTAACGCTCAGTCAGGACTTACAGCCTTTGGTGGTGCTTCCCTTCCAAGCATGTCACTGGGGAACTCTAGTAATCCATCTTTAGCACCAAGCACTACTAATGGAACCTTGAATGCATCCTTAACTACCTCCTCCTCATCTTCTTCAAACAATATCTCCTCGTCTTCTTCCTCCTCCACCTCTTCCTCCTCTAATCCATTATCCAATTCTACATCTTCTACATCTTCTTCCAATTCTTCATCTTGGAAACTCACCCGTGCATCTCTCAAAGGTGGAGTCCTAACAATTTCAAAACCACCATCAGATCTTGCTGTAAGAGCCTTTGACTCCTCTGTCCCCTCTCAACCCCTAGCTGTACATGCTGCTGCACACCCTGAATACTACCCTCTAAATTCGTCTTCAGCTGCTGCAGTTGCTTCTCATAGACGAGTCTCTAGCATTGTATCCAAGGCATCCACAACATCAAAACAAACTACTACTGCTGCTGCTTCTTCTTCTTCTACAACAACAACAACAACAACCACAACAACTATTCACTACCTTGGTCCAGACCCTCACCCAGACCTCGAATATGATCGTGGACGCATTGTTGGTGGATCAGATGAAGCCATTTGCCATACTATCCTATTTGGTCAAAGTACTTCTGTCACTAAAACTTCAGTCCTACTCCTCCCCCTCTTAACAGACATTGTAGGAGCCATGGAAATCCTAACTCTCTATTCTCAAACCCCTGCAGTCCAAGTCTCTCGTTTGCGCCTTGTTATCGAAACAATCCAAAACAGTTTCCCCGGTATGCTTCTTGATAACACCATCTTCACTGCCTTTTTGCGTCTAGTCGAGTCGGTCTCGTGCCATGATGATGCAGTAGCCAATGAACTCAAACGATCTGTTGTTCTTAAACAAAAATCAATGACTGAAATTCTTTCTTACGCATCTCACCAAGAACATATCATGTGGTCTGTAAGTCAGCCAAGTGTAAATGAAGCCCTTTCAGATCGTCTCCATGCAATCATGAACAAGCATGAACATCCTTCTCGTAATCACCAGCATCAACAACAGCATCAACACCAGCAGCATCAGCAACAACATCAACAACAACAACAACAACAACAACAACAACAACAAATACCACCATCATCATCACAACAACAACAGCAACAACAACAGTCTACTCGGCCCTTCTCTTTACTCCAGGAAATCACCCCGGACCTTATCCTAGATCTCAATGTCGACGTATTTGCAAAGCAGATTTATCACTTTCATCTCGCCTTTTCCAAAGATTGGTCACCAACAACAGACATTTCTTTACTCTTTACTACAAAGTATACATATAATCGTCACTCCCCACTCGTCTTTGACTCTACAAATATCCACTTTTTAGGTAGCCTCCTTCTTGACCACCTCTTCAACCCTCGTGGCCATAACTCCAACCACCACCCTATTAGCAATGCATACCGCGGCAAGATCATTTCCTACTGGATCAATCTTGGAAATGCACTCAAAAACTGTGGCGATATGGTTGGCTGGCTTGCCATTGCTACAGTCATTTGCTCTATCCCTGTTCTTCGCCTACGCTCCTCTTGGTGCTATGTCCCCCCAGATACCCGCGACAGGGTCACAAAGGAATGGGCCCCCGTTGTTTTCGACCTCGAACGTAGACTCATGATTTCAGATATGACTCGCAAGTCTACTTTCCATGTCTTGGCCCCTCAAGGTATCGGTATGACCTACCCCAAAGAACGTGTTGTACCCTTTTTCGGTGACTTGTGTGTCAAATACGAAGAAGGCTCCTCCTACAAACAGTGCGAAATTCGTCTTAACCGTATCCGTACTGCCTTTGACCGCTGGAAACATTACCTAGAGCAAATTCCACAAAATGACACTTTTGAGCCTCTCCCAGAAGCCATCCCAATCATCCAAAGGCTTCTCTATGCCCTCCTCGCTAATCACTTCTCGGCTCCTGTACAAACCCCTGAAGATGTCCTACGACTTTCCCTCTCAATCGAGCCAAACTTTTTCGGTACATATCTCAAAAACCATTACTCCCAGCGACTCCCCCTACAAACAGGATCCTATGTGCCTCTCCTTTTCACCATTGTGCTTCCGTCATATCGTCTGTTTGCTAAAACTGCTCTTCTCTCAGCTTGTAGCACCCTATTTACTTCTTCCTCTTCCTTTTCATCCAAACGACCCCTTCGTCCTTCCTCGTCTCGATCTGGTAATAGTGACTCGCTAAAACAACAAGCTTCAAGAAATGGCTCGGGTCTCACCTCCTCAGCCATCTCCTCCGCTTCTATTGCGTCCATTTCTTCTTCAACAACACTCTCCCCAGCTATGTCGTCCTTGTCCTTCCCCAATGTATCGGCTCTAGCGACTTGTGGTAACGTTGAACTTGACGCTGCCAGTAGGAACTTTATTGCGCATTGCCACTCTTCCAATGCTCTATTAAAAGACGTACGTGACGTTCTTAATGTGGCTACCCGTATTTACCATCTCTCAGATGATATTATTTTAAAGGGCTTCGATGAGGACTCTGCAACTACAGTCCCCGTGGATCGTAATAATAATATACCCTTGGCATTACCTCTTGAGGGTTCCCAACAACAACAACAACAACAACATGTTGCTAACGAACAAACCCTCATCATCAATACAGCCGTCAAGGCTGCTAATCTAGAAAGGCTTGTGGACATTTTGGTTCTTGGCGTTGGAGACTTTAGCACTTTTGTCAATCCTGATGACATGGCACGTTACCCATTACCACTACCACCACAGTCCCAGGTCCCAGGATCCGACCTTAGCATCAATAATACAATCTTCAAGGTTGACATGGACATCCACACCATGACATTTTTTGCAACTTACCGTAGCTTCTGCTCGCCATCGGTTCTTCTCGAGAGTTTCCGGAAACGCTTTGTTGGGGCCCAATCCGCTGCCCTGTCCATTTCGGCAACAAACAAGCGACCTCTACCACCTCCACACTATCTCCATCACCAGTACCAACAAGGTCATCACGTCATTCCTCAACAGCAGCAACAGATCCACCTCGACTCGCATTTCCCCAACTGGGACCCCACTTGCGATGCTGACCCAGAATCCATCGACTGGGTCATTGTTGCTCAGATTCAAATTGGTGTCTTGGAGGCGTGTCATTTGTGGGTCTCACAATACTTTTCTGATTTTGCAAATGATTTGCGTGCACGCGACCAGTTTCTGGATTTGCTGCGCAACTTTGAGGTGGAGTTGCAAACTTGGAAAGATGCAGGGGTGCTTCTACGTGACGATTACAAGTACTACTACGATACAATTGAGGCTCTACACAAAAAAGTTCGCAAACTTTTCATTAAAAAGTCTTATCGACCAATTGACATTAAAAAGCTTTTGCCTAGCTTCCCTCTAGCTGATCGATACGAAAATATCCTGCCCAATGGTGATATTAAAAGCCTTGAGGCATTGGTGGATGACCTCGACACTGTAGCTGCTGAATACTTTAGCATGATTAATCTACGCGATTGGATGGAGGTCTTTGAAATTCTCGAGACTCAAAGTGTAACTCTCACAGGTCTTTTTAACTACCGCTCCATGGGATCCAGCAATGACGATGAGATGGTTGTCATGGACATTTTCACCTACCTTGAGTCTCTTTACAAGACTACCTCCGAAGAGCGTCTTTTGTACTCATTCCCACGACCCCTCCGTGAACTCTTCAAGCTGCGCAACCACATCATCCATTATTTTGGATCACAGATCTCGGATCCCACCATCAAAAGAGATGATCGCATTGCACGCATGATGTCGATTCTCAAGATTTTGGGCATTGCACGCACTCGCATGGCCCCACTTGACGTCTTTTCCACAGACTACCCCTCGCTCAATGAGGACGCAAAATCGTTTGTTGACGACGATTCCAACTCGTCCTCTAGTGACCAGACATACCCCATCTCGCCCCACATTGCGTCTTTTGTTGAATCCGCCATTGCTGCGGCTATTGTGCGCCCTGAAAGTAGGGCATTTGCAAACTCATGGCTCTTGGCTTCTAAGGAAATCTGTAAGCAGTTTAGCGGCATCTTCACCGGTCAAATCACCACCGTTGACTCTGTCGTCCCAGATATTAGTTACACACTTTTGGCCCGCCGGGCCCCGCTAACACCTTGTGTTGGATGGCTACTGGAGCGCTTGCTTGAAATTGTCTGCTACATCCCCAACATGTGTGTTGAAAACTCCAACCTCATCAACTTTGACAAGCGCAGGTATACATACAACCTTCTCACTAATATTCTTGAGACCAAGTCTAGCCTTCAAACATTTGAGGCTCGCTTTAATACCACTGAGGGCAACCCTGCTCTACAAGAGTTTTCCAAGCGCATTTCCTACATTGTACACCCTACTGATGGACTGTACCACTTAGACCGTCGCGTTGCTCGTGAAGCAGCTTCTCGAGAGCTCAAGGATTACCCACGCTCTGCATCCAAGAACCGTGTGTTTGCCATTTATGTTGCAGCCGAAGCTGAAAAGCTAAAGCGTGACTCACGGCAACGCGAAGTGATTGAGCGCCAGGCCAAGGAGCTCAAAAAGGCAAACAGCAAGATGAATAAGGCCATGTCTGCCGGCGGCAATGGCCAAGATGCTTCCTCTATTTCTGACCGCAAAACAAGCAAATCCCGTTTTGGTGGGTTTCTCAAGGCTGTGCGGCCAATCTCCATGGCCTTTACTGGTAGTTTTACGCCGCCCACTGAAAAAACCATTCATCCAGATGACTTACCCGATATTGGCAATATGGGCGACGCAAGGTTTAAGCAAATCACATCCATCAAGCTTATTGACTCGGACATTACTCATCTGAAAGCTACCCGCGACCGATCATTGTTTAAGGTAACCACCAAGGGCACTGAGCATTGGTTTCAAGCACTCAACGAAACAGATGCCGAAGAGTGGGTGCGGTACCTGGAGCTTGCACGCAAGCACGCCCATTTGCTGGCCGTCATGTCGCCGACCTCTGCCAAGGTCTTTGGTGTGCCGATCCGCATTGTCACTGAGCGTGAGGGCTCGTTTGTACCACGTGTTGTTGAGACGCTCCTGTCGGAAATTGAGGAGCGCGGTTTGGAAGAAGTCGGCATCTACCGTATTCCTGGGTCACTTGCCAGCGTCAATGCCCTCAAGGCTGCGTTTGATTCCGGCGAAGATGTCAATATGAAGGATGACAGGTGGTTTGACGTCAACACTGTGACTGGGTGCTTCAAGCTGTACTTGCGCGAACTCCCGGAACCATTGCTGACATATGAACTTCTCGACGAGTTTGTAGCTTGTGGACATTTGGGACTTGGCGGAACAGGAGCTGGTACAGAGGAAGCCATTGTGCGGTTACATTCATGCATTGCACGGTTGCCGCCGGCCAACTACCACTTGCTGCGGCGATTGGTTCAGCATCTTAGCAAGGTGACACAGTTTGGCAAATCCAACAGAATGCATGCAGTCAACCTGGCCATTGTATTTTCAATGAGTTTGCTTCCTTCATCAAGTTCTGCAGCCATGATGAATGCTGATTTAGGCGCTATGCAAACCATTCTCAAAATTATGATTTCTTCGCACGAGCGTATCTTTGCGGAGCATCTTGACCAAGCCCCACCGCCTCAGGAAGAGATTCAGCATGAAACTATTGCTCCATTGAGATCGGAAACTCCAGTGGAGGAATGGGGGGAACACCATTCAATTCAACGGCAAACTACCCCCCGTCAGGGTACGCCTCGTCAAGGCACTCCCCGTTTAGGGACCGTGACTGCGGCTTCTCCGGAAATTTCTGCCCAGCCCACCCAGTCTGCTCCACCTCCACCTCCTCCTCCAGTGACTACCAGCAGTAGCAGTAGCCTTGCCAGTGTGATTCTCAACAAGAAACTCAATTCGTCACAGGCGTCGCTTGGAAACATTCCTGTGGATGAAGATACACGCCACTACTCGGCTCCATCGTCCTCTAACACTACCCTGCGTCAGGCCCGGGGCCATAGCATGTACTTTGAGCCTGGGTCTCTGTCTATTTCTGCAGCCCCAGTGCCTATTCTTGCAGCACCCGTGCACATGTCTTCAGTTTCGTCGTCCCTCAGTGTTCCCGTTACCGAACCTCCTCGAGTGTCAACGCCTGTTGGTACTAGCATTCCAAACTCTGTGGCAGCCACGCCTGTCACGCCTGTCACCCAGCACTTGGCTCAGATGTCTGTGAGCCCGCATTACGTGGCAAGCCCGCAACAACCGTCTCTCATGACGCCAACCACTCCTCAGCAACAGCAGCAGCAGCAGCAGCAGCAGCAGATACAACAACAGCAGACGCACGTTGTTGTTGCGCCTAGTCCCCAACGCATTGCAAGCACCCCACACGTGGTTATTCCTAGTTCACCAAGTCCTAGTGGTGGTGGCACTGGTTACACAAATGTGACATCTTCCTCGGCAGTTCCTTCATCGCCTAGCGGTGTAAGCAGTAACCCGTTGGTGGAAAAGCCAGTCGAGGTAGTTGCTCCTGTACCTGTTTCTTTGCAGCTACAGCAGCAACAACAGCAGCAGCAACAGCAGCAACAACAGCAGCAACAGCAGCAGCAACAACAACAACAAATGCAGCAATCGCCAGTGTACACACATGAGAATCCAAATGGCCGTACTGGCGGTGGGATTGTGGCGGCTGCAATTCAGTACTACAATAATGCTGGTGCGACGCCAGCAGCTAATGCAGCGGTCGAGTCTGTGACCACCAACAATATCAATGTGTCAACTTCATCGCCTACTTCATCGTCATCATCATCGTCGTCATCATCTTCTTCTGCTACCAGTGGAATTGGAATTGGAAGCACGGCCGGTAGTGCTCCGGTTGAGAGTGCTCAGGTTAATGGTAACAACAGTCCTCCACGACGCAACCTGATTTCTGTGGTGCGCGGGAATAATCGTGCTGCAGCGTCAGGTTCTAATTCAAGTACAAGCTCTAGCACGAGTACGAATACGAGCTCCAATGTCAATGCCAATGCCAATGTCAACTCCAATGCTAATACCAATTCTAATGTCAATGTGAGCTATTCTTCTGAGGAGAATAGTGATGTTGGGACTTTGAGCGAAGATGCTGCAATTGGTTTACGGTCCAAGCGATTTTCGTCGTTAATTCTTGGTGGTGGCGATTTCACCAGTAGCTGTAATAGTAATGGTGGAACAGAAGAAGCAAAAGATCATGAGACTGGTAGTAAGAGTTTAGGAGCAGATTTACTTGAAGCTGTTGCTGAGCAGGAATTAGAACAGGATAGTTTCAAGGTAGAAGTTGGTTGTGATAAGTGAAAAGAAAGAAGATGATAAACGTGGGAAATGAAAGTAAAAAATGAAAATGAAAATGAAAAATGGAAATGAAAAATGGAAATGAAAATGGAAATGGAAATGAAAATGGAAATGGAAATGGAAATGGAAATGGAAATGGAAATGAAAAAAATAATAATAATAATAATAATAATAAAAAGGAGGGAAAAAAATTGATTTTAGGAATGAATGAAAGGGAAAGAAAGGACAATAATTTTTTTTTGAATAATATTAGGAACATGTATGAAATTGTATGATAAAAATAATAAAAAAATAAAATAATGATGAATAAATTTAGTTAAATTTGGTTAACATTCGTATATTCAAATATTCAAATATTCAACTTTTGTTACAGTTACAATTACAAGATTTTTTTTTTCAGGTACATTAGAGACCAACCACCCAATAGGTTCGGGGGTAAACGTCAACTTTTATTATTAAATTTTTTAAATTTTTTTAAATTTTTCTTCTCCATTCCTCCGCAAATCTCCGCCTTTTTTTTTTTTTTTTTATCACCAGACTTTTTTCTTCTTCCCTCCTCCTCCTCCTTCTTTTTTTTTTTTTTTTTTTTTTTTCTTCTTTTCCTTCCATTCAACTATCAACTATCAATTAAACCCATTTTTGTTATCAGTAACAACAACAACAACAACAACAACAACAACAACAACTTTTACAACTAACTAAACTACCTATCTTCAACAGAGGTATTATGTCGTTCAAATTCAACTGGGACTCGTTTACTAGTGATGACGACTTTTATGATCGCGTTAGGACTTTGCTTTCGGACGCTCTGAACCGCGGGAAAATGCCTAACATTCTGGCAGACCGAATCCGCGTTCGTGAATTATACTTGGGCGATGAATCCCCACAACTCGAAATCCTAGAAGTCGGAGATCTGGCTGATGACCGGTTCCGGGGGATCTTTAAGCTCACATATGCAGGCAATGCTTCCATTACTTTAACAACCAAAATCCGTGCCAACCCACTCCAAGTTTATGCAATGTCGTCTCCTGGATTTTGCATGCCGCGATTCCAAAACTCTGCTGCAGCTTCACTCTCCATTCCACTCAACCTTACACTCTCCGATATTAAACTTTCAGGAATTATCATTCTTGTCTTCTCCAAAGCTAAAGGTCTTACACTTGTATTTCGAAACGATCCGCTACAATCTATTCGCGTCACATCGACTTTTGATACGTTACCTGGGATTGCGCGCTTTTTACAAACACAAATTGAAACCCAGATCCGACTTTTGTTCCGTGAAGACCTGCCTGCCATTCTGCACAAGCTATCACACAAATGGACACCACAAAGCAACATTGGCTTGGAAAAGTCGCGACTTCATCAAAAGATGGCGGAGCACCAGCGCGAAAAGCAAGCAGTAGCAGTAGCAGCAGCAGCAGCAGCAGCAGCAGGAACAGCAGGTGGAGTCGATACCAATACAACTGTGGTGGATAACGAGGACTTTGATGTGGATGCCGCAGCAGAACAACAGCAAGAAAATGAAGATGGAACTCAAGAAGAATACGTGCAGTTTGGTGACATTAACCCGGACATGCCGATTCTTTCACCTGCAAACATGGTCAAGCTCAATGCCCTATGTGCATCCCAACTTACCTTGTCTCTCTTTACACCGTCTATCAAGGAAACTGTGTACCGGGCCAATCTTGAAACTCATGGAGAGGGCTCTTCTGGAGCCTCTGGGACCAATGGCAATGCATTATCTGGACTTCAACATGTTGATGGCACAGTGGATCTTGATGAGATTATGAGAATCCAGTCACGTAATTATTTCCGAACTTCGCATGGGAAACCAAGACGTCGGGTTATTAAGGTTGGCGGCGCCAAAACAAATAATGCACAACAGCAACCTTCAGCTACAACTTCTTCTGATGATACAACAACTCCGGCTTCGGCTCCGGCTCCGGTTCCGGTTTCAGTTTCAGTTTCAATTCCAGTAAAGATAGCTCCTGCACTGAGTACATCGACACTTGTACCGGTTCCTGTGGCATCTCAGACCAAGACTACAACAGCCGCAACAGTAGCAGCATCAGCCGCAACAGTCGTATCAGCAGCAGCAACAGCAGCAGCAACAACAACAACAATAACAACACCTTTAAGAAAGAATACACGTACAACGAGCCGTACTCTCAAGAAGCCCGACGCGGGGTTGCAGGCGATTCCGCAGTCTCCAACCGATGGCAGTGGAACTGTTGGCATTTTAGGTTCACGTATGCCTTCTCTTGAGACTCCTGTGAAGCCTAGTAAGACTGGCATTAGTGGATTGTCTACTTCTATGTCTATGACTAAGCCAACAGACCCGGAAAAGGCTCAATTGTATGCGCGCGTACAGCATGTCATGCGGTCACAACCTCCTATGTTACGCGTTGTTGTTAATGACGACGAGGCACGATCAGAAAAGGTTCTTGCAGCAGATGTTAAAGCACAGCAGCAGCAACAACAACAACAACAACAAGTACTTCCGAGACGTCGACCTCGGTCGGGTATGAAGAATATTCATCATCATGGCCTTGGACAATCAGCAACTAAAGCAGGTGAGGCAATGGAGGACGAAGGACGGGAATATGGAAGTCCTCCACCTGCGTATGTGGCATAGGAAGAAGGATGAGAGATAGAGATAGAGATAGAGATAGAGATAGAGAAGCCACTAGAAAACTTTACACTAATGATGTGATGATGTGATGATTATTGTGGGAAGCATACCACTATACAATGATGATGATGATGATGATGATGATGAATGACTATATGACTATATGACTATATTATTGATACCCCCCTCCCTTCATAGGACTATTTGTGAAATTTTTTTTTAAAAGTGGTTAAGTTTTTTTTATATGTAAACATTGTAATAATGTTAAATTGTTTGTAAATTAAAACAAGTTTTGAGATCAAAATATTAAATTTCGGGGTTATTGAGTTAAGTTGAAATTAATCTAAGCTAAGCTTTGAATCAAGTTTGCGTCAGAATCCAAAACAATAATAAATATTAAAATAAATTATTTATTTAATTATTTAATTATTATTGATAAAAAAAAAAAGATTATAAAAGATAATTATCATTTGATAACAATAATAATAAAAAGGTGTAGTTTATACATCAATTTACGGATATATAGACGATCATTGAATATATTATTGTTATTATTATTATTATTATTATATCTATAGTTTTTAGTGAAGATGGTGATAGTGCAAAAGTCAAATAATTTAATTATTTTTTTTCTATAGTTGCCAATTTTTTTTTTTTTTTATTTTTTTTTTACATACACACTTTAACGAGGATTAAAGAGATGAATAGTGAAGTGACTAAATTTCTTAAAGCACTAAAAAACTAAATGCATATAAATATTATGTAATGTTTACGTAATTTATTAAAAAAAATTTTTTCCCTTTTTCTTTTTAAATAGAAATTATTTTATTTCTAAAAAGAAAATATTAGGGCATTTAGCGTAGTGGCTATCGCGTCTCCTTCGCATGGAGAAGGTCACCGGTTCAACTCCGGTAATGTCCACTTTATTTAATTTTTTTTTGTATTTTTGGTTAAAAGGAAAGTATTTGATTTGAGGTATCTAAGGAAGAGTTAAATTAATTGATAAAAACAAAAAAAACTTCCTTCATAGACTTAATTAATATATATATAATTATTTATATAAATTTATATCATGAGGTTCTTCTACTATTTCAAGAATCTCACATAAAGTATTATTATAATCTAAAAATGAAAAAAAAAAAAATCCTCATTAACAAGGGCATCAGCAGATACTATATATATTGAATAAAAATATCAATGTAGGCCATTTTTATAAAGATATTCAACAGCATACTTTACACAACAAAAGAAAAAAAAAATCATTCTAGCAACAAAGCTTTTGTTATAAAATATGGTGGATAAAAAAAAGAAAATGAACAATTTTTTTTGTTGGGAATTTTATTTGTATATAATGAGGCTTATAGAACATGAGACCATTTAGAATATATATATTTATATATGTTTTTAAATGAAATAGAAAATGTCATTACATTTGAATAGTCAGTTATTTTAAAAAGATGTTGAAAAAAAAAACAACACAATTATATATAAATAAATATAATTGTGTTTCTCGGGAATTATCACACCGAGATTTTGATGGAAATTATAATTATAATTTACATTATAATGTAAATTAATGGAAGTAATACAAAAAAAAAAAAAAAAAAAAAAAAAAAAAAAAAAAAAACCGGTGATTGTAGAAATAATGACAAAAAACTTGATTCTGTGCATGTCTTTGAATTGAGATTTTATTTTCATTTGGAGAAATATATAAAAATAACTAAAATTTATATATAAAAAATATTTGGATTAAATAAATAAAATAAATGAAATAAATTATAAACTTCTTCTTATAATAATTTACTTTTGATATACGAAAAAAAAAATCAAAAATCAAAAAATATAACTATTAAAAAAAAAAAAAAAACAAACTATCAAGGATAACTTATGATAACTTATAAGTTATCCTTGATAAATATAATTATGTTTAAACTTGTACGTTTCAAAGATTGAACAGAGACACAAACAACATGTTTTCTTTTTTTTTTTATACTAAATATAGAGACTTTTTTTTTTTGAGTTTTAAAACATAGATAGACCATCGGATAATAATAATAATAGTAATAGTAATAATAATAATAATAATAATAATAATAATAATAATAATAATAATAATAATAATAATAATAATAATAATAATAATAATAATAATAATAATAATAATAATAATAATAATAATAATAATAATAATAATAATAATAATAATAATAATAATAATAATAATAATAATAATAATAATAATAATAATAATAATAATAATAATAATAATAATAATAATAATAATAATAATAATAATAATAATAATAATAATAATAATAATAATAATAATAATAATAATAATATTAATAATAATAATAAAAAACAATGATTGTCGAAAAATTTAAGGGAAATCGCAAAAAGGCAATTAAAAAAATCAAAATCAAAAAAAAAAAAAAAAAAAAAACATTTCCGATTGGGAATCGAGTGCGTGCAAAATCTAAATTTCAGAGCCATATATATATATATATATATATATATATATATATCTTTTAATGATGATTTATAAAGAGAAATATCACCAATAAAAAAATAATTTGCCACTCTAGACTTGTATTTCTTTGTATTTTTTATTTTTTTAATTTATTTTTTAAAAAAAACAATAGTAATTTACAAAAAGCATTTTTTGCCCTTTAATTTAGTTAATCTTCTGTGTTTAATGCTTTATGTTAAATTTTTTTATTAAAAAAATTTTAAATTGAGCGTACAAATAAAATGATGTATATAATATTTCTCCCTATTAAACCCTAGCTTTAAATTAATTACAAAATATATTCAATAATTATTAATGTTAATAAACATTTCATATTTCACAATTCATGTGTATTTAATAATATTCTTTTATCTTCTATACAAAAAAAAAAAAACCAAACAATTTATATAAAGCCTTACCGGAAACTTCCTATATTTGCCATTGTCTTGAGTTTTGAGTCTTGGTTTTCATGTTTTATTATCTTTTCCTAATATAAAAAAAAAAAGATCAAGAAAAATACTAAATTAATTTTTTTATTACATAATTACATTAAAAACACTTTTTTTTTTTTTTTTCTTACAGACGACTGGCAATCTTGGCCTCTGTGTGTGTGCGGCGCCCTATACCATTGACTCTAGAACACGAAACACATTGACTAGCATCCAGTCCACAAATACACAATGGGTGTCTGGCCAAAACTATGTTTTTGCCACTTGTTTTATTTGGGGAAAGTGTTGTTTTGGTTGTGGTAGGAACAGCAGAAGTAATAACAGAAGAAGAATCATGTTTAGCAGAAAAAGTACAACTTGGTTCTGAACAGAAACAATCTTCGATACTTGAACCAGAAAATCTCAGCACAGGATGGCGGTTGTGGTAATTGTGGTAGTCATGAACATGGTCATCATCATGACCATCATTATATTGTTGTTGAACAAAATTGCCACTTGTTTTTCCCGCAGAAAGGGAGGCAGGAGAATGGTTCATCATTTGAGAAAAATAACTGTTACATTGAACACAGTCTTGGAGCAAAAAACCGCACATGCAAATGGGATGTGGACGGTGAGGAGCTGGTGGCTGAGGCATTAAACGATATGATGAAACAGATGTTGAAATGGCAGAGCGAACAGAATCGACAATTGAAGAAGAAGTCATTTTTGTTTTTTTTAAGTTTTTTTGTAGTAAAGCAAAAGTTATTTGATTGATAATATGAAAGAGCAAGTTAAAAAAAAAGTAGATCAGATCAAGTTAATGATTTTTATATATTTATAAAAAAAAAAAGGAAAGCGAAAATCTTGGACTATTTATACTTGAAAACAATTGCTTTTTGATTCTAATCTTGGTCCTCGATATTGAAATAAAAATGTACGCACGGAAAAATATGGCCCATGAAATTAATCCGGAACTTTAAAATTTAAAATAAATAAAAACTGCGCAGACGTGTGTATATAATAACGATCCCCTTATCTACCGTAAGTATATATATATAACAAGTAACTTGAATGTATTTGACCAGAAATGAAAAGAATCTTATATTTGCGAAAAAATCTCGGACATTAGAATAAAAAAGAAAAAGAAAACAAAATTGAAAGTAATCAAATGAAAGAGGGTTTAATGCTATTATTAGAATACCTAAAGTGCGATTAAATTCAAAAAAAAAAAAAAAAAAAAAAAAAATTAATTACAACCAAAACGGCAAAATGAATGAGCCTAGTTATTGTCGAGGGAGCGCCACCGTTTAATCGTAGCAGTTGGAATACAGAAATAACAGGTTAGAGTTTGCGAAGAAAAAAATGTGCACTTAAACAAATTGGAAAAAAATTATTTTTGTTTTCTTTCCTCATTCATATTATTATTATTAAATTGGCTATTCTATTTTACTGCTGTTTTCTCTTATAGACTATAATATTCAACACAGAAATCAATTTAGAACCCACGTAAATCCTAACAGTAGTAATAGTATTTTTAGTATCTTTAGTATTAATAGATTAATGTAGGATAATAATAGATTAAAACCCTAATTGAATCTATACACATGTATGTATGCGTACCCTAAAAATAAACTTTAATAAATAAATAAATAAATAATAAGTACCAAGTACTAAGTATTAGGGCACAGGGTTATCTTTAAACTCATCTATCCTTCAGACTATTTCCCCATTTCTTTTTTTTGTAATAATATTACAGGTGTTTATTTTATTTTTATTTATTTATTTAATTTTTTTTTTTTTCCAAACCTCCTGAAATCAAATCACCAGTGTCCTTTTTTTTTTTTTTTTTTTTTTTACAGCACCCTTACAAAACAATATAATATATATATATATATATATACATAATTCTTCATAAATATAAATATATAAACAATGGCAGAACAAGAGGAAGATTACTCGACCTTGCCAATAGAAACAAGAGCCACTCATAAGGTACATACACTTTTTTTTTATTACATTTTCTTTTTCCATCTAACTAACACCTTCCCTTCTCTCCCCTTGACTATCAATCTAGGTCTGGAAAGTCCGATTGGCTGCTTACGAAGATATGAAAAATTCGTTTACAAAATCCAGCCACGAATCCGATGAATGCTTCAAACCTTTTCTCGAAGACCCAAATGTTTTTAAAAAAATTGTCACCGACGCCAATGTCGTAGCCCAAGAAGCTGGTCTGGCCGCACTGGTCGCCTTTCTAGAGTTTGGCGGCCCACAATGCTGTCTGCGGTATGCATTAAACCTAATCCCCCTCCTTACCTTACCTCAACTAAACTAAACTAATCAATGACCACTGTTTCCTAGTCTTCGAAGCCATATCGTTCCACCAATGCTCGAAAAAACCATGGGTTCAACACGTACCGGTACAAAACAAAACACCCTCGATGCTTTGCTCTTTTTCATCGAGCTTGACGTGGCCGATCCTGTCATTGAAGACATGATACCAGTGCTTTCTCACAAGACTCCTAAAATTGTTACAGGTACTACCCATGCGCTTGTTGAAATCATCAAGGCCTACGGTTCTAAAACTGTTCCATGCAAATCAATTGTTCAAGTTCTTCCAGCACTTTTTTCCCATGCGGACAAAAACGTACGCGCAGAAGCACAAGCTCTCTCAGTTGAACTTTACAAATGGCTAGGGGATTCGCTAAAAGAATTGCTTTTACCCAATCTTAAACCCGTCCAGCAAAAGGATCTTGAGGCAGAGTTTGAAAAAGTCAAAGGTGTTGCTCCACAACAAACTCGCTTCTTGAGATCCCAACGTGAGTCCATGGATAGACTCGAGGCCAGCGGCATTGATATATTAAACAATGGAGATAACACTGGTGTGGATGAGGATAATGATGTGGAAATGGACTTGTATGATCCAGTCGAAGTTTTAAGCAAAATACCCATGGACTATGAAAAACGTGTTTCATCATCAAAATGGCAGGAACGTAAAGAAATTCTGGAAGAAATCTTTGCAGTCGTTAATATACCACGTATAGAAGAGGGTGACTATGGCGACATTATGCGGGTCTTGGCCAAGTGCATGAAGGACGCAAATATCCAAGTTGTCACCATTGCTGCCAACATTTTTGAAGCATTGGCTAAAGGTCTCAAGTCTTCTTTTGCACGATATGTTCCTGTAGTTTTGAGTCCAGTACTTGAGCGCCTTAAGGAAAAGAAGGCTTCCATTTCAGAGGCCCTTGGTAAGGCTTTGGATGCCATGTTTAACAGTTCGTCATTGTCTGAAATTCTTGAGGAAACAATTACATTTTTAAAGCACAAGACTCCACAAGTCAAGATTGAGACTGCAAAGTTTTTAACCCGGTGCTTGTCAAATACCCGTGCCATGCCTACCAATCAGGAAATCAAACTTATTGCAGAAGCGGGTGTTGTCATGCTCTCTGATATGCAAGAACCTGTTCGCTCGGAGGCTGCACATGTACTTGGAACCCTGATGAAAATGACTGGCGAGCGTGCCATGATTCAATTTTTAGAAAATGTGGATGATATCAAAAAGGGCAAAATTAAAGATGCGTTTGAAACAGCCCAAGTCAAAGCTAAACCTGGGAGATCAGCGGCAGCACCACCACCACCACATCCAGCGACAACCACAGCAGCAACCAACTCATCGACAGCATCTTCAGCAGCTGCAATAACACCAAGACCACGACCTGGAGGCAAGCCTGTTTTACGCAAGAAACTTGTTCCTGCCTCAACAAGTGGTGGTGCTTCTACGGCTCCCACAGCAAGCAAGCTTAGAACAGCAGGTGGTCTTGTGCGACGTCCTGGTGTCGGCTCTGCTAGTCCAGTAAAGGCTCGCCCAGAACCTTCAGTGGAGCAATTACCACCACCACCACCATCACCCCAACAACACCACCAACAACAACATCAACAGCATGCTGCTGCACCTACAACACGACCTGGGCTTGCAAGCCGTACTGTTGGTGGTGGCTTGACTAACAGGCCAATTGCATCTCAAGCAAGGGGGGGTGCAACTACCGGAGGTGCTACATCTATGGCAGCAACAGACTTTGGAATCTCTGCACAAGAACGACAAGAGCTTGAGAAACTGCGTGCAGAAAATCAAGAGCTTCAAAGGGAACGCGAGCATTTGCAATGGCAAGTTCAAGGATTTAACTCTGAGAAGATGGCATTGATGCAAGAAATCAACAATCTACAATTTAAGGTGAGTGGAAACAAGGAAAGTGAATTATGACTGGCTTTTACTAACATTTTGATAGAATGCACAACTTGTGGATGAACATACCCGTGATGTTGTATCAATCAAAAGCAAGGAAACCCAACTGGTACGAGCACAATCGGATCTTGCGGCTGCACGTGACCAACTTACGGTACTTAAACGTGAAAACGAGAGTTTACGAGCACGAGGGGTAGACCAACAACATCACCATCACGATCAACAAGGAGAAATTTCCTACAAGTCCATGTTTGGCGGGAATAATGGCGGGGCCATGACATCGCCGATGAGACACTCGTACTTAGAATCTCCACGGCGCAAAGTGCCAACCGCAGTGCCTTCCTCTGGTTATGGACGATTAGATGAAGGCAGTAGTCTTCAGTCTAGAGCGGCAGTAGGAGTGAGTTTACATGTAAGAGCCTCTAGTGTTGATGCCATGGATATTGATAGCGAGGGGGTAGTTTCTGATAATAGTATCAATGGGAATGGGAATGGAAGCAGTGGTAACAGTGGAAGTATAATTGCGCCAACAAGTTCTCGACCCAGTAGGCTTCCACGGGCTCCTGGACTTGGACTGGAATGTTTGGAGAGTGGTAATGCGGGTGCAAATGTTAGTGATTGGCAGAGAGAGACGAAGCGGACAGAACAGTTGAAGGATCGGTTGAAGCAGATTCAGCAATTGCAGCAACGGTCTGAGGAGCGTCGTCGGATGAAGGAAGAAATGCGTCGATAGAAAGGAAGAATTATGAATTTAATTACACTCTTAACAAAAAAATAGTAGGGGAAGGGTGCATTAACACCCAAAAATCTCAATTTCTAAAATGACCACCCATACATGAGCGACTTAAGTAAAATTTACTCGGTAGAGACCCACTCAAATTTCACGAATTTGGAAGTTCAACCTACATCCCCAATTTACATTTGAATGTAAAATAAAAAATATATATATATATATATATATATATTTTTTTTTCTAACATATGAATATATTTTTAAATATTTAAAAATGTTTAAAAATACATTTCAACAGTTATTAAAATTATAAATTTATCAACTTATAGAGAAAATTTTCAGCTTTTTAATGATATAATTTTCATCTAAAAATCTTTTTAAAATTAAATAGAAATTTGTAAAAAATATATAAATGGTGTTAAAATCTAACAAAAAAATTGTTTTAGATAGTATTTAACATTCTAAATCTAACTATAATATAGATTTGAATCTATTTAGATCGTCAATGTTGATTTTTATTGATGTTTGCACGCTGCGTTGACAACTGTTTATTGTTTTTGGTGGCGAGATTACATAATCAATATTTTCTCTCATATTTCAACTATACAGCAAAACCGTGTCTACTTGAGACGAGAAAACTTCTGGGTAGAGTATTATATCACGTGATTATAAGCACGGCTTTTTTTTAAAAAAATTATTATTTTATTTTATTTTATTTAATTCTCTTATCTCAAATTATTAAATATATATATTTTAAACATAATATTATTTAGAAAAAAAGTATTACAACAAATCCCCCATCATTAAATAAGCAAGTGTCATAAAAGCCGCAGCAATCCTATATAGGATAAATATATAGCTTATATGTTATTAAATATATATATTTTAAACATAATATTATTTAGAAAAAAAGTATTACAACAAATCCCCCATCATTAAATAAGCAAGTGTCATAAAAGCCGCAGCAATCCTATATAGGATAAATATATAGCTTATATGTTAAGTTTCAGAAAATAAATATATAGGTTAAATCTCAGAAAAAATAGATATATAGGTTAAATCTCAGAAAATATAGATATATTTATATAGATTATTAATTAAATCTCAAAATATAGAGTAAATCTCAAAATATTATCCTGGATATATTTGGATATAAATCTCAGAATATATTCATATAATATATATTTTCAAAAAATAACAAACAGAGCCCCCATGCATTGATAATATACCAGCTCAAGACAGGTAAAGATAAAAATTTGAAAAGTATTTCTATAACCATCAATAACATAATAAAAATTTAAACTTATAATTTATGCTCACCATGTAATCAAATTAATATTTAATTACATATGAATACCATTTGAATTAACATAAATACACATATTGAACAAAATTCCTAAATAAGTAAAACAAACATTTCACATTTCACATTTCACTTAATAATAAAATCAAAATTACAAATGATCATATTTATGATGAACAATAACTTACAAACCAATAAACCAAGAATCTCACTTAATAATGAAATTATAAAAATCAAATCACGTTCAAAATAACAAAATACTCTATTCACATACTCATTAATAATGCCTAAACCATTAAAGCAAACATGTCATTAAAAAAAACAAATTATATTTAAAAAAAAAAATATCCTATTTACATACCAATGTCTTCAATTTTTTTTGTTTAGGTAAACAAAAATAAAATAAAAAAATTAAAAAAAAAATCAAAACATTTTATCAAACAGACAACATTGACAATATATCAAAATATATATATATATATATATATATATATATATTTAATAAAATTGCCGCTAGAGGCAATGAACTGGGATCTCTGTTTACATATATTGCAGGATTTAATAAAATTTATATAATAAGGGAAATGATTATCAATATTATCAAAAAAATAGTTTGAAAAACAATCGATATAAATGTACATCAATGAAATTATAAAAAAAATTACAACGTACACATATTTCATTATATTCTGACATTGACATTGACATTGACATTGACATTGACATTGACATTGATATTTTTTGCAATACAGAAAAAACACAAAACAAAATTTCTTCCACAATAATCAACTGCAGCAAAAATATATATTTAAAATTTTCTGTATTTGTATTCTACAATCAATAATAATATTCATTTATAATACTCTCAGAAAATATTAAAACTTCATACTTCCAAACAGGATTAAAAATGTAGATAATGAAATTTTTCAAGAAATTGATAATGATATTTAAACCATTATTGTACTACTGATATAAATTTAACTAATGATAACATCACAAGATCCCGTCACAAAGATTACAAGATCCCATCACAAAGATTACAAGATCCCATCACAAAGATTACAAAATTCCGTTACAAAGATTACAAGATCCCGTTACAAAGATTACAACTCTCCATCAAAACATGTTTTGCAATGACAATCAATAAAATACAAGGTCAATTATTGTCACACCTTGACATATATTTCACTAATCATTCTTTGGTTCATTGTCAAGCATATTTCGCATTTTCGCGAATCACAAATGTGAATCAACTTGATTTTCTCCCAAAAAATCACTATAATATTTTCCCAAATATCATGTATGAAACTGTCACCAAACATTTCAGTATATCTTCGTTGCAGGAATTTAATTTAACTCAATCCAATAAATTAGATGAATCTGATTTATATCAAAACCAACAATCTCAACCCCCAGTGCATCCAATTATATGTAATAATAATATCAATCTTATTTGCACCAATTCCAAGAATCATTGCATTAAAGACATAGATGATAAATCTATTAATGACTACAATGATGAATCTAATAGCAATTACTTTGAATTAAATGAACAAGAACTAAAAGTTTTAAATAATATAAATTTAAAAATTATTTAATAAATTACATTAACTTTTATATAATTATATAATTCTATTTCTTATAAATTTCATTTAATTAATTTTTAAATATTATAATCAGTATATATATGACTATATTACATTACAATTAAATATGACATAAAACATTTGACATAAAACATTTGACATAAAACATTTAACATAATCCATTTGTCATAATCCATTTGACATAATCCATTTGTCATAAAACATTTTCATAATCCATAAACCATTTCAGCGAACGCTAGCGGTAACGCTAGCGTGAATCTTGTATTATATTAAATTAAATTAAATTAAATTACTCCTGGGTGCAGATTTGAAAACAATATCTCACGTTTTCCCTTCCATTCTTGAAGGTTTTTTGCGGTTGCAATAATCTCTTCATTAGCTAACTGTATAATTCCACTAAATTGAGCCCCACCTACCAAGTACTTCTCGTAGTGGCGATTTAAATACTTTGTGACCTTCCTCCTTTTTTCTAGAACATTTTTCGATCTCTCTGCAACTTCTTCAATAGTCAGATTCATGTTTTTCTGGTTAATCTTTGTTTGAAATTGGCCGCCTATTTCATCTTCATCTTCGTAAAGAGCCAAATCAACTGGCTTATCATCCTCCCGTTCAAATCTAGCAAAAACATTCGGATCAAACAAGTACTGCATCAGATAAAAGTTGTCTTCTTTATCCTTATGATACGGAGGCGATATAATGAAAGAAAGATTACCAACACGTTTAAGAGGAACCGCACTAAACCAATTAACTGTTTTAAAATCTGTGCTGCGAAATCCAAGAACAAGTTTGCCTTTTTGTTTCTCGTGAAGCTTCAAATCTGAGTCAAGCTCCAATTTTTCGCACTTGTCAAGATCAAAAAACTTTCCAACAACAAAATCCTCTTCTTTCTCATCGGGATATTTCACTTTCACAAACACGAAACACTCCATATAAATGGCAAGTTTGTATGCTGATATGGCTATATTTGATCTTTTAACCCGAATAACTTGACCACATTTCACCGTCTTCTTGGGGTCTGATAAGGGCTTGCACTGCTGGTATAAATAATTATTTTTTTTTTTAGAGATAGGTAGAGAGAGAGATGTTATATATTGTTAAAGAAAGAAAGAAAGAAAGAAGGAAAGAAAGAAAGAAAGAAAGACATCAAGGAATAAGAAATAAGAAATAAAACATAAGGCTTAAGGCTTAAGATACAAAAAACATCAATTTGAAAAACCCGGCGAAAACTCCGAGCGCCGGTGAAAAACGCGGGGATGAACAGTATGAGAAGGGGGGGTTGGTGGTGGTGGTGGCGGTGGTGGAGACTTTTGGCGGGACATAAATGCGAGCGGCGATGTTTCGGGCTGCGCGGTGGTTGGCTGGCTGGCTGACTGGCTAACAGTTTTTTTTTTTTATTTTATTTTTTTTTTTTCGCCTTTATAAAATTTCACCACCACCTTTTAATATTTAAATCTCTTTTTTTTTTTTTTTTTTTTTTTTCACTTCAACAATAGTTATTTCTTTTCTTTTCTCTCTCTCTCTCTTTTTATTTTTTTTTTTACTCTTTTTCTTTTTCTTTCTCTTTCTTTCTCATCAATCACATTTATAAATCAAACAAAAAATGTCTCTTCGTATCGTTGTCCCAGTTAAGCGTGTTATTGACGCTGCCGTTAAGCCCCGCATCAAGAATGGCGCCATCGACATGACCGGTGTCAAGACCAGCATTAACCCCTTCTGCGACATTGCTCTGGAAGAAGCCGTTAGACTCCGTGAAGGTTCCAAGGGTCTTGTTGCCAACATCCACGCCGTCTCTGTTGGCCCCGAGAAAGCTCAAGATGTTCTTCGTCAAGCCCTGGCTAAAGGTGCCGACAATTCTACTCTCATCAACACTGGCAAGGAAGAGCTCGAACCTCTGGCAATTGCCAAGTTGCTTAAGTCTGTTGTTGACAAGGACGGCGCCAACCTCGTTTTGCTGGGCAAGCAGGCCATTGACGACGACTCTAACCAGACTGGCCAGATCCTTGCTGGTCTTCTCAAGTGGCCTCAGGCCACCAACGCCTCTAAGATTGTTATTGAAGGCGACAAGGTCACTGTCACTCGTGAGATTGATGGTGGTGAGGAGACCATTGCTGCTAAGCTGCCACTTGTTATCACTGCTGATCTTCGTCTTAACGAGCCCCGCTACGCTACTCTCCCCAACATTATGAAGGCCAAGAAGAAGCCTCTCACCAAGATTGCTCTTAAGGACGCCGGCGTCGATACCAAGCCCCGTCTTCAGACCGTCTCTGTCGAGTACCCCCCGACCCGTGAGGCTGGTTCTATTCTGGGATCTACTCAGGAGCTTGTTGAGAAGCTTAAGGCTGCCAGTCTTGTTTAATTGTTTAATTGTTTGATTTTTTTTTTTGTATTTGTTGAATGAATTTATAAAAAAAAAATTGAAAGAAGAATTATTAAAATATATATGAAGAAGAAGAAGAAGAAGAAGAAGGAGCTTTGACATTAATCCCTTACCTATAATTAACTACAGATGTGTACCATTACGACCCCCTAAGATATATAAAAATGAGATGTATGAGTTTTTTTTTTTACTTTAATATGAATAATATTTACGAGTTTATACGAATTGATTGTATCAAAAGGGTTGTGTGTAGATTGATAATTAAGTCTTTGATGAGTTTTTTTTTTATTTATTTATTTAATAATATATATAGAGAAAAATATATATTTAACGATTTTTTTGTGGGGTGGCTGGCTGGCTGGCTGGCTGGCTGGGTATTTTAATTTTAAACGGGATGGAAAATTTTAGTGGCAGAGAATTAAAAAAAAAAAAACGGAGCGGAGCGGCGTTGGTCCTAAAAAATAAAAAATGTTAACCGAGGAAGTTAATTACATCACATGACTATATTATTACATTTTAAGTATATTGTATAAATTGTAACAATTTACTGTAATTAATTAACACATTAAAGTCACATAATATCTATTATTAATATATTATTAATATTTATATCTATAATATATCACCGTAGATCATCATCACTCCACAATATCTGACTGCGCCTTGTCAAAAACCTTATTTTTTTTTTTTTTTTTTTTTTTTTTTTTTTTTATTCCAGAGAGATTTTTAAACATTTCTGCGGTTTTTTTCTTTTCTTTTCTTTTCTTTCCTTTCTTTCTTTTCTTCCTAATATAAATATAAAAATACCAAATTCTCAAATCTCACAAATTTCACAAATCTCCTAATTCAACAATTATTAAATTTTCAATCTTTATATCATCAAATGTTTTTCTTTTTTACGTTTGGGTGTATGTATACAATTTACTAACACTAAATATAATAGAAATACCATTCAAAATAAAACTAACCAAAATATTATATAGTCAGCAACTATCCTTCAGTCATTAAAGGATTTGAAGGAATTAGATTCTACTGTCCACGTTGTCACAACTTCTCTCTTGAAGCCCAAAAAGATCACAACTTTTTTACCTTTTGCTTTGTTCCTGTCATTCCAATTTCCTTCTCAAAGAACCTTGTCTGCACCATATGTAACCACAAACAGGCAACAGACATGTCTCAATTAGAAGCTATGAAGGCCCAGCAACAGCAACAGCAACAGCAACAGCAACAACAACAACAACAACAACAACAACAACAACAACAACAACAACAACAACAACAATACCAACCACTGGGTGCAGGGAATAAACAAGGATACCAGCAAGGATACCAAAACTATCAAGGCCAACAGCAACAAGGCTACTCGTCACAGGGAGGCGGTTATCCAAGCCAATCGTCTAATGGCGAGTACAATGCACCTCCACCACAATACAAACAGTAGTTTTAAGCACTACATTTTATCATATACATAAACTGTTGTTATTTTTATTTTCTTTGGGACTTTTTTTTTATTATTATTTTTCGTGTTTTTATTTAGTAATTGACTTTTAATGAAATTGACTTTGTAACTTTTGTTTTCTTTCTTTTAATTTTCATTAAGTTAGTTTCATTTTCTTTATAATGAACTTCACAAGATACCCAATTTTTTTTTCAACATTTCTTACTTATACATATATCCGGCAACTTTTTTTTTTTTTTTTGTCATTAAAACATTTTGCGGTGCAGAATGGCAAGCAAAAAAAAGCAAAAAAAAGCAAAAAAAAAAATAAGCAATCATTATCAATACCATCTTCAAAACCAATGTTGTAAGAAAAAATACCAATTTTTTTCTTTGAGAAGATCAATTATAAATAGGGACCATTATTTATTGAAACATAATTTATCAACCAATATATTATTAATAATAATTTATTTTAATAAAACAACCAATATTATCTATAGAATCATTATTCATTTATTGGATACTTTAATCCAATTCTATTTTTATATTTTTATTACTTTCCTTATCATATCCAGAACACAACTTTTTATTTGTTATTAACTTTAGGCATCTTTCAACTTTCTGAATTACAGAAAGGGGATTTCGAACTTTTCTAGTATGCCGATATATAATTCCTTTTACTCTTTAATCGCTTGAAGATTATTTTTAAGTCATAATACTAATTTTTAAATTTAGTACTACAGAAATTTACTTTTAAAATCAAAATCTCAAATATTAACAATATTCTATTAATACGACTTAAGAATTTTCTTTATGTGCACTTCTTTTAGTAATTATATATGAAAACCATGGACTGTGTGAATTGAATTATTCATAAAAAATCCTTATTTTTAAAATTATCATCATATATAGATACCTTTTTTTTTTTCTTTTTAATAAAAAAAATTCCCAGATTTCTCAATTACCTATTCAATTTCGATATCATTTCAATATTCATATTCTTTTTACGTTTCACATGTTTAATAAATTGATTTTTAACAAATGAAAAAAAAAAGCAATACAAGTTTTGAAACCCTAATCATCTTCGTATTTAAAATGCTAGCTTTTACAGTGCTGTTGAAGAGAAAATAAAATACGGTAAAAATATCGAAACTCTTTAGAGAATTCATTCATGTATCAACCAGTTACAAATAAATCTATTGTTTCAAAATTCCATGTCAGATGCTCTCCCTGCTCAGAAAGCTTAGTGACCTCTTTTGTATTATAGTAATTTTTTTTTTTTTTCAAATTTTCAAATTTTTTATTTTTCTGAAAATCCATAGTTTACCCATTTTTTTTCCCTTAATCATTTTGAAATTATTCACAAATACACCTTATAAGGTACTCTTATATATAGAATTATTCCAGTACGATACGGATTTATACTAATCAAAAAACTAAGGAAAAAATTCTCCGAAATAGACTCTTTTATTTTAAAGAAATCAAATAATGACCTTTTTACTCTTATATATATATTTTTTTAAATTTTTAAAACTTTGTTTATATTGAAAATAATTATCCATATTTTGGGTTATATTTGCCTATAGTTTAATAATTATAATTATTATTTTCTTATCCCTGCCAAGAACAAAAATATATTATTCATTTACCATGGGAATCTTCTCACACTCTGAGTTGAGATTTTTTGACACCTTTCATTTTACCCGAATAAAACCAACTAATTTTAAGTTTACATCATTTCTTAAAAAATTGTTTCTATCATAGACTTTTATAATTAGTACCACACCTCCAAATATGGCTTCTGAAAACATTAATTTTTTTCATATCAGAAACTGAGAAAGGTGAGGTCTCAGCTACGGCAACTGGCATTCCAATTCTAGATCACAGCCAGAAACCCAAAAAATTTCTATATATTAAAAAATTTCTGATGTTTAAACCAAAACCAGAAAAAAAAAGTAATAGAATTCTTGATTCCGAATTTCAAGTAATATCTATAGCAATTAAACAAAAAGTTACTATAATGTTGGCACCTAACTCGGGTTCATCCTCAACCGTTAGAACTCTAAACCTTATTTAAATTCTCTGAATGTTATGATCTGTGTGCAGTGTCTTAAATATCAAAATATATATAATTTTTAAAAATTAATAATTTCACATAATTTCATTCATTTTAAGCTGTGGTTTTATTTTTAAAATCTACAATATCTATATATATCGACTCCAAAAGATCTACGAATTCTTGAGACAGTCAAGGCGTTTTCTAGTCTTGCGAACATATACACCTGAACTGAGATCTCAAAATATTTTCATGTTCCATGAAGCACAGTTTGTGATCATTTCAACGGTATTAAAGATTTTTGTACGGTTCGCGTTTAATGAAGATTATTGATACCAATAGATGAATTTATTCTCGTAGATCAGATCATTAATTTGTGCAAAATGACATTAATTCCTACAAACAAAAGTGTGATGGCAATGGAAAATAAAATATTGCAACTGGAAACCTCTTAAAACTCTCAACCATCATGGTTATGGTTAAAGAAATTTATTCAACACACCAGCGTGTTAATACAGTCAAAGCGGGGTCTACTAGATATACCAAGAGTGAGAGAAGATGGTGAATATTTAATAAAATTATTATTCCATGATTTGCACTACTACAAAGCGAAATATAATGTCCCCCCTTTGCAAATAAGGAATTTAGAAGAATGAAAGTTTTAATGTAGTGAATGAGCCTATCAACGGTTGTTTATTAAGACAGAAAGATCTTTTAAACAAAAAGAAACTGATGGAATTTTAATTTTATATTTATCGGTGAGTGAAATACATCTATTGTTACGCTTCTAAGAATCACTCTTGTCACTTTCCTTATTTCTGAACCACCTTCAGTTCCGAATCCCTTAGTGTCATATGAGTTTGAAAGGGATTCGCTTCTATGATTAACTTTTTTATCCTGGTAGACCAGTCTCAAGAACTTATTTTTTTAATCACTATTGGATTCTCGTTGTTTTTTTGTTACATCAAAAATATTATTCCCTCAACTCGGGAAACTACCGCTGGCCATAGACGCACCACATTAATTAAAAAATCCTAAAATGATGAGGGCTGTTCATTTCTGGCGAAAAAGGACCAGCTGTAAAATTTCTAACTAAAAAATCTCTATAATCATTTCGTTATATTTTCAAATATATATATATATATATCTTGGACGGTTCTTCAATACTTACGAAGTAAAAAAAAATGCTTCAGTTTTGAAAAAACTATCTCTCGAGCGTGAGTCGAACACGCGGCCTCAGGATAACAGTGAAAGATTACAGTCCCGCGCTCTACCAACTGAGCTATCGAGAGAATATTTGGTATCGTGTTAAATAGATTTATTATATGAAAGTAAAGTTAGACATTTCAAAACAAACAAACAAACAAGGGGGAAAGGGCTAAAACAAACAAACAAACAAAATCATTGATTCAGGATGTCAGACCCCCCCAACAACAACCAAACCACGTTTAGTGGCGGCGACCCTCCTGCCGACAATAATTATACCGACAATAATAATGAACAGACTAATATTAATGATATGCAAAAAATTATTGCTGTTGAACTGAAGGAGAAAGAAAGTTCTCATTCCAGAGGACCTCATTCTCATGAAGCTCATCACATCAAACCCTCGACAAAAATCCAAAAAAATAATGAAAAACCAGACTCCCATAAAAAAATTGAAACTATCCACAAAAAGCTTGAATCGAATGATAAGCATAACGCTTCTTCAAACCACGAAACCCCCGTTGAAACCCCTATTGTGAATGTTGGTCCAACCTTGAACCCTACCTTTGACTCTTCACCAGATGGTGGTGATGTTGAAATTGACGCAACACCATCACGTGACATGGATGTTCTCATGCCGGATGCAAATCCATTTGGTGATAATTCTGAAGCCTGGGAATACATCTTAAAACTTAAGGATGTATTTCTGGTTGAATTGTCTATTGTTAAAGAAGACTTGAGTATTACAATTGAAGATTGGGAAATAAAATTTCAAAATCTTGAACTTAAAAACAATGAGTTAGCTAAACAACTCATTGCTTTGACCGAAAAGCTTAAAGCTTCAGAAGGACAAGTGAATTCTCTTCGCTCAGAACTTGATGTTTTGAGAAACAATCAGGTTCACACAGAAGTTAAACATGTGATGTTTGAAAAACTTAAAAAGGAAGTTAAGGATAATAAGGATCATTGCGATAAAGTGAAACATAAAGCTGATGAAATAGCTAAGATGACTCTTCAAGATTTGTCTCAAGAAAAAGCAAGAAACAAAAGAATTATCGACACTGAAATCAAGGAATTCAAAGAAATGACCAACAATCTTGAGAAAAGAGTTGATAATATGGAATACAAAGTTGGAACTATTTCAACTAAGGCTGATTTAACTACCAAAGAACTTAGCTACGCAAAAAGGAAATCAAGAGCGCGGTAAGAAAAAGTCGACACTTTGCCTTTTGCTTTGACCCCTAAAACTCCAAATGGAGCAACTCCAAAGTTGAAAGACATTATGAAGGCTCAAAAACAACACCGTGAAACTAAAGTTGATGAAGACAAACCCACTTTTAGAGTGTGCATAAGAATTCCAGATACCATGAAAAGAGTTAATATCCCTGCGATTGGAAAGAAAATTGATGCGGTTGCACAAAAGCCGGTGGCTCAGGAAATAGGCTATACTGTCAAAGGGCATTTATATGTTCAACTTAATGACAAAGATTTTGCTGATAAAGCTGCAGAATGGATCCCCAAAGTTGACCCTACTTATTCAGTGCTTGACACAGATTCTTGGTACAAGGCTGTACTTCAGGAAATACCTAATACGGCATCGATTGAAGACTTGAAAGAAACTCTCTACAATTTTAATGATTACCATATTGTTTTGAATACCGAACCCAAAATCATTAGCAGAAACCAATTTACCCAAACAGCATTGGTTTCATTTAGAAATGCCCAAGACTATGCAAAGTGTGCTGATAATCTTATTATCCAGTACACAAAAGTTAAAGTTAGACCTTTTATTAGCAGGAAAAAAACTCCTGAAGAACTCCAAGCTATGCGTAATAAGATACGATTATTGAAAAATGAATCAGACAAAAGGATAATGAGGCCCATCCTGTTTCCACTGACGACTCACAAGATGAACCGATGAAAGAAACAAATATTGAAGAACTAGATGAATCCAATGAGGAAGAAAACGAAAACAATTCTATTACATCCAATGAATTATAAAGTATTCCAACTCAATTGTCATAAATCGAAATCTATTACTGAAACTATCTTAGATAAAAAAGAACCTGATATCTTGTTATTACAAGAACCTTACTTTAATAACTATGGGCCCATTAAACATAAAGATTGGATCCCAATCTTTACAGAAACTGGAAAAGAAAAAAATAAATGCAGAGCAATTACTTACATTAGGTCTAACTCTGACTTACGAGCATTAACTACTAAAATTGAAAAGTTTACAAATCGAGATATGGTTACCATTTTGGTTAAAGACATTACAATTGTCAATGTCTATAATCAACCGAAACCATCCAAGAAATACCCTGAGCCACCGGTTTTTGAGTTTCTCAGACGGGAGATCAAGGAACAATACTCAAAGATTGTCATTGCAGGTGATTATAACTTACATCACAAGGAATGGGAATCAAGGGCAGGTCCGAATACGGAAGCAGATGAAGTTGTTGAGTGGCTACATGAAAATGATATGATGTTAATTACTCCAAGAAATCAAAAAACATTCAACAATAGAACCAATATTGATTTGGTTTATGGCTCAGTGGACTTACTTCATAGAATTTCATTTAGTGGAGTGGATGAAAATACACTAAGTGATCACTCAATTGTGGAGTGGGACATCTCTATGTCTCAGAGTAAAAACAGGGGATGAAGTTTTACTTCGGTGAAGAGATTGAATATTAAGAATGCAGATTGGGAAAAGTTTGACAAGGAGCTTTCTTCTGCCATTAAAGATTTTAATGTGCATAACAAAACTCTAAAATCAACTGACCAAATTGATGACCAAGCTAAAGTTCTTGAGGAGGTTGTAAAAGAGCAATGGCAAAGTCGATGAAGGAAGTTAAGGTGATGAAAAGTCCAAACGCTATTGGAATCAAGAATTAAGGGAGAAGTTAGAAAAAGCGCTAGAAGCTAAAAGGGAAGCCCGTCAAAGGCAACCTTCTTTGGCTTTGAAACGACAAAAAAAAATTGAAGAGGCGAAAAAGCTAGAAAAATTTTTGACCACAGTTTGCGTGAAGCAAGTACTGAGCAATGGAATAAATATTTGTCTAGTTTAGAAGGAAATGACATTTGGAAGATTTTGAAGTATATTAATCCAAAAAGCAATGATACCATTATACCACAAATTAGAAAAGAAGATGGAACTCTCACTACTACTGTTGACGAAAAAGACATGAAATATGGAAGGCACTTCTACCTGAAATTGATCATGGTCTTGATAGAGAGTTTGAAATTGATGACGATTCTCGATGGCCAAAATTAGAGTTTGATGAAGTTGACTCTGCATTGGCTGATACCCCAAATGATAAAGCTCCAGGAGACGATGGAATTACTGGCAAAGTTTTAAAGAAGGCATGGCTGAATAAAGACTTTAAGGAAAGGTTTTTCAAGCTTCTCCAAGCTTGTGTGAAGTTTGGATACCACCCAAAAGTCTGGAGACATGGCATTATTGTTGTTATACCTAAACCTAAGAAACCTGACTATTCAAAGCCAAGAGCATACCGACCAATTTCCTTACTTAAGATTCCATCTAAAGTACTGGAAAAAATTATACAAAAAAGAATGACCAAGCTTACAACACACTTACTTCCACCAGAGCAATATGGGGGAAGACAAGGTTATTGTGCTACTGATGCTGTTTTGGAACTTGTCCAAAGAATTGAAACTAGTAAAGAAAAAATTTCAGCTATGCTCATTGATATTCAAGGAGCTTTTGATAATGTTAACAGAAATATATTGGCACACACAATGGAGGATATGAAACTACCCAAAGCACTTATAAACTGGACGTACCAATTTGTAAGTGAAAGAGAAACTAGTATGCTCATGGACCGAAGAAAAGGATCAGTGCAAAAAATTAGTACTGGAATTCCACAAGGCTAACCTATTTCACCACTACTTTTTTTGATATATTCTACACCAATGTATCATGCCATTAAAGAATGGGGTGGAACTCCTTTTGGCTTTATTGATGATGTGACTATTACCGTTGAAGGTAAAATTGAAGAAAATACCAAAAGCTTAAGCAACATATTAGAAAAATGTTGTAATTGGGCTAAATCAAGAATGACCAAAATTGATTTGGGTGATAAATTGGGTTTTATTCATTTTACAAAAAATGTGAAACCTAAAGATGAAAAAGTGCAACTTTCTTTACGTAATGGAGAACTTCGTGAACCCCAGAAGGAAGTTAAATTGCTGGGAATTACTTTGAACAATCTGCTTGATTTTAAATCTCATATTTTGAATAAAATCAATAAAGCAAGAAAAGCTGTTGGTGCTATTTGGCATCTTGGTGGGGTGCAAAAAGGTATGCGGGGGTCTGCAGTTAGATCACTGTATATTGCTTGCGTGAGACCAATTGTTGAATATGGCTTAGAAATTTGGCATCATAAAATCTTGAAAGGAGAAATCCACAAGTTGTAAGTAATGCAGAACATGGCTTTAAGAAGAATTGTTGGTGCTTATCGCACAACTCCTATTGCGGTACTACAAAAGGAAGCTGGTATTATGCCATATAGTATTAGGCTAAAATTTATGGTGGCACGAAAAGCTATTCGTTTACACCTAAATATTAGCAAAACTAATCCTATTAATGGTCATTTGTTAACATTGATTGAGAAATCTCCAATTGCAAAGCTAACCACGCTTTACATGTTGGTGAAAGATGATAGAGACTACATGATTAAAAAGGATGAAAAACGAAAATGCAAGAGGGTTGAACCTCTTACACTGAAACAACAACAGAATCAGACGATTGGAATTTTGAAGAAACAAGCAATGGAAGAATGGCAAGAAATGTATTGGAACAGCAGTAAGGATCTGTGGTATCATAATATCACAGTGGAGTCGAAATGTACTGATAATCTTTCTAAAATGGTTACGGGAGTGATCATGAAGAAAGATAGTCGAAGGATCTTGAGTAATATTACTCAGTTTCGCACAGGCCATGGCAACTTTGGCGCATGGTTTAAAAAGTTTGGAATTGAAAAGGATAGTTACAACTGCAAATGTGGAGAGCTGGAAACAGTTCATCACATTTTAGTTGAGTGTCCTTTGCTTGAAGAGGAAAGAAAAGGACTGAAACGGATATCTCCAGAGATGGACATGTCGACTCTCTTAAACAGTTTAACTGGCTTACAAGAGATTGTAAGCTTTATCTCTGCTTGGAGGGATTAAGAAATACAATTACAGCGTTGATGAAGACAAGTGGAGATAGGTTGGGAAGGTTTGGTTATTTTAACCCCCTGTTCCTCGTAAGCTGGCATCAGGACTTATTTTCGGGCTGTTGGAGATGCAATGTTGAAGCCAAAATTAAAAGTTTATTATCAAAATGAAAAAATATATAGTATGGACAAGAAGGATAGCGCAGATGCTGATGTTATATAATTCTATAACCCTTGAATAAAAACAAACAAAGGGAAAAAATAAAATCCTATTAATGGTAACTTGTTAAAATTGATTGAGAAATCTCCAATTGCAAAGCTAATCACGATTTACTTGTTAGTGAAAGATGATAGAGACTTGATGATTAAGAAGGATGGAAAGCGAAAATGCAAGAGGGTTGAACCTCTTACACTCAAGTAACAGAAAAATCAGACGATTGGAATTTTGAAGAAAGATAGTCGAAGGATCTGAACACTTCTGGAGCTAATGAAGGTGCCTCATCCTTCGAGTCAGCCAGCACTGGAGGATCTGTTGCTCACTCAACATCTGAGAACCTCACAAAGCACAGCGCTAACATGTTCCCTACTTTCAATCATCTTCCTGTAGAATTTCAAATGTAATTTGACCAGTATGGACTATACCATAAGACAGGTAGGTATCTATTGCTAACATTTCAAATTGTTAAGCTTGCGAAATTGAAATGAAAGTAATTGAAGAACTGCATGCTAAACTCAAAAAGTCGAACATTAAGGCGTGTCCCCCTTCATTTAAAAAGATTCCTTATGACCCTTATCCTGGTTTCCAGCCTGAGCCTCTTCCCAAGTTGCATGACAATTAGTAGCAATGTGACCACGCTTTTTACAACGGAAACACTTGATTCTATCATTCTTATACTTATTTTTATTACTCTTTGATGACGCAACAAACGCCTCAGTCGAAAAAGTAGCAGGAGGTCCAGTAATCTTCAACAATTTGGCCCATTTGTCAGCGTTCCGGATGAAATTGTTGATATCAAGGTTGTCAGTATTGTTACTATCAAAGCGGTGCTCCAAGGCGTACTGGATGAAGCGCTCACAATTGGGACCCATTGAAGCCAAAGCGAGGAAAGCCACAACAGAATCAGGCGACAATGATTGGTAAATCGAACGCCAGGTAGCAACATAAGCACGAACGGAAGAAACAAACTCGGGACCAACGTCAATGTTGACAGTATAGAGGGCTTTCATAAGGGAGATGACATCGGCGGGTTGAAGTTGATTGTCCTCCTGTTGAACTGTGACATTGGTAGTCATGATAATAACAAATAATATTATCAAAGAAAAATTTATAAAATAAATATATATGAAAATAAATCAGTTATAGAAGAAGAAAAAAGCAAAAGAGGAAAAATAAGTAGTAAAAGTTGGTAAAAAAAAACTTCTTTATATATCTGGGGGAAAGAAAAATTTGCAGTAGTAAAAAATTTTATTTTGGTTTGCAACAAAGTTGAGTAGGTTTGTATTACACTTCAACTTTGTAATGTTACATTTATATAAAGAAGCAAGGTTGGCATAATAAAATAAAAGGCACCCCAGGGATTCGAACCCCAGTTTCACTCAAATTATCTGAGCGAGTGTTACCAAATGGAATTGTGTCAAAATCCAAAACGCGTTTTCGGTTTAGCCCAATTAGGAAATTGCCCTTTTTTTTCTCGAAATCCGCCATTTTTTCTTAACGCGTTTTTTTTAAGGGGCGCTTAATGTTACACTGTTAAATTTTTACCATACTAAATTTGTTAGTAAAAAAAATTAGCTAACAAAATCCGGACGTTTTTTTTCCCCTCCCACTCAAATTTTTTAAAAATTAATTTTTCTACTGTGTATTACATAATCACGAACAATCTCAAAACTTGAATCCGAGAAAAAAGGCCTTGAAGGAAGATTTTCAACCCTTATTTTCAAGCCTTAAATGAACCAAAAGGTGTACTACAGGCATACAAAATCTTTTTTGGAATTTCTCAAAGAACAAAACACCTTTGGAATTTTTCGCACTTTTTCCCCTAGTAAAGTGGTGGTTTACTAAACAAATAGACGTGGTAAATTTATTTTTTCCCCCACTATAAAAATTGCTTAATAAACATTTTTTTTTTATTTAACACACACACCTGGTAAATTTAATATTTTCAGTGGTTAAATAAGCACAGACACCTGGTTAAATAAGCACAACCACCTGGTAAATTTATTATTTTCTGTGGTCAAATAAGCACACACACCTGGTTAAATAAGCACAACCACCTGGTAAATTTAATATTTTCTCTGGTTTATTTAGCTTTTCCTGTGGTGAATTTAAATATTAGACCTGGTTAAATAAGCATTTCCGGTGGTCAAATAAGCACACACACCTGGTTAAATAAGCAAATTTAAATGTTTAATTCACCGCATATAATAAATTTAGAATTTTTGAAAATTTTAAAAATTTTTAAAAAATCCTTAAATTAAATTATAAATTACAGAATTATATATATATATATATATATATATATATATATATAGCTTAGTAGCAATGCCTCAAGCTTGATCGTCAAGCGAGCATTATCATGGTTCTTCTTCTCAGTAGCAACGCATCAAGCTTGATCGTCAAGCGAGCATCATCATCGTTCTTTTCTCAGTATCATCAATGCATCAAGCTTGATCGTCAAGCGAGCATTATCATGGTTCTTCTAAGTATTAACGCGTTAAAATCGCTCGTCAAGCGAGCATCATTGTTTTTCTTCTTAGTATCAACGCATCAAGCTTGATCGTCAAGCGAGCATCATCATGGTTCTTCTAAGTATCAACGCGTTAAAATCGCTTATAGCAATGAACCGAGCCATCTTCATAGTCGTAAAACTATTGTAAGTTGTTAATATCATGACCTTTTCTAAAATAAAAAAAAAAGATATAATACTTTAAACTTCTAAAATTTCCATATTTTATAAGGCGAATTGTATTAAAAAAAAAAGTGATGTGTAGAAAGAAAAGAGGAAGGTGAAGAGAAACTTTTTTTATAATTTTTTTTAAAGATTTAATCTAAAAAGAATTCTTATTGGCTGAGGAAAGAAATCTGCACTGTGGTAAAAATGTACTTTAAGTCTAATTGGCTCTATCATAATCTTGTTATATTAGTAATCATTGTTCTTATGGAAATATCTTATTGTTATGTTTGATAAATAGTTTAAATATGTCTATTTCGTTATAAGAAGCTAGAGATTAAAATATTATTTCATCTATTATTTCCAACTTTAACAATCAATTTAATTTTTATTTATATATAAATATATATATACTCATCTTAATTATAATAATAATACTATTAAAAGATCTACCCTGTAACACACCATTCAACATATAAACTTATGGTTACTTAATGATATATGATAATATTATCATAACCCAATTGTTATTAAGACCAAATTTGGTCTTTAAAAGGGTTTCTCTGGAATGTATGCTAATTTTTTTAAATATTCGTAAATCATCAAAAAAAAAACATTGTTTCCGTGTTTATTATAATATATATGACCTCATTTACCGAGTTGTTTATTGTAATTTTTTTTTTCAACATATATTTCTTCATTTTAATACACATTAAAAATTTGATAATCCAAAAACTTTTTTAAAGAGCTCCCATGAAGGAAGAAATATATCTTTGTGACGTCTCTGAAATTTCAGAGACGTTATATACTGAGAACAATCACCTTGAGTTGCATCATTTAGACCTTGTCTTACCTGATACAACTAACTCTCACTGTATTTTTGATTCTTCGGACGTTTTATATTTGCTAGATAATTATTTTCACAACTGTGGTCTTAGCTCAAACCATTTCATTCAAATGACCGAAGTTTTTGATAAAGAATACGGCCAATTTTGCATAATTTGTCAGCCAAAAATAACTGATGGATTAATTGCGGAGCAAAGTGTTGACTTTGTCTACAAAAACCTTTCTGGCTTACTTGCTGAATTTAATTTTAAAGAACATGAAAACAACAAACAACTTGACTTCTTTCTTCTTTTACCTCCTATCAACTACAATCACTGGGGCTTTTTACATATCTCTTGGAGGAACTGTTTGGAGGTTTCAGTTTATTCTTTTTTCTGCTCCACAACTTCGAAAACAAACCAAACAAATAAAATCTCTTTGAGACTTGCATTGGAAAAGAATTTTGGAATATACAAAAATTTGCTGAACCGAATTTTGCCTTTGTTTGAGATTACTTATGGGACCGATACACTTGTTACCCAAGAAATACAAAACATTCAGATCAAAGCCTCATCCTACTATCCTTTGAAATTCTCTGGTTTATATATGTGTTGGACGCTTTTGGAATTATTGATAACAGTATAAAGAAAGTTTTTCCCCATAACCTACTTCTCCATTTCAACGTGTTAGTACAGTTCAGACGCGCAATTCAAGTCGTAAATGCTTATCAAAAATTGAACAATGTTACATCATTACAACCTTTACCAACTCCTAATGTCTATTCCACAGACACCAGCGATGAAATGGCGATGTATTCCACATTCGTCCCCAGATCTGTTTTATTCAGTCCAAATTTTTGCTTGGTTTTTTCCCATTCAGTCCAGTCTATTTTAGTTTCTCGACTGTTATCTGATGCCCTTTTTAAGCATGTGAATTCTAAAATTTTAGGGAATCCATTAGAGGTAGATGCTCGCTTAAAATCCTCTATTAAACAGCTTGGTTCTAAATCATTACGTGCTATTTTCCCCGGAATAACTGAACTGATCGAGACATCCACCTTTTCCAACTCTATTGAACTCTTTGCTAGCTACAAACGTTTGTGCAAATTTGTTTCCTTGGTTGACTACGGATTCTCAGACTTAATTTATTCCCAGAGCTTCCAATGTTTAAATTCTTCTGAGTGTAGCCTGCTTAAACAATCTTTAGATCGAAATGGGAGTTTTCCTTTACCTCATGAGTTTTATCTTCATTTACTTCAGCTTGACAATATTGCGGGTGCTACTCCCATTTTTCTTTTGAAAGGATTGGTGAATGTCATATCCTATTTCCATTTTTTCAACAGTGACATCTCAGAGAATTAAAGCCGTCGGCTTGCTCAATAGAACAAATAACGCGGATTTTCAACGTCTTTTAGAGTTTGGGGTTATTTTATTTTTTCCTGAGATTAAATCGTATTTTATGAATGCTGAAATACATAAGCACTTTTCAATTAAAAACGAAATGCCCAAAAATCTTGATTTTTCACTTGATCAAGATCGTTACATTTTGTATAAGGACAAAATTATTTTGAGTCCCTACCAACTAATTACCGTGATTACTGAAGCAGCGTTAGCCTATGATCCACAATCAGCTCTATCTTCAGAAGCAGATATTTCTAATTCTGGAAGAAAAATTCGGCGGAAAACAAGTTTAAATGGAGCTTTGGGCTCGTCACTTTTTGAGTTTCATTTTTTTTCCCGCCGGATTTTAGAGATGATTTCTCTTCGTCTTGACAAGGAAAATTTTCAGAAGACATTAAATGAACCTTCTCCAAAAAAAAAAGAATCAACCTCATATATTATTTCCGATGATTCATTTGATGAAGAAGATGAAATATTACCCAAACCTGATGTTTTAGCTGAAAAAACTGGCAAAAGAAACGGCCAAGATTATGATTCTCTAGAGTCTAGCGATGAAATCCCACAAAGTCCTGAGTGCTTGGACACGGACTCAGAGCAGCCAACATATGAAAATTCAACGCCGGCTTTAGATCAGGAGGATGCACCAAATTTGGATTATAGTGATCACAGTACAACCGATGCTGCGGAAAATGACAAAACAAAAAATTTTCAAAAGAACAAACGACTTAAAGCTATCTACAAAGGACAAACGAAAGCTACTGTTACACTAAGCTCCTATCTGACTACGGATGGCTCCTCAAAAAAGTCTTCACCCCAGAGAATTCTTTCGAATTCATTGGCACCACAAACCCCAACAAGAGGTAAAAAAAGAGGAAGACCCGCTGGCTCAAAAAATAAAAAATAAAAAAAAATAAAAAATAAAAAAAAATAAAAAAAAATAAAAAAAATAAAAAAAATAAAAAAAATATATATATATATTCTTAAATGTAAAGCTTGATTTTATTTAAATAAAATAAACAAATTTGTTTATATTATAAATATATAATTAAATAATTAAATAAATTACTTTTAATAATAATGAAAAAAAAGATTGTTTTTGTTTATATTTTTAATAAACAAAAACAAAAAAAAAATATAAACAAAAACAAAAAAAAAATATAAATAATATAAATATAAACATAAAAATTTACACACAACAATGGTAATTACCACTATTATTCCACTCACCTTAGGGATTTTTCCCTTTTTTTCCCATAGTAAAATGGTGGTAAACCAGAACACTTAACGTGGTAAACATTTTTTTTTGTACACCAAACGACCATTCTTATTCCATTTTTAGGATGGTAACTTAAATTTTTTTTTTTATTTTTAATGGAAAACCTCACACACTCACGTGTAAAAATAATTAATTTTTATATTTCTAAAATGGTAAAGACAACACATCCACACGTAAAATCGTACACATCCACACGTAAAATCGTACACATCCACACGTAAAATCTCCCACGTCCACACGTTACAATAACCACTCACACATGGCAAATAAAGTCCTTCTCGTGGTAAATTTTAAATCTTGACACGGAAAAATAAGCAAATTTTGAAAGATATTTTACCACGTATTAAATTTAAAATATTTGAAATTTTTCGAAAAAAAACCTTAAATTTAATTATAATTTACAGAATAATATATAGCTAATACCAGTATTCCTCCTTCTTCGTAGCAGTGCGTCAAGCTTGTTGGTCAAGCAAGCATCATCATCGATTCTTCTCAGTATCAACGCCTCAAGCTTGTTGGTCAAGCGAGCATCATCATCGGTTCTTCTCAGTATTGACACCTCAAGCTTGTTGGTCAAGCGAGCATCATCATCGGTTCTTCTCAGTATTGACACCTCAAGCTTGTTGGTCAAGCGAGCATCATCATCGGTTCTTCTCAGTATCAACGCCTCAAGCTTGTTGGTCAAGCGAGCATCATCATCGGTTCTTCTCAGTATCAACGCCTCAAGCTTGTTAGTCAAGCGAGCATCATCGTCGGTTCTTCTCAGTATTGACACCTCAAGCTTGTTGGTCAAGCGAGCATCATCATCGGTTCTTCTCAGTATCAACGCCTCAAGCTTGTTAGTCAAGCGAGCATCATCGTCGGTTCTTCTCAGTATTGACACCTCAAGCTTGTTGGTCAAGCGAGCATCATCATCGGTTCTTCTCATTATCAACGCCTCAAGCTTGTTGGTCAAGCGAGCATCATCATCGGTTCTTCTCAGTATTGACGCGTCAACTTGTTCAAGCGAGCATCATTCGTTCTTCTGAGTATCAACGCGTCAAAATCGATTGTAGCAAGGAACAGAGCCATCTTCATAGTTGTAAAACTATTGTAAGTTGTTAATATCATGACCTTTTCTAAAATAAAAAAAAAAGATATAATACTTTAAACTTCTGAAATTTCCATATTTTATAAGGCGAATTGTATTAAAAAAAAAGTGATGTGTAGAAAGAAAAGAGGAAGGTGAAGAGAAACTTTTTTTATAATTTTTTTTAAAGATTTAATCTAAAGAGAATTATTATTGGCTGAGGAAAGAAATCTGCACTGTGGTAAAAATGTACTTTAAGTCTAATTGGCTCTATCATAATCTTGTTATATTAGTAATCATTGTTCTTATGGAAATATCTTATTGTTATGTTTGATAAATAGTTTAAATATGTCTATTTCGTTATAAGAAGCTAGAGATTAAAATATTATTTCATCTATTATTTCCAACTTAACAATCAATTTATTTTTTTATATCTATATATATATATATTCATCATATCAACAATAAATAGAAGATCTACCCTGTAACACACTCCAATCAACATGTAAACTTATGGTTACATAATTATAATGAGATAAATCGTATATATATGATAATTATTACAATTTGGCCTACATTCCAATCACTCTGGAATGTAGACCAAATTTGTAAACAAACAAACAAACAAAATTGTTTCTGTGTTGATATATTTTAAACCTATTTTTTTTTCTTCTTAACTTATCTCGTTTTTTTAATACTACTTAAAATTTTAAATAATCAAAAAGTTCTTTTAAACAGCTTTCATGAAACAAAAAATATTTGTTTGCGATGTTTCAGAAATTTCTGAAAGGTTATATACTAAGGAAAATCACCTTATGTGGGATCAATTACAGGATGTGTTACCTGAAGAAACTAACACCTATTGTGTCCTTGATGCTTCCGACGTTTTACACTTGCTGAAAAATTATTTTGGTAATTGTGGTATAAACCCAAGTCATTACATTGAAATGACGACAAAATTTGATGGAGACGGCCAATTTTGCATAATTTGTCAGCCAGATGTGGGTCAAGGTTTAATTACGGATCAAAGTGTTGACTTTGTTTACCAAAAGCTTTTAGACTTACTATCTGAATTTGATTTTAAAGAATGGGATAACAGAAAACAACTTGACTTCTTTCTTCTTTTACCCCCTATTAATTGTAATTACTGGGGCTTTCTACATATCACTTGGCAGGGTAGTTTAGAGATTTTTGTTTATTCTTTTGTCTGCAACAAATTTAGCAAAAAGAATGAAACATATAAAGTTTCTTTGAGATGTGCATTGGAAAATACTGACATCTATATCAAATTGCTAAAAAAAATTTTGCCTTTGTTGGGGATAACTTCTGGAGCTTCAACACCTGTCACCCATAAAATACAGAACATTCAGACTCAGCCTTCATCCTATTATCCTTTCAAAATCTCAAGTTTATTTATGTGTTGGACGCTTTTTGGGATTATTGATGGCGATGTGAGAAACGAATTTCCCCACCACTTTTTTTTCCTCTTCAACTTGCTAATCCAGAACAAACGTTCAATGGAGGCTGTTAATGCTTATGAACAATTGCAAGATAAAATGTCGTCATCTTTGCACAATAATAATATTTATTCCACGGATGTCAGCGATGAAATGCTGATGTATTTCAGTTTTGTTCCCGATTCAATTTTGTTCAACAAAATTTTCTGCACTGCTTTTTCCCATACAATCCAGTCTATTTCTATTGCTCAATTTTTATCTGACACCCTTTTTAAGCATGTGAGAAGTAAAGTGTTTATGAATGCCTCAGATGTTGATACTCGCATACAACTCAGTGCTCAAAAGGTTTCCCACGAACTCAAAAATATTTTCCCTAACATAACTCAAATGTTAAGCAGCGACTCCCTTTGCACCTCTGACCAACTCTTTGTCGCCTACAAACGTTTGTGTAATTTCGTTTCGTTGACTGACTACCGATTCTCGAATGTGATTTATTCCAAGAGTACCACATGCATAACTTCTTCTGAATATGAACAGATTGAAAATTCCCTAAAGCGTAAAGGGAATTTTCCTTTGCCTCACGAGGTTTATTCTGGGCTGAATCACCTTGATGACATTGCGGATGCTACTATTCCCTTTCTTTTTAAAATATTAATGGATGTGGTATTTTCTTTACATTTTCCAAGAATGACATGTGATCTCCTTAAAATCACGGGGTTGTTTAATAAATCAAATACCACAGATATTCAACATCTTTTAGAGTTTGGGGTTCTTTTATTTTTTCCTGAGATTGAATCATATTTTAAGACCTCTAATATACGTCAGAACTTTTCAATCAAAAAATCGCCTAAAAATTCTAATTCTGTACTCCATGAAGATCGGGTCATTTTTTTTAAGAACAAGATTGTATTGAGCCCTTACCAAATAATCACTGCAATAACTGAAAGAGTGTTGGCCCATGAACCAAATTCTTTTCCACCTGGAAAATCCGATATTTCTGACTCTGGGAGAAAGGTTCGCCGGAAATCAAATTTAAATGGAGCTTTGGGCCCATCAATATTAGAGTTCCAGTTTCTTACACGCCGGGTTTTGGACATCATTTCTCTTCGTCTTGACAAGAACAATTTTTTCAATGCATTGAATCAACTTCCGAAAAATAATATATCACAATCATCCGTGGTGCCAGAGGGAGTACAAAACCCTAGTTTTAATAATTCATATCTGCCATCCAGCGATGATACTACTGAATGTACTTCAAACACCTCAGGTGAACAGTCATCGGATGGAAGTTCGTCTCCACCTTCGGACTACGAGATGATGGAACAGAGGAGTGTCCCTGCAACGCTTTTGAACGACGAGATGAAGGAACAGAGGAGTGTCCCTGCAACGCCTTTGAACGACGAGATAGTGGAACAGAGGAGTGTCCCTGCAACGCCTTCGGACTACGAGATGATGGAACAGAGGAGTGTCCCTGCAACGCTTTTGAACGACGAGATGAAGGAACAGAGCGGGGCCCCTGCAACGCCTTTGGACCACGACATACGGATTTTGAGGTCTACAACTTTGGCAAATGGTGCCCCTAGAACTGGAGGCTCCGAAACCAGACTTTCAAAAATATCAATTCCACTATCGAAAGCTACTGCTACACTAAGCTCCTATATTATTGGGGATGGCTCCTCAAAAAATCCACCACACTCTAAGTCTCTTAATCCATTGACACCAACAACTCCGACAAAAGTTGTTAAGAGGGGAAGACGCCCTGGCTCAAAAAATAAGCGAAAAATAAATAAATAAATAATTTTTTAGTACTTCAGCTTGATTTTATTTGTTTATTCATAGTTATATATGATTTAATTTGAAGTAGTTAATTAAAAAGTAATACTTTTAATAATAAAAAGGTTGTTTATATATTTTTTTAATATGAAAAAAAAAAAAAACATCAACCAACCAACAAAAAAAATTGTTTTTGTTTAAAACCAAAACCAAAACAAAAACAAAAAAAATCAAAGTTAAAATTTACAAACAACAATGGTAAGTAGAATATTAAATATAATATTTATATATATTTTATAATTTCTAATTTTGAGATGGGGGAGGACTAGCTTTGAAGTTTGAGTTTCTAATGTAAGCTGTCAAGTCTGCTAAGACTTTTAATTCAGCTTCACATCCTTCGGAACAAACTGGCACGTTGGCAATGGTTAATTGTCTAACGGTAAATCCAGAACGGTCAGCGAGATCAATTTGACGATGAACAGGGAGATCGGCGAATGTCTCATAAGAGCTGGCGTTGTTCTTTGAATGGGTCTCAGATGTTGAGTGGGCAACAGAACTTCCAGTGCTGGCTGACTCGAAGGATGAGGGTCCTTCATTGACTCCTGTAGTGTTTCCGTGATTAGACATAGCGGAGAAGACTAAAAGCAAGAGTTAATAAGTAAATACGATTGATAAGCTGAAAGCTGAAAGAGTATTTAATAAAAACAGTTTTGCGTAAATTTAGAGTATATATAAGAATTATATAAAATGATAAAAATAATAAAATAATAAAATAATAAAATAATAAAATAATAAAAGTTCGCTATCATACCTAAAAGCAAGAGTTAATAAGTAAATACGATTGATAAGCTGAAAGCTGAAAGAGTATTTAATAAAAACAGTTTTGCGTAAATTTAGAGTAGCGAGAAAAAAAAAGAGAAAGAAAACAAGAAAGGTTTCTGTAATGAAGAAAATTTAAAAGAGCATCTTGAAAAATTTTCTTTAGCAATAGGGAGTCTTGATTGTGACAATTATTGTAACTCCAATGGTAATGGGCTAGTAGTTGCTAGTGAATAATGTAACAATGTAAAGAGTGTAATTGGGAAAAAAAAATATTATGGGATAATGTTGAAATACACGATAGTACCATGACATATATTCCAACATCTAACTGTTTTTAATTAAAGTATAATTGGCGAATTACTAAGGACAAAGGATTCTTACAATCACAGAAAAACCGGCCATCGAGAGAGGACCCTTCAGACAAGTTTAATTTTATTATAAGAAACAAGGCAAACCGTTTAAAATCAATAGTTTTGCAATATGCGCAGGAAGAAAAAGAAACTGTATCAAATGAAGTTCTACCAGGAGAACTTCCTCAAGATTCTAATCGTCTTAATACAGCTGTAGATGGGATTTCTGGAAATTCTCTTTATTCTCAGACAATGTCTTGCCGACGTAGTGGCTTTGAAAGAGAGGCTAGCAATCTGCCGGTCAAACGACCAAGATTAGATGGTAGTAATTCTGAGGAATCTAACAATGATTTAAATTCCCCTGTTGATAATAGCAAAAGACAACAGCTTGATAGCTTAACTTCCAAGTTTAAAGAAGTTTGCAATTTAGAGATCTGTCAAGAAACAAACAATGATTTTTCAGCTTTTAATTTTCGAATATCAAGTAAAGAGGGAAAAACTAAAAAAAAAGAAGAAAATGCTCAAAAAAGGACGACTTCAACCTCCAAATTCTACGCTCAACTTCTCCATTATGGCTTGGAGCAAGGTCATTCTACCGGTGACATTAATACAATAGCCAAGTTAATGGATCACACGGAAAAAGATATCACTATGCTAGAAAATAAATTTGAAAAAATTTGTGAAGTAGTCGAAAAGAACGGCCAATACAATGGTAACGGTCCAAATTATTTTGGCACGGGAGTCACCAGATTTCAAACTTGTTCTAAAGGATGCACATGTATTGTTAAAACCTCCCAAAAGAATATATCAACTTGTGCTGCTTGCAAAACACCCTACAATCCCAACGTTCAGGCAATATTATTATCAGTCAGAGAGAATTACCGAGAAAAATTTAAAAATAAAAAAATTGCAGAGGTGGAATGGCTTAATGTTAATCGATATATTGAAAATTTACGAGCCCAGAAAAAAGACAGAACACCAGAACATTTACAGCGTATGCTAAATGATGGTTTGTTTGATTTGGAAAACTCTAAAAAAAAGAAGAAGGTTATTGACATTCCGTTCGTTATTGTCATGGATGCCATTTCAGTCTCTGCGTCAACTCATTTGGGATACAATGCGACTGGGGGGTTTAATCTTGCCGAGAATTCTCTGCAAATGAAATCGTCAGAAAATGTTCATCCAATTTACATTTATCCTAAAGTAAAATCACACGTACCTTCAAATAAGCCGATAAAGAAACAACAAAACGATGCAGAATCTTCCGATGACAATTTTAATCTCGAAGATTTTTTTAATGCTGAAAATGGGGGGGATAAAAATGCTAATGAAGATGAGTTAAGTATAGCGGCATGCGGCGTTTTTCAGCCTCTTGTTGATGAATTTACTTCATTGTCTAAATTTGGCTTTAAAGTTTACGACGCTTTTAACAAGGAGGAGATTACAGTGAGAGTTCATTGGCTTTATACAATTGGAGACATGGCCGCTGTTTCTGAATTATTAGGTGGGAGGTACGCAGCCAACTTGCGGTGCTGTGTCCGCTGTAATATATTCAAGTCACCATTATTTTATAAAGAAGGAAAGTTTACTAGAAGCGTGCTGAGTTTCATTCACAGTCCCTGCCATACAGAGAAACTAAGCACTTCGGAATTTATAACAAAAAAAAAGAAAAATGGTGTTTATGATGAAAATAAAAAGATGGATTTAACTAATAACTATTATGAGTCCGAGATTTTACCTTATTTTGATAAAAAAACTGGAAAAGTCTCTGACACCTTGATGGCGAGCCAGCAAGAGATATATGATCTTCAGGAACCTAATAAGAAAATGAAAAAATCAACACACATAGGATTCAAATTAAAATCACCTCTTTTTGACCTTCCTTACTTTTCTCTACCCTATTCATTTCCTCCAGACGTTATGCATGCCCAGGCAATTAATATTTTAAAGCTTTTACTGTCTATTATTTTAGATCCATCTTGTGAAGGAAAAGTAAAGAATCAAATAGGAGAGAAGATTGACATATCCGGATTTGTATTCAATGAAGAACAAATGGATGCTTATTTTGAATTTCTTGGTTTGTTGGATGAGCACACCCCACAGGCTTTCAGAGACAATATCTGTAAACCAGAAAAAAAGACAGCTACTCTAACATATTGGCTTAAATCTGCAGCTCAGGGTGAAGCTTTACTGAAATCATTATATTTACTTCGTGAGTTTATTCCCAATCTAACAGAAAGACAAGAATATTTACTATTTCTTTATTCACAAATGGCAGTTCTAATGATGATAAACAACTCAAGCCATATAAATAAGGACCTTAACTTGGACCTTGTTCAGGCATCTTGGAACAATGTCATCCGAACTTTTGAGAGGTTAGTGACTTTGGGGTATAACAAAAATGGATTTATAGGGACATTGCCATTGCACACCATGCTTCATACACCTGGCTATTTGAAAAAAGTTGGTCCACTTAAAACATTTAGCTCTTATGCTACCGAACGAATGGTCAAATCAGTTAAAGAATCACAGCAAAATAGTAGATATCCGATAATAGCACTCTGCAATTACCAACTAAAGAGCTACGTCATAAAACTTATTTTCATAGGTCAAGCGACACCAGAAATATTAAGTCCTACTATGAAGTTGTCTGGTAAAACAGAAGAGTGTACAACTGATGACGAATTAAAATTACTTGACCTCTTAAAAAAAAGTCTAGTTAAGAATTATCCCAAATATGGAAATGGGAAGAATCAACTTTCATCTAATAGCCATACAAGCTATAGTATGAATCTTTTATTTGACAAGAAGACGGGAAATTTTATGAGCAATTCTTTAGATTCTGACACATATTATTATCGGCGTTATAGAAAGATTCATTGGAACACATCAAAATATACCGCGATTGCAAGTAGCTCTAAGTCTGGTAACGCCACAAACGAACTAGACACATTTGTCCGAGTTACTGAGTCAAGAAATTCATCTGCTTCTAAAAGTCCAAGTTACTATGCAAAACTCCTAGATTGTTTTTCTGTTCGCAAAGAAACAGAAGAAGTTAGTGACCTGTTTGCAATCGTTGAAAAAATCCCGGAAAAGTCTTTAAAAAGCCTGGATGTGGATACCGATTACAACGATGTAATATTTGGTGCTAAAATGAAACTAGGGTTTTATTGGGAAAATGAGTACAAACAAGGTGAAAGGATTGTGGTGCCTTTAAACCGAATTGCCAATCCTGTTTTTATAATACCACAGTACAATTTTCGGTTGTCAAATTCAAAAAAAACAAACAGGTTTTTCATTTTGGACCCAAATGTGTTTCTTGAATTTAGTGTGGGATCAAAAACTTGTCAACTTTTGTTACTTGATGAACATATAAATATCAACCAAAAAGAGTTGGATTATATTGAAAAATTTCTTAAAAATAAGGATTCTGTTGTGATAAAGACATATATGCCTATATAGATTTTTGTGTATGAGTTTTATTTTTTTTAAAAAAAAGTTGGTATTTAAGTCTTTATAAATTCATACCATTTATCTTTAGGGATAAATGTCAGTGTGCTGACAATTAAATTGTTTTCGCAAGAAAAAAAAATAAATAGATATCTATAAATTTAAATAGTGTGTTGGGAAGTATCAAAATTATTTTTATTTTTTAATTTTTTTTAATATATCAGTGTTGAAAAAAAAATAATTTTTTCATTTTCATTTTCATTTTCATTTTCATTTTTATTTTTTTAATTTTTAATTTTTGTGTTTTTGTGTTGGAAAAAAAAAAAATAATTTTTTTAATTTTTTTAATTTTTTTAATTTTTCATGAAAAAGAGTGAGAAAATGGACGTGGTAAAAAAAACATGAAAACCTTTTAATTCTACCAGATGAAATGTTTAGTTTACCGTAATGTATTTCTAGTAGGTGCTTAATTTTCCACTTCAAGAGCTTTATAAATAATTATTTTTACATGGAAGAATAAGACTAAAATAATTGCATCCAAATATTTATTTTCCCATGTATAATTTTAAATAGATGCTTAGATTTCCGTATTATCTAATTTGGTACCCCACCTTGCGTACTATAAATTACCTCATCCCACAAACTTCCAGAGTAAAAATTTGATTTTGTATGGTGGGAGTCACTTTTTGTTAGTGAAAAATCCCTAAGGTGACTTATGAGTGGAATAATATATATATGTGTTTTTTTTTGAGTTTATATAGTTTCTAACTTTTAATTAAAGTATAATTGGAGAATTTCTAAGGACAAAAAAGCTACTTTCATACCGAGTTGCCAACCTTCTAGGGTGGTTCCTTCAGACGAGTTTAATTTTATTTTAAAAAACAATGAAAAAGCTCTAAAATCATTGGTAAAGCAAGGGATTCCGAAAGAAAAACATATCGAATTAAATGAAGTTTTACAAGGGCCTAAAAATTCAATTAAAACTGTAGTTGATTTTTATAGGGATGGCCTTTTTTTCTCAGACAAAGCCTAGTAGACATATTGGCTTTGAAGGAGATGACATCATTCAATCGGTCAAACGACCAAAATTAGATGAAGGAGATTTGAAGGAGTCTAATAATGAATTGAATACCCCTGTTGATAATAGCAAAAGACAGGGCCTTCATAACTTATGTTCCAAATTTAAAGAAATATGCAATTTAGATTTGCCGTTGATCAATGAAGAAAAAAACAATGATTTTTCGACTCGTAATTTTGGAAGATCAAATAAAGAAGGGAAATCAAAAATAAAAGAGGACAGTGCTCAAAAAAGAACAACTTCAACATCCAAATTCTACGCTAAACTTCTCCATCATGGCTTGAAACAAGGTCATTCTATCAGTGACATTAATACAATAGCCAAGTTGATGGACTACACGGAAAAAGATATCACCATGCTAGAAAATAAATTTCAAAAAATTTGTCAAACTGTCGAAAATAATGGCCAATACAATGGCAGTGGTCCAAATTATTTTGGCACAGGAGTTGCCAGATTTCAAACTTGTTCTCAAGGATGCACATGTATTGTTCAAACCTCCCAAAATAAGATCTCTACTTGTGCTGCTTGCAAAACGCCCTACAATCCTAACGTTCAGGCAATATTATTATCAATCAGAGAGCTTTACCGTGAAAAATTTAATAATAAAAAATTGCAGAGGTGGAATGGCTTAATGTTTATCGATATATTGAAAATTTACGAGCCCAGAAGATAGACAGAACACCAGAACATTTACAATATATGCTGAATGATGGTCTGTTTGATTTGGAAAACTCTAGGAAAAAGAAGAAGGTTATTGACATCCCATTCGTTATTGTCATGGACGCAATTTCAGTCTCAGCGTCGACTCATTTGGGATACAATGCAACTGGAGGGTTTAATCTTGCAGAGAATTCTCTAGAAATGAAATCAAAAGAAAATGTACATCCAATTTACATTTATCCTAAAGTAAGATCTCATGCACCATCAAACAAACCGATAAAGAAACAAAACAACTCCGAATATTCTGACGACAATTTTAATCCTGGGGAATTTTTCAATACTGAAGATGGAGACGAAAATGTTAACGAGGATGAGTTCGATGTAACGGCATGTGGTGTTTTTCAGCCTCTTGTTGATGAATTTACTTCATTGTCTAAATTTGGCTTTAAAGTTTACGACGCTTTTAACAAGGAGGAAATTACAGTGCGAGTTCATTGGCTTTATACAATTGGAGACATGGCCGCTGTTTCTGAGTTGCTAGGTGGAAGGTATGCTGCTAACTTGCGTTGTTGTGTCCGCTGTAATATCTTCAAGTCACCATTATTTTATAAAGAAGGAAAGTTTACTAGAAGTTTGCTGAGCTTCATTCACTGTTCCGATGATTTTGATGATCTTAGCATTTCGGAATTGATAACCAAAAAAAAAAAAAGGTTTTTATGATCAAAGAAAAAAAATGGATTTAACTAATAGCTATTATGAGTCTGAAGTTTTACCATATTTTAATAAAAAACTGGAAAAGTACCCGACACTTTGATGGCGATTCAGCAAGAGATATATGATCTTCAGGATCCTAATAACCAAATGAAAAAATCAACTCATATTGGATTTAAATTAAAATCACCTCTTTTTGACCTCCCTTACTTTTCTCTACCTTATTCGTTTCCCCCAGACGTTTGTTGAACTGTGACACGGGAAGTCATGATAATAATAGAAAATATTATCCAAGAAAAGTATATATTGAAATATATAAGATAAAACAGTTATATAAGAAGAAAGAAAAAGGAAAAGAAAAATTATAAAAGTTGGGGAAGAAACTTTCCTTATATACCCAAGGGAAAGAAAAATTTGCAGTGGTGAAAATTTTTCATTTGGGTTTGTCCCAAAGTTGAGTGGGTTTGTATTACACTTCAACTTTGTAACAAATTAAGGAGGGTAACCACAGTCATATAAGGGCTTAAACCTAATGCGGCTAAAACTAAAATAAACATAGATTGTCAACCATAGTTTCCCACCCAAACTCACGTGCATTATCAACTGCACTAGTCTGCGACAACATTGCATGCTCAACACCTCCCCTTGTCGCAGAATCACCTACTGCCTTCATACCAAGTAGTCCCCTCAATGTCTCAAACTTCACACGACCAAGATTCTTAGTGAACATATCTGCCAACATCACTTGAGTATCAAGATACTCCAGATGAATCACTCCACTGCGAATATAGTGACGCACAACATGATAACGAACATCAATATGCTTGGTGCGACGATGAAACACTGGGTTCTGAGCCAATGCAATACATCCCTGATTGTCCTCAAACATAGTCACTGGCAACGGAACAGGAATCTTGCAAAGGGACAACAACTGATTAATCCAGAAGCATTCCTTAGACGCATCAGACAATGACATATACTCAGACTCGACGCTGGACGATGCAGGACTAACTTGCTTTCGACAAGCCCAAGTAATGGGACCACCAGACAGAATAAAAACATACCCAGTAAAGGACTTACGGTCCTGTTTGTCCTGTGCATAATCGGCATCACTATAGCCAACAAGCTTGTAGACTTTCTGAGCTCGATATTCAAGACCAAGTTCAGCAGTACCCTTAAGATAACGAAGAGTATGCTTAGCAGCTTCCATATGAATAGACTTCGGACTCTGCATATATCGACAAAGAAAGCTAACAGCAACAGCAAGATCAGGACGAGCACAATTAGCAGCATAAATCAGCTTACCAATAATACTGCGATACATGGAGGCATCGGTAGCAGAGTCAGACTCGGAAAAATCAGAAAGATCACGAGTGGGTAAAGGAGTCTTGACACTTGAACAGTTCTGCATACCAAACTCTTCCAACATATCAAAAATATAACGTGAAACATCCACAGTAATATGGTACGGTGACTGCTTAACTCTCATGCCAAGGAACTGCTCGACTGGGCCCAAGTCTTTCATCTTAAACATAGATGACAAAGAAGACTTGGTTTTGGCAATGACCTCAGAAGAATTGCCAGAAATAAGTAAATCATCAACATACAGTGCAATAATAACCATGGTAGACCCAGATCCTTTGGTATACACACCGTAGTCACTTTCATTACGAATAAACCCAAGTTTGACAAGAGCACCATGAATCTTCTCATTCCAACACAAAGGAGCTTGCTTTAAACCATATAAAGACTTCTTCAAATGACACACTTTAGATTCCTGACCTTTGACAACAAAGCCTTTAGGTTGTCTCATATAAATATCTTCTTTGAGATCACCATTAAGAAATGCAGTCTCGACATCCATATGATGAACCTGGAACCCAAACTGAGCAGCAATAGCAAGAACAATCCTCACAGTCTCGTAACGAACAACGGGAGCAAAAGTTTCAGTATAATCAATACCTTCAACTTGCGAAAATCCAATACACACGAGACGAGCTTTGTAACGTTCAATTGAACCGTCAGCTTTGCGCTTAACTTTAAACACCCATTTGCTATTGATAGCCTTGCGACCAGGTGGGAGATCAACCAATTCCCAAGTACCATTGCGTTTAAGAGACGACATTTCAATAACACAGGCTTCAAGCCAAAACTCAGCTTCTTCACTAGACATAGCTTCTTCAAAACTACTAGGATCTGTAAAACAAGTAAAGCCACATCATCATACTCAAAGCGGAGAGATTTGAGACGACGATAAGAAATACACTCTTCTTCAGCTGGACGTTTTGCAGGTGTTGCAGACACTGGAGATTGTTTCAAAGAATTTTCACAAAGGTGTTTAGAAGGAGGTGAAACAATGTCATCAGAACTCGGGCGTTTGGCAGGAGTTATAGAAGGTAAACGAACAGCAACAACACGAGATCGAGATTTAGGCAAAACAGCTTGAGTATCATCCTTAGTGACAACACTAACACCAGCTTGGTCAAGAGAATTAACAAGATCAGGCGAAGGAGATTCTTGACTAAGTGGCACTACTTCCAATTCAACAGAAGGTGGTGGAATGGGAGACGAAGCAATGATAGACGGTTGAAACCCAATATCACCCCCTCGTTGCGAGATCCCAGAATCACCAGAAATATCAGATTCATTAATAGATGGACCAGCTTCAGATAAGTCTAATTGTGAAGGAATATATTCCGAAGAAGAAACAATAGGACTAGAGTCAGAAGATATAGAGACATCATGATCTGAAGGTGGAAGAATAGGAGAACTAGGAAGAGATGGAACAGAAGGAATAGAAGGAAGAGTAGGAGACTCAAGAGGAGCAGAAGGTGTAGACAAAATGCGACGAACAGAACGAGGCTTATGAACGATAATAGAAGAAGAAGAAGAAGAAAGCGACGGAGAATGAGACGGAGAAGAAGACGGAGACGGTAAAGCACAAATAGAACCAGAACCAGAACCAGATGAGGATGCTGGTAAAGATCTATGAGACCCAAAACTAGAACCAGAACTTGAATCAGAACTAGCAATAGAATTAACCCTAACATTAGATCCTAAACCAGTCCCCTTAGAATCAAAACAAGGTCCTGACATGGACCCTGAACCAGAACCAATACTAGACCCAACACTAAACCCAACACCAGTACCATTAATAGACAAGTCCTTATCACTTTTCATAAATGGAAACTTGGACTCATCAAAGTAAACACTCCTGGCTTCAACAATGCTTGAATCAAGAAGAACTCGATAAGCTGTACGATCCAAAGAATACCCAACAAAACACCAGCTTCAGTATTTGAACTTAACTTAGATTCTCTTTTAGCACCAGGAAGAACAACTGTAGCTTGACAACCAAATACTTTCATATGGTGATAACTAGGAGGTTTACCCGTCCAAAGTTGAAGAGGTGCAACACCACCAGTGGTACGACTAGGAAGACGGTTCCTAATATAATTAGCAGACTTGACAGCTTCACCCCATAAATACTCAGGAGCATGAGCATATAAAAGCATAGACTTGGCTTTTCAAATAATGTGCGATTCAATCGCTCAGCAACACCATTTTGCTGAGGAGTATGAGGAACTGTATAAGTATGCTTGATACCCTTAGACACAAAGAACTGCTCCAGGTCTTTGGAAATGTATTCGCCGCCATTATCAGAATGAAAATATGCAACTCGATCACCAGCAGAATCACCAGAAAAATAAGATTCACACCTAGCAATAAAGTTACGAATGGCAAGACTTGCATCACTTTTCCTAACCAACAACTCCACATAAGAGTACCTGGAATAATAATCCATAATGGTTAAGACATAACGATGACCCACAGGGGTAGCGACATGAGGACCGCTTAAATCAGAAACAAATAACTCCAAAGGACGACTAGCTTTTTCTGTGGTACCATTAAATGGCAATGCTGTGGCTTTGCCACCCAAACAAGCGTCACACTTATGACTATCCACAACCTCAAAATGAGTAGGCTTGACAGAAAGTGACTTAGATAATTTCTTGAGAACGTCCACACTGGCGTGACCAAGTCGCTTGTGCCAAAGATTGGCAGACGACTCAACAGCAAACACCTCATGGACAGGCTTGGAAGGCAAAACAACTCGGAAACGACAAAAGTACAAGTCACCCATGGCAATGGCGTGGACTCGAGTTTTGCCATTTTCAACAGCAGAAATATGGTTAAGGTCTTGAATGAACCGACAACCACCAGCAGTAGCTCGACGAGCAGCAAATAAATTGCGAGGAATCTTAGGAACATATAAAACATCTCGAAGAACAACGCGGTCACAAGGCTGGTCATCTTTACCAAGAAGATCAACGACAATGTCGCCAACCCCCTCAGCAGTAGCAGAACCAAGACCACGAATGGTAGCCGAAGTGGGACGAAGAGAAGAAAAATATGAGATGTTATTGCAAATGTGACTGGTAGCACCGGTATCATGGATAAAGTCAAAAGAATCAGACCCAACAACTAAGTTGGCCTCAGCAGAAGTAGTAGATTCAGCAACAAAAACGTGATGGACTGAATGACTTAAATCCAAGATTGAAGAAGGATGCCAGACGACAATTAAAATCAAGGAAAACAACATGATGGTAACAAAAGATAAGTAAAAGAATGGAGAAAAACGGGATTTTGGTGTAACAATAGGTTTAACATTAGGTGGAGAAGGTTCAGTAATTGAATCCACCAAAAAATCAAAAGAAGGTAAGACAATATCATCATCAGAACCGACCAACGGTTTAGAATCAGAACAAGAAATAAAAGAAGAACCGACCAACGGTTCAGAATCAAAAGGAACAATATCCGAATCGACCAACGATTCAGAATCAAAACAAATAGGAGCTGAACTGACACACGGTTCAGACTCCAAACAAACAACAGTAGAACCGACATACGGTTCAGAATTAAAACAAGAATCATCAGTGGAACCAACTGAATCAATATCAAGTCCTGAGTTTGAACAATACTCAGAAACTTGACCAACAAAACAATCTTCATCGCCGACACACGGCTCAGAAGAATCAAAAAGTTCGGATTCCAAATCATCAAACGACTCGGAGCAACTGTTACCAAACTTTTCAGAAACAACAGATGTCTCGGACACAAAAGCGGAACTCACAAATGGATCATCATCAACTATCTCAGAAAATTCATCAATAGTCTCAGCAAACCAACCTCTTGAGGTTTTAGCCTCCTTAGATTCCTTGTCATCCTTATTATCTTGGCGAGCAGCCTGAACCTCTTCCCAAGAGACATGACAATTGTTGGAAGTATGACCACGCCTCTTACAACGGAAACATTTAATACCATCACCCTTAGATTTGTTATTGTACTTCTTTGATGAAGCAACGAACGCTTCAGTCGAAAGAGTAGCTGGAGGTCCAGTAATCTTCAACAACTTGGCCCATTTATCAGTGTTCCGGATGAAGTTGTTGATATCAAGGTTGTCAGTATTGTTGTTACTATCAAAGCGGTGCTCCAAGGCGTACTGGATGAAGCGCTCACAATTGGGACCCATTGAGGCCAAAGCGTTGAAGGCCACAACCGAATCAGGCGACAATGATTGGTAGATGGAACGCCATGTAGCAACATAAGAACGAACAGAAGAAACAAACTTTGGACCAACATCAATATTGCCAGCATAGAGGGATTTCATAAGTGAGATGACATCGGCGGGTTGAAGTTGACTATACTCCTGATGAAGATAAAGCCAGAGGTCACGGCCTCTAATGGCCACATCATTAACATGTTCGATCAACTCAGGAGAAATGTTGTTGAGGATGACATCATGGACGACGGTATCAAGCGAGGCGGTGAGGTCTTCGAGGGATTCATTAGCAGCTGGATTGACAGTACCAGCTTCGACATAAAGGTGGACACCATTATTCATAGCACGAAGACCCAAAAGGATCTTAGTAGCCCAGACATGATAGTTGAGAGGAGTGAGTTTTTCAGAGGAAGTAAGATTAATATAAGCCGAAGTGCGGCCCATATGTTGAACTGTGACACGGGAAGTCATGATAATAATAGAAAATATTATCCAAGAAAAGTATATATTGAAATATATAAGATAAAACAGTTATATAAGAAGAAAGAAAAAGGAAAAGAAAAATTATAAAAGTTGGGGAAGAAACTTTCCTTATATACCCAAGGGAAAGAAAAATTTGCAGTGGTGAAAATTTTTCATTTGGGTTTGTCCCAAAGTTGAGTGGGTTTGTATTACACTTCAACTTTGTAACAAATTAAGGAGGGTAACCACAGTCACATAAGGGCTTAAACCTAATGCGGCTAAAACTAAAATAAACATAGATTGTCAACCATAGTTTCCCACCCAAACTCACGTGCATTATCAACTGCACTAGTCTGCGACAACATTGCATGCTCAACACCTCCCCTTGTCGCAGAATCACCTACTGCCTTCATACCAAGTAGTCCCCTTAATGTCTCAAACTTCACACGACCAAGATTCTTAGTGAACATATCTGCCAACATCACTTGAGTATCAAGATACTCCAGATGAATCACTCCACTGCGAATATAGTGACGCACAACATGATATCGAACATCAATATGCTTGGTGCGACGATGAAACACTGGGTTCTGAGCCAATGCAATACATCCCTGATTGTCCTCAAACATAGTCACTGGCAACGGAACAGGAATCTTGCAAAGGGACAACAACTGATTAATCCAGAAGCATTCCTTAGACGCATCAGACAATGACATGTACTCAGACTCGACGCTGGACGATGCAGGACTAACTTGCTTTCGACAAGCCCAAGTAATGGGACCACCAGACAGAATGAAAACATACCCAGTAAATGACTTACGGTCCTGCTTGTCCTGTGCATAGTCGGCATCACTATAGCCAACAAGCTTGTAGACTTTCTGAGCTCGATATTCAAGACCAAGTTCAGCAGTACCCTTAAAGATAACGAAGAGTATGCTTAGCAGCTTCCATATGAATAGACTTAGGACTCTGCATATATCGACAAAGAAAGCTAACAGCAACAGCAAGATCAGGACGAGCACAATTAGCAGCATAAATCAGCTTACCAATAATACTGCGATACATGGAGGCATCGGTAGCAGAGTCAGACTCGGAAAAATCAGAAAGATCACGAGTGGGTAAAGGAGTCTTGACACTTGAACAATTCTGCATACCAAACTCCTCCAACATATCAAAAATATAACGCGAAACATCCACAGTAATATGGTAAGGTGACTGCTTAACTCTCATGCCAAGGAACTGCTCGACTGGGCCCAAGTCTTTCATCTTAAACATAGATGACAAAGAAGACTTGGTTTTGGCAATGACTTCAGAAGAATTGCCAGAAATAAGTAAATCATCAACATACAGTGCGATAATAACCATGGTAGACCCAGATCCTTTGGTATACACACCGTAGTCACTTTCATTACGAATAAACCCAAGTTTGACAAGAGCACCATGAATCTTCTCATTCCAACACAAAGGAGCTTGCTTTAAAACCATATAAAGACTTCTTCAAATGACACACTTTAGATTCCTGACCTTTGACAACAAAGCCTTTAGGTTGTCTCATATAAATATCTTCTTTGAGATCACCATTAAGAAATGCAGTCTCGACATCCATATGATGAACCTGGAACCCAAACTGAGCAGCAATAGCAAGAACAATCCTCACAGTCTCGTAACGAACAACGGGAGCAAAAAGTTTCAGTATAATCAATACCTTCAACTTGCGAAAATCCAATACACACGAGACGAGCTTTGTAACGTTCAATTGAACCGTCAGCTTTGCGCTTAACTTTAAATACCCATTTGCTATTGATAGCCTTGCGACCAGGTGGGAGATCAACCAATTCCCAAGTACCATTGCGTTTAAGAGACGACATTTCAATAACACAGGCTTCAAGCCAAAACTCAGCTTCTTCACTAGACATAGCTTCTTCAAAACTACTAGGATCTGTAAAAACAAGTAAAGCCACATCATCATACTCAAAACGAAGAGATTTGAGACGACGATAAGAAATACACTCTTCTTCAGCTGGACGTTTTGCAGGTGTTGCAGACACTGGAGATTGTTTCAAAGAATTTTCACAAAGATGTTTAGAAGGAGGTGAAACAATGTCATCAGAACTCGGACGTTTGGCAGGAGTTATAGAAGGTAAACGAACAGCAACAACACGAGATCGAGATTTAGGCAAAACAGCTTGAGTATCATCCTTAGTGACAACACTAACACCAGCTTGGTCAAGAGAATTAACAAGATCAGACGAAGGAGATTCTTGACTAAGTGGCACTACTTCCAACTCAACAAAAGGTGGTGGAGTGGGAGACGAAGCAATGATAGACGGTTGAAACCCAATATCACCCCCTCGTTGCGAGATCCCAGAATCACCTGAAATATCAGATTCATTAATAGATGGACCAGCTTCAGATAAGTCTAATTGTGAAGGAATATATTCCGAAGAAGAAACAATTGGACTTGAGTCAGGAGAGATAGAGACATCATGATCTGAAGGTGGAAGAATAGGAGAACTAGGAAGAGATGGAACTGAAGCAATAGAAGGAAGAGTAGGAGACTCAAGAGGAGCAGAAGGTGTAGACAAAATGCGACGAACAGAACGAGGCTTATGAACAATAATAGAAGAAGAAGAAGAAGGCGACGGAGAATGAGACGGAGAAGAAGACGGAGACGGAGACGGTAAAGCACAAATAGAACCAGAACCAGAACCAGATGAGGATGCTGGTAAAGATCTATGAGACCCAAAACTAGAACCAGAACTTGAATCAGAACTAGCAATAGAATTAACCCTAACATTAGATCCTAAACCAGTCCCCTTAGAATCAAAACAAGGTCCTGACATGGACCCTGAACCAGAACCAACACTAAACCCAACACCAGTGCCATTAATAGACAAGTCCTTATCACTTTTCATAAATGGAAACTTGGACTCATCAAAGTAAACACTCCTGGCTTCAACAATGCTTGAATCAAGAAGAACTCGATAAGCTGTACGATCCAAAGAATACCCAACAAAAACACCAGCTTCAGTATTTGAACTTAACTTAGATTCTCTTTTAGCACCAGGAAGAACAACTGTAGCTTGACAACCAAATACTTTCATATGGTGATAACTAGGAGGTTTACCAGTCCAAAGTTGAAGAGGTGCAACACCACCAGTCGTACGACTAGGAAGACGGTTCCTAATATAATTAGCAGACTTGACAGCTTCACCCCATAAGTATTCAGGAGCATGAGCATATAAAAGCATAGACTTGGCTTTCTCAAATAATGTGCGATTCAATCGCTCAGCAACACCATTTTGTTGAGGAGTATGAGGAACTGTATAAGTATGCTTGATACCCTTAGACACAAAGAACTGCTCCAGGTCTTTGGAAATGTATTCGCCGCCATTATCAGAATGAAAATATGCAACTCGATCACCAGCAGAATCACCAGAAAAATAAGATTCACACCTAGCAATAAAGTTACGAATGGCAAGACTTGCATCACTTTTCCTAACCAACAACTCCACATAAGAGTACCTGGAATAATAATCCATAATGGTTAAGACATAACGATGACCCACAGGGGTAGCGACATGAGGACCGCTTAAATCAGAAACAAATAACTCCAAAGGACGACTAGCTTTTTCTGTGGTACCATTAAATGGCAATGCTGTGGCTTTGCCACCCAAGCAAGCGTCACACTTATGACTATCCACAATCTCAAAATGAGTAGGCTTGACAGAAAGTGACTTAGATAATTTCTTGAGAACGTCCACACTGGCGTGACCAAGTCGCTTGTGCCAAAGATTGGCAGACGACTCAACAGCAAACACCTCATGGACTGGCTTGGAAGGCAAAACAACTCGGAAACGACAAAAGTACAAGTCACCCATGGCAATGGCGTGGACTCGAGTTTTGCCATTTTCAACAGCAGAAATATGGTTAAGGTCTTGAATGAACCGACAACCACCAGCAGTAGCTCGACGATTTTGAGATGGGGGAGGACTAGCTTTGAAGTTTGAGTTTCTAATGTAAGCTGTCAAGTCTGCTAAGACTTTTAATTCAGCTTCACATCCTTCGGAACAAACTGGTATGTTGGCAATGGTTAATTGTCTAACGGTAAATCCAGAACGGTCAGCGAGATCAATTTGACGATGAACAGGGAGATCGGCGAATGTCTCATAAGAGCTGGCGTTGTTCTTTGAATGGGTCTCAGATGTTGAGTGGGCAACAGAACTTCCAGTGCTGGCTGACTCGAAGGATGAGGGTCCTTCATTGACTCCTGTAGTGTTTCCGTGATTAGACATAGCGGAGAAGACTAAAAGCAAGAGTTAATAAGTAAATACGATTGATAAGCTGAAAGCTGAAAGAGTATTTAATAAAAACAGTTTTGCGTAAATTTAGAGTATATATAAGAATTATATAAAATGATAAAAATAATAAAATAATAAAATAATAAAATAATAAAATAATAAAATAATAAAATAATAAAATAATAAAATAATAAAAGTTCGCTATCATACCTAAAAGCAAGAGTTAATAAGTAAATACGATTGATAAGCTGAAAGCTGAAAGAGTATTTAATAAAACAGTTTTGCGTAAATTTAGAGTAGCGAGAAAAAGAAGAGAAAGAAAACAAGAAAGGTTTCTGTAATGAAGAAAATTTAAAAAGAGCATCTTGAAAAATTTTCTTTAGCAATAAAGTCTTGATTGTAACAATTTATTGTAACTCCAATGGTAATGGGCTAGTAGTTGCTAGTGAATAATGTAACAATGTAAAGAGTGTAATTGGGGAAAAAAAAATATTATGGGATAATGTTGAAATACACGATAGTACCATGATATATATTCCAACAGCCCCCCTGCAACAATAGCCCGTTATCAAGATTCAATCTCTTGATCTTTGCGTCGTCGAGTCTTCGAAAATGACTGCGGCGTAACGATGGAGGTATTATTTGAGGAGACGAGCACTGCATCAAGTCCATTTCCCCCCTCAACTTGAGGACGGGTACTCATACCCAGAAGATTCCTCAAATATAAAAACTGCGGCTTAGCCAGAGCTTTGGTAAAAATGTCTGCCACATTATCTGCTGAAGCAACAGCTTCAAGACGGGTATCGCCGGCTTTGACATGGTCTCTGGTGCGCATGTACTTGGTATCAATATGTTTAGTCCGCTCGTGATGTTTGCTGTCCTTCATGAGATCCAGGACACCTTTGTTGTCCTCCATGATGACAGTCGTTGGTTGAGATTCACCAAGTTCTTCCAAAAGATCTCGGAAGTAAACTGCCTCACACGTGGCAGAAAAAGCGGCAATCAGCTCAGCCTCGGTTGTGGAAGTTGCTGTCAGCTTCTGTTTGGCCGACTTCCAAGAGAAGGTTGAAGGACCGTGGGAGAATGCAAAGCCTGAGATAGACTTCCTGTCAGGATCGTTTGCCCAATCGGCATCTGACCAGCCTCTCAGAAGCCGCGGAGAGGCGCCTGGTACATTTTTGTGATAGACAATTGCCAGGTCCTTAGTGCCTTTGAGGTAGCTCAGAACATGATAAGCTCTATCCATATGAATGGCTCTAGGGTCACTCGAATACTGAGCAAGCTTGCCTGTAGCATAGGCAATGTCTGGACGAGCCGTCTGAGCAGCAAACTGTAGCTTGCCAAGAATGCTGCGATATAGCGATTGGTTAGCTGGACGAGCATCGAGGCCCTGTGGGAAATCAAGGCCATGTTTCTTGGGCAACGGTATCGACTTAGCTGTTTGATCACCCAATTTGAAAACCTCAATCATGTCAGCAATATAGTGTTCCAGATCCAGAGATATCGTCCTGTCGGAGTCTTGGACTCTGATTCCCAAGAATTTGTTAACACCACCTTCATCTTTGATGGCAAAGTAACCAGATAGGCCCTTGAAAAACCGCTCGAATTCTCCCGGTACGTTTGACGCCGTTAAGATGTCGTCAACATAAAGACCTATAATACTGAAGTCTTTGCCATTAATCTTGTAAAAGAGACAGGGTTCTTTCTTGGCAGCTTTGTAACCTAGAGCTTCCAACTTGTCAACAAGCTTCTTGTTCCAACACAGAGGGGCTTGCTTCAGTCCATATAAGCTTTATTCAGCTTCCAGACCATGCCAGGAGGGGTATTATGGTCAATTCCTGTTGGTGGCTTGACATAGATGTCTTCTTCTAGATCTCCATTCAAGAAAGCATTTTTAACATCGACGTGGTGCATTTCGCAGTTCTTCGCCGCACTTAGGGCGAAAATGAGACGAACAGTGCTGAATCTCATTACCGGTGCAAAGGTGTCAACATAGTCAACACCAAACTTTTGACGAAACCCCTGAACAACAAGACGAGCCTTGTACTTGTCAATTGAACCATCCGTGTTGAGTTTCTTCTTCAGCACCCATTTGGTGCCAAGTGCTTTGCGACCCGCCGGGAGGGGCACAACTTGGTATACATGATTGCCATCAATGGCAGCAAATTCCGAATAGGCCGCATCGAACCAGAAGCGCTTATCTTCTCTGTTGTTGGCTTCCGCAAGTGACCGTGGGTCCCTTTTTAGCTTCTTGCCAGGGTCGAGCAGCGCCACTCCCACATTCGGAAATCGAATGAAGGCAGGACGGTCCTTAAGATCTGCCCAATCTCTGTCGCTGATAAGAGCTCTAACATTCTCCACATCAGGAGCCGTAAAGCAGAGACCTGGTTTGCTAGATTCTAACACTTTGATGTCATTCCTCAAAATTGGAAGCTTAATGTTAATAGCGCTGAGTGTGTCAAGTCTTCCAGACGCCATGCGGGCTTTCACAGTTGGTTCTTCAGAGTTCGAGTAGATGCAGCCAATGCCAATGACATCGTCGACAGCCCCGGCAGACGGATCTCCTGATGGGCTTGCCGATTCATCAACAAAATAATTTCATCATCAGCAGGCGAAGAAACAAAAGTTTCATGTAAGAAGTCAATGCCGTCAGCTAAGTGTTCTGATGAGCCCTGAGAGTCAGAATTGTAGGGTGCTGCAATTGAGATTTCATCGCTTGTAGCCTCAACATCAGCTTCGGTTGTGGAGGCGGGAGAGTGGGACTGCGAGTCAGTGCTAACGACTGAGTCCTCATCTACTGATGCTGACGTAGCAGGGACATTGTGTGTTGCCGAGTGAGTGTGAGAAAGAAAGGGAACCGCATCGGGAGTGGGGTTGAATCTAAGATTCGGTGTACCCTGGAGGTGGCCGTGTGGGGCTCTCAGTGTTGAACCCTCACGAGCTGGCAGACCATGCAGCAGTGACCTAGATTCCGAGTCCAAAGCTGACTCAGAGTTCGAGAGTTTCAGTTTGTCACTGTGCCGGTCGGAAGAGCGAGAGCCCCAAAGTAAGCCCGATGCTGTAGTGGTTGGGCTTGTAGAGCGATTTTTTTTCGCAGATTTCTCAAAGCTCCTAAGTCGATTCTTGAGATGGCCTCAGCTGCACTGCGTAAGATATTGCGTTGTGCTATCGACAGCATGCGATTCGATGACGAGGGAGGAGTGGTTTGGTGATCACGACGAGAAGAAGAACTTTCTAATGTGGGAGACGTCACAGCAGAGGAGGTTGGTGATGTAACCACTGGCTCCGAATGTGCAGATGATTCCGAGGACAAAGAAGCAGAGGTAGAGGGTGTTGTGGGAGAACCATTTGAGGCTTCATTTTCCAATCTTGGTGAGGAGTTTGAAGTCGAATTTTCTGAGACTACTTTCTGTGATAAATTAGTAGCCGAAGAAAAATTTTTTAGATTTCGTGGTGGTGGAGAAAATTTTATTTTGCAAAGCCGCGCCACTTACTAGTGGAAGGTTATCAGTAGGCCGGGTAATTAGATTTGTGCGATTTAGAATTAATGAAGAATTTTCTTTTCGCGCCAGCCGCTGAAGTGCACTGTTAGGAACATAATAGCCATTTTGCTCAATCAAATCAGCTAATCTTTTGTTAACAACAACTGTGTCCCGAGAGGCTTCTCGATGACGGTGTCTGGACGACGGAGCAGGCACTCTCGCAGCACCCGCAGCACCCGCAGCACCCGCAGTACCCGCAGCAGACCTAGTAATTCTTCCAGTATTAGCAAGAGGCTGTTGGGCTTCTGCCGGAGCTGAGTGTTGGCTTGTTTGTCGAACAACTACTTGCCCAGCAGTTTGCGAATCATGTTCAGAAGAAGACGGAGGAGGAGCTGCCAACAACAACCGTCTCGAGGGTGGAGCCGGAAGTGGCATATGTCGATTTTGTTGCACGGAGCTGTGCCGCACGTCGCTTGTATTGTCCCCAAAGCTTGTAGCATCCCCTGCTCGCCCATACTCTAGCAGGAGCCTCTGAGTAGATGGTGCAGGCGGTAAGCGTGGGCGATCAATCTCAGCAGTGTCTCTCAGTTCACTGCCACTTCCAGATGCAGCAGTAGTAACAGTATCAGAACCACCAGCTCCCAGCAACAGCCTCTCAGAGGAGGGCGCTGGGGGTAGCTCCGGTAGCTCCTGCCGTATACCTGAGGAGCCAGCCACTTGGCTCCGCCTACCGGCATGTAAACGACGATTTTCTGGCTGACCAGCACGTTCCAGCGCAGATTTTAATCTCGCTAAATTTAGATGCCTCTTCCTACTACCGCCCGCCTCAGCCATTCTGGCAGACCGATTTGCAGACGTCGTAGTTTCTACTAGCTCGGTGGTGGCCCGTACAAGTTCCGCCGCCGCCAAAACCAGTTGATTGCTGGCAGGATTATTTGTGCTTGTAGCAGTACCTTGAGTGTCACCTAAACCTTGCGGCACCCCGACATCTCTCGCAGGAGCTTCCTCCAACTTAGTAGAGGAATCCATGACAACGTCGCTAGACGAAAATTCAGAATCTGATGAGTCTTCCAATTCGTCGAAACCCAGTATATGTTCCACAGACCCATCCATGTCTTCATCATTGGTTTCTGAGTCAACCGCATCCTGATTGTCATCACCAGATTGGCTAGCGGTTTCAACAGCTGAAGCCTCGCGGGTAAGTTCAGCAGTTCCAGACAGCGCAAGATCCACACTGTCATCCTCATCCAAAATGTGTAGTTGTTTGGGAAGAGTCACCGGACTTGTTTGATGAGCCACCACTGAGGGCGACTGAGTTCCTGGAGCAAAGGCTTTCTGGAGCTTTACCATATGTTCAGAAAATGAATTTTCGTGAGAAAAATCTTCGTCAGTATCTTCGGAACCAGGGCGACCAGCTACGTTGGAGTTCACCGATCTCAAATCACCATCATCAACAGTAGAATCTTCGAGCAATATATGGTCCTCAGACTGAAGTGTATCTTTGTCGTCACCAACACTAATTGACTCATCTGCAACCAGCTCCACATCAACATCTTCCAACGGTTGAAAAGAGTTTTCAGTTATAGGTGTCGGTGGTGTAGAAGTAGAATCCTGGTCCTCCAATCTGCTGGATCTGTGGCTCCTTTCCTCAGAGCCCACATAGGTCCAGCCAAAGTTACCACCACCACCACCACCAGAGAGTGAAGTGGGAGAGTAGTCGTCAGAGTCAGATTCATCTTCACTTTCTGATTCATCAGTGGAAGAGTCACTGTAGTCAGGGTCACGATTTCCAACCTCACTGTAGTCAATGAGAATGTCACCCTCGTAAATTGGCTTTTCGCCAAAAAATTTAACGCCAGGCAAGACATGGTCACGAAAGTTGCCGTGTACACAGCGCCGAATGCGCTTGTTCCTCGTAATGCATAGAAAATTCTTAGGATTTAACGGGTCGGGACCCAAATACAGAGCAGGCTCGCCCCGAGGCTGAAGGGTCCCTTTGAGTTTCTGAGACTCAGATTTAATGACAAAAACTAGGCAGCCAAATGTGTGCACTAGTGCTATAGGTGGTTTTCTGCCCGTAAAGGCTTCATAAGGTGAGATACCGGCTTTATTAACTATGGAGAAATTATATACCTGCACAGCGTAGAGCCAGGCAGAGTCCCAGTAGATATTGGCCCAGAGTGTCGACTGCATCAAGGCTCTAGTAGATATCTCACGCAGTGTGCGGTGGGCACGCTCAATTTTCCCATTTTGTTGGTGTTCATCAGGAGCAGTTAAAATATGAATGACGCCCCAGTCTGCTAAAAATTTTCCAAGTGTCCCAGAGATAAATTCACCACCATTGTCAGTAATAAGCTTGGTGGCCTTGCCGTCAACAGCACGGCGAGCAGCTTTGGGCACAAACTGCTTAAAGAACTGGATAAGTTTCCCAGGAGCTTCATCCTTAGATTCCAGAGCAAAAGCATAGATGTAACCAGAAAATGCATCAATGATATTCAGCATGTACCTGGCCCCTGAAGAGGCAGGACCTATGGGACCGACGAGATCAGCATGAATCTGGGCTAACGGAGCCGTGGATTCAGAAGCTATATGCTTATCCGGAGAAGTGAACCTCTTAATGCTTCTTGACGTGCCACATATGACACAGTCCTTGATCAATTCTTCGTCACGCTTGGTCACCTCAAAGGGAGGATCAGCAAGCTTGGCTAAATGTTTCACCGAAGTCAAAGAGCAATGAGCAAAACGAACATGACAGTCAAGTGCCTGCGAATTCAACACGGCCTCCTTTGCAATAAATTTGAGAGACTGTGAAAGGACAGGTAGTCCCTTTCCAACCGCGAAGGCTGATTTATCAACCTTCCTCATAGCTTCTGGTCCTTGTCTGCAAATCTGATCCCAGTCAATTGAATTTCCTGAGAACTTGAAAGATCCAGTTGGAGGTACGATATTCCTAGTAAACTTTACCGGAACAATGTTGGCACAAATGTGAGACTTGGCATCTCTGGCACCGCCAACCCTACCAACCTTTTCCTCACCAAAATAGGCCAGACAATCCCCACTTGGGACCGTATGAAAAGAAACATCGTGCGTGCGCCAGACAGAATCAGAAAACAAATTGCTAGACCCAGCAGGAAAATAAAGTGCGTCAGCAATATGGCAAATATTGGTGCCACCGTCACCTTTTAATACAACAGCAATTTTACCTTCCCCTTCTAACACGATGTCGGAACCACCATAGGAGCTGATAGTTTTGGGGCTGCTGTATTTCTCATACGACACAAAGTAGCTGTTGTCTGAGATAAGGTGACCAGTAGCATTTCCAGAATCGAGAACATTTGGAAGATTTGTTTCACCCACAGAGGCGATTTGGTTGGCAGGTGGAAGAAAAGCAACTGGCGAATAATCACTGCTTCCGCCGTCATTATCAAATATGTCTTGGATAGCCCGAGCAACAGAGCAAAGAGTTTCAACATCGTCGCGAGCCACCTCAAGGTATTCGGTAGCTTTCAAGGCAGCAACTCTGTTTTGACCATCAGAGTTCGACTTTCTAGCTTGCTTGTCTTCATTGTTGCGCCTCTTGTTGCCACCGGACCCCTTGGACCACTGCTTCCCTTTTCCATGCTTGGTATCAGAGTGGCCAGCTTTCTTCGAAGTTTCCTGCTTGGATTCCTGCTTGGGTTCTTGCTTGGGTTCCTGCTTTGGCACCACTTTTGTCGAACCGTCAATAATTCTTCGACCTTTTACGAAGGCTGCAGAAGTTGCTTCAACTAGCGCTGGGATTTCAACTGAATCACAGGGCTCCATCCTCCAGATCTTGACTTGAAAATGTCGACAAACTTGGTAATCCCCCAGAGATGACTCTGAGGATCTTCGCGAGCAGCTGCTGAAACCTTGTTGTTATTCAGCACTGCTAATATAAGGTCACGGTGAAAGGTGCCATCCGGGTTGTTAAAGAAATATTGCTCCACTACAGAGGCCCACTTGGAAGCTTCAGTAACAGTAGCTTGTATTTTGGTTTCAATTTCACTGCTGGTAAGCCCGGCGAAATAACTAGGACCTGGAACTCCTACTGAGATAGCTTGCGTCATCGCAAATACAATGTTAAGCTCAGGGCTTGGGGATATGCGCAAACCAATATGATTAAGACGTTGGTAAAATGAGAGCACTCGCCCCAGGTCAGCGGGCTCTAGGATTTCAGGATCTATACGAGCCATTCTTTTCCAGGTTCAAATAGGACCCCATGGCTTCTTCCCGCACAGACGCCGAATCCATAGGTGGAGTTTTTAGAAACTCGGGCGACGTGTCCCACCGGGCCTGTTCAGCTGCAGCCAGGTTAGCTGCAGGCGTGGTTTTAAAATGTAAGCCTTGAGTAGTTCATCAAGGGCCCTCTCAAACCTGATACCGTAACCAAGCTGAAGGGCAGTATGGCCAACAATTGGCTTATAGATATAGTTGTTCCAAAACTCCGGCCGCAGCTGTTAATTTGCCCAATAAGACCGTATATCCAAAAATCCAATTCACTTTTTTGTAGAGAAATTGTTTGAAATTTGGCGCTTGAGGAGCGTCAAAGGAGCTCATAACCTTTTGAGATGGGGGAGGACTAGCTTTGAAGTTTGAGTTTCTAATGTAAGCTGTCAAGTCTGCTAAGACTTTTAATTCAGCTTCACATCCTTCGGAACAAACTGGTATGTTGGCAATGGTTAATTGTCTAACGGTAAATCCAGAACGGTCAGCGAGATCAATTTGACGATGAACAGGAGATCGGCGAATGTCTCATAAGAGCTGGCGTTGTTCTTTGAATGGGTCTCAGATGTTGAGTGGGCAACAGAACTTCCAGTGCTGGCTGACTCGAAGGATGAGGGTCCTTCATTGACTCCTGTAGTGTTTCCGTGATTAGACATAGCGGAGAAGACTAAAAGCAAGAGTTAATAAGTAAATACGATTGATAAGCTGAAAGCTGAAAGAGTATTTAATAAAACAGTTTTATGTAAATTTAGAGTATATATAAGAATTATATAAAATGATAAAAATAATAAAATAATAAAATAATAAAATAATAAAATAATAAAATAATAAAATAATAAAATAATAAAAGTTCGCTATCATACCTAAAAGCAAGAGTTAATAAGTAAATACGATTGATAAGCTGAAAGCTGAAAGAGTATTTAATAAAAACAGTTTTGCGTAAATTTAGAGTAAGAGAAAAAAGAAGAGAAAGAAAACAAGAAAGGTTTCTGTAATGAAGAAAATTTAAAAGAGCATCTTGAAAAATTTTCTTTAGCAATAGGGAGTCTTGATTGTAACAATTTATTGTAACTCCAATGGTAATGGGCTAGTAGTTGCTAGTGAATAATGTAACAATGTAAAGAGTGTAATTGGGGAAAAAAAAATATTATGGGATAATGTTGAAATACACGATAGTACCATGATATATATTCCAACAGACGAGCAGCAAATAAATTGCGAGGAATCTTAGGAACATATAGAACATCTCGAAGAACAACGCGGTCACAAGGCTGGTCATCTTTACCAAGAAGATCAACGACAATGTCACCAACCCCCTCAGCAGTAGCAGAACCAAGACCACGAATGGTAGCCGAAGTGGGACGAAGAGAAGAAAAATATGAGATGTTATTGCAAATATGACTCGTAGCACCAGTATCATGGATAAAGTCAAAAGAATCAGACCCAACAACTAAGTTGGCCTCAGCAGAAGTAGTAGATTCAGCAACAAAAACGTGATGGACTGAATGACTTAAATCCAAGATTGAAGAAGGATGCCAGACGACAATTAAAATCAAGGAAAACAACATGATGGTAACAAAAGATAAGTAAAAGAATGGAGAAAAACGGGATTTTGGTGTAACAATAGGTTTAACAATAGGCGGAGAAGGTTCAGTAATTGAATCCACCAAAAAATCAAAACAAGGTAAGACAATATCATCATCAGAACCGACCAACGGTTTAGAATCAGAACAAGAAATAAAAGAAGAACCGACCAACGGTTCAGAATCAAAAGGAACAATATCCGAATCGACCAACGATTCAGAATCAAAACAAATAGGAGCTGAACTGACACACGGTTCAGACTCCAAACAAACAACAGTAGAACCGACATACGGTTCAGAATTAAAACAAGAATCATCAGTGGAACCAACAAACGGTTTACCAACTGAATCAATATCAAGTCCTGAGTTTGAACAATACTCAGAAACTTGACCAACAAAACAATCTTCATCGCCGACACACGGCTCAGAAGAATCAAAAAGTTCGGATTCCAAATCATCAAACGACTCGGAGCAACTGTTACCAAACTTTTCAGAAACAACAGATGTCTCGGACACAAAAGCGGAACTCACAAATGGATCATCATCAACTATCTCAGAAAATTCATCAATAGTCTCAGCAAACCAACCTCTTGAGGTTTTAGCCTCCTTAGATTCCTTGTCATCCTTATTATCTTGGCGAGCAGCCTGAACCTCTTCCCAAGAGACATGACAATTGTTGGAAGTATGGCCACGCCTCTTACAACGAAAACATTTGATACCATCACCCTTAGATTTGTTATTGTACTTCTTTGATGAAGCAACGAACGCTTCAGTCGAAAGAGTAGCTGGAGGTCCAGTAATCTTCAACAACTTGGCCCATTTATCAGTGTTCCGGATGAAGTTGTTGATATCAAGGTTGTCAGTATTGTTGTTACTATCAAAGCGGTGCTCCAAGGCGTACTGGATGAAGCGCTCACAATTGGGACCCATTGAAGCCAAAGCGTTGAAGGCCACGACCGAATCAGGCGACAATGATTGGTAGATGGAACGCCAGGTAGCAACATAAGAGCGAACAGAAGAAACAAACTTTGGACCAACATCAATATTGCCAGCATAGAGGGATTTCATAAGTGAGATGACATCGGCGGGTTGAAGTTGACTATACTCCTGATGAAGGTAAAGCCAGAGGTCACGGCCTCTAATGGCCACATCATTAACATGTTCGATCAACTCAGGAGAAATATTGTTGAGGATGACATCATGGACGACGGTATCAAGCGAGGCGGTGAGGTCTTCGAGGGATTCATTGGCAGCTGGATTGACAGTACCAGCTTCGACATAAAGGTGGACACCATTATTCATAGCACGAAGACCCAAAAGAATTTTGGTAGCCCAGACATGATAGTTGAGAGGAGTGAGTTTTTCAGAGGAAGTAAGATTAATATAAGCCGAAGTGCGGCCCATAACCTGTTGAACTGTGACACGGGAAGTCATGATAATAATAGAAAATATTATCCAAGAAAAGTATATATTGAAATATATAAGATAAAACAGTTATATAAGAAGAAAGAAAAAGGAAAAGAAAAATTATAAAAGTTGGGGAAGAAACTTTCCTTATATACCCAAGGGAAAGAAAAATTTGCAGTGGTGAAAATTTTTCATTTGGGTTTGTCCCAAAGTTGAGTGGGTTTGTATTACACTTCAACTTTGTAACAAATTAAGGAGGGTAACCACAGTCACATAAGGGCTTAAACCTAATGCGGCTAAAACTAAAATAAACATAGGTTATCAACCATAGTTTCCCACCCAAACTCACGTGCATTATCAACTGCACTAGTCTGCGACAACATTGCATGCTCAACAATGCTCGCTTAAAATCCTCTATTAAACAGCTTGGTTCTAAATCATTACGTGCTATTTTCCCCGGAATAACTGAACTGATCGAGACATCCACCTTTTCCAACTCTATTGAACTCTTTGCTAGCTACAAACGTTTGTGCAAATTTGTTTCCTTGGTTGACTACGGATTCTCAGACTTAATTTATTCCCAGAGCTTCCAATGTTTAAATTCTTCTGAGTGTAGCCTGCTTAAACAATCTTTAGATCGAAATGGGAGTTTTCCTTTACCTCATGAGTTTTATCTTCATTTACTTCAGCTTGACAATATTGCGGGTGCTACTCCCATTTTTCTTTTGAAAGGATTGGTGAATGTCATATCCTATTTCCATTTTTCAACAGTGACATCTCAGAGAATTAAAGCCGTCGGCTTGCTCAATAGAACAAATAACGCGGATTTTCAACGTCTTTTAGAGTTTGGGGTTATTTTATTTTTTCCTGAGATTAAATCGTATTTTATGAATGCTGAAATACATAAGCACTTTTCAATTAAAAACGAAATGCCCAAAAATCTTGATTTTTCACTTGATCAAGATCGTTACATTTTGTATAAGGACAAAATTATTTTGAGTCCCTACCAACTAATTACCGTGATTACTGAAGCAGCGTTAGCCTATGATCCACAATCAGCTCTATCTTCAGAAGCAGATATTTCTAATTCTGGAAGAAAAATTCGGCGGAAAACAAGTTTAAATGGAGCTTTGGGCTCGTCACTTTTTGAGTTTCATTTTTTTTCCCGCCGGATTTTAGAGATGATTTCTCTTCGTCTTGACAAGGAAAATTTTCAGAAGACATTAAATGAACCTTCTCCAAAAAAAAAATCAACCTCATATATTATTTCCGATGATTCATTTGATGAAGAAGATGAAATATTACCCAAACCTGATGTTTTAGCTGAAAAAACTGGCAAAAGAAACGGCCAAGATTATGATTCTCTAGAGTCTAGCGATGAAATCCCACAAAGTCCTGAGTGCTTGGACACGGACTCAGAGCAGCCAACATATGAAAATTCAACGCCGGCTTTAGATCAGGAGGATGCACCAAATTTGGATTATAGTGATCACAGTACAACCGATGCTGCGGAAAATGACAAAACAAAAAATTTTCAAAAGAACAAACGACTTAAAGCTATCTACAAAGGACAAACGAAAGCTACTGTTACACTAAGCTCCTATCTGACTACGGATGGCTCCTCAAAAAAGTCTTCACCCCAGAGAATTCTTTCGAATTCATTGGCACCACAAACCCCAACAAGAGGTAAAAAAAGAGGAAGACCCGCTGGCTCAAAAAATAAAAAATAAAAAAAAATAAAAAATAAAAAAAAATAAAAAAAAATAAAAAAAATAAAAAAAATAAAAAAAATATATATATATATTCTTAAATGTAAAGCTTGATTTTATTTAAATAAAATAAACAAATTTGTTTATATTATAAATATATAATTAAATAATTAAATAAATTACTTTTAATAATAATGAAAAAAAAGATTGTTTTTGTTTATATTTTTAATAAACAAAAACAAAAAAAAAATATAAACAAAAACAAAAAAAAAATATAAATAATATAAATATAAACATAAAAATTTACACACAACAATGGTAATTACCACTATTATTCCACTTATGAGTGGAATAATATATATATGTGTTTTTTTTTGAGTTTATATAGTTTCTAACTTTTAATTAAAGTATAATTGGAGAATTTCTAAGGACAAAAAAGCTACTTTCATACCGAGTTGCCAACCTTCTAGGGTGGTTCCTTCAGACGAGTTTAATTTTATTTTAAAAAACAATGAAAAAGCTCTAAAATCATTGGTAAAGCAAGGGATTCCGAAAGAAAAACATATCGAATTAAATGAAGTTTTACAAGGGCCTAAAAATCCAATTAAAACTGTAGTTGATTTTTATAGGGATGGCCTTTTTTCTCAGACAAAGCCTAGTAGACATAATGGCTTTGAAGGAGATGACATCATTCAATCGGTCAAACGACCAAAATTAGATGAAGGAGATTTGAAGGAGTCTAATAATGAATTGAATACCCCTGTTGATAATAGCAAAAGACAGGGCCTTCATAACTTATGTTCCAAATTTAAAGAAATATGCAATTTAGATTTGCCGTTGATCAATGAAGAAAAAAACAATGATTTTTCGACTCGTAATTTTGGAAGATCAAATAAAGAAGGGAAAACAAAAATAAAAGAGGAAAGTGCTCAAAAAAGAACAACTTCAACATCCAAATTCTACGCTAAACTTCTCCATCATGGCTTGAAACAAGGTCATTCTATCAGTGACATTAATACAATAGCCAAGTTGATGGACTACACGGAAAAAGATATCACCATGCTAGAAAATAAATTTCAAAAAATTTGTCAAACTGTCGAAAATAATGGCCAATACAATGGCAGTGGTCCAAATTATTTTGGCACAGGAGTTGCCAGATTTCAAACTTGTTCTCAAGGATGCACATGTATTGTTCAAACCTCCCAAAATAAGATCTCTACTTGTGCTGCTTGCAAAACGCCCTACAATCCTAACGTTCAGGCAATATTATTATCAATCAGAGAGCTTTACCGTGAAAAATTTAATAATAAAAAAATTGCAGAGGTGGAATGGCTTAATGTTAATCGATATATTGAAAATTTACGAGCCCAGAAGATAGACAGAACACCAGAACATTTACAATATATGCTGAATGATGGTCTGTTTGATTTGGAAAACTCTAGGAAAAAGAAGAAGGTTATTGACATCCCATTCGTTATTGTCATGGACGCAATTTCAGTCTCAGCGTCGACTCATTTGGGATACAATGCAACTGGAGGGTTTAATCTTGCAGAGAATTCTCTAGAAATGAAATCAAAAGAAAATGTACATCCAATTTACATTTTGTTGAACTGTGACACGGGAAGTCATGATAATAATAGAAAATATTATCCAAGAAAAGTATATATTGAAATATATAAGATAAAACAGTTATATAAGAAGAAAGAAAAAGGAAAAGAAAAATTATAAAAGTTGGGGAAGAAACCTTCCTTAAATATCTGAGGGAAAGAAAAATTTGCAGTGGTGAAAATTTTTCATTTGGGTTTGTCCCAAAGTTGAGTGGGTTTGTATTACACTTCAACTTTGTAACAAATTAAGGAGGGTAACCACAGTCACATAAGGGCTTAAACCTAATGCGGCTAAAACTAAAATAAACATAGATTGTCAACCATAGTTTCCCACCCAAACTCACGTGCATTATCAACTGCACTAGTCTGCGACAACATTGCATGCTCAACACATTTATCCTAAAGTAAGATCTCATGCACCATCAAACAAACCGATAAAGAAACAAAACAACTCCGAATATTCTGACGACAATTTTAATCCTGGGGAATTTTTCAATACTGAAGATGGAGACGAAAATGTTAACGAGGATGAGTTCGATGTAACGGCATGTGGTGTTTTTCAGCCTCTTGTTGATGAATTTACTTCATTGTCTAAATTTGGCTTTAAAGTTTACGACGCTTTTAACAAGGAGGAAATTACAGTGCGAGTTCATTGGCTTTATACAATTGGAGACATGGCCGCTGTTTCTGAGTTGCTAGGTGGAAGGTATGCTGCTAACTTGCGTTGTTGTGTCCGCTGTAATATCTTCAAGTCACCATTATTTTATAAAGAAGGAAAGTTTACTAGAAGTTTGCTGAGCTTCATTCACTGTTCCGATGATTTTGATGATCTTAGCATTTCGGAATTGATAACCAAAAAAAAAAAAAAAGGTTTTTATGATCAAAGAAAAAAAATGGATTTAACTAATAGCTATTATGAGTCTGAAGTTTTACCATATTTTAATAAAAAACTGGAAAAGTACCCGACACTTTGATGGCGATTCAGCAAGAGATATATGATCTTCAGGATCCTAATAACCAAATGAAAAAATCAACTCATATTGGATTTAAATTAAAATCACCTCTTTTTGACCTCCCTTACTTTTCTCTACCTTATTCGTTTCCCCCAGACGTTATGCATGCCCAGGCAATTAATATTTTAAAGCTTTTACTGTCAATTATTTTAGATCCATCTTGTGAAGGAAACCAAAAAAACAAAACAGGAGAAAAGATTGAAATAAGAGAGTTTCTTTTTAATGAAGAACAGATGAATGCTTATTTTGAGTTTCTTGGTTTGCTGGATGAGCACACACCACAGGCTTTCAGAGACAACATCTTTAAACCAGAAAAAAAAACTGCTACTCTAACATATTGGCTTAAATCTGCTGCTCAGGGTGAAGCTCTATTGAAGTCACTGTACTTACTTCCAGAGTTTATTCCCAGCTTAACAGAAAAACAAGAGCATTTACTATATCTTTATTCCCAAATGGCTGCTTTAATGATGATAAACAACTCTAGCTATATCAATGAGGATCTTAACTTGGATCTTGTTCAAGAATCTTGGGAAATTGTTATCCAAAATTTTGAGCTACTAGTGACTTTGGGATATAATAAAAATGGATTTATTGGTACACTGCCATTGCATACCATGCTTCATACTCCTGGCTACTTGAAAAAAGTTGGTTCACTTAAAACCTTTAGCTCTTATGCTACCGAGCGAATGGTCAAATCAATTAAGGAATCACAGCAAAATAGTAGATATCCGATAATAACACTCTGCAATTACCAACTAAAGTTCTACGTCATAAACCTGATTTTTATAGGCCAAGCAACACCAGAAATATTACAGCCTGCTATGAAATTATCAAGCCAAAACGGTGAGTGTACAACTGATGAGGAACTAGAATTACTTGAGCTTCTAAAAAAAAGCTTAGTTAAGAATTATCCGAAATATAGGAACAATAAGAACACAGCTTCATCTAAAAGCCCTACAAGCTACGGTATGAATCTTCTATTTGAAAAAAACACGGGGAAATTTGTGGATAATACATTAAATTCGGACATGTACTATTATCAGCGGTATAGTAAAATTCATTGGAACACATCAAAATATACAGCAATTGCAAGCAACTCTAAGTTACGCAACACCAAAGAACTGAACACATTCGTCCGAGTTATTCAATCAAAAAATTCATCTGGTGCTAAAAGTCCAAGTTATTATGCAAATCTCCTTGACTGTTTCTCTGTTGGCAAAGGAACAGGAGAGGCTTGGGACAGGTTTGCAATCATTGAAAAAATTCCGGATGAGTCTTTAAGAAGCATCGATTTGCATGACGATTTCAAGCATATCTGTTTTAGTAATGAAATAAAACTCGGGTTCTACTGGGAAAATGAGTATAAGCATGGTGAAAGAATTGTGGTGCCCTTAAATCGCATCGCCAATCCAGTTTTTATAATACCGCAGTACAATTTTCTGTTGAGCATGCAATGTTGTCGCAGACTAGTGCAGTTGATAATGCACGTGAGTTTGGGTGGGAAACTATGGTTGACAATCTATGTTTATTTTAGTTTTAGCCGCATTAGGTTTAAGCCCTTATGTGACTGTGGTTACCCTCCTTAATTTGTTACAAAGTTGAAGTGTAATACAAACCCACTCAACTTTGGGACAAACCCAAATGAAAAATTTTCACCACTGCAAATTTTTCTTTCCCTTGGATATTTAAGGAAGGTTTCTTCCCAAACTTTTATAATTTTTCTTTTCCTTTTTCTTTCTTCTTATATAACTGTTTTATCTTATATATTTCAATATATACTTTTCTTGGATAATATTTTCTATTATTATCATGACTTCCCGTGTCACAGTTCAACAGGTTATGGGCCGCACTTCGGCTTATATTAATCTTACTTCCTCTGAAAAACTCACTCCTCTCAACTATCATGTCTGGGCTACTAAGATCCTTTTGGGTCTTCGTGCTATGAATAATGGTGTCCACCTTTATGTCGAAGCTGGTACTGTCAATCCAGCTGCTAATGAATCCCTCGAAGACCTCACCGCCTCGCTTGATACCGTCGTCCATGATGTCATCCTCAACAACATTTCTCCTGAGTTGATCGAACATGTTAATGATGTGGCCATTAGAGGCCGTGACCTCTGGCTTTATCTTCATCAGGAGTATAGTCAACTTCAACCCGCCGATGTCATCTCACTTATGAAATCCCTCTATGCTGGCAATATTGATGTTGGTCCAAAGTTTGTTTCTTCTGTTCGTTCTTATGTTGCTACATGGCGTTCCATCTACCAATCATTGTCGCCTGATTCGGTTGTGGCCTTCAACGCTTTGGCCTCAATGGGTCCCAATTGTGAGCGCTTCATCCAGTACGCCTTGGAGCACCGCTTTGATAGTAACAACAATACTGACAACCTTGATATCAACAACTTCATCCGGAACACTGATAAATGGGCCAAGTTGTTGAAGATTACTGGACCTCCAGCTACTCTTTCGACTGAAGCGTTCGTTGCTTCATCAAAGAAGTACAATAACAAATCTAAGGGTGATGGTATTAAATGTTTCCGTTGTAAGAGGCGTGGTCATACTTCCAACAATTGTCATGTCTCTTGGGAAGAGGTTCAGGCTGCTCGCCAAGATAATAAGGATGACAAGGAATCTAAGGAGGCTAAAACCTCAAGAGGTTGGTTTGCTGAGACTATTGATGAATTTTCTGAGATAGTTGATGATGATCCATTTGTGAGTTCCGCTTTTGTGTCCGAGACATCTGTTGTTTCTGAAAAGTTTGGTAACAGTTGCTCCGAGTCGTTTGATGATTTGGAATCCGAACTTTTTGATTCTTCTGAGCCGTGTGTCGGCGATGAAGATTGTTTTGTTGGTCAAGTTTCTGAGTATTGTTCAAACTCAGGACTTGATATTGATTCAGTTGGTTCCACTGATGATTCTTGTTTTAATTCTGAACCGTATGTCGGTTCTACTGTTGTTTGTTTGGAGTCTGAACCGTGTGTCAGTTCAGCTCCTATTTGTTTTTTTGATTCTGAATCGTTGGTCGATTCGGATATTGTTCCTTTTGATTCTGAACCGTTGGTCGGTTCTTCTTTTATTTCTTGTTCTGATTCTAAACCGTTGGTCGGTTCTGATGATGATATTGTCTTACCTTCTTTTGATTTTTTGGTGGATTCAATTACTGAACCTTCTCCACCTAATGTTAAACCTATTGTTACACCAAAATCCCGTTTTTCTCCATTCTTTTACTTATCTTTTGTTACCATCATGTTGTTTTCCTTGATTTTAATTGTCGTCTGGCATCCTTCTTCAATCTTGGATTTAAGTCATTCAGTCCATCACGTTTTTGTTGCTGAATCTACTACTTCTGCTGAGGCCAACTTAGTTGTTGGGTCTGATTCTTTTGACTTTATCCATGATACTGGTGCTACCAGTCACATTTGCAATAACATCTCATATTTTTCTTCTCTTCGTCCCACTTCGGCTACCATTCGTGGTCTTGGTTCTGCTACTGCTGAGGGGTTGGCGACATTGTCGTTGATCTTCTTGGTAAAGATGACCAGCCTTGTGACCGCGTTGTTCTTCGAGATGTTTTATATGTTCCTAAGATTCCTCGCAATTTATTTGCTGCTCGTCGAGCTACTGCTGGTGGTTGTCGGTTCATTCAAGACCTTAACCATATTTCTGCTGTTGAAAATGGCAAAACTCGAGTCCACGCCATTGCCATGGGTGACTTGTACTTTTGTCGTTTCCGAGTTGTTTTGCCTTCCAAGCCTGTCCATGAGGTGTTTGCTGTTGAGTCGTCTGCCAATCTTTGGCACAAGCGACTTGGTCACGCCAGTGTGGACGTTCTCAAGAAATTATCTAAGTCACTTTCTGTCAAGCCTACTCATTTTGAGGTTGTGGATAGTCATAAGTGTGACGCTTGTTTGGGTGGCAAAGCCACAGCATTGCCATTTAATGGTACCACAGAAAAAGCTAGTCGTCCTTTGGAGTTATTTGTTTCTGATTTAAGCGGTCCTCATGTCGCTACCCCTGTGGGTCATCGTTATGTCTTAACCATTATGGATTATTATTCCAGGTACTCTTATGTGGAGTTGTTGGTTAGGAAAAGTGATGCAAGTCTTGCCATTCGTAACTTTATTGCTAGGTGTGAATCTTATTTTTCTGGTGATTCTGCTGGTGATCGAGTTGCATATTTTCATTCTGATAATGGCGGCGAATACATTTCCAAAGACCTGGAGCAGTTCTTTGTGTCTAAGGGTATCAAGCATACTTATACAGTTCCTCATACTCCTCAGCAAAATGGTGTTGCTGAGCGATTGAATCGCACATTATTTGAAAAAGCCAAGTCTATGCTTTTATATGCTCATGCTCCTGAGTATTTATGGGGTGAAGCTGTCAAGTCTGCTAATTATATTAGGAACCGTCTTCCTAGTCGTACCACTGGTGGTGTTGCACCTCTTCAACTTTGGACGGGTAAACCTCCTAGTTATCACCATATGAAAGTATTTGGTTGTCAAGCTACAGTTGTTCTTCCTGGTGCTAAAAGAGAATCTAAGTTAAGTTCAAATACTGAAGCTGGTGTTTTGTTGGGTATTCTTTGGATCGTACAGCTTATCGAGTTCTTCTTGATTCAAGCATTGTTGAAGCCAGGAGTGTTTACTTTGATGAGTCCAAGTTTCCATTTATGAAAAGTGATAAGGACTTGTCTATTAATGGTACTGGTGTTGGGTTTAGTGTTGGGTCTAGTATTGGTTCTGGTTCAGGGTCCATGTCAGGACCTTGTTTTGATTCTAAGGGGACTGGTTTAGGATCTAATGTTAGGGTTAATTCTATTGCTAGTTCTGATTCAAGTTCTGGTTCTAGTTTTGGGTCTCATAGATCTTTACCAGCATCCTCATCTGGTTCTGGTTCTGGTTCTATTTGTGCTTTACCGTCTCCGTCTTCTTCTCCGTCTCATTCTCCGTCGCTTTCTTCTTCTTCTTCTTCTATTATCGTTCATAAGCCTCGTTCTGTTCGTCGCATTTTGTCTACACCTTCTGCTCCTCTTGAGTCTCCTACTCTTCCTTCTATTCCTTCTGTTCCATCTCTTCCTAGTTCTCCTATTCTTCCACCTTCAGATCATGATGTCTCTATCTCTCCTGACTCAAGTCCTATTGTTTCTCCTTCGGAATATATTCCTTCACAATTAGACTTATCTGAAGCTGGTCCATCTATTAATGAATCTGATATTTCTGGTGATTCTGGGATCTCGCAACGAGGGGTGATATTGGGTTTCAACCGTCTATCATTGCTTCGTCTCCCATTCCACCACCTTCTGTTGAATTGGAAGTAGTGCCACTTAGTCAAGAATCTCCTTCGCCTGATCTTGTTAATTCTCTTGACCAAGCTGGTGTTAGTGTTGTCACTAAGGATGATACTCAAGCTGTTTTGCCTAAATCTCGATCTCGTGTTGTTGCTGTTCGTTTACCTTCTATAACTCCTGCCAAACGCCCGAGTTCTGATGACATTGTTTCACCTCCTTCTAAACACCTTTGTGAAAATTCTTTGAAACAATCTCCAGTGTCTGCAACACCTGCAAAACGTCCAGCTGAAGAAGAGTGTATTTCTTATCGTCGTCTCAAATCTCTCCGCTTTGAGTATGATGATGTGGCTTTACTTGTTTTACAGATCCTAGTAGTTTTGAAGAAGCTATGTCTAGTGAAGAAGCTGAGTTTTGGCTTGAAGCCTGTGTTATTGAAATGTCGTCTCTTAAACGCAATGGTACTTGGGAATTGGTTGATCTCCCACCTGGTCGCAAGGCTATCAATAGCAAATGGGTGTTTAAAGTTAAGCGCAAAGCTGACGGTTCAATTGAACGTTACAAAGCTCGTCTCGTGTGTATTGGATTTTCGCAAGTTGAAGGTATTGATTATACTGAAACTTTTGCTCCCGTTGTTCGTTACGAGACTGTGAGGATTGTTCTTGCTATTGCTGCTCAGTTTGGGTTCCAGGTTCATCATATGGATGTCGAGACTGCATTTCTTAATGGTGATCTCAAAGAAGATATTTATATGAGACAACCTAAAGGCTTTGTTGTCAAAGGTCAGGAATCTAAAGTGTGTCATTTGAAGAAGTCTTTATATGGTTTAAAGCAAGCTCCTTTGTGTTGGAATGAGAAGATTCATGGTGCTCTTGTCAAACTTGGGTTTATTCGTAATGAAAGTGACTACGGTGTGTATACCAAAGGATCTGGGTCTACCATGGTTATTATTGCACTGTATGTTGATGATTTACTTATTTCTGGCAATTCTTCTGAGGTCATTGCCAAAACCAAGTCTTCTTTGTCATCTATGTTTAAGATGAAAGACTTGGGCCCAGTCGAGCAGTTCCTTGGCATGAGAGTTAAGCAGTCACCGTACCATATTACTGTGGATGTTTCACGTTATATTTTTGATATGTTGGAAGAGTTTGGTATGCAGAACTGTTCAAGTGTCAAGACTCCTTTACCCACTCGTGATCTTTCTGATTTTTCCGAGTCTGACTCTGCTACCGATGCCTCCATGTATCGCAGTATTATTGGTAAGCTGATTTATGCTGCTAATTGTGCTCGTCCTGATCTTGCTGTTGCTGTTAGCTTTCTTTGTCGATATATGCAGAGTCCGAAGTCTATTCATATGGAAGCTGCTAAGCATACTCTTCGTTATCTTAAGGGTACTGCTGAACTTGGTCTTGAATATCGAGCTCAGAAAGTCTACAAGCTTGTTGGCTATAGTGATGCCGATTATGCACAGGACAAACAGGACCGTAAGTCCTTTACTGGGTATGTTTTCATTCTGTCTGGTGGTCCCATTACTTGGGCTTGTCGAAAGCAAGTTAGTCCTGCATCGTCCAGCGTCGAGTCTGAGTATATGTCATTGTCTGATGCGTCTAAGGAATGCTTCTGGATTAATCAGTTGTTGTCCCTTTGCAAGATTCCTGTTCCGTTGCCAGTGACTATGTTTGAGGACAATCAGGGATGTATTGCATTGGCTCAGAACCCAGTGTTTCATCGTCGCACCAAGCATATTGATGTTCGTTATCATGTTGTGCGTCACTATATTCGCAGTGGAGTGATTCATCTGGAGTATCTTGATACTCAAGTGATGTTGGCAGATATGTTCACTAAGAATCTTGGTCGTGTGAAGTTTGAGACATTGAGGGGACTACTTGGTATGAAGGCAGTAGGTGATTCTGCGACAAGGGGAGGTGTTGAGCATGCAATGTTGTCGCAGACTAGTGCAGTTGATAATGCACGTGAGTTTGGGTGGGAAACTATGGTTGACAATCTATGTTTATTTTAGTTTTAGCCGCATTAGGTTTAAGCCCTTATATGACTGTGGTTACCCTCCTTAATTTGTTACAAAGTTGAAGTGTAATACAAACCCACTCAACTTTGGGACAAACCCAAATGAAAAATTTTCACCACTGCAAATTTTTCTTTCCCTTGGGTATATAAGGAAAGTTTCTTCCCCAACTTTTATAATTTTTCTTTTCCTTTTTCTTTCTTCTTATATAACTGTTTTATCTTATATATTTCAATATATACTTTTCTTGGATAATATTTTCTATTATTATCATGACTTCCCGTGTCACAGTTCAACATGTTGAAGCCAGGAGTGTTTACTTTGATGAGTCCAAGTTTCCATTTATGAAAAGTGATAAAGACTTGTCTATTAATGGTACTGGTGTTGGGTTTAGTGTTGGTTCTGGTTCAGGGTCCATGTCAGGGCCTTGTTTTGATTCTAAGGGGTCTGGTTTAGAATCTAATGTTAGGGTTAATTCTATTGCTAGTTCTGATTCAAGTTCTGGTTCTAGTTTTGGGTCTCATAGATCTTTACCAGCATCCTCATCTGGTTCTGGTTCTGGTTCTATTTGTGCTTTACCGTCTCCGTCTCCGTCTTCTTCTCCGTCTCATTCTCCGTCGCCGCCTCCTTCTTCTTCTTCTTCTTCTATTATTGTTCATAAGCCTCGTTCTGTTCGTCGCATTTTGTCTACACCTTCTGCTCCTCTTGAGTCTCCTACTCTTCCTACTCTTCCTTCTATTCCTTCTGTTCCATCTCTTCCTAGTTCTCCTATTCTTCCACCTTCAGATCATGAAGTCTCTATCTCTCCTGACTCAAGTCCTATTGTTTCTTCTTCGGAATATATTCCTTCACAATTAGACTTATCTGAAGCTGGTCCATCTATTAATGAATCTAATATTTCAGGTGATTCTGGGATCTCGCAACGAGGGGGTGATATTGGGTTTCAACCGTCTATCATTGCTTCGTCTCCCACTCCACCACCTTCTGTTGAATTGGAAGTAGTGCCACTTAGTCAAGAATCTCCTTCGCCTGATCTAGTTAATTCTCTTGACCAAGCTGGTGTTAGTGTTGTCACTAAGGATGATACTCAAGCTGTTTTGCCTAAATCTCGATCTCGTGTTGTTGCTGTTCGTTTACCTTCTATAACTCCTGCCAAACGCCCGAGTTCAGATGACATTGTTTCACCTCCTTCTAAACACCTTTGTGAAAATTCTTTGAAACAATCTCCAGTGTCTGCAACACCTGCAAAACGTCCAGCTGAAGAAGAGTGTATTTCTTATCGTCGTCTCAAATCTCTCCGCTTTGAGTATGATGATGTGGCTTTACTTGTTTTTACAGATCCTAGTAGTTTTGAAGAAGCTATGTCTAGTGAAGAAGCTGAGTTTTGGCTTGAAGCCTGTGTTATTGAAATGTCGTCTCTTAAACGCAATGGTACTTGGGAATTGGTTGATCTCCCACCTGGTCGCAAGGCTATCAATAGCAAATGGGTGTTTAAAGTTAAGCGCAAAGCTGACGGTTCAATTGAACGTTACAAATCTCGTCTCGTGTGTATTGGATTTTCGCAAGTTGAAGGTATTGATTATACTGAAACTTTTGCTCCTGTTGTTCGTTACGAGACTGTAAGGATTGTTCTTGCTATTGCTGCTCAGTTTGGGTTCCAGGTTCATCATATGGATGTCGAGACTGCATTTCTTAATGGTGATCTCAAAGAAGATACTTATATGAGACAACCTAAAGGCTTTGTTGTCAAAGGCCAGGAATCTAAAGTGTGTCATTTGAAGAAGTCTTTATATGGTTTAAAGCAAGCTCCTTTGTGTTGGAATGAGAAGATTCATGGTGCTCTTGTCAAACTTGGGTTTATTCGTAATGAAAGTGACTACGGTGTGTATACCAAAGGATCTGGGTCTACCATGGTCATTATCGCACTGTATGTTGATGATTTACTTATTTCTGGCAATTCTTCTGAAGTCATTGCCAAAACCAAGTCTTCTTTGTCATCTATGTTTAAGATGAAAGACTTGGGCCCAGTCGAGCAGTTCCTTGGCATGAGAGTTAAGCAGTCACCTTATCATATTACTGTGGATGTTTCACGTTATATTTTTGACATGTTGGAGGAGTTTGGTATGCAGAATTGTTCAAGTGTCAAGACTCCTTTACCCACTCGTGATCTTTCTGATTTTTCCGAGTCTGACTCTGCTACCGATGCCTCCATGTATCGCAGTATTATTGGTAAGCTGATTTATGCTGCTAATTGTGCTCGTCCTGATCTTGCTGTTGCTGTTAGCTTTCTTTGTCGATATATGCAGAGTCCTAAGTCTATTCATATGGAAGCTGCTAAGCATACTTTCGTTATCTTAAGGGTACTGCTGAACTTGGTCTTGAATATCGAGCTCAGAAAGTCTACAAGCTTGTTGGCTATAGTGATGCCGATTATGCACAGGACAAGCAGGACCGTAAGTCCTTTACTGGGTATGTTTTTATTCTGTCTGGTGGTCCCATTACTTGGGCTTGTCGAAAGCAAGTTAGTCCTGCATCGTCCAGCGTCGAGTCTGAGTACATGTCATTGTCGGATGCGTCTAAGGAATGCTTCTGGATTAATCAGTTGTTGTCTCTTTGCAAGATTCCTGTTCCGTTGCCAGTGACTATGTTTGAGGACAATCAGGGATGTATTGCTTTGGCTCAGAACCCAGTGTTTCATCGTCGCACCAAGCATATTGATGTTCGGTATCATGTTGTCCGTCACTATATTCGCAGTGGAGTGATTCATCTGGAGTATCTTGATACTCAAGTGATGTTGGCAGATATGTTTACTAAGAATCTTGGTCGTGTGAAGTTTGAGACATTGAGGGGACTACTTGGTATGAAGGCAGTAGGTGATTCTGCGACAAGGGGAGGTGTTGAGCATGCAATGTTGTCGCAGACTAGTGCAGTTGATAATGCACGTGAGTTTGGGTGGGAAACTATGGTTGATAACCTATGTTTATTTTAGTTTTAGCCGCATTAGGTTTAAGCCCTTATGTGACTGTGGTTACCCTCCTTAATTTGTTACAAAGTTGAAGTGTAATACAAACCCACTCAACTTTGGGACAAACCCAAATGAAAAATTTTCACCACTGCAAATTTTTCTTTTCCTTGGGTATATAAGGAAGGTTTCTTCCCCAACTTTTATAATTTTTCTTTTCCTTTTTCTTTCTTCTTATATAACTGTTTTATCTTATATATTTCAATATATACTTTTCTTGGATAATATTTTCTATTATTATCATGACTTCCCGTGTCACAGTTCAACAAGCATCTACCTCTAATGGATTCCCTAAAATTTTAGAATTCACATGCTTAAAAAGGGCATCAGATAACAGTCGAGAAACTAAAATAGACTGGACTGAATGGGAAAAAACCAAGCAAAAATTTGGACTGAATAAAACAGATCTGGGGACGAATGTGGAATACATCGCCATTTCATCGCTGGTGTCTGTGGAATAGACATTAGGAGTTGGTAAAGGTTGTAATGATGTAACATTGTTCAATTTTTGATAAGCATTTACGACTTGAATTGCGCGTCTGAACTGTACTAACACGTTGAAATGGAGAAGTAGGTTATGGGGAAAAACTTTCTTTATACTGTTATCAATAATTCCAAAAAGCGTCCAACACATATATAAACCAGAGAATTTCAAAGGATAGTAGGATGAGGCTTTGATCTGAATGTTTTGTATTTCTTGGGTAACAAGTGTATCGGTCCCATAATTAATCTCAAACAAAGGCAAAATTCGGTTCAGCAAATTTTTGTATATTCCAAAATTCTTTTCAATGCAAGTCTCAAAGAGATTTTATTTGTTTGGTTTGTTTTCGAAGTTGTGGAGCAGAAAAAAGAATAAACTGAAACCTCCAAACAGTTCCTCCAAGAGATATGTAAAAAGCCCCAGTGATTGTAGTTGATAGGAGGTAAAAGAAGAAAGAAGTCAAGTTGTTTGTTGTTTTCATGTTCTTTAAAATTAAATTCAGCAAGTAAGCCAGAAAGGTTTTTGTAGACAAAGTCAACACTTTGCTCCGCAATTAATCCATCAGTTATTTTTGGCTGACAAATTATGCAAAATTGGCCGTATTCTTTATCAAAAACTTCGGTCATTTGAATGAAATGGTTTGAGCTAAGACCACAGTTGTGAAAATAATTATCTAGCAAATATAAAACGTCCGAAGAATCAAAAATACAGTGAGAGTTAGTTGTATCAGGTAAGACAAGGTCTAAATGATGCAACTCAAGGTGATTGTTCTCAGTATATAACGTCTCTGAAATTTCAGAGACGTCACAAAGATATATTTCTTCCTTCATGGGAGCTCTTTAAAAAAGTTTTTGGATTATCAAATTTTTAATGTGTATTAAAATGAAGAAATATATGTTGAAAAAAAAAATTACAATAAACAACTCGGTAAATGAGGTCATATATATTATAATAAACACGGAAACAATGTTTTTTTTTTGATGATTTACGAATATTTAAAAAAATTAGCATACATTCCAGAGAAACCCCTTTAAAGACCAAATTTGGTCTTAATAACAATTGGTTATGATAATATTATCATATATCATTAAGTAACCATAAGTTTATATGTTGAATGGTGTGTTACAGGGTAGATCTTTTAATAGTATTATTATTATAATTAAGATGAGTATATATATATTTATATATAAATAAAAATTAAATTGATTGTTAAAGTTGGAAATAATAGATGAAATAATATTTTAATCTCTAGCTTCTTATAACGAAATAGACATGTTTAAACTATTTATCAAACATAACAATAAGATATTTCCATAAGAACAATGATTACTAATATAACAAAATTATGATAGAGCCAATTAGACTTAAAGTACATTTTTACCACAGTGCAGATTTCTTTCCTCAGCCAATAAGAATTCTCTTTAGATTAAATCTTTAAAAAAAATTATAAAAAAAGTTTCTCTTCACCTTCCTCTTTTCTTTCTACACATCACTTTTTTTTTTTACAATACAATTTGCCTTATAAAATATGGAAATTTTAGAAGTTTAAAGTATTATATCTTTTTTTTTTTAGAAAAGGTCATGATATTAACAACTTACAATAGTTTTACGACTATGAAGATGGCTCGGTTCATTGCTATAAGCGATTTTAACGCGTTGATACTTAGAAGAACCATGATGATGCTCGCTTGACGATCAAGCTTGATGCGTTGATACTAAGAAGAAAAACAATGATGCTCGCTTGACGAGCGATTTTAACGCGTTAATACTTAGAAGAACCATGATGATGCTCGCTTGACGATCAAGCTTGATGCGTTGCTACTGAGAAGAACCATGATAATGCTCGCTTGACGATCAAGCTTGATGCATTGATGATACTGAGAAAAGAACGATGATGATGCTCGCTTGACGTTCAAGCTTGATGCGTTGCTACTGAGAAGAAGAACGATGATGATGCTCGCTTGACGATCAAGCTTGATGCATTGATGATACTGAGAAAAGAACGATGATGATGCTCGCTTGACGTTCAAGCTTGATGCCTTGCTACTGAGAAGAAGAACGATGATGATGCTCGCTTGACGATCAAGCTTGATGCGTTGATGATACTGAGAAGAAGAACGATGATGATGCTCGCTTGACGATCAAGCTTGATGCATTGATGATACTGAGAAAAGAACGATGATGATGCTCGCTTGACGTTCAAGCTTGATGCCTTGCTACTGAGAAGAAGAACGATGATGATGCTCGCTTGACGATCAAGCTTGATGCGTTGATGATACTGAGAAGAAGAACGATGATGATGCTCGCTTGACGATCAAGCTTGATGCGTTGATACTAAGAAGAAAAACAATGATGCTCGCTTGACGAGCGATTTTAACGCGTTAATACTTAGAAGAACCATGATGATGCTCGCTTGACGTTCAAGCTTGATGCGTTGCTACTAAGAAGAAGAACAATGATGCTCGCTTGACGATCAAGCTTGATGCGTTGATGATACTGAGAAGAACCATGATAATGCTCGCTTGACGATCAAGCTTGAGGCATTGCTACTAAGCTATATATATATATATATATATATAATTCTGTAATTTATAATTTAATTTAAGGATTTTTTAAAAATTTTTAAAATTTTCAAAAATTCTAAATTTATTATATGCGGTGAATTAAACATTTAAATTTGCTTATTTAACCAGGTGTGTGTGCTTATTTGACCACCGGAAATGCTTATTTAACCAGGTCTAATATTTAAATTCACCACAGGAAAAGCTAAATAAACCAGAGAAAATATTAAATTTACCAGGTGGTTGTGCTTATTTAACCAGGTGTGTGTGCTTATTTGACCACAGAAAATATTAAATTTACCAGGTGGTTGTGCTTATTTAACCAGGTGTGTGTGCTTATTTAACCACTGAAAATATTAAATTTACCAGGTGTGTGTGTTAAATAAAAAAAAAAAAATGTTTATTAAGCAATTTTTATAGTGGGGGAAAAAATAAATTTACCACGTCTATTTGTTTAGTAAACCACCACTTTACTAGGGGAAAAAGTGCGAAAAATCCCAAAGGTGTAAATATAAAATAAATATAAAATAAATATAAAATAAATATTGAGTTTTAAAAAAGAATATATATTTTTACTACAGTTTTGTTGAGCATGCAATGTTGTCGCAGACTAGTGCAGTTGATAATGCACGTGAGTTTGGGTGGGAAACTATGGTTGATAACCTATGTTTATTTTAGTTATAGCCGCATTAGGTTTAAGCCCTTATGTGACTGTGGTTACCCTCCTTAATTTGTTACAAAGTTGAAGTGTAATACAAACCCACTCAACTTTGGGACAAACCCAAATGAAAAATTTTCACCACTGCAAATTTTTCTTTCCCTTGGGTATATAAGGAAGGTTTCTGTTGAACTGTGACACGGGAAGTCATGATAATAATAGAAAATATTATCCTAGAAAAGTATATATTGAAATATATAAGATAAAACAGTTATATAAGAAGAAAGAAAAAGGAAAAGAAAAATTATAAAAGTTGGGGAAGAAACCTTCCTTATATACCCAAGGAAAAGAAAAATTTGCAGTGGTGAAAATTTTTCATTTGGGTTTGTCCCAAAGTTGAGTGGGTTTGTATCACACTTCAACTTTGTAACAAATTAAGGAGGGTAACCACAGTCATATAAGGGCTTAAACCTAATGCGGCTAAAACTAAAATAAACATAGATTGTCAACCATAGTTTCCCACCCAAACTCACGTGCATTATCAACTGCACTAGTCTGCGACAACATTGCATGCTCAACACCTCCCCTTGTCGCAGAATCACCTACTGCCTTCATACCAAGTAGTCCCCTCAATGTCTCAAACTTCACACGACCAAGATTCTTAGTGAACATATCTGCCAACATCACTTGAGTATCAAGATACTCCAGATGAATCACTCCACTGCGAATATAGTGACGCACAACATGATAACGAACATCAATATGCTTGGTGCGACGATGAAACACTGGGTTCTGAGCCAATGCAATACATCCCTGATTGTCCTCAAACATAGTCACTGGCAACGGAACAGGAATCTTGCAAAGGGACAACAACTGATTAATCCAGAAGCATTCCTTAGACGCATCAGACAATGACATATACTCAGACTCGACGCTGGACGATGCAGGACTAACTTGCTTTCGACAAGCCCAAGTAATGGGACCACCAGACAGAATGAAAACATACCCAGTAAAGGACTTACGGTCCTGTTTGTCCTGTGCATAATCGGCATCACTATAGCCAACAAGCTTGTAGACTTTCTGAGCTCGATATTCAAGACCAAGTTCAGCAGTACCCTTAAGATAACGAAGAGTATGCTTAGCAGCTTCCATATGAATAGACTTCGGACTCTGCATATATCGACAAAGAAAGCTAACAGCAACAGCAAGATCAGGACGAGCACAATTAGCAGCATAAATCAGCTTACCAATAATACTGCGATACATGGAGGCATCGGTAGCAGAGTCAGACTCGGAAAAATCAGAAAGATCACGAGTGGGTAAAGGAGTCTTGACACTTGAACAGTTCTGCATACCAAACTCTTCCAACATATCAAAAATATAACGTGAAACATCCACAGTAATATGGTACGGTGACTGCTTAACTCTCATGCCAAGGAACTGCTCGACTGGGCCCAAGTCTTTCATCTTAAACATAGATGACAAAGAAGACTTGGTTTTGGCAATGACCTCAGAAGAATTGCCAGAAATAAGTAAATCATCAACATACAGTGCAATAATAACCATGGTAGACCCAGATCCTTTGGTATACACACCGTAGTCACTTTCATTACGAATAAACCCAAGTTTGACAAGAGCACCATGAATCTTCTCATTCCAACACAAAGGAGCTTGCTTTAAACCATATAAAGACTTCTTCAAATGACACACTTTAGATTCCTGACCTTTGACAACAAAGCCTTTAGGTTGTCTCATATAAATATCTTCTTTGAGATCACCATTAAGAAATGCAGTCTCGACATCCATATGATGAACCTGGAACCCAAACTGAGCAGCAATAGCAAGAACAATCCTCACAGTCTCGTAACGAACAACGGGAGCAAAAGTTTCAGTATAATCAATACCTTCAACTTGCGAAAATCCAATACACACGAGACGAGCTTTGTAACGTTCAATTGAACCGTCAGCTTTGCGCTTAACTTTAAACACCCATTTGCTATTGATAGCCTTGCGACCAGGTGGGAGATCAACCAATTCCCAAGTACCATTGCGTTTAAGAGACGACATTTCAATAACACAGGCTTCAAGCCAAAACTCAGCTTCTTCACTAGACATAGCTTCTTCAAAACTACTAGGATCTGTAAAAACAAGTAAAGCCACATCATCATACTCAAAGCGGAGAGATTTGAGACGACGATAAGAAATACACTCTTCTTCAGCTGGACGTTTTGCAGGTGTTGCAGACACTGGAGATTGTTTCAAAGAATTTTCACAAAGGTGTTTAGAAGGAGGTGAAACAATGTCATCAGAACTCGGGCGTTTGGCAGGAGTTATAGAAGGTAAACGAACAGCAACAACACGAGATCGAGATTTAGGCAAAACAGCTTGAGTATCATCCTTAGTGACAACACTAACACCAGCTGTTGAACTGTGACACGGGAAGTCATGATAATAATAGAAAATATTATCCAAGAAAAGTATATATTGAAATATATAAGATAAAACAGTTATATAAGAAGAAAGAAAAAGGAAAAGAAAAATTATAAAAGTTGGGGAAGAAACCTTCCTTAAATATCTGAGGGAAAGAAAAATTTGCAGTGGTGAAAATTTTTCATTTGGGTTTGTCCCAAAGTTGAGTGGGTTTGTATTACACTTCAACTTTGTAACAAATTAAGGAGGGTAACCACAGTCACATAAGGGCTTAAACCTAATGCGGCTAAAACTAAAATAAACATAGATTGTCAACCATAGTTTCCCACCCAAACTCACGTGCATTATCAACTGCACTAGTCTGCGACAACATTGCATGCTCAACACCTCCCCTTGTCGCAGAATCACCTACTGCCTTCATACCAAGTAGTCCCCTCAATGTCTCAAACTTCACACGACCAAGATTCTTAGTGAACATATCTGCCAACATCACTTGAGTATCAAGATACTCCAGATGAATCACTCCACTGCAAATATAGTGACGCACAACATGATAACGAACATCAATATGCTTGGTGCGACGATGAAACACTGGGTTCTGAGCCAATGCAATACATCCCTGATTGTCCTCAAACATAGTCACTGGCAACGGAACAGGAATCTTGCAAAGGGACAACAACTGATTAATCCAGAAGCATTCCTTAGACGCATCAGACAATGACATGTACTCAGACTCGACGCTGGACGATGCAGGACTAACTTGCTTTCGACAAGCCCAAGTAATGGGACCACCAGACAGAATAAAAACATACCCAGTAAAGGACTTACGGTCCTGTTTGTCCTGTGCATAATCGGCATCACTATAGCCAACAAGCTTGTAGACTTTCTGAGCTCGATATTCAAGACCAAGTTCAGCAGTACCCTTAAGATAACGAAGAGTATGCTTAGCAGCTTCCATATGAATAGACTTCGGACTCTGCATATATCGACAAAGAAAGCTAACAGCAACAGCAAGATCAGGACGAGCACAATTAGCAGCATAAATCAGCTTACCAATAATACTGCGATACATGGAGGCATCGGTAGCAGAGTCAGACTCGGAAAAATCAGAAAGATCACGAGTGGGTAAAGGAGTCTTGACACTTGAACAATTCTGCATACCAAACTCCTCCAACATGTCAAAAATATAACGTGAAACATCCACAGTAATATGGTAAGGTGACTGCTTAACTCTCATGCCAAGGAACTGCTCGACTGGGCCCAAGTCTTTCATCTTAAACATAGATGACAAAGAAGACTTGGTTTTGGCAATGACTTCAGAAGAATTGCCAGAAATAAGTAAATCATCAACATACAGTGCAATAATGACCATGGTAGACCCAGATCCTTTGGTATACACGCCGTAGTCACTTTCATTACGAATAAACCCAAGTTTGACAAGAGCACCATGAATCTTCTCATTCCAACACAAAGGAGCTTGCTTTAAACCATATAAAGACTTCTTCAAATGACACACTTTAGATTCCTGACCTTTGACAACAAAGCCTTTAGGTTGTCTCATATAAATATCTTCTTTGAGATCACCATTAAGAAATGCAGTCTCGACATCCATATGATGAACCTGGAACCCAAACTGAGCAGCAATAGCAAGAACAATCCTCACAGTCTCGTAACGAACAACGGGAGCAAAAGTTTCAGTATAATCAATACCTTCAACTTGCGAAAATCCAATACACACGAGACGAGCTTTGTAACGTTCAATTGAACCGTCAGCTTTGCGCTTAACTTTAAACACCCATTTGCTATTGATAGCCTTGCGACCAGGTGGGAGATCAACCAATTCCCAAGTACCATTGCGTTTAAGAGACGACATTTCAATAACACAGGCTTCAAGCCAAAACTCAGCTTCTTCACTAGACATAGCTTCTTCAAAACTACTAGGATCTGTAAAAACAAGTAAAGCCACATCATCATACTCAAAGCGGAGAGATTTGAGACGACGATAAGAAATACATTCTTCTTCAGCTGGACGTTTTGCAGGTGTTGCAGACACTGGAGATTGTTTCAAAGAATTTTCACAAAGATGTTTAGAAGGAGGTGAAACAATGTCATCAGAACTCGGGCGTTTGGCAGGAGTTATAGAAGGTAAACGAACAGCAACAACACGAGATCGAGATTTAGGCAAAACAGCTTGAGTATCATCCTTAGTGACAACACTAACACCAGCTTGGTCAAGAGAATTAACAAGATCAGACGAAGGAGATTCTTGACTAAGTGGCACTACTTCCAATTCAACAGAAGGTGGTGGAATGGGAGACGAAGCAATGATAGACGGTTGAAACCCAATATCACCCTCTCGTTGCGAGATCCCAGAATCACCTGAAATATCAGATTCATTAATAGATGGACCAGCTTCAGATAAGTCTAATTGTGAAGGAATATATTCCGAAGGAGAAACAATAGGACTTGAGTCAGGAGAGATAGAGACATCATGATCTGAAGGTGGAAGAATAGGAGAACTAGGAAGAGATGGAACAGAAGGAATAGAAGGAAGAGTAGGAAGAGTAGGAGACTCAAGAGGAGCAGAAGGTGTAGACAAAATGCGACGAACAGAACGAGGCTTATGAACAATAATAGAAGAAGAAGAAGGAGGAGGTGGCGACGGAGAATGAGACGGAGAAGAAGACGGAGACGGAGACGGTAAAGCACAAATAGAACCAGAACCAGAACCAGATGAGGATGCTGGTAAAGATCTATGAGACCCAAAACTAGAACCAGAACTTGAATCAGAACTAGCAATAGAATTAACCCTAACATTAGATCCTAAACCAGACCCCTTAGAATCAAAACAAGGCCCTGACATGGACCCTGAACCAGAACCAACACTAAACCCAACACCAGTACCATTAATAGACAAGTCCTTATCACTTTTCATAAATGGAAACTTGGACTCATCAAAGTAAACACTCCTGGCTTCAACAATGCTTGAATCAAGAAGAACTCGATAAGCTGTACGATCCAAAGAATACCCAACAAAAACACCAGCTTCAGTATTTGAACTTAACTTAGATTCTCTTTTAGCACCAGGAAGTGTTGAACTGTGACACGGGAAGTCATGATAATAATAGAAAATATTATCCAAGAAAAGTATATATTGAAATATATAAGATAAAACAGTTATATAAGAAGAAAGAAAAAGGAAAAGAAAAATTATAAAAGTTGGGGAAGAAACTTTCCTTATATACCCAAGGGAAAGAAAAATTTGCAGTGGTGAAAATTTTTCATTTGGGTTTGTCCCAAAGTTGAGTGGGTTTGTATTACACTTCAACTTTGTAACAAATTAAGGAGGGTAACCACAGTCATATAAGGGCTTAAACCTAATGCGGCTAAAACTAAAATAAACATAGATTGTCAACCATAGTTTCCCACCCAAACTCACGTGCATTATCAACTGCACTAGTCTGCGACAACATTGCATGCTCAACACCTCCCCTTGTCGCAGAATCACCTACTGCCTTCATACCAAGTAGTCCCCTCAATGTCTCAAACTTCACACGACCAAGATTCTTAGTGAACATATCTGCCAACATCACTTGAGTATCAAGATACTCCAGATGAATCACTCCACTGCAAATATAGTGACGCACAACATGATAACGAACATCAATATGCTTGGTGCGACGATGAAACACTGGGTTCTGAGCCAATGCAATACATCCCTGATTGTCCTCAAACATAGTCACTGGCAACGGAACAGGAATCTTGCAAAGGGACAACAACTGATTAATCCAGAAGCATTCCTTAGACGCATCAGACAATGACATGTACTCAGACTCGACGCTGGACGATGCAGGACTAACTTGCTTTCGACAAGCCCAAGTAATGGGACCACCAGACAGAATAAAACATACCCAGTAAAGGACTTACGGTCCTGTTTGTCCTGTGCATAATCGGCATCACTATAGCCAACAAGCTTGTAGACTTTCTGAGCTCGATATTCAAGACCAAGTTCAGCAGTACCCTTAAGATAACGAAGAGTATGCTTAGCAGCTTCCATATGAATAGACTTCGGACTCTGCATATATCGACAAAGAAAGCTAACAGCAACAGCAAGATCAGGACGAGCACAATTAGCAGCATAAATCAGCTTACCAATAATACTGCGATACATGGAGGCATCGGTAGCAGAGTCAGACGCGGAAAAATCAGAAAGATCACGAGTGGGTAAAGGAGTCTTGACACTTGAACAGTTCTGCATACCAAACTCTTCCAACATATCAAAAATATAACGTGAAACATCCACAGTAATATGGTACGGTGACTGCTTAACTCTCATGCCAAGGAACTGCTCGACTGGGCCCAAGTCTTTCATCTTAAACATAGATGACAAAGAAGACTTGGTTTTGGCAATGACTTCAGAAGAATTGCCAGAAATAAGTAAATCATCAACATACAGTGCAATAATGACCATGGTAGACCCAGATCCTTTGGTATACACGCCGTAGTCACTTTCATTACGAATAAACCCAAGTTTGACAAGAGCACCATGAATCTTCTCATTCCAACACAAAGGAGCTTGCTTTAAACCATATAAAGACTTCTTCAAATGACACACTTTAGATTCCTGACCTTTGACAACAAAGCCTTTAGGTTGTCTCATATAAATATCTTCTTTGAGATCACCATTAAGAAATGCAGTCTCGACATCCATATGATGAACCTGGAACCCAAACTGAGCAGCAATAGCAAGAACAATCCTCACAGTCTCGTAACGTACAACAGGAGCAAAAGTTTCAGTATAATCAATACCTTCAACTTGCGAAAATCCAATACACACGAGACGAGCTTTGTAACGTTCAATTGAACCGTCAGCTTTGCGCTTAACTTTAAACACCCATTTGCTATTGATAGCCTTGCGACCAGGTGGGAGATCAACCAATTCCCAAGTACCATTGCGTTTAAGAGACGACATTTCAATAACACAGGCTTCAAGCCAAAACTCAGCTTCTTCACTAGACATAGCTTCTTCAAAACTACTAGGATCTGTAAAACAAGTAAAAGCCACATCATCATACTCAAAGCGGAGAGATTTGAGACGACGATAAGAAATACACTCTTCTTCAGCTGGACGTTTTGCAGGTGTTGCAGACATTGGAGATTGTTTCAAAGAATTTTCACAAAGGTGTTTAGAAGGAGGTGAAACAATGTCATCAGAACTCGGGCGTTTGGCAGGAGTTATAGAAGGTAAACGAACAGCAACAACACGAGATCGAGATTTAGGCAAAACAGCTTGAGTATCATCCTTAGTGACAACACTAACACCAGCTTGGTCAAGAGAATTAACTAGATCAGACGAAGGAGATTCTTGACTAAGTGGCACTACTTCCAATTCAACAGAAGGTGGTGGAGTGGGAGACGAAGCAATGATAGACGGTTGAAACCCAATATCACCCCCTCGTTGCGAGATCCCAGAATCACCTGAAATATCAGATTCATTAATCCCAGCTTCAGATAAGTCTAATTGTGAAGGAATATATTCCGAAGAAGAAACAATAGGACTAGAGTCAGAAGATATAGAGACATCATGATCTGAAGGTGGAAGAATAGGAGAACTAGGAAGAGATGGAACTAAAGAAATAGAAGGAAGAGTAGGAAGAGTAGGAGACTCAAGAGGAGCAGAAGGTGTAGACAAAATGCGACGAACAGAACGAGGCTTATGAACAATAATAGAAGAAGAAGAAGAAGAAGGAGGCGCCGACGGAGAATGAGACGGAGAAGAAGACAGAGACGGAGACGGTAAAGCACAAATAGAACCAGAACCAGAACCAGAACCAGAACCAGAACCAGATGAGGATGCTGGTAAAGATCTATGAGACCCAAAACTAGAACCAGAACTTGAATCAGAACTAGCAATAGAATTAACCCTAACATTAGATCCTAAACCAGTCCCCTTAGAATCAAAACAAGGTCCTGACATGGACCCTGAACCAGAACCAACACTAAACCCAACACCAGTACCATTAATAGACAAGTCTTTATCACTTTTCATGAATGGAAATTTGGACTCATCAAAGTAAACACTCCTGGCTTCAACAATGCTTGAATCAAGAAGAACTCGATAAGCTGTACGATCCAAAGAATACCCAACAAAAACACCAGCTTCAGTATTTGAACTTAACTTAGATTCTCTTTTAGCACCAGGAAGAACAACTGTAGCTTGACAACCAAATACTTTCATATGATGATAACTAGGAGGTTTACCAGTCCAAAGTTGAAGAGGTGCAACACCACCAGTGGTACGACTAGGAAGACGGTTCCTAATATAATTAGCAGACTTGACAGCTTCACCCCATAAGTATTCAGGAGCAGGAGCATATAAAAGCATAGACTTGGCTTTCTCAAATTGTTGAACTGTGACACGGGAAGTCATGATAATAATAGAAAATATTATCCAAGAAAAGTATATATTGAAATATATAAGATAAAACAGTTGTATAAGAAGAAAGAAAAAGGAAAAGAAAAATTATAAAAGTTGGGGAAGAAACCTTCCTTAAATATCTGAGGGAAAGAAAAATTTGCAGTGGTGAAAATTTTTCATTTGGGTTTGTCCCAAAGTTGAGTGGGTTTGTATTACACTTCAACTTTGTAACAAATTAAGGAGGGTAACCACAGTCATACATATAAGGGCTTAAACCTAATGCGGCTAAAACTAAAATAAACATAGATTGTCAACCATAGTTTCCCACCCAAACTCACGTGCATTATCAATTGCACTAGTCTGCGACAACATTGCATGCTCAACACCTCCCCTTGTCGCAGAATCACCTACTGCCTTCATACCAAGTAGTCCCCTCAATGTCTCAAACTTCACACGACCAAGATTCTTAGTAAACATATCTGCCAACATCACTTGAGTATCAAGATACTCCAGATGAATCACTCCACTGCGAATATAGTGACGGACAACATGATACCGAACATCAATATGCTTGGTGCGACGATGAAACACTGGGTTCTGAGCCAAAGCAATACATCCCTGATTGTCCTCAAACATAGTCACTGGCAACGGAACAGGAATCTTGCAAAGGGACAACAACTGATTAATCCAGAAGCATTCCTTAGACGCATCAGACAATGACATATACTCAGACTCGACGCTGGACGATGCAGGACTAACTTGCTTTCGACAAGCCCAAGTAATGGGACCACCAGACAGAATGAAAACATACCCAGTAAATGACTTACGGTCCTGCTTGTCCTGTGCATAGTCGGCATCACTATAACCAACAAGCTTGTAGACTTTCTGAGCTCGATATTCAAGACCAAGTTCAGCAGTACCCTTAAGATAACGAAGAGTATGCTTAGCAGCTTCCATATGAATAGACTTAGGACTCTGCATATATCGACAAAGAAAGCTAACAGCAACAGCAAGATCAGGACGAGCACAATTAGCAGCATAAATCAGCTTTCCAATAATACTGCGATACATGGAGGCATCGGTAGCAGAGTCAGACTCGGAAAAATCAGAAAGATCACGAGTGGGTAAAGGAGTCTTGACACTTGAACAATTCTGCATACCAAACTCCTCCAACATGTCAAAAATATAACGTGAAACATCCACAGTAATATGGTAAGGTGACTGCTTAACTCTCATGCCAAGGAACTGCTCGACTGGGCCCAAGTCTTTCATCTTAAACATAGATGACAAAGACGACTTGGTTTTGGCAATGACTTCAGAAGAATTGCCAGAAATAAGTAAATCATCAACATACAGTGCAATAATGACCATGGTAGACCCAGATCCTTTGGTATACACACCGTAGTCACTTTCATTACGAATAAACCCAAGTTTGACAAGAGCACCATGAATCTTCTCATTCCAACACAAAGGAGCTTGCTTTAAACCATATAAAGACTTCTTCAAATGACACACTTTAGATTCCTGACCTTTGACAACAAAGCCTTTAGGTTGTCTCATATAAATATCTTCTTTGAGATCACCATTAAGAAATGCAGTCTCGACATCCATATGATGAACCTGGAACCCAAACTGAGCAGCAATAGCAAGAACAATCCTCACAGTCTCGTAACGAACAACAGGAGCAAAAGTTTCAGTATAATCAATACCTTCAACTTGCGAAAATCCAATACACACGAGACGAGCTTTGTAACGTTCAATTGAACCGTCAGCTTTGCGCTTAACTTTAAACACCCATTTGCTATTGATAGCCTTGCGACCAGGTGGGAGATCAACCAATTCCCAAGTACCATTGCGTTTAAGAGACGACATTTCAATAACACAGGCTTCAAGCCAAAACTCAGCTTCTTCACTAGACATAGCTTCTTCAAAACTACTAGGATCTGTAAAACAAGTAAAGCCACATCATCATACTCTCAAAGCGGAGAGATTTGAGACGACGATAAGAAATACACTCTTCTTCAGCTGGACGTTTTGCAGGTGTTGCAGACACTGGAGATTGTTTCAAAGAATTTTCACAAAGGTGTTTAGAAGGAGGTGAAACAATGTCATCAGAACTCGGGCGTTTGGCAGGAGTTATAGAAGGTAAACGAACAGCAACAACACGAGATCGAGATTTAGGCAAAACAGCTTGAGTATCATCCTTAGTGACAACACTAACACCAGCTTGGTCAAGAGAATTAACAAGATCAGACGAAGGAGATTCTTGACTAAGTGGCACTACTTCCAATTCAACAGAAGGTGGTGGAGTGGGAGACGAAGCAATGATAGACGGTTGAAACCCAATATCACCCCCTCGTTGCGAGATCCCAGAATCACCTGAAATATCAGATTCATTAATAGATGGACCAGCTTCAGATAAGTCTAATTGTGAAGGAATATATTCCGAAGAAGAAATAATAGGACTAGAGTCAGGAGAGATAGAGACATCATGATCTGAAGGTGGAAGAATAGGAGAACTAGGAAGAGATGGAACTGAAGCAATAGAAGGAAGAGTAGGAGACTCAAGAGGAGCAGAAGGTGTAGACAAAATGCGACGAACAGAACGAGGCTTATGAACAATAATAGAAGAAGAAGAAGAAGGAGGCGGCGACGGAGAATGAAACGGAGAAGAAGACGGAGACGGAGACGGTAACGCACAAATAGAACCAGAACCAGATGAGGATGCTGGTAAAGATCTATGAGACCCAAAACTAGAACCAGAACTTGAATCAGAACTAGCAATAGAATTAACCCTAACATTAGATCCTAAACCAGTCCCCTTAGAATCAAAACAAGGTCCTGACATGGACCCTGAACCAGAACCAATACTAGACCCAACACTAAACCCAACACCAGTACCATTAATAGACAAGTCCTTATCACTTTTCATAAATGGAAACTTGGACTCATCAAAGTAAACACTCCTGGCTTCAACAATGCTTGAATCAAGAAGAACTCGATAAGCTGTACGATCCAAAGAATACCCAACAAAAACACCAGCTTCAGTATTTGAACTTAACTTAGATTCTCTTTTAGCACCAGGAAGAACAACTGTAGCTTGACAACCAAATACCTTCATATGGTGATAACTAGGAGGTTTACCAGTCCAAAGTTGAAGAGGTGCAACACCACCAGTGGTACGACTAGGAAGACGGTTCCTAATATAATTAGCAGACTTGACAGCTTCACCCCATAAGTATTCAGGAGCATGAGCATATAAAAGCATAGACTTGGCTTTTTCAAATAATGTGCGATTCAATCGCTCAGCAACACCATTTTGCTGAGGAGTATGAGGAACTGTATAAGTATGCTTGATACCCTTAGACACAAAGAACTGCTCCAGGTCTTTGGAAATGTATTCGCCGCCATTATCAGAATGAAAATATGCAACTCGATCACCAGCAGAATCACCAGAAAAATAAGATTCACACCTAGCAATAAAGTTACGAATGGCAAGACTTGCATCACTTTTCCTAACCAACAACTCCACATAAGAGTACCTGGAATAATAATCCATAATGGTTAAGACATAACGATGACCCACAGGGGTAGCGACATGAGGACCGCTTAAATCAGAAACAAATAACTCCAAAGGACGACTAGCTTTTTCTGTGGTACCATTAAATGGCAATGCTGTGGCTTTGCCACCCAAGCAAGCGTCACACTTATGACTATCCACAACCTCAAAATGAGTAGGCTTGACAGAAAGTGACTTAGATAATTTCTTGAGAACGTCCACACTGGCGTGACCAAGTCGCTTGTGCCAAAGATTGGCAGACGACTCAACAGCAAACACCTCATGGACAGGCTTGGAAGGCAAAACAACTCGGAAACGACAAAAGTACAAGTCACCCATGGCAATGGCGTGGACTCGAGTTTTGCCATTTTCGACAGCAGAAATATGGTTAAGGTCTTGAATGAACCGACAACCACCAGCAGTAGCTCGACGAGCAGCAAATAAATTGCGAGGAATCTTAGGAACATATAAAACATCTCGAAGAACAACGCGGTCACAAGGCTGGTCATCTTTACCAAGAAGATCAACGACAATGTCGCCAACCCCCTCAGCAGTAGCAGAACCAAGACCACGAATGGTAGCCGAAGTGGGACGAAGAGAAGAAAAATATGAGATGTTATTGCAAATGTGACTGGTAGCACCGGTATCATGGATAAAGTCAAAAGAATCAGACCCAACAACTAAGTTGGCCTCAGCAGAAGTAGTAGATTCAGCAACAAAAACGTGATGGACTGAATGACTTAAATTCAAGATTGAAGAAGGATGCCAGACGACAATTAAAATCAAGGAAAACAACATGATGGTAACAAAAGATAAGTAAAAGAATGGAGAAAAACGGGATTTTGGTGTAACAATAGGTTTAACAATAGGCGGAGAAGGTTCAGTAATTGAATCCACCAAAAAATCAAAAGAAGGTAAGGCAATATCATCATCAGAACCGACCAACGGTTTAGAATCAGAACAAAAAATAAAAGAAGAACCGACCAACGGTTCAGAATCAAAACAAATAGGAGCTGAACTGACACACGGTTCAGACTCCAAACAAACAACAGTAGAACCGACATACGGTTCAGAATTAAAACAAGAATCATCAGTGGAACTAACAAACGGTTTACCAACTGAATCAATATCAAGTCCTGAGTTTGAACAATACTCAGAAACTTGACCAACAAAACAATCTTCATCGCCGACACACGGCTCAGAAGAATCAAAAAGTTCGGATTCCAAATCATCAAACGACTCGGAGCAACTGTTACCAAACTTTTCAGAAACAACAGATGTCTCGGACACAAAAGCGGAACTCACAAATGGATCATCATCAACTATCTCAGAAAATTCATCAATAGTCTCAGCAAACCAACCTCTTGAGGTTTTAGCCTCCTTAGATTCCTTGTCATCCTTATTATCTTGGCGAGCAGCCTGAACCTCTTCCCAAGAGACATGACAATTGTTGGAAGTATGACCACGCCTCTTACAACGGAAACATTTAATACCATCACCCTTAGATTTGTTATTGTACTTCTTTGATGAAGCAACGAACGCTTCAGTCGAAAGAGTAGCTGGAGGTCCAGTAATCTTCAACAACTTGGCCCATTTATCAGTGTTCCGGATGAAGTTGTTGATATCAAGGTTGTCAGTATTGTTGTTACTATCAAAGCGGTGCTCCAAGGCGTACTGGATGAAGCGCTCACAATTGGGACCCATTGAGGCCAAAGCGTTGAAGGCCACAACCGAATCAGGCGACAATGATTGGTAGATGGAACGCCATGTAGCAACATATGAACGAACAGAAGAAACAAACTTTGGACCAACATCAATATTGCCAGCATAGAGGGATTTCATAAGTGAGATGACATCGGCGGGTTGAAGTTGACTATACTCCTGATGAAGATAAAGCCAGAGGTCACGGCCTCTAATGGCCACATCATTAACATGTTCGATCAACTCAGGAGAAATGTTGTTGAGGATGACATCATGGACGACGGTATCAAGCGAGGCGGTGAGGTCTTCAAGGGATTCATTAGCAGCTGGATTGACAGTACCAGCTTCGACATAAAGGTGGACACCATTATTCATAGCACGAAGACCCAAAAGAATTTTGGTAGCCCAGACATGATAGTTGAGAGGAGTGAGTTTTTCAGAGGAAGTAAGATTAATATAAGCCGAAGTGCGGCCCATAACCTGTTGAACTGTGACACGGGAAGTCATGATAATAATAGAAAATATTATCCAAGAAAAGTATATATTGAAATATATAAGATAAAACAGTTGTATAAGAAGAAAGAAAAAGGAAAAGAAAAATTATAAAAGTTGGGGAAGAAACCTTCCTTAAATATCCAAGGGAAAGAAAAATTTGCAGTGGTGAAAATTTTTCATTTGGGTTTGTCCCAAAGTTGAGTGGGTTTGTATTACACTTCAACTTTGTAACAAATTAAGGAGGGTAACCACAGTCATACATATAAGGGGTTAAACCTAATGCGGCTAAAACTAAAATAAACATAGATTGTCAACCATAGTTTCCCACCCAAACTCACGTGCATTATCAATTGCACTAGTCTGCGACAACATTGCATGCTCAACACAAATAATGTGCGATTCAATCGCTCAGCAACACCATTTTGTTGAGGAGTATGAGGAACTGTATAAGTATGCTTGATACCCTTAGACACAAAGAACTGCTCCAGGTCTTTGGAAATGTATTCGCCGCCATTATCAGAATGAAATATGCAACTCGATCACCAGCAGAATCACCAGAAAAATAAGATTCACACCTAGCAATAAAATTACGAATGGCAAGACTTGCATCACTTTTCCTAACCAACAACTCCACATAAGAGTACCTGGAATAATAATCCATAATGGTTAAGACATAACGATGACCCACAGGGGTAGCGACATGAGGACCGCTCAAATCAGAAACAAATAATTCCAAAGGACGACTAGCTTTTTCTGTGGTACCATTAAATGGCAATGCTGTGGCTTTGCCACCCAAGCAAGCGTCACACTTATGACTATCCACAACCTCAAAATGAGTAGGCTTGACAGAAAGTGACTTAGATAATTTCTTGAGAACGTCCACACTGGCGTGACCAAGTCGCTTGTGCCAAAGATTGGCAGACGACTCAACAGCAAACACCTCATGGACTGGCTTGGAAGGCAAAACAACTCGGAAACGACAAAAGTACAAGTCACCCATGGCAATGGCGTGGACTCGAGTTTTGCCATTTTCGACAGCAGAAATATGGTTAAGGTCTTGAATGAACCTACAACCACCAGCAGTAGCTCGACGAGCAGCAAATAAATTGCGAGGAATCTTAGGAACATATAAAACATCTCGAAGAACAACGCGGTCACAAGGCTGGTCATCTTTACCAAGAAGATCAACGACAATGTCGCCAACCCCCTCAGCAGTAGCAGAACCAAGACCACGAATGGTAGCCGAAGTGGGACGAAGAGAAGAAAAATATGAGATGTTATTGCAAATGTGACTGGTAGCACCAGTATCATGGATAAAGTCAAAAGAATCAGACCCAACAACTAAGTTGGCCTCAGCAGAAGTAGTAGATTCAGCAACAAAAACGTGATGTACTGAATGACTTAAATCCAAGATTGAAGAAGGATGCCAGACGACAATTAAAATCAAGGAAAACAACATGATGGTAACAAAAGATAAGTAAAAGAATGGAGAAAAACGGGATTTTGGTGTAACAATAGGTTTAACATTAGGTGGAGAAGGTTCAGTAATTGAATCCACCAAAAAATCAAAAGAAGGTAAGACAATATCATCATCAGAACCGACCAACGGTTTAGAATCAGAACAAGAAATAAAAGAAGAACCGACCAACGGTTCAGAATCAAAAGGAACAATATCCGAATCGACCAACGATTCAGAATCAAAACAAATAGGAGCTGAACTGACACACGGTTCAGACTCCAAACAAACAACAGTAGAACCGACATACGGTTCAGAAATAAAACAAGAATCATCAGTGGAACCAACAAACGGTTTACCAACTGAATCAATATCAAGTCCTGAGTTTGAACAATACTCAGAAACTTGACCAACAAAACAATCTTCATCGCCGACACACGGCTCAGAAGAATCAAAAAGTTCGGATTCCAAATCATCAAACGACTCGGAGCAACTGTTACCAAACTTTTCAGAAACAACAGATGTCTCGGACACAAAAGCGGAACTCACAAATGGATCATCATCAACTATCTCAGAAAATTCATCAATAGTCTCAGCAAACCAACCTCTTGAGGTTTTAGCCTCCTTAGATTCCTTTGTCATCCTTATTATCTTGGCGAGCAGCCTGAACCTCTTCCCAAGAGACATGACAATTGTTGGAAGTATGACCACGCCTCTTACAACGGAAACATTTAATACCATCACCCTTAGATTTGTTATTGTACTTCTTTGATGAAGCAACGAACGCTTCAGTCGAAAGAGTAGCTGGAGGTCCAGTAATCTTCAACAACTTGGCCCATTTATCAGTGTTCCGGATGAAGTTGTTGATATCAAGGTTGTCAGTATTGTTGTTACTATCAAAGCGGTGCTCCAAGGCGTACTGGATGAAGCGCTCACAATTGGGACCCATTGAGGCCAAAGCGTTGAAGGCCACAACCGAATCAGGCGACAATGATTGGTAGATGGAACGCCATGTAGCAACATATGAACGAACAGAAGAAACAAACTTTGGACCAACATCAATATTGCCAGCATAGAGGGATTTCATAAGTGAGATGACATCGGCGGGTTGAAGTTGACTATACTCCTGATGAAGATAAAGCCAGAGGTCACGGCCTCTAATGGCCACATCATTAACATGTTCGATCAACTCAGGAGAAATATTGTTGAGGATGACATCATGGACGACGGTATCAAGCGAGGCGGTGAGGTCTTCGAGGGATTCATTGGCAGCTGGATTGACAGTACCAGCTTCGACATAAAGGTGGACACCATTATTCATAGCACGAAGACCCAAAAGAATTTTGGTAGCCCAGACATGATAGTTGAGAGGAGTGAGTTTTTCAGAGGAAGTAAGATTAATATAAGCCGAAGTGCGGCCCATAACCTGTTGAACTGTGACACGGGAAGTCATGATAATAATAGAAAATATTATCCAAGAAAAGTATATATTGAAATATATAAGATAAAACAGTTATATAAGAAGAAAGAAAAAGGAAAAGAAAAATTATAAAAGTTGGGGAAGAAACCTTCCTTATATACCCAAGGGAAAGAAAAATTTGCAGTGGTGAAAATTTTTCATTTGGGTTTGTCCCAAAGTTGAGTGGGTTTGTATTACACTTCAACTTTGTAACAAATTAAGGAGGGTAACCACAGTCACATAAGGGCTTAAACCTAATGCGGCTATAACTAAAATAAACATAGGTTATCAACCATAGTTTCCCACCCAAACTCACGTGCATTATCAACTGCACTAGTCTGCGACAACATTGCATGCTCAACAAAACTGTAGTAAAAATATATATTCTTTTTTAAAACTCAATATTTATTTTATATTTATTTTATATTTATTTTATATTTACACCTTTGGGATTTTTCGCACTTTTTCCCCTAGTAAAGTGGTGGTTTACTAAACAAATAGACGTGGTAAATTTATTTTTTCCCCCACTATAAAAATTGCTTAATAAACATTTTTTTTTTTTTTTAACACACACACCTGGTAAATTTAATATTTTCAGTGGTTAAATAAGCACACACACCTGGTTAAATAAGCACAACCACCTGGTAAATTTAATATTTTCTGTGGTCAAATAAGCACACACACCTGGTTAAATAAGCACAACCACCTGGTAAATTTAATATTTTCTCTGGTTTATTTAGCTTTTCCTGTGGTGAATTTAAATATTAGACCTGGTTAAATAAGCATTTCCGGTGGTCAAATAAGCACACACACCTGGTTAAATAAGCAAATTTAAATGTTTAATTCACCGCATATAATAAATTTAGAATTTTTGAAAATTTTAAAAATTTTTAAAAAATCCTTAAATTAAATTATAAATTACAGAATTATATATATATATATATATATATAGCTTAGTAGCAATGCCTCAAGCTTGATCGTCAAGCGAGCATTATCATGGTTCTTCTCAGTATCATCAACGCATCAAGCTTGATCGTCAAGCGAGCATCATTGTTCTTCTTCTTAGTAGCAACGCATCAAGCTTGAACGTCAAGCGAGCATCATCATGGTTCTTCTAAGTATTAACGCGTTAAAATCGCTCGTCAAGCGAGCATCATTGTTTTTCTTCTTAGTATCAACGCATCAAGCTTGATCGTCAAGCGAGCATCATCATCGTTCTTCTTCTCAGTATCATCAACGCATCAAGCTTGATCGTCAAGCGAGCATCATCATCGTTCTTCTTCTCAGTAGCAAGGCATCAAGCTTGAACGTCAAGCGAGCATCATCATCGTTCTTTTCTCAGTATCATCAATGCATCAAGCTTGATCGTCAAGCGAGCATCATCATCGTTCTTTTCTCAGTATCATCAATGCATCAAGCTTGATCGTCAAGCGAGCATCATCATCGTTCTTCTTCTCAGTAGCAACGCATCAAGCTTGAACGTCAAGCGAGCATCATCATCGTTCTTTTCTCAGTATCATCAATGCATCAAGCTTGATCGTCAAGCGAGCATCATCATGGTTCTTCTAAGTATCAACGCGTTAAAATCGCTTATAGCAATGAACCGAGCCATCTTCATAGTCGTAAAACTATTGTAAGTTGTTAATATCATGACCTTTTCTAAAATAAAAAAAAAGATATAATACTTTAAACTTCTAAAATTTCCATATTTTATAAGGCAAATTGTATTAAAAAAAAAAGTGATGTGTAGAAAGAAAAGAGGAAGGTGAAGAGAAACTTTTTTTATAATTTTTTTTAAAGATTTAATCTAAAGAGAATTCTTATTGGCTGAGGAAAGAAATCTGCACTGTGGTAAAAATGTACTTTAAGTCTAATTGGCTCTATCATAATTTTGTTATATTAGTAATCATTGTTCTTATGGAAATATCTTATTGTTATGTTTGATAAATAGTTTAAACATGTCTATTTCGTTATAAGAAGCTAGAGATTAAAATATTATTTCATCTATTATTTCCAACTTTAACAATCAATTTAATTTTTATTTATATATAAATATATATATACTCATCTTAATTATAATAATAATACTATTAAAAGATCTACCCTGTAACACACCATTCAACATATAAACTTATGGTTACTTAATGATATATGATAATATTATCATAACCCAATTGTTATTAAGACCAAATTTGGTCTTTAAAGGGGTTTCTCTGGAATGTATGCTAATTTTTTTAAATATTCGTAAATCATCAAAAAAAAAAACATTGTTTCCGTGTTTATTATAATATATATGACCTCATTTACCGAGTTGTTTATTGTAATTTTTTTTTTTCAACATATATTTCTTCATTTTAATACACATTAAAAATTTGATAATCCAAAAACTTTTTTAAAGAGCTCCCATGAAGGAAGAAATATATCTTTGTGACGTCTCTGAAATTTCAGAGACGTTATATACTGAGAACAATCACCTTGAGTTGCATCATTTAGACCTTGTCTTACCTGATACAACTAACTCTCACTGTATTTTTGATTCTTCGGACGTTTTATATTTGCTAGATAATTATTTTCACAACTGTGGTCTTAGCTCAAACCATTTCATTCAAATGACCGAAGTTTTTGATAAAGAATACGGCCAATTTTGCATAATTTGTCAGCCAAAAATAACTGATGGATTAATTGCGGAGCAAAGTGTTGACTTTGTCTACAAAAACCTTTCTGGCTTACTTGCTGAATTTAATTTTAAAGAACATGAAAACAACAAACAACTTGACTTCTTTCTTCTTTTACCTCCTATCAACTACAATCACTGGGGCTTTTTACATATCTCTTGGAGGAACTGTTTGGAGGTTTCAGTTTATTCTTTTTTCTGCTCCACAACTTCGAAAACAAACCAAACAAATAAAATCTCTTTGAGACTTGCATTGGAAAAGAATTTTGGAATATACAAAAATTTGCTGAACCGAATTTTGCCTTTGTTTGAGATTAATTATGGGACCGATACACTTGTTACCCAAGAAATACAAAACATTCAGATCAAAGCCTCATCCTACTATCCTTTGAAATTCTCTGGTTTATATATGTGTTGGACGCTTTTTGGAATTATTGATAACAGTATAAAGAAAGTTTTTCCCCATAACCTACTTCTCCATTTCAACGTGTTAGTACAGTTCAGACGCGCAATTCAAGTCGTAAATGCTTATCAAAAATTGAACAATGTTACATCATTACAACCTTTACCAACTCCTAATGTCTATTCCACAGACACCAGCGATGAAATGGCGATGTATTCCACATTCGTCCCCAGATCTGTTTTATTCAGTCCAAATTTTTGCTTGGTTTTTTCCCATTCAGTCCAGTCTATTTTAGTTTCTCGACTGTTATCTGATGCCCTTTTTAAGCATGTGAATTCTAAAATTTTAGGGAATCCATTAGAGGTAGATGCTTGTTGAACTGTGACACGGGAAGTCATGATAATAATAGAAAATATTATCCAAGAAAAGTATATATTGAAATATATAAGATAAAACAGTTATATAAGAAGAAAGAAAAAGGAAAAGAAAAATTATAAAAGTTGGGGAAGAAACCTTCCTTATATACCCAAGGAAAAGAAAAATTTGCAGTGGTGAAAATTTTTCATTTGGGTTGTCCCAAAGTTGAGTGGGTTTGTATTACACTTCAACTTTGTAACAAATTAAGGAGGGTAACCACAGTCACATAAGGGCTTAAACCTAATGCGGCTAAAACTAAAATAAACATAGGTTATCAACCATAGTTTCCCACCCAAACTCACGTGCATTATCAACTGCACTAGTCTGCGACAACATTGCATGCTCAACACCTCCCCTTGTCGCAGAATCACCTACTGCCTTCATACCAAGTAGTCCCCTTAATGTCTCAAACTTCACACGACCAAGATTCTTAGTAAACATATCTGCCAACATCACTTGAGTATCAAGATACTCCAGATGAATCACTCCACTGCGAATATAGTGACGCACAACATGATAACGAACATCAATATGCTTGGTGCGACGATGAAACACTGGGTTCTGAGCCAATGCAATACATCCCTGATTGTCCTCAAACATAGTCACTGGCAACGGAACAGGAATCTTGCAAAGAGACAACAACTGATTAATCCAGAAGCATTCCTTAGACGCATCAGACAATGACATGTACTCAGACTCGACGCTGGACGATGCAGGACTAACTTGCTTTCGACAAGCCCAAGTAATGGGACCACCAGACAGAATAAAAACATACCCAGTAAAGGACTTACGGTCCTGCTTGTCCTGTGCATAATCGGCATCACTATAGCCAACAAGCTTGTAGACTTTCTGAGCTCGATATTCAAGACCAAGTTCAGCAGTACCCTTAAGATAACGAAGAGTATGCTTAGCAGCTTCCATATGAATAGACTTAGGACTCTGCATATATCGACAAAGAAAGCTAACAGCAACAGCAAGATCAGGACGAGCACAATTAGCAGCATAAATCAGCTTACCAATAATACTGCGATACATGGAGGCATCGGTAGCAGAGTCAGACTCGGAAAAATCAGAAAGATCACGAGTGGGTAAAGGAGTCTTGACACTTGAACAATTCTGTGTTGAGCATGCAATGTTGTCGCAGACTAGTGCAGTTGATAATGCACGTGAGTTTGGGTGGGAAACTATGGTTGACAATCTATGTTTATTTTAGTTTTAGCCGCATTAGGTTTAAGCCCTTATGTGACTGTGGTTACCCTCCTTAATTTGTTACAAAGTTGAAGTGTAATACAAACCCACTCAACTTTGGGACAAACCCAAATGAAAAATTTTCACCACTGCAAATTTTTCTTTCCCTTGGATATTTAAGGAAGGTTTCTTCCCAAACTTTTATAATTTTTCTTTTCCTTTTTCTTTCTTCTTATATAACTGTTTTATCTTATATATTTCAATATATACTTTTCTTGGATAATATTTTCTATTATTATCATGACTTCCCGTGTCACAGTTCAACAGGTTATGGGCCGCACTTCGGCTTATATTAATCTTACTTCCTCTGAAAAACTCACTCCTCTCAACTATCATGTCTGGGCTACTAAGATCCTTTTGGGTCTTCGTGCTATGAATAATGGTGTCCACCTTTATGTCGAAGCTGGTACTGTCAATCCAGCTGCTAATGAATCCCTCGAAGACCTCACCGCCTCGCTTGATACCGTCGTCCATGATGTCATCCTCAACAACATTTCTCCTGAGTTGATCGAACATGTTAATGATGTGGCCATTAGAGGCCGTGACCTCTGGCTTTATCTTCATCAGGAGTATAGTCAACTTCAACCCGCCGATGTCATCTCACTTATGAAATCCCTCTATGCTGGCAATATTGATGTTGGTCCAAAGTTTGTTTCTTCTGTTCGTTCTTATGTTGCTACATGGCGTTCCATCTACCAATCATTGTCGCCTGATTCGGTTGTGGCCTTCAACGCTTTGGCCTCAATGGGTCCCAATTGTGAGCGCTTCATCCAGTACGCCTTGGAGCACCGCTTTGATAGTAACAACAATACTGACAACCTTGATATCAACAACTTCATCCGGAACACTGATAAATGGGCCAAGTTGTTGAAGATTACTGGACCTCCAGCTACTCTTTCGACTGAAGCGTTCGTTGCTTCATCAAAGAAGTACAATAACAAATCTAAGGGTGATGGTATTAAATGTTTCCGTTGTAAGAGGCGTGGTCATACTTCCAACAATTGTCATGTCTCTTGGGAAGAGGTTCAGGCTGCTCGCCAAGATAATAAGGATGACAAGGAATCTAAGGAGGCTAAAACCTCAAGAGGTTGGTTTGCTGAGACTATTGATGAATTTTCTGAGATAGTTGATGATGATCCATTTGTGAGTTCCGCTTTTGTGTCCGAGACATCTGTTGTTTCTGAAAAGTTTGGTAACAGTTGCTCCGAGTCGTTTGATGATTTGGAATCCGAACTTTTTGATTCTTCTGAGCCGTGTGTCGGCGATGAAGATTGTTTTGTTGGTCAAGTTTCTGAGTATTGTTCAAACTCAGGACTTGATATTGATTCAGTTGGTAAACCGTTTGTTGGTTCCACTGATGATTCTTGTTTTATTTCTGAACCGTATGTCGGTTCTACTGTTGTTTGTTTGGAGTCTGAACCGTGTGTCAGTTCAGCTCCTATTTGTTTTGATTCTGAATCGTTGGTCGATTCGGATGTTGTTCCTTTTGATTCTGAACCGTTGGTCGGTTCTTCTTTTATTTCTTGTTCTGATTCTAAACCGTTGGTCGGTTCTGATGATGATATTGTCTTACCTTGTTTTGATTTTTTGGTGGATTCAATTACTGAACCTTCTCCGCCTATTGTTAAACCTATTGTTACACCAAAATCCCGTTTTTCTCCATTCTTTTACTTATCTTTTGTTACCATCATGTTGTTTTCCTTGATTTTAATTGTCGTCTGGCATCCTTCTTCAATCTTGGATTTAAGTCATTCAGTCCATCATGTTTTTGTTGCTGAATCTACTACTTCTGCTGAGGCCAACTTAGTTGTTGGGTCTGATTCTTTTGACTTTATCCATGATACCGGTGCTACCAGTCACATTTGCAATAACATCTCATATTTTTCTTCTCTTCGTCCCACTTCGGCTACCATTCGTGGTCTTGGTTCTGCTACTGCTGAGGGGGTTGGCGACATTGTCGTCGATCTTCTTGGTAAAGATGACCAGCCTTGTGACCGCGTTGTTCTTCGAGATGTTTTATATGTTCCTAAGATTCCTCGCAATTTATTTGCTGCTCGTCGAGCTACTGCTGGTGGTTGTCGGTTCATTCAAGACCTTAACCATATTTCTGCTGTCGAAAATGGCAAAACTCGAGTCCACGCCATTGCCATGGGTGACTTGTACTTTTGTCGTTTCCGAGTTGTTTTGCCTTCCAAGCCAGTCCATGAGGTGTTTGCTGTTGAGTCGTCTGCCAATCTTTGGCACAAGCGACTTGGTCACGCCAGTGTGGACGTTCTCAAGAAATTATCTAAGTCACTTTCTGTCAAGCCTACTCATTTTGAGGTTGTGGATAGTCATAAGTGTGACGCTTGCTTGGGTGGCAAAGCCACAGCATTGCCATTTAATGGTACCACAGAAAAAGCTAGTCGTCCTTTGGAGTTATTTGTTTCTGATTTAAGCGGTCCTCATGTCGCTACCCCTGTGGGTCATCGTTATGTCTTAACCATTATGGATTATTATTCCAGGTACTCTTATGTGGAGTTGTTGGTTAGGAAAAGTGATGCAAGTCTTGCCATTCGTAACTTTATTGCTAGGTGTGAATCTTATTTTTCTGGTGATTCTGCTGGTGATCGAGTTGCATATTTTCATTCTGATAATGGCGGCGAATACATTTCCAAAGACCTGGAGCAGTTCTTTGTGTCTAAGGGTATCAAGCATACTTATACAGTTCCTCATACTCCTCAACAAAATGGTGTTGCTGAGCGATTGAATCGCACATTATTTGAGAAAGCCAAGTCTATGCTTTTATATGCTCATGCTCCTGAATACTTATGGGGTGAAGCTGTCAAGTCAGCTAACTATATTAGGAACCGTCTTCCTAGTCGTACCACTGGTGGTGTTGCACCTCTTCAACTTTGGACGGGTAAACCTCCTAGTTATCACCATATGAAAGTATTTGGTTGTCAAGCTACAGTTGTTCTTCCTGGTGCTAAAAGAGAATCTAAGTTAAGTTCAAATACTGAAGCTGGTGTTTTTGTTGGGTATTCTTTGGATCGTACAGCTTATCGAGTTCTTCTTGATTCAAGCATTGTTGAAGCCAGGAGTGTTTACTTTGATGAGTCCAAGTTTCCATTTATGAAAAGTGATAAGGACTTGTCTATTAATGGTACTGGTGTTGGGTTTAGTGTTGGGTCTAGTATTGGTTCTGGTTCAGGGTCCATGTCAGGACCTTGTTTTGATTCTAAGGGGACTGGTTTAGGATCTAATGTTAGGGTTAATTCTATTGCTAGTTCTGATTCAAGTTCTGGTTCTAGTTTTGGGTCTCATAGATCTTTACCAGCATCCTCATCTGGTTCTGGTTCTGGTTCTATTTGTGCTTTACCGTCTCCGTCTTCTTCTCCGTCTCATTCTCCGTCGCTTTCTTCTTCTTCTTCTTCTATTATCGTTCATAAGCCTCGTTCTGTTCGTCGCATTTTGTCTACACCTTCTGCTCCTCTTGAGTCTCCTACTCTTCCTTCTATTCCTTCTGTTCCATCTCTTCCTAGTTCTCCTATTCTTCCACCTTCAGATCATGATGTCTCTATCTCTCCTGACTCAAGTCCTATTGTTTCTCCTTCGGAATATATTCCTTCACAATTAGACTTATCTGAAGCTGGTCCATCTATTAATGAATCTGATATTTCTGGTGATTCTGGGATCTCGCAACGAGGGGGTGATATTGGGTTTCAACCGTCTATCATTGCTTCGTCTCCCATTCCACCACCTTCTGTTGAATTGGAAGTAGTGCCACTTAGTCAAGAATCTCCTTCGTCTGATCTTGTTAATTCTCTTGACCAAGCTGGTGTTAGTGTTGTCACTAAGGATGATACTCAAGCTGTTTTGCCTAAATCTCGATCTCGTGTTGTTGCTGTTCGTTTACCTTCTATAACTCCTGCCAAACGCCCGAGTTCTGATGACATTGTTTCACCTCCTTCTAAACATCTTTGTGAAAATTCTTTGAAACAATCTCCAGTGTCTGCAACACCTGCAAAACGTCCAGCTGAAGAAGAATGTATTTCTTATCGTCGTCTCAAATCTCTCCGCTTTGAGTATGATGATGTGGCTTTACTTGTTTTTACAGATCCTAGTAGTTTTGAAGAAGCTATGTCTAGTGAAGAAGCTGAGTTTTGGCTTGAAGCCTGTGTTATTGAAATGTCGTCTCTTAAACGCAATGGTACTTGGGAATTGGTTGATCTCCCACCTGGTCGCAAGGCTATCAATAGCAAATGGGTATTTAAAGTTAAGCGCAAAGCTGACGGTTCAATTGAACGTTACAAAGCTCGTCTTGTGTGTATTGGATTTTCGCAAGTTGAAGGTATTGATTATACTGAAACTTTTGCTCCCGTTGTTCGTTACGAGACTGTGAGGATTGTTCTTGCTATTGCTGCTCAGTTTGGGTTCCAGGTTCATCATATGGATGTCGAGACTGCATTTCTTAATGGTGATCTCAAAGAAGATATTTATATGAGACAACCTAAAGGCTTTGTTGTCAAAGGTCAGGAATCTAAAGTGTGTCATTTGAGGAAGTCTTTATATGGTTTAAAGCAAGCTCCTTTGTGTTGGAATGAGAAGATTCATGGTGCTCTTGTCAAACTTGGGTTTATTCGTAATGAAAGTGACTACGGTGTGTATACCAAAGGATCTGGGTCTACCATGGTTATTATCGCACTGTATGTTGATGATTTACTTATTTCTGGCAATTCTTCTGAAGTCATTGCCAAAACCAAGTCTTCTTTGTCATCTATGTTTAAGATGAAAGACTTGGGCCCAGTCGAGCAGTTCCTTGGCATGAGAGTTAAGCAGTCACCTTACCATATTACTGTGGATGTTTCACGTTATATTTTTGACATGTTGGAGGAGTTTGGTATGCAGAATTGTTCAAGTGTCAAGACTCCTTTACCCACTCGTGATCTTTCTGATTTTTCCGAGTCTGACTCTGCTACCGATGCCTCCATGTATCGCAGTATTATTGGTAAGCTGATTTATGCTGCTAATTGTGCTCGTCCTGATCTTGCTGTTGCTGTTAGCTTTCTTTGTCGATATATGCAGAATCCTAAGTCTATTCATATGGAAGCTGCTAAGCATACTCTTCGTTATCTTAAGGGTACTGCTGAACTTGGTCTTGAATATCGAGCTCAGAAAGTCTACAAGCTTGTTGGCTATAGTGATGCCGACTATGCACAGGACAAGCAGGACCGTAAGTCCTTTACTGGGTATGTTTTTATTCTGTCTGGTGGTCCCATTACTTGGGCTTGCCGAAAGCAAGTTAGTCCTGCATCGTCCAGCGTCGAGTCTGAGTACATGTCATTGTCTGATGCGTCTAAGGAATGCTTCTGGATTAATCAGTTGTTGTCCCTTTGCAAGATTCCTGTTCCGTTGCCAGTGACTATGTTTGAGGACAATCAGGGATGTATTGCATTGGCTCAGAACCCAGTGTTTCATCGTCGCACCAAGCATATTGATGTTCGTTATCATGTTGTGCGTCACTATATTCGCAGTGGAGTGATTCATCTGGAGTATCTTGATACTCAAGTGATGTTGGCAGATATGTTTACTAAGAATCTTGGTCGTGTGAAGTTTGAGACATTAAGGGGACTACTTGGTATGAAGGCAGTAGGTGATTCTGCGACAAGGGGAGGTGTTGAGCATGCAATGTTGTCGCAGACTAGTGCAGTTGATAATGCACGTGAGTTTGGGTGGGAAACTATGGTTGATAACCTATGTTTATTTTAGTTATAGCCGCATTAGGTTTAAGCCCTTATGTGACTGTGGTTACCCTCCTTAATTTGTTACAAAGTTGAAGTGTAATACAAACCCACTCAACTTTGGGACAAACCCAAATGAAAAATTTTCACCACTGCAAATTTTTCTTTCCCTTGGGTATATAAGGAAGGTTTCTTCCCCAACTTTTATAATTTTTCTTTTCCTTTTTCTTTCTTCTTATATAACTGTTTTATCTTATATATTTCAATATATACTTTTCTTGGATAATATTTTCTATTATTATCATGACTTCCCGTGTCACAGTTCAACATATTTCTTTAACAACCCGGATGGCACCTTTCACCGTGACCTTATCTTAGCAGTACTGAATAACAACAAGGTTTCAGCAGCTGCTCGCGAAGATCCTCAGAGTCATCTCTGGGGGATTACCAAGTTTGTCGACATTTTCAAGTCAAGATCTGGAGGATGGAGCCCCTGTGATTCAGTTGAAATCCCAGCGCTAGTTGAAGCAACTTCTGCAGCCTTCGTAAAAGGTCGAAGAATTATTGACGGTTCAACAAAAGTGGTGCCAAAGCAGGAACCCAAGCAAGAACCCAAGCAGGAATCCAAGCAGGAAACCTCGAAGAAAGCTGGCCACTCTGATACCAAGCAAGGAAAAGGGAAGCAGTGGTCCAAGGGGTCCGGTAGCAACAAGAGGCGCAACAATGAAGACAAGCAAGCTAGAAAGTCGAACTCTGATGGTCAAAACAGAGTTGCTGCCTTGAAAGCTACCGAATATCTTGAGGTGGCTCGCGACGATGTTGAAACTCTTTGCTCTGTTGCTCGGGCTATCCAAGACGTATTTGATAATGACGGCGGAAGCAGTGATTATTCGCCAGTTGCTTTTCTTCCACCTGCCAACCAAATCGCCTCTGTGGGTGAAACAAATCTTCCAAATGTTCTTGATTCTGGAAATGCTACTGGTCATCTTATCTCAGACAACAGCTACTTTGTGTCGTATGAGAAATACAGCAGCCCCAAAACCATCAGCTCCTATGGTGGTTCCGACATCGTGTTAGAAGGGGAAGGTAAAATTGCTGTTGTATTAAAAGGTGACGGTGGCACCAATATTTGCCATATTGCTGACGCACTTTATTTTCCTGCTGGGTCTAGCAATTTGTTTTCTGATTCTGTCTGGCGCACGCACGATGTTTCTTTTCATACGGTCCCAAGTGGGGACTGTCTGGCCTATTTTGGTGAGGAAAAGGTTGGTAGGGTTGGTGGTGCCAGAGATGCCAAGTCTCACATTTGTGCCAACATTGTTCCGGTAAAGTTTACTAGGAATATCGTACCTCCAACTGGCTCCTTCAAGTTCTCAGGAAATTCAATTGACTGGGATCAGATTTGCAGACAAGGACCAGAAGCTATGAGGAAGGTTGATAAATCAGCTCGCTGTTGGAAAGGGACTTCCTGTCCTCTCACCGTCTCTCAAATTTATTGCAAAGGAGGCCGTGTTGAATTCGCAGGCACTTGACTGTCATGTTCGGTTTGCTCATTGCTCTTTGACTTCGGTGAAGCATTTAGCCAAGCTTGCTGATCCTCCCTTTGAGGTGACCAAGCGTGACGAAGAGTTGATCAAGGACTGTGTCATATGTGGCACGTCAAGAAGCATTAAGCGGTTCACTTCTCCGGATAAGCATATAGCTTCTGAATCCACGGCTCCGTTAGCCCAGATTCATGCTGATCTCGTCGGTCCCATAGGTCCTGCCTCTTCAGGGGCCAGGTACATGCTGAATATCATTGATGCATTTTCTGGTTACATCTATGCTTTTGCTCTGGAATCTAAGGATGAAGCTCCTGGGAAACTTATCCAGTTCTTTAAGCAGTTTGTGCCCAAAGCTGCTCGCCGTGCTGCTGACGGCAAGGCCACCAAGCTTATTACTGACAATGGTGGTGAATTTATCTCTGGGACACTTGGAAAATTTTTTGGCAGATTGGGGCGTCATTCATATTTTAACTGCTCCTGATGAACACCAACAAAATGGAAAAATTGAGCGTGCCCACCGCACACTTCGTGAGATATCTACTAGAGCCTTGATGCAGTCGACACTCTGGGCCAATATCTACTGGGACTCTGCCTGGCTCTACGCTGTGCAGGTATATAATTTCTCCATAGTTAATAAAGCCGGTATATCACCTTATGAAGCCTTTACGGGCAGAAAACCACCTATAGCACTAGTGCACACATTTGGCTGCCTAGTTTTTGTCATTAAATCTGAGTCTCAGAAACTCAAAGGGACCCTTCAGCCTCGGGGCGAGCCTGCTCTGTATTTGGGTCCCGACCCGTTAAATCCTAAGAATTTTCTATGCATTACGAGGAACAAGCGCATTCGGCGCTGTGTACACGGCAACTTTCGTGACCATGTCTTGCCTGGCGTTAAATTTTTTGGCGAAAAGCCAATTTACGAGGGTGACATTCTCATTGACTACAGTGAGGTTGGAAATCGTGACCCTGACTACAGTGACTCTTCCACTGATGAATCAGAAAGTGAAGATGAATCTGACTCTGACGACTACTCTCCCACTTCACTCTCTGGTGGTGGTGGTGGTGGTAACTTTGGCTGGACCTATGTGGGCTCTGAGGGAAGGAGCCACAGATCCAGCAGATTGGAGGACCAGGATTCTACTTCTACACCACCGACACCTATAACTGAAAACTCTTTTCAACCGTTGGAAGATGATGATGTGGAGCTGGTTGCAGATGAATCAATTAGTGTTGTTGAAGACAAAGATACACTTCAGTCTGAGGACCATATATTGCTCGAAGATTCTGCTGTTGATGATGCTGATTTGAGATCGGTGAACTCCAACGTAGCTGGTCGCCCTGGCTCCGAAGATACTAACTGTTGAGCATGCAATGTTGTCGCAGACTAGTGCAGTTGATAATGCACGTGAGTTTGGGTGGGAAACTATGGTTGACAATCTATGTTTATTTTAGTTTTAGCCGCATTAGGTTTAAGCCCTTATGTGACTGTGGTTACCCTCCTTAATTTGTTACAAAGTTGAAGTGTAATACAAACCCACTCAACTTTGGGACAAACCCAAATGAAAAATTTTCACCACTGCAAATTTTTCTTTTCCTTGGGTATATAAGGAAGGTTTCTTCCCCAACTTTTATAATTTTTCTTTTCCTTTTTCTTTCTTCTTATATAACTGTTTTATCTTATATATTTCAATATATACTTTTCTTGGATAATATTTTCTATTATTATCATGACTTCCCGTGTCACAGTTCAACAGGTTATGGGCCGCACTTCGGCTTATATTAATCTTACTTCCTCTGAAAAACTCACTCCTCTCAACTATCATGTCTGGGCTACTAAGATCCTTTTGGGTCTTCGTGCTATGAATAATGGTGTCCACCTTTATGTCGAAGCTGGTACTGTCAATCCAGCTGCTAATGAATCCCTCGAAGACCTCACCGCCTCGCTTGATACCGTCGTCCATGATGTCATCCTCAACAATATTTCTCCTGAGTTGATCGAACATGTTAATGATGTGGCCATTAGAGGCCGTGACCTCTGGCTTTACCTTCATCAGGAGTATAGTCAACTTCAACCCGCCGATGTCATCTCACTTATGAAATCCCTCTATGCTGGCAATATTGATGTTGGTCCAAAGTTTGTTTCTTCTGTTCGCTCTTATGTTGCTACGTGGCGTTCCATCTACCAATCATTGTCGCCTGATTCGGTTGTGGCCTTCAACGCTTTGGCCTCAATGGGTCCCAATTGTGAGCGCTTCATCCAGTACGCCTTGGAGCACCGCTTTGATAGTAACAACAATACTGACAACCTTGATATCAACAACTTCATCCGGAACACTGATAAATGGGCCAAGTTGTTGAAGATTACTGGACCTCCTGCTACTCTTTCGACTGAAGCGTTCGTTGCTTCATCAAAGAAGTACAATAACAAATCTAAGGGTGATGGTATCAAATGTTTCCGTTGTAAGAGGCGTGGTCATACTTCCAACAATTGTCATGTCTCTTGGGAAGAGGTTCAGGCTGCTCGCCAAGATAATAAGGATGACAAGGAATCTAAGGAGGCTAAAACCTCAAGAGGTTGGTTTGCTGAGACTATTGATGAATTTTCTGAGATAGTTGATGATGATCCATTTGTGAGTTCCGCTTTTGTGTCCGAGACATCTGTTGTTTCTGAAAAAGTTTGGTAACAGTTGCTCCGAGTCGTTTGATGATTTGGAATCGAACTTTTTGATTCTTCTGAGCCGTGTGTCGGCGATGAAGATTGTTTTGTTGGTCAAGTTTCTGAGTATTGTTCAAACTCAGGACTTGATATTGATTCAGTTGGTAAACCGTTTGTTAGTTCCACTGATGATTCTTGTTTTAATTCTGAACCGTATGTCGGTTCTACTGTTGTTTGTTTGGAGTCTGAACCGTGTGTCAGTTCAGCTCCTATTTGTTTTGATTCTGAATCGTTGGTCGATTCGGATATTGTTCCTTTTGATTCTGAACCGTTGGTCGGTTCTTCTTTTATTTCTTGTTCTGATTCTAAACCGTTGGTCGGTTCTGATGATGATATTGTCTTACCTTCTTTTGATTTTTTGGTGGATTCAATTACTGAACCTTCTCCACCTAATGTTAAACCTATTGTTACACCAAAATCCCGTTTTTCTCCATTCTTTTACTTATCTTTTGTTACCATCATGTTGTTTTCCTTGATTTTAATTGTCGTCTGGCATCCTTCTTCAATCTTGGATTTAAGTCATTCAGTCCATCACGTTTTTGTTGCTGAATCTACTACTTCTGCTGAGGCCAACTTAGTTGTTGGGTCTGATTCTTTTGACTTTATCCATGATACTGGTGCTACCAGTCACATTTGCAATAACATCTCATATTTTTCTTCTCTTCGTCCCACTTCGGCTACCATTCGTGGTCTTGGTTCTGCTACTGCTGAGGGGTTGGCGACATTGTCGTTGATCTTCTTGGTAAAGATGACCAGCCTTGTGACCGCGTTGTTCTTCGAGATGTTTTATATGTTCCTAAGATTCCTCGCAATTTATTTGCTGCTCGTCGAGCTACTGCTGGTGGTTGTCGGTTCATTCAAGACCTTAACCATATTTCTGCTGTTGAAAATGGCAAAACTCGAGTCCACGCCATTGCCATGGGTGACTTGTACTTTTGTCGTTTCCGAGTTGTTTTGCCTTCCAAGCCTGTCCATGAGGTGTTTGCTGTTGAGTCGTCTGCCAATCTTTGGCACAAGCGACTTGGTCACGCCAGTGTGGACGTTCTCAAGAAATTATCTAAGTCACTTTCTGTCAAGCCTACTCATTTTGAGGTTGTGGATAGTCATAAGTGTGACGCTTGCTTGGGTGGCAAAGCCACAGCATTGCCATTTAATGGTACCACAGAAAAAGCTAGTCGTCCTTTGGAGTTATTTGTTTCTGATTTAAGCGGTCCTCATGTCGCTACCCTGTGGGTCATCGTTATGTCTTAACCATTATGGATTATTATTCCAGGTACTCTTATGTGGAGTTGTTGGTTAGGAAAAGTGATGCAAGTCTTGCCATTCGTAACTTTATTGCTAGGTGTGAATCTTATTTTTCTGGTGATTCTGCTGGTGATCGAGTTGCATATTTTCATTCTGATAATGGCGGCGAATACATTTCCAAAGACCTGGAACAGTTCTTTGTGTCTAAGGGTATCAAGCATACTTATACAGTTCCTCATACTCCTCAACAAAATGGTGTTGCTGAGCGATTGAATCGCACATTATTTGAGAAAGCCAAGTCTATGCTTTTATATGCTCATGCTCCTGAGTATTTATGGGGTGAAGCTGTCAAGTCTGCTAATTATATTAGGAACCGTCTTCCTAGTCGTACCACTGGTGGTGTTGCACCTCTTCAACTTTGGACTGGTAAACCTCCTAGTTATCACCATATGAAAGTATTTGGTTGTCAAGCTACAGTTGTTCTTCCTGGTGCTAAAAGAGAATCTAAGTTAAGTTCAAATACTGAAGCTGGTGTTTTTGTTGGGTATTCTTTGGATCGTACAGCTTATCGAGTTCTTCTTGATTCAAGCATTGTTGAAGCCAGGAGTGTTTACTTTGATGAGTCCAAGTTTCCATTTATGAAAAGTGATAAGGACTTGTCTATTAATGGTACTGGTGTTGGGTTTAGTATTGGTTCTGGTTCAGGGTCCATGTCAGGACCTTGTTTTGATTCTAAGGGGACTGGTTTAGGATCTAATGTTAGGGTTAATTCCATTGCTAGTTCTGATTCAAGTTCTGGTTCTAGTTTTGGGTCTCATAGATCTTTACCAGCATCCTCATCTGGTTCTGGTTCTGGTTCTGGTTCTGGTTCTGGTTCTATTTGTGCTTTACCGTCTCCGTCTCTGTCTTCTTCTCCGTCTCATTCTCCGTCGCCGCCTCCTTCTTCTTCTTCATCTTCTATTATTGTTCATAAGCCTCGTTCTGTTCGTCGCATTTTGTCTACACCTTCTGCTCCTCTTGAGTCTCCTACTCTTCCTACTCTTCCTTCTATTTCTTTAGTTCCATCTCTTCCTAGTTCTCCTATTCTTCCACCTTCAGATCATGATGTCTCTATATCTTCTGACTCTAGTCCTATTGTTTCTTCTTCGGAATATATTCCTTCACAATTAGACTTATCTGAAGCTGGTCCATCTATTAATGAATCTGATATTTCAGGTGATTCTGGGATCTCGCAACGAGGGGGTGATATTGGGTTTCAACCGTCTATCATTGCTTCGTCTCCCACTCCACCACCTTCTGTTGAATTGGAAGTAGTGCCACTTAGTCAAGAATCTCCTTCGTCTGATCTTGTTAATTCTCTTGACCAAGCTGGTGTTAGTGTTGTCACTAAGGATGATACTCAAGCTGTTTTGCCTAAATCTCGATCTCGTGTTGTTGCTGTTCGTTTACCTTCTATAACTCCTGCCAAACGCCCGAGTCCTGATGACATTGTTTCACCTCCTTCTAAACATCTTTGTGAAAATTCTTTGAAACAATCTCCAGTGTCTGCAACACCTGCAAAACGTCCAGCTGAAGAAGAGTGTATTTCTTATCGTCGTCTCAAATCTCTCCGCTTTGAGTATGATGATGTGGCTTTACTTGTTTTACAGATCCTAGTAGTTTTGAAGAAGCTATGTCTAGTGAAGAAGCTGAGTTTTGGCTTGAAGCCTGTGTTATTGAAATGTCGTCTCTTAAACGCAATGGTACTTGGGAATTGGTTGATCTCCCACCTGGTCGCAAGGCTATCAATAGCAAATGGGTGTTTAAAGTTAAGCGCAAAGCTGACGGTTCAATTGAACGTTACAAAGCTCGTCTCGTGTGTATTGGATTTTCGCAAGTTGAAGGTATTGATTATACTGAAACTTTTGCTCCTGTTGTTCGTTACGAGACTGTAAGGATTGTTCTTGCTATTGCTGCTCAGTTTGGGTTCCAGGTTCATCATATGGATGTCGAGACTGCATTTCTTAATGGTGATCTCAAAGAAGATATTTATATGAGACAACCTAAAGGCTTTGTTGTCAAAGGTCAGGAATCTAAAGTGTGTCATTTGAAGAAGTCTTTATATGGTTTAAAGCAAGCTCCTTTGTGTTGGAATGAGAAGATTCATGGTGCTCTTGTCAAACTTGGGTTTATTCGTAATGAAAGTGACTACGGTGTGTATACCAAAGGATCTGGGTCTACCATGGTTATTATTGCACTGTATGTTGATGATTTACTTATTTCTGGCAATTCTTCTGAGGTCATTGCCAAAACCAAGTCTTCTTTGTCATCTATGTTTAAGATGAAAGACTTGGGCCCAGTCGAGCAGTTCCTTGGCATGAGAGTTAAGCAGTCACCTTACCATATTACTGTGGATGTTTCGCGTTATATTTTTGATATGTTGGAGGAGTTTGGTATGCAGAATTGTTCAAGTGTCAAGACTCCTTTACCCACTCGTGATCTTTCTGATTTTTCCGAGTCTGACTCTGCTACCGATGCCTCCATGTATCGCAGTATTATTGGTAAGCTGATTTATGCTGCTAATTGTGCTCGTCCTGATCTTGCTGTTGCTGTTAGCTTTCTTTGTCGATATATGCAGAATCCTAAGTCTATTCATATGGAAGCTGCTAAGCATACTCTTCGTTATCTTAAGGGTACTGCTGAACTTGGTCTTGAATATCGAGCTCAGAAAGTCTACAAGCTTGTTGGCTATAGTGATGCCGACTATGCACAGGACAAGCAGGACCGTAAGTCCTTTACTGGGTATGTTTTTATTCTGTCTGGTGGTCCCATTACTTGGGCTTGTCGAAAGCAAGTTAGTCCTGCATCGTCCAGCGTCGAGTCTGAGTATATGTCATTGTCTGATGCGTCTAAGGAATGCTTCTGGATTAATCAGTTGTTGTCCCTTTGCAAGATTCCTGTTCCGTTGCCAGTGACTATGTTTGAGGACAATCAGGGATGTATTGCATTGGCTCAGAACCCAGTGTTTCATCGTCGCACCAAGCATATTGATGTTCGTTATCATGTTGTGCGTCACTATATTCGCAGTGGAGTGATTCATCTGGAGTATCTTGATACTCAAGTGATGTTGGCAGATATGTTCACTAAGAATCTTGGTCGTGTGAAGTTTGAGACATTGAGGGGACTACTTGGCATGAAGGCAGTAGGTGATTCTGCGACAAGGGGAGGTGTTGAGCATGCAATGTTGTCGCAGACTAGTGCAGTTGATAATGCACGTGAGTTTGGGTGGGAAACTATGGTTGACAATCTATGTTTATTTTAGTTTTAGCCGCATTAGGTTTAAGCCCTTATGTGACTGTGGTTACCCTCCTTAATTTGTTACAAAGTTGAAGTGTAATACAAACCCACTCAACTTTGGGACAAACCCAAATGAAAAATTTTCACCACTGCAAATTTTTCTTTTCCTTGGGTATATAAGGAAGGTTTCTTCCCCAACTTTTATAATTTTTCTTTTCCTTTTTCTTTCTTCTTATATAACTGTTTTATCTTATATATTTCAATATATACTTTTCTTGGATAATATTTTCTATTATTATCATGACTTCCCGTGTCACAGTTCAACACTAACGAAGATTTTTCTCACGAAAATTCATTTTCTGAACATATGGTAAAGCTCCAGAAAGCCTTTGCTCCAGGAACTCAGTCGCCCTCAGTGATGGCTCATCAAACAAGTCCGGTGACTCTTCCCAAACAGCTACACATTTTGGATGAGGATGACAGTGTGGATCTTGCGCTGTCTGGAACTGCTGAACTTATCCGCAAGGCTTCAGCTGTTGAAACCGCTAGCCAATCTGGTGATGACAATCAGGATGCGGTTGACTCAGAAACCAATGATGAAGACATGGATGGGTCTGTGGAACATATACTGGGTTTCGACGAATTGGAAGACTCATCAGATTCTGAATCTTCGTCTAGCGACGTTGTCATGGATTCCTCTACTAAGTTGGAGGAAGCTCCTGCGAGAGATGTCGGGGTGCCGCAAGTTTTAGGTGACACTCACGGTACTGCTACAAGCACAAATAATCCTGCCAGCAATCAACTGGTTTTGGCGGCGGCGGAACTTGTACGGGCCACCACCGAGCTAGTACAAAATACGACGTCAGCAAATCGGTCTGCCAGAATGGCTGAGGTGGGCAGTAGTAGGAAGAGACATCTAAATTTAGCGAGATTAAAATCTGCGCTGGAACGTGCTGGTCAGCCAGAAAATCGTCGTTTACATGCCGGTAGGCGGAGCCAAGTGGCTGGCTCCTCAGGAATACGGCAGGAGCTACCGGAGCTACCCCCAGCGCCCTCCTCTGAGAGGCTGTTGCTGGGAGCTGGTGGTTCTGATACTGTTACTACTGCTGCATCTGGTGTTGGAATATATGTCATGGTACTATCGTGTATTTCAACATTATCCCATAATATTTTTTTTTCCCAATTACACTCTCTACATTGTTACATTATTCACTAGCAACTACTAGCCCATTACCATTGGAGTTACAATAATTGTTACAATCAAGACTCCCTATTGCTAAAGAAAATTTTCAAGATGCTCTTTTAAATTTTCTTCATTACAGAAACCTTTCTTGTTTTCTTTCTCTTCTTTTTCTCGCTACTCTAAATTTACGCAAAACTGTTTTTATTAAATACTCTTTCAGCTTTCAGCTTATCAATCGTATTTACTTATTAACTCTTGCTTTTAGGTATGATAGCGAACTTTTATTATTTTATTATTTTATTATTTTTATCATTTATATAATTCTTATATATACTCTAAATTTACGCAAAACTGTTTTTATTAAATACTCTTTCAGCTTTCAGCTTATCAATCGTATTTACTTATTAACTCTTGCTTTTAGTCTTCTCCGCTATGTCTAATCACGGAAACACTACAGGAGTCAATGAAGGACCCTCATCCTTCGAGTCAGCCAGCACTGGAAGTTCTGTTGCCCACTCAACATCTGAGACCCATTCAAAGAACAACGCCAGCTCTTATGAGACATTCGCCGATCTCCCTGTTCATCGTCAAATTGATCTCGCTGACCGTTCTGGATTTACCGTTAGACAATTAACCATTGCCAACATACCAGTTTGTTCCGAAGGATGTGAAGCTGAATTAAAAGTCTTAGCAGACTTGACAGCTTACATTAGAAACTCAAACTTCAAAGCTAGTCCTCCCCCATCTCAAAAGGTTATGAGCTCCTTTGACGCTCCTCAAGCGCCAAATTTCAAATAATTTCTCTACAAAAGTGAGTTGGATTTTTGGATATACGGTCTTATTGGGCAAATTAACAGCTGCGGCCGGAGTTTTTGGAACAACTATATCTATAAGCCAATTGTTGGCCATACTGCCCTTCAGCTTGGTTACGGTATCAGGTTTGAGAGGGCCCTTGATGAACTACTCAAGGTTTACATTTTAAAAACCACGCCTGCAGCTAACCTGGCTGCAGCTGAACAGGCCCGGTGGGACACGTCGCCCGAGTTTCTAAAAACTCCACCTATGGATTCGGCGTCTGTGCGGGAAGAAGCCATGGGGGTCCTATTTGAACCTGGAAAAAGAATGGCTCGTATAGATCCTGAAATTCTAGAGCCCGCCGACCTGGGGCGAGTGCTCTCATTTTACCAACGTCTTAATCATATTGGTTTGCGCATATCCCCAAGCCCTGAGCTTAACATTGTATTTGCGATGACGCAAGCTATCTCAGTAGGAGTTCCAGGTCCTAGTTATTTCGCCGGGCTTACCAGCAGTGAAATTGAAACCAAAATACAAGCTACTGTTACTGAAGCTTCCAAGTGGGCCTCTGTAGTGGAGCAATATTTCTTTAACAACCCGGATGGCACCTTTCACCGTGACCTTATATTAGCAGTGCTGAATAACAACAAGGTTTCAGCAGCTGCTCGCGAAGATCCTCAGAGTCATCTCTGGGGGATTACCAAGTTTGTCGACATTTTCAAGTCAAGATCTGGAGGATGGAGCCCCTGTGATTCAGTTGAAATCCCAGCGCTAGTTGAAGCAACTTCTGCAGCCTTCGTAAAGGTCGAAGAATTATTGACGGTTCGACAAAAGTGGTGCCAAAGCAGGAACCCAAGCAAGAACCCAAGCAGGAATCCAAGCAGGAAACTTCGAAGAAAGCTGGCCACTCTGATACCAAGCATGGAAAAGGGAAGCAGTGGTCCAAGGGGTCCGGTGGCAACAAGAGGCGCAACAATGAAGACAAGCAAGCTAGAAAGTCGAACTCTGATGGTCAAAACAGAGTTGCTGCCTTGAAAGCTACCGAATACCTTGAGGTGGCTCGCGACGATGTTGAAACTCTTTGCTCTGTTGCTCGGGCTATCCAAGACATATTTGATAATGACGGCGGAAGCAGTGATTATTCGCCAGTTGCTTTTCTTCCACCTGCCAACCAAATCGCCTCTGTGGGTGAAACAAATCTTCCAAATGTTCTCGATTCTGGAAATGCTACTGGTCACCTTATCTCAGACAACAGCTACTTTGTGTCGTATGAGAAATACAGCAGCCCCAAAACTATCAGCTCCTATGGTGGTTCCGACATCGTGTTAGAAGGGGAAGGTAAAATTGCTGTTGTATTAAAGGTGACGGTGGCACCAATATTTGCCATATTGCTGACGCACTTTATTTTCCTGCTGGGTCTAGCAATTTGTTTTCTGATTCTGTCTGGCGCACGCACGATGTTTCTTTTCATACGGTCCCAAGTGGGGATTGTCTGGCCTATTTTGGTGAGGAAAAGGTTGGTAGGGTTGGCGGTGCCAGAGATGCCAAGTCTCACATTTGTGCCAACATTGTTCCGGTAAAGTTTACTAGGAATATCGTACCTCCAACTGGATCTTTCAAGTTCTCAGGAAATTCAATTGACTGGGATCAGATTTGCAGACAAGGACCAGAAGCTATGAGGAAGGTTGATAAATCAGCCTTCGCGGTTGGAAAGGGACTACCTGTCCTTTCACAGTCTCTCAAATTTATTGCAAAGGAGGCCGTGTTGAATTCGCAGGCACTTGACTGTCATGTTCGTTTTGCTCATTGCTCTTTGACTTCGGTGAAACATTTAGCCAAGCTTGCTGATCCTCCCTTTGAGGTGACCAAGCGTGACGAAGAATTGATCAAGGACTGTGTCATATGTGGCACGTCAAGAAGCATTAAGAGGTTCACTTCTCCGGATAAGCATATAGCTTCTGAATCCACGGCTCCGTTAGCCCAGATTCATGCTGATCTCGTCGGTCCCATAGGTCCTGCCTCTTCAGGGGCCAGGTACATGCTGAATATCATTGATGCATTTTCTGGTTACATCTATGCTTTTGCTCTGGAATCTAAGGATGAAGCTCCTGGGAAACTTATCCAGTTCTTTAAGCAGTTTGTGCCCAAAGCTGCTCGCCGTGCTGTTGACGGCAAGGCCACCAAGCTTATTACTGACAATGGTGGTGAATTTATCTCTGGGACACTTGGAAAATTTTTAGCAGACTGGGGCGTCATTCATATTTTAACTGCTCCTGATGAACACCAACAAAATGGGAAAATTGAGCGTGCCCACCGCACACTTCGTGAGATATCTACTAGAGCCTTGATGCAGTCGACACTCTGGGCCAATATCTACTGGGACTCTGCCTGGCTCTACGCTGTGCAGGTATATAATTTCTCCATAGTTAATAAAGCCGGTATCTCACCTTATGAAGCCTTTACGGGCAGAAAACCACCTATAGCACTAGTGCACACATTTGGCTGCCTAGTTTTTGTCATTAAATCTGAGTCTCAGAAACTCAAAGGGACCCTTCAGCCTCGGGGCGAGCCTGCTCTGTATTTGGGTCCCGACCCGTTAAATCCTAAGAATTTTCTATGCATTACGAGGAACAAGCGCATTCGGCGCTGTGTACACGGCAACTTTCGTGACCATGTCTTGCCTGGCGTTAAGTTTTTTGGCGAAAAGCCAATTTACGAGGGTGACATTCTCATTGACTACAGTGAGATTGGAAATCGTGACCCTGACTACAGTGACTCTTCCACTGATGAATCAGAAAGTGAAGATGAATCTGACTCTGACGACTACTCTCCCACTTCACTCTCTGGTGGTGGTGGTGGTGGTAACTTTGGCTGGACCTATGTGGGCTCTGAGGAAAGGAGCCACAGATCCAGCAGATTGGAGGACCAGGATTCTACTTCTACACCACCGACACCTATAACTGAAAACTCTTTTCAACCGTTGGAAGATGTTGATGTGGAGCTGGTTGCAGATGAGTCAATTAGTGTTGGTGACGACAAAGATACAC